CAGATCTTATGCTCTGCGCAAGAATATTCTGATTCTTTGGATATGATGAAAAAAGAGCTATCTCTTCCTTAGAGAGTCTTTGACTTTAGGAGACTCCAACTGGATTGGTTATTGCAAGATTAATGATTATGATGCTGTTTTTCGATTTTTCAGTTAATGTAGTTATTGCTGCATGACTGTCGTCGTCATGTTCTTTCAAAAATTCACCCAAATCTTTCGCTTCAGCTCTTGACCAAATCTCATCACCATTGATAGCTCTTATTCACCGAATGCTGTTACAAAGGAAGAGCTGACTAAAAGGGAGCTTCTTTAGTTTCTTGGTGAATTAACCATGCAAGGACTTTGTTTTTTCATGCAAATCCTTTACATCGATTATCCTCATCAAATATTACCTCTTCCTTGTCTATATCAATTGTTTGAGGCATTTGTTTCGTCTATATATAATAAACAAACAAAAAACAAAAGCTCGAAAACCTCTGAAGATTTCAACGGTTCGACCTTTTTCGGAACCGATTACGCAGCCATTAACCCTAGAATTTTAAGATAAGAATCATATAGTGAAAATTCAACACCTAGAGTATAAGATGTAGAAAGGATTTCTACTCAGCCACGGAATAAAGGATTTAACACCTAGAGTATAAGATAGTGAAAATTTAACACCTAGAGTATAAGATATTGAAAGGATTTCACATCTTCTATCATGGTATCAGAGCACTAACTGCTTCCTATCTTCTTCTTCTTTTGTGTCGCTTTCTTCTCAGTGGCTCTCGGCTCTCTGTTTTTTTTCCCCTTTTGTTCACTATCAGATTGCTGATTAAATCTGACTATCATGTCAAACAATGACACGTCTTCTGCCGAGAACACTATTGTGTTCAACCGTCAAAATCACCAAACTCATGAGCCTTAATTAGGTCATGTGGAGCCGTCAGATCAGTGCACTCCTTGATGGCCATGAACTTCATGGTCTCCTTGAGGACTCGACGACTGTCCTCTCTCCGACAATCACTGCTGATGGCCAAGAAATTCCGAATCCAGATTATGCATCCTCTACAACGCACTCATTGGTCCAATCTCACTACCGATTCGGTGGTTTCAACTCCTGGAACAACCAGCGAGGTTTGGGCGACTCTTCTCTCAACCTATGGCAAACCATCACGAGGTCATATCCGACAACTTAAATACCAAATCGAGACATGTATGAAGGGCACCAAAACTATCAACGAATATCTTATGATTATCAAAGGAAAAGCGGATTACCTTGCGTTACTTGGAAAGCCCGTCAATCCAGAAGACCTCACGAAACATATCTTAGCCGGTATGAGTGAAGAATACAAACAAACACCAACAATATAATATAAAACATGAAGCAAAGAACATGATGAATAAAAAAGATTTATCAAATTTAGGGTTTCTCTAGATTTTCTTTAATAATTAAAAATTATTTTCTTTGTCAAATATTTTTCTTTGTCAAATATTAAATCTTTCTCCATATTCTCTACAATGATCAAACCCCAAATTTTCAATCTCAGAGGCATGTCAAAAAAAACCATGACAAAATCTTCTCATAAACAACATACACACAATCTATTTAATAATATAACTAGGTAGTTGGCCCGCGCCTGCGCGGGCAAGAGATGTTTTAGAATTTCAATCCTTTCAATTAATATTAAATTAACGCATTTCTTTTTAATTACTTTTCATATTTTTTGTAATGTGTTTATTTTCTAAGGAAGTAATAGCTTAACATTTTCTTATACTTCTATAATAATTCAATTAGAAATGCACCAGAAACTGAACCCTACACCCATTATTATAAACCCTAAACTCTAAACCCCAACCTAACATTATAAACCCCATCCCCCTAATTAAAGAACCTACACCCTAAAACCAAATCCACAATAAACACTTCCCCCTCCGTACAATACACCATAACCATATAATAGACAATTATTTTCAATTTAATGAAAAAAAATTGGCTTAATTTGGTGTAACTGTTGTTGTTCTACAAAATTTCAAAATATATTTTTAAAATCTGCAATGTTATTAATTAATGGATATGAAATGCAAAAAAAAAAAAAAAAAAAAAAAAAAAAAAAAAAAGTTAAGTTGTTTAGCTATTTCATTTATCATTAAATTTATCAAGAACTAAGAATTTTAAAAACGCCCAAAAAACTAAACGTTAGACTCACCAATATAAACCCTACCTTCTAAACCCTAACCCTACAATAAACACCCCCTCTATCCATACAGTACACTATAACGACATAGTAGACAACTCTTTTTAATTTTAAATATATATAATTTTTTTTTGCTGAATTTGTTGTAATTGTTGTTGTTGTACAAAAATTCAAATGATATTTTAAGAATAAACAATGTTTTTCTTTAATAGATTTGATTTGAACAAAAGATTAAACAATTTAGTTGTTTAACTATTTCCTTTATCCTTTAAATTTTTCAAGCACTAAGGATTTTAAAAACGCAAAAAAAAACTAAACCCTACACCCACCAATATAAACCCTACCTTCTAAACCATAACCCTACAATAAACACCCCCTCCCATCCATACAGTCCACAATAAACACATAATAGACAACGCTTTTCAATTTTAATAGTTTTTTTTTGCTTAATTTGGTGATATCTCTGCCTTGTTTAATGACTTTTTAAAATATGTTTTTGGCTTAATATTCATCGTAAATAATATGGTTTAATTTGGTGTTTTCTCCGCCTTGACAAAAATGTAAACCCTCTTTATATTAAATTATTTTAAGCGAATATGTAAATCCTACATTCTTAAACCTAGTTTTACAGTAAACATTCCCCCGGCCCCCCATTAATAGTCCCATGCATACACAGTACATCATAACAACATATTAATAGTAACATTGCAGATTGTTAAAACATTATATGCAACATATTATATTTATATGATTTGAATAAAATATTAAATGATTTAATTATTTTTCTATGTCCTTTTTCGTAAATATTCATGAACTAAAGTTTTAACCAATTAAATTTTAAAATCTAGGTAGTAGTACAATATTTTTTAAATACATTAATTATTAAATACTTTAATTACATAAGTAGTAGATTTTTTTTTAATTGTATACATCGTTTTTGTTTTCGTCTACTTTTTATTTTTGTAATTTTAATGTGTTTTATTTTTGTCTTCTCTTTTTCATTATTCTAAATAATATTTTTATTTGCTTTCAGAAATACAAAAAAAAATTCACTTCTTGTTTTCTTCTCCTTCTTATTCTTCTCCAATTATCACATCTTCTTCTTTTTATTTCAATTTTATATTCGTTTTCATCATCTTTTTCTTCTTCTTCTTCCAATTTTTTATCTTCAATCTTTTCATTTGTCTTCATATCCTCAAATCTCAATTCATTATTCTTCTTTCTCTTTCTAATTTTCTTTACATTTTTCCCGGTTATTTTTCTCTCCCATTCCCCCTCTCTCTATCTTTATCATCTTCGTCTTCGATGAAACCATATTATTTCTCTTCTTTGTCTTTTTCTCTTCACATTCCATTTTTTTATTCTTTTATCTTCTTTTCTTTTATTCGTGTTTTTATTAGTTCTTGTCTACGTCTTGTATTTCACCTATCAATTCATTCAATAGTTTAGATTTTCAAGGATTTTTGAAATAGTTTTTATCTTTATATAGTCAAGGATCTTTTAAAAATCTATTGGTTTTGTTATCATTCGATTCTAAATTTGCTTTAATTGTTTTAGTTTTTTTCTATTTGTAAATGTATCTTAGAAAGGTAAATATAAATTAATAATCAATGGTTTTTTATTATGATATTCTTAAAAATACTCAAAACTAAACCCTACACCCATTAGTATAAACCCTATACCCTAAACCACAGTGTAACACCACTCCCGTAAACAACCCTCCACCCTAAACCCAAACCCCACAGTGTAACATCACCCCCTCCTAAACAACCCTACACCCTAAACTCCAACCCAACAGTGTAATACCACTCCCCTAAACAACCCTACACCGTAAACTGAAACCCCACAGTGTAACACTACTCCCGTAAACAACCCTAAACCCCAGATTCCACCCCTAAGCCGCACACTTGAACCTCACATTTTACAAACTGGGTTTGCTTTTATTTTATTTATTTTTCCCTGAATAATTTTTTATTTATTTTCTCTGAATAATTTTTTTTCTAATCGGTTATATAGTGTATTCAAATTTTGTAAAATGCACTAAAAACTAAATCTTACACCCATCTATATAAACTGTACATCGTAAACTTCAACGGTTCAACCCCATTTTATCTAATTCTTCTTTTACTTTGTCTTTTACTTCTTTTATATTTTTCCCTTTCTTTTCTACCGTCTTTTTACTTATTCCTATCAAACTTTCTATTCTCTTTTCCTTTTCCTCTCTCTTCATCATTATCTTTTTATTTCCTACCTTTCATTCGTTTTCTTCCTTTTATTTACAATTTGTTTTTCAAATGCATTTGTGTTGTTCTTATTCTTCATTTTTTTATCTTTTGATTTTTTGAACTTCTTTACTGTTCTCATATTTATAAATTATTTTCATTTTTTTTTGTTTTGTTTCATTCGTTTTTTCTGTGATAGATAATTCATACTCTTCAAAAAATTTGTACAATCCTGTTCTTTGTTTGACATTTTGTGTATAAATATATCACTTTTCCATACAGTATTAATAGCCTAAAGTATTTTATCTGACTTTGTATGTTACAAACAATGAACATGGCAAAAGTTTTCTTCCTCTCTTCTCAACTATACTTCTACTTGCCGTCACGGTTACAGATTCCAAAGCTTACTCCACAACGACGCCGTTTTAAGGCTCCACTTCTACTTCCATGACGTCATCTCCGGTGACAAACCCACCTCCATCAGCGTGACCACGCCCCCTGTCAAAAACTCCTCCACCGTTTCATCATTTGGTGTGGTTGTGATCGCGGATAACCTGTTGACTGAGGGACCCGACCCAACTTCGAGGGAAGTGGGGAGAGCTCAGGGCCTCAGAGGATGTACGCATCGACGGACATGAATATCATAATCTTCACAATGGTCTTTAACTTGGTGTTCATGGAAGGAGAGTTTAACGGCAGCGCTGCCGTCACGATGACGATGTATGGACGGAATCGGATACTGTCGAAGGTGCGAGAGATACTGATCATCGGAGGCACCGGTGCGTTCAGGTTCGCTAGTGGCTACGCACATCATCTCCTTCTCCTTTTCTTCACCGGCAAACTTCTTTAGAAGCACTGTCATGTCAATAACACAAGGAGGTATACTCCCCAACACACAAATCTCTTTAACCATTGGAACATCAGATAAAATGAACCATTTTTAACTTGTAAACAGTCTGTAAGAGACTGCAGAGAGAAGCCCAAATAGATCTCCCGTAAGGGACCGTTGCCCGTTGCTAAACACAAATATCAACTGTATGTTACAAAAATATTGTTGATGAAAACTGGGAAAAAAACTTATGTAATCAAGAATTCTATGAAAATGAGACCAGACTTACAGTGAAGAATTTAATTGTGTGACTCGTCAGCAGCCCAAGTTTTGTCAAGCGTTGTCATGGCCACACCGGCCATCGTGACAAACACAGCAACCACTTTGGACAAATTCAAAGTATCTTGGCCCAAAAACGCACCAATGAAAAAAGTAAACAGTCCTGAGGTTGAAGACAATACGGTAGTGCTTGCCACACTTGTACGCGCAAGAGCAGAGCATTGGACAAATACTGTAGCAAAACAAATATCATTACTAATAGAGGACAACATAGAAACTATATTGCAAATAGAAGAAAACACACCTCTATTACAAACCAAATCGGTGCAGGGTAAAGCCCATACAATGCAATCTGCTTTGTAGTGACCTCTTTCCCATGTTTCAGAGTCTGTGTTTCTTCTTTCCCTTTACCTATCAACGGTCTCGCATCTTCTTCGTGTGACGAAAAAGTCTTCCTCGATATCTTTCTTAATGATAGTCCCTTGAAGTCCCATATCAATGATTTTGTGTCTCAGAGGAGAGTTGATCTCAGCCGAGGACTCATTGGCCAATGCGGAAACCTTAAGGCTTGTTAAAGATCGTCGTTGCTCCAAATATCGACAAATCCAGTCTTTGAGGAATGCTACGGGAAGGTAGATTATCATAAGAGAATTTCCAAGATATGTGACTGAAAATGTTTGCTTGTAGGCTGTAAAGATATCCGGGTCAAACGGAAAGTCAAATTATCAATGTTTATGAGATAATCAAGAGTACAATAAACAAACTAACAAACTACGGACTACCAACGATTATCCTGGTGTTTATTCTTCGTGTTGGCCAAGCAAATATATGCGCATAACGTTTTATTTTTTTCTACCTCGATTGTATTCACATATTGAATTGAATCTTTACCAAAAAAGTCAAAAACGAAAACACTTGTCAAGATCAAACTACTCCACCACGAGACAATGGCAAAATATGAACTCTAATGTATATGCGGTAACTCTTTTGGGATCCAATTGAGAGCTTTAGCTTATTGAAAGGAATACATTCCACAATTCCTACTTTCAATGTATATCAACAAACAATGTCTGCCTCATTATCATCCTATCCCAAACAAAATAAGGGAAAGGATGAGAATTTCTTATATGTAAATATATATTCCTAATATCTTTAAAGACTGCTCGATCAAAACAAAACAGAGTAAAAACACTCAAAATAAATGAATTCCAGACTTTGACATGAAGAGAGACTTTTACCAAGAGAACCAGTTTACGAAAACACAATCTTAGCCAAGTGAAGAAGATTTTACAAACAACAACCACTTAGTCACTCACTGACAAAACTGAACCTCATAAACAGATCAATAATCAAACACAAAGCTCCATAATAAACAGTTTTTGCCCTTTTGTATCAACCATGCCTAAAAACATCCATCTTCAAACAATACGTACACAATGAATAATACTCCAGAATTTTTTAATGAAAAAATCTAATTTGTTAAATAAATAAAAAATGGAAAATTTGAAGATTTATTCGAGATTTTTATTAAGGGAAATTCTGTAATTCCGAGGCTGAGAGTTAACGTGGTGCCTCCATTCGAAATTCTGACTTTGCAAATAATAGTATGACTAGTAGAGTATCCGCACGTTTGTGCGGTGTGACGTTATGAGTTTGTATAGAAAATTTAAACCCTAAATTTGAACCCGACCAAAAAATCCTAATCAAAAATTTTAAAAACCCAAACTTTTTTAATATGTCTAAAACCGAAAATCCGAAATCAAAAAAATCCCGAAAACCCTGAACTGAACAAAACAAATCTGGAAACTTTTTCACCCGGAACCCGACCCAGATACCCTAATCAAAATTTTAAAATACTCAATTTTTTTTAATATATCTAAACCCGAGAACCCGAAATCCAAAAAATCCGGAAACCCTAAACTGAAAAAAAAAACTCGAACCCAACCCGAACATAAATTTTCCGAACAGAAATTCACTACTGCAAATTTTGCAAATATCATTCGATCATATTCTATTGATTTGGTATTATTGTTAGTTTATGTTTTTTTTTGCAGATTTAAGAGCTGGAAAACGGAAGTTTTCTAAACCATCGGTTTGTTTTAAGTTATTATTCTTGTATCCAAACAATTTTTTCCATATATTATTCTATCCAAATAGATTTTTCTCTTATTCTTATATCTAAACAACTTTTGTTTCTATTTATTCTTCTATCCAAATAAATGTTTCTCTAATTCTTGTATCCAAACATTAGAATATACTTCTCAATTAATAATATCAAGATATGATAAGAAACAAAAAGAAAGTTAAAAGAAAAGCTCGCTAGGAATAATTACGTACCTTACGTTAACATGATCTTCACAGAATATTGAAGACAAAGAGGTACCGGAAGATTTTGTCAGTTACCAATATAAAGACTAAACTGGAAGAAGCGGATTCCGATTAGTAGGTCTATTGTTCTTTCTTTTTTTTAATTAGAAATTATCTCATCTAGGTAGAAGAATTGTGGATTATTTTGATTTTCATTATTGCTATCTATTTATATAAGACATAGTCGGTTAAAAAATATAGGTTTTCTTTTTTTTTTTTTTTCCAAATTTTTCAATTCTTACATAAGTGTAGCGCGTAATATGGTAATTAGGATTATTATCGTTAAATTAAATATTTTAATTAAATATATAAATTGTGACATTAAAAAAAAGGAAATTATGAAAATTTTAAAATATAATTTTTCATTAAGGGTAGCTGGGTAATCAACCAGCTGAGAGTTAACGTGGTGACTTGAAACGAAATAATCACTTTGCAAATAATATATTAGAAGCAATCAATAATTCATATGGTCAATGGAAAGCATCATGTTTTTTTATTACGTAGAACTAATCAATATTTAATTGTCTATGAAAATGTAATTTTTGAATTTTATTTCAAAGTTATCATTCTAGCTTTGGTATTTGGAAGATGTACCAAATAGTTATATCATATGATATTTATGCAATATTATATATGTTTGTAACTTGTACGTATATCATTTGTTCCATCAATTTCTATCTAACTAGACTCAATTAAAAGAACCAATTAAATTACACTTTTCATTTTAACGACCATATACAGTGACATAGTCCAAATCATATTGGCAAATTGATGTAAATCCCAATAAACAAGTTCAAAGTGAAAAGATTTTCTGTTATTCATTAATTTGCATTTTAAGTAACATTGACATCCTTAATATATTAAAAGAGAAAACACTATAAAATAAACCTTTGTCTCATGTGTTATTAACAGAAATGTCATGCTGATGTGTCAACACCAGGTTCACTTTCAAGGTTAGTTTTAATTAAGACAAACATTACTAGACTAATTACATGTTATGCCATTCATATTTGGTTAGAGAATGAAATATATATGATTAATTTAGTCAGAAAAATAATTATTAATGAAAATTATTTTCTTTCAGTTTCCTTATTTGGTAATGACGAAAATTTATTTATTAGTCAATCAATCAGTAAAATATGGAAAGTTTTATTCAATTGTATTATATTAATTGTTTAAAAATTAATTTATTCATCTATCATTTTTGTTTAGCTTTACTTTCAAGAATAAATTATATCATCACATCAAAATATTTAAAAAAAGAAAATTAGTTTTTTTCTACATATGCTATGGTTTGAATTTTTAAAAATGAAGCAAATCTCTAAAAATGTTAAATGTCCCACATGATTATATTTTGGGATAATAGTTCAAAAACCTATTATAAAATAGGATCCAAATAATGATCAACCATAATCACAAATAGGAAAGAAAAATTTACCATGTTTGGAAATCTTTAAAATTTATTTTATTCGATTTAATTTTAAATAATTAAATCGTATTTTTAATATTTTGGTTTGATCAAAATTTTAAACGTAATAAATTCTAATAACTTATCATATAAGTTAAATTATTTTAGTTATTTAAAATTGATAAAAACATAAAATATATATGCCATTTTATATTTATCAAAATATAAAATTATTTTAAATGTATTAAAATTTAATATATATGTGGGTTCGGAAAGGGAGAAACTGTTGTTAAAGCAAATGTTAGATTACCACACTGTAAACGATGACAAAAATCAAACCAGGCTAAAAAAATATGCATCACTCAAAATTTCGTCTAATGTAAATTGACATTTTTTTAATTGTCTAACACTCTATGTTCCTAAAATTGTATGTAAATAGACATCTTTTAATAAAATCAAATTGAGAAAATATCACCCCGTGCAAGGCGCGGGTCAAACTCTAGTCAATCATGAAAAGCAAAAGCGCAGTCTCCTACCCAGAGGGCACAAACTGTAAAATTAAAAACAAGTGAGGATATATGTGATAGAAATAAAACATTAGGGACCAGAAACGAAAGAAGGCCGTCTCCCTCCCCCAAACAAAACCCAGAAACACCGTCCCACCGACGCTTCCCGGTGGAGCAAAGAAGCAGAAGAGAGAGATGCGGAGGATCAATTCCCTGTACGGAAGAATCGGGAGAGCATCCGAGAAACCCAGCAAGAGCTGTCATGCATTTATCGCCGCGCCCTCCTTCTCCACGGACGGTGGTTACGGCGGCGGCGGGGAGTTTCAGCAGAGTAGCTCCAGGGTCAAGATCTTCGATCGAGACCTCAAGCGCATACATGTGCAGTCCTCGAACTCATCTTACATTGAGTTTTTCCTTCTTTTCGATTCACGACTTGGTTCTGATTTACAGCGTGACCGAGCGGCGTGGCTCTCTCGCCATAAAAACGACACCTTTCTCGACGCTGTTGCGGAGAATCTACTTGACCGCTTAGAGGTTAGCAAATGCCTTAATGCCATACGCGTTGCAGAGTATTGATTGATTTTCTCTTGATCTGCTCTCTTTCCTAAGGATTGTAAGAAGACTTTTCCTTGTGCCTTGTGTTTGGGAGGATCTCTTGCTGCCGTTAAGCGATTACTACGTGGCCGCGGTTTGTGCTCTCTCTCTCTCTCTCTCGTCAAAAGCCCTCGTTTAGATCTATCACCATCCATCTGCATTGTGAATGGTGATTTTGGGTTTGCTGCACAGGTGGGATTGAGAAGCTTATCATGATGGATACTTCATATGACATGATTAAATCATGTGGAGATGCTCGAGAGGACTCACTCGGCAGCTCCGTCGAGACATCTTATTTGGTTGGTGATGAAGAGTTCCTGCCAGTCAAAGAGAGGTAAACAACAAGAACAAGAACAAGAAGGCATATTGTAAATGTATACCTACTAGTAACACATGATGGTGAAATCTTGTCTGCGAAAGCTCGGTTGATTTGATCATAAGTTCGTTGGGGCTTCACTGGACAAACGATCTTCCAGGATCCATGATTCAGGTTTTCCCCCGTTCTGTTGGTCTAATCTGATTTGTTGGACAAAACTTGGAGAAAGAATAATGTGTTGGTGTGTTGGAGAGTGCAGTGCAAATTGGCGCTCAAGCCTGATGGCCTGTTTCTGGCAGCAATTCTTGGCGGCGAAACCTTAAAGTTCGTTCCTTTCAGTTCAAGACTCAGTCCTGATGATGACGATGACCTCTCTCCTATCTGTTCATGAACTTGATTTGGTTTTTCATATCAGGGAGCTGAGAATAGCATGCACTTTGGCCCACATGGAGCGTGAAGGAGGCATCAGTCCCAGGCTCTCGCCTTTGGCACAGGTCTCTCTCTCTCTCTCTCTTGTCTAGTACTGAGAGGCAGCTGAAGAGAAGATGGCTTTTGTAATCTTTCAGGTTAGAGACGCAGGGAATCTCTTGACCAGGGCTGGTTTTAGTCTCCCTGGTGTGGACGTTGATGAATACGTAGTTAGATACAAGAGTGGTAATGCTTTTGTATGCATTTTCCTCACTGACAGATGCGTTTGTGTGTATCTTCTTCCAAGATTGTTCTTTCTCTTCTCTTTCAGCGCTGGATCTTATAGAGCATCTTCGTGCAATGGGTGAAACCAATGCTCTTCTCCACAGAAACAAGGCTTGTGGTTTCTTCTTCTCTTTAAAAGACTTTTATCCTTTTTTTGTTTTCTTTTCCGCATACATTTTCTTAACCAACAATAACAAAACAATCCTCAAAAACAGATATTGAATCGGGAAACAGCTCTTGCCACTGCAGCCATATATGACTCCATGTTCGCCGCAGAGGACGGCACTGTACCTGCTACTTTTCAGGTCCGTTGGTAGAGCTTTAGAACTCGAATCATTATTTTTCAAAAGTATATTGAGGCCTAGAGTTTATGGTATATGCTGTGTGTAGGTGATTTACATGACTGGATGGAGAGAGCACTCGTCTCACCCGCAGGCCAAGCGGAGAGGTTCGGCCACCGTTTCTTTCACCGATCTCCAGAACCAATTTGGTGGTGCTCAGTCTTGATCGACTAAGAGAGCTTACAGACGAAAGAGGAATCAGTGTGACTTTAACTCTCTCACTAGTCGCTACTTTGTTGTATTGTGCCGAAATGAGTTTCGTCTGAGTCTCTTTTCGTTGGAGGAGAGGGCATTTATCCGCATGTACCTCGTCTCGAAATAATAGTGGAATATTTTACAATAAGGTCCATAACCATAACCATACAACATGCTTTGCTGGTTTCATTGAAAACTGAATAATGAGATTTATCTTATCATAGTGTGTTGTTGTGTTAATATGCACTTTTTTAGATTGACCAGACCGTACAAAACCTGAAAATGTTAATAATAATATATCAAAAGTGTTTCACAAAATCACAAATCGTGTCTGGAACAATCAAGCCGTGCGATGATTATATTTTCTGGAGGCTATTAAGAAATGATTCGTGCAACTGACCAAAGTTTCTTGAATTGGACCGACAAAACAATTAGTTCCAACACTGCAACACTGCTTTTTTGTTTGTATCTAAATTCAAAAGAAGATCAAACGTGATCGTGACCGTCCAGATAATCGTAGACTGAAATATTCAACGGCTCCAGGACTTTTTCACCTCCGTTGTCACAGTACGTCGTCGTATCGCCGTACCCGGACGTGAAAACGCCACCGGTTTTACTGTGGACGATTCCGGCGTCAACGGCCATTCCGGCATTGGAAGCAGCGTGCTGGATGGATCTCGGGGAAGTTTTCGAAGCGATTGAAGGAGGAAGCAACTGTGGGAAATTGAGGGACTCGAGTGAGTTGGGTTGGTGTAAGCAGAAGAAAGCAACGTCGTGTGCTACGGCGGCGCCTTCCGCGGTGGAGAATGAGCCTAACCAGAGACGGTCCCGAGTTCCCGGAACTCGAATCTCCGATACCCATTTGCCCCATTTCCGGCGACGGATTCCTTTGTACTTTGATTGAGTTTCACCGGCGTCTCTGAAATCCATTTTAATTTCTCTTTTGTTCTGTTTTGTTTGAGTTTGAATCTTTGGTGGATTGGATTCGGTGACTATTTATACGTTGAAGTTTTGAGAAAGTCAGAGAGGATAAAATAATATAATAGTGAGGTTGACCAAGAATTTTAAATTAAATAATTGAAAATGAACGGGTCAAAGTATGACCCATTTCTGTGGTATCAATTTGACATGAGGTGGATATTGGTGTCAATTTTTAATTTTTCTGGGAGTAACTTTTTGTTTTGTTTGTGTGTACTGTGTGATAGTAAACTAGAGATTAATATTGAATATTTTTTTTTTACTACGAGTAGTATTGTATAATTTACACTTACTGTGGAAAAACGGATGATGTTTACCGTTTTGTTTTCGTTTCAAAATATACAAATGTATTTTTTCCTATGTAAAAAGCAAGTTATGTTTACTATTCCCTCTATTTCATTATAAGTATTATTTTGATAAAATGAATCTATATTATTTATTAATATATCTGGATATGTTTTGAATCTTAATACATCCCGATACATTAATTAAATCAAGAGTTAAAAAGACACTTATTATGAAACATAGGAAGTAATATATTATACTCATAATTTATTATAGAAAAGTCAATCGCTTTCACTTATTGATGATTAATTATTATTTTATATATATAAAAAGGTTGTTAGGTGAATTTGTACATTTTAAAAAGTAAATAATTGTGCATTCGAACCAAAACATTACTAACCCAAACAAAAGTCGATTCAAACTCGAGAATCCAGATGAAGAGAACGTGAAACATTGTCGTCTGTAATTAACCACGTGGGGGTAAGAAAACAACAAAGACTTTCTTTGCCATCTTGTGTATTCATACATCATGCATGACGTAAGCAGCAGCGTCTAAACCGGGTCCTTATATTTTAGTATTATTTTTCTTTGGGTTTGGCATTTGACCAAAATCTCTTTATGACTCTGATCAAGACTACTACTTCTACACACAGATTTAACTGGAAAAAGTTGTTTTTTGTCTTGTTGCGTGTTTAATGTTTTTGCAGAGACAAAAGACATGACTGTCGAATTTAGTTCACACACAACTAAACTACACACACCTCACACGGAATCACCTACGGTGAGACCCCAAAAAAAACCAGTCTTCATCATGTAATAAATATGGTTCGTACTTTCAGATGCATAACCATTTCTTAGTTTGATTAGGCTCTTGTCTTAACTCACATTTTGGAATTTGATTGTGATCATAGACAGACACCGTCACACCGACTTATTTAATGAAATAACATCATTTCTATATTAATAAATTGCATTTTATATTTTTTCCATTTCATAATAAAATGTATATGGACAATAATTGAATATATGTGGACAATAATAAGTGTTATTTTGAATTTATTACATCCAGATACATTGAATTCTCATTTTGTTTAAATGACACTTATTATGAAATGGAGGGAGTAAGTTTCAAGACAAAATGAACGAAAAAAATTGAAATGATTAAGAAAAATTAAATTTGCTTACCATTTTTTTTTTTTTTTTGGTTTTGTAATATCATAAACTTTCGCCAGCCTTACATTGTATTTATTCAATTTCAGTGAAATTGTTGAATATAACATTTTCAAATAATTTGTAAGAGAAATGTTTTAACTAGATAGACAAAACATCGAAGCTGCCAAAACCGTTAAGAGTTAAAACTTTTCTTACACCGTCCAGACAGTATTATTAACGCTAGTAACGCTTAATGGACTAAAATGGGCCATGAAGTGGAGAACTCTGAGGCCCAATTTAATTTGATTATATTCTTCAGCGACGTTCTCTTTGTACAAAACCTTTTCTAGTCTCTACCTTTGCGGCCTCTCTTTGCTCGGCGCTGTCTCTGAACATCTGTCTTGCTTTTCCTCTTCCTACATGAGCTCTGTTTCGTCTCTTCTATGCTTCTCTCGATATACCTCGTGCTTCCATTATTTGTCCGTATACTGTATGTTTAGCGCACCACTTGTTTGATGATATGCCTCAACGAAACTCTTTTTTTTTTTTCCAAATTTTTTTTTCTTCACCTTTTGATTTTTCAGACGGAGAAGCAAAATTGGTTGAATTCTCGCTCTCATGGATGAAACTAGCATCGGAACAGTAGACACAAAGCCCATTCTTTTGTCTATTGTAAGTCGTTGCCATCATATGCTGCTTACTGTATATGCCTTCTTCTCCTCCCCGCTCTATTCCCAGAGGTCTCACTGTAACCGAAATTTGCAAGTTTATTCCCCAGTCGTGGAAACAGCCGCCACCGAGACCCATCACCGATGGTTCCGTTCCTGATGCTCTGTTCAAATCACTCGGACATTTCGTCATCTCCCACGGCCATCTGTGTGAAGCTTTTAGAACTTTCTCGCTTCTCCTTCGTCACAAGCGGATGTTGAGCAAAGAAATTCGACCGGATGCTTTCACTTACCCGTCGGTTCTCAAGGCCTGTGTTGATTTTGCATCCGGAAGAGCTGTTCATGGCAGCTTGTACGTCTGCAATGCGTTGATATCCATGTACAATAGATTTGGGAGAGTGGAGATTGCTCGGAGATTGTTTGACAGGATGTCTGAAAGGGATGCTGTCTCATGGAATGCAGTGATCAACTGCTATGCTTCTCAAGGCAAGTGGGAGGAAGCTCTTAGACTTATTCACAGAATGGAGCTCTCTGGTGTAGAAATGTCTGTTGTTACTTGGAACACAGTAGCTAAAGGCTATTTGCAGAGAGGAGACTACGCATGGGCTTTAAATATAGTCGCTAAGATGAGAAACTACAATGTAAGTTTAGATTCTGTGGCAATGGTTAATGGTTTGAAGGCATGCTCACAAGCGTTACAGTTGGGAAAACAGTTTCATTGCCTTGCAATTTGCAGCTGTTGCGCGAGGATTGACAATGTTGAAAACTCGTTGATCACAATGTACTCGAGATGCGGCGATCTTAGATCAGCTTTTATAGTGTTTCAGCAGATCGAAGCAAATAGTTTGAGTGCATGGAACTCTATCATTTTCCGGTTATGCACACAATGAGAGATCAGAAGAAACGTGTATCCTGCTCAAGGAGATGTTGCTCGCTGGATTTCAACCAAACCACGTTACACTTGCAAGCATTCTCGCACTTTGTGCTAAAGTAGGGAACCTGCAACGTGGGAAAGAGTTACACTGCTACATCCTGAGGCGGCAAAGCTTCAAGGACTGTTTAGTCCTGTGGAACTCCCTTGTTGATATGTATGCGAAATCCGGGAGAATCGTAGCTGCCGAGTGGGTGTGTGCTTCGATGAGCAAGAGAGACAAAGTGACATACACTTCACTGATAGGTGGATATGGCATGATGGGAGATGGAGAAGTTGCCTTGGAACGGTTCGGAGATATGATTACATCCGGTATCAAACCTGATCATGTAACCATGGTTGCAGTTTTATCAGCTTGCAGCCACTCGAGTTTCGTTTGTAAAGGACAACGCATGTTTGAGATTATGCGAAATGCGTTTGGTATACGCCCTCGCCTTGAACACTATTCTTGTATGGTTGATCTCTATTGCAGAGCAGGTGACCTGGCTAAAGCCAGATGCATGATTTCTGAAACTCCTTACGGGCCGTCTCGTGCCATGTTCGCTACTCTGATAATAGCTTGCTTGGTCAACGGGAACAAGGAGATTGGTGAGTGGGCTGCAGATAAGCTACTAGTGGAGATGAAGCCAGGAAACTTAGGGCACTGTTTGTTGATTGCAGATATGTATACAGTTGCTGGTTCTTGGAGCAAGCTTGCACATGTGAAGGCTTTGATGAGTAGTGCCCAAAAGGCTTATGAGTTTGCTTTGATGGAAACGGATTGTGTGTTGGATGAATCGAGTAAGCCAATGGTTGATTCTTCTTCTATCATTAGTCAGGAGCAAAGTTCAGATGAAGAACGTCTTGTAGAAATAGGATAAAGATGTAATTATTTGACCTTCTCATGATCAAACTGGGGGGAGGTTACATTTGTTGATTGTACATAATAAATCTTATATACGATCATGTATCGAATATCAGCAGAGTACAAGCAAAGTTTTTGGCTCCCATAATCAAGAGGCTTGTGGAATGTCATTTTGTTATGTTGATCAAGCGATTGTGGAAGTTTTGAATATGGGCCCACTGAAAGCCCATTAGGTGATTAGCCCATTCTCATTTGATTCTTAAGAGCGTTCTCTCTTGTCTGTCCCTGTCCCGCAGAAAACCCTAAAGAATCTTTTCCAAAAGCTCCAAAAAAGTAATTTGAGTTCCGTCTTCAATTTGCTCTCTGCCGGCGAAAATGGCGTCGTTCGATGAAGCACCACCAGGGAACCCAAAGGCCGGTGAGAAGATATTCAGGACCAAGTGCGCTCAATGTCACACCGTCGAGAAAGGCGCCGGTCACAAACAAGGTAACACAAAGTCCGTATACGATGATCTCTTTTTTCTTCTTTACCTTGTTGGATCCTAGTTTATCTGGATCGGTTATTTACAGATGATCATAGATCTGATCCAAATATAGCTTGATAGTCGCCTTATATATAGATGCAATTGCCTAACTGTTCTTTGTTTTTGTGGAATGTGATTTCGAGTACTTAGTGATACAACAAGAGATCCAAATTGACTAGTGTTTTTTTCTTTCTAAAATGTTTTTATAGGACCTAATCTAAACGGTCTCTTTGGAAGACAATCTGGTACAACTGCTGGTTACTCTTACTCTGCTGCTAACAAGAACAAAGCTGTGGATTGGGAAGAGAAGACCTTGTACGATTACTTGCTCAACCCCAAGAAGGTAATAATAGATTCTGATTGTTTCACAATTATCGTTTGTGATAATCTTATCTGTATGTTAAACTCTGTGATTGATGCATTTCTGATATTGGTGTTGTGTGATGCAGTACATACCTGGAACGAAGATGGTGTTCCCTGGGCTAAAGAAGCCACAAGAACGTGCTGATCTCATCTCCTACCTCAAGGAAGCTACTGCATAGTGAATCAATTTGGATTGGTGTTTGGGCCATGCGTGAATGAGTCTCTCCGATCGGATATTCTTTTGACAAATAAAATCTCAAAACTTTTGTTCTTTTAGTTTCGGAAATGCTCCTTCAATCTTCAAATACGTTTTTGTTGTGGGGATTTGGCTTGTCAGTGTGCTTTCATTTTCTGTGGCTCACTTCACTTATATTTTATAAATGCAAGCCTTTTTTGTTCTTATCACATAAGTGCAGTTCAAGTGAGAGTTTTTTTTAAAACGTATATATCAACTATGAACAATAATAATGGAGTTGAATTTCTCATCATCCTAGATAACATTCGATATTGGTACATTGTTCTCCGCCAAGGCTTTACAAATCCTAGAGTGTTTTAAGTTTTTAACCTTATCCAAATCCAATCACTGGACTGTTCCCTTATCTTAGTTGTGAAACTCTCTCTACTCATCATCAATATCGCTTATAGCATCCTGAAACACCCAAAACAGACATGGGATCAGACAGGACTTTTGTGTGCACTATGATTACTACTAAGAAAGTGTTGTGTTAGTTAACCTTTGCAAGGCGTGTCACATATGTTGCAGCCAATGCAGTTACCAACAGACCCAACCCGAGCGTTAAAAGCTGGCCGTTTCCTCCAGGCAACCCAATGTTAGATTCTTCTTGCTGAAACAACATAGACAGAATTGAAGATTGCCATTTGAACGATTATGATGCTTTGCCAGAATCACAATGTGTTCAACAGCTCAACACAACACAGGTCTCTCATCGGACCCACAATTTCTTCCATTCAAGTTAACACATTCATAAGATCTCTTAACGCCCTTCCTTTCTAAGCTAGCTTTCAATGGTAGTTCTAGAGCTGATCAACGTAGACCTATTGTACACTCGGTGGATCCTAAGTTCCTAATGTAACCTTACACTTGACATGTGAGAACTGAGAAGAAAGGCATGCTTTTGTCAAAGTGTCTACGCTCTCGAGGGATAAATAGATCAGATTAATAGCCAACAAAACTCACAAGGATTGCTCGTCCAAAAGCTCCAGCGCTGACATAAGCCCAAGACCCTGGAAGCATACCCAACCAGCTGCAAAAACAGTATCATTCGCCTTATCAAGTTAAAATCTTGTTCTCAAATGCAACACAAACTGAATCAACTCCCGAGCATAAGAAAATAGCATAAAAAGTTGCATTAACACAGGCCTACCTTCCAAATACATACGGCGCAAACTTCACGGATGTCAAACCGTAAAGGTAATTGCCAAGAGAGAAAGGAAGCAGAGGGCTTAGCCGAAGGAGAGTAACAACCCTGAACCCATTTTCACCAATAGCTTTGTCAATGGCGAGGAACTTCTTGTTGCCTTCAACTAACTTAAGGATCCGCTCTCGGGCAAAGTATCTGGCAATTAAGAAAGCAACACTAGCAGCTATCTAACACGAGCAAAAAACCAAATAAACAAACACAATTAGACAACCAAAACGTATATGAACATGGGAAAGTTCGAATTTTCTGTGTTCTAAGAGAATAGCTTACTGTTCCACTGATGGAAACTATGATGGTGCCAACCACAGGACCGAAGAGAAGACCAGACGACATCGTCAACGGGAGAGCCGGAATGGCTAGTATCTAACCGGAATGCAGAAAGAAGAAACACAAATGCTTTAAACAATGGCTACATAGCGAGGTTTAAGATAAAGTCGTAATCAAAAGAAAATGAAGAGTATGAAGAAAGCTTGCCTCAAGCCCAGCGTATACGGCAATGAACAACGCATAACCAGCCGGACCATAACCTGGTTTTGATTCAACAATGAAATTGATCAAAAACCATCGATTATGTATATGTTTATTGTCATTGAGTTCTTCAACACACAAAATGGAAGCCTAAAACCTTATAATCAGTCAGTGTTATGATCAATCAACCTATTCAACGAAACTATACATAAAAGTCAAATCGGCGGAGCAATAGAAACCTTCGATAAGAGTGGAGAATTGAGTGAGGAAGGTGTTTATCTGGTCTCTGTAGACGTAGCCGACGCCGGCGAATCCACCAACAGTGCCAATCAACAAAACGCCGGCCAGAATCGTACCCTTAATAGCAGCATTCCCTTCCGATCCGCCATCGTCGTCGCTCCCAGCCGCGGAGGGTTCATCGTCGTCGTCGTCGCTGGATTTGGGATTGAAGAACCAGCGGAGACTCTTCGGAGGAGGAGCGGTGGAGGGAGGAGAACGGCGGAGAGACTGTTGCTGCTGCTTCTTCTTCGTCTGTTTGAGGGAAGAGCATGGCTTGAGGAAATGGAATCGAGTGGAGAGTCTGAAGGAGGAGTTGCAGGTGAATGGGAGAGAAGAGGATCTGAGACCCAGAGTGAGGCTGCGCATCGTAAGCAGCTTCAACGGAGATTGAATTGGATTTGAAGCTGTGCCATCCAAATTTGCTCAGGTTCTCTGGGGGCTTCTTGGCGCGGCATTTTGCTAACCGATGAAGAAGAAGACGCATTTCGGATGGGGCTTCTGGAGATCTAGAGCGCCACGTGTCTTCCGTTCTAAGGATCAACGAAATATATTTCATTTCTTCCAGAAAACACTTTATTTCTACGGTGTAATAAATAAAATAAAATAAAAAATATACAGTTTTCATGGTCTTATTTATTGCCTCGTTTTCGTATTGTACATGAAAAATAATAATTCTTTCGCATATTCGCATATCCAAAGTCCGAAACAAACAAGCTCTTTAACAATTTAAATTTACGTGATGTTTTTGTAACACGAAAACGTATTTGTTGGAACATGTACAAAAATTCCTATATTCTGTAAATAAACTCGACGACAATTACTGTATGTAAAACCCAAGCGGTTTGATGTCACTTACTCACTTTTCACTTATTACTTGTTACTTTCAATAATCAATACCAACTGCAACAGAATGAGTATAGAAGATTGATCATAGGTCGATTTTGTGTATATAAGATTGATCATAGTTCATAGATCGAGAAGCTGAAGAGCAATCTGTCTCACGTACCTTTGGGAAGTCCTAACGTTGCTTGAAACGCAAGTTACAGCAGCTTCTGGATATATTCACAACTCATCTCGATGGTTTAGACCATCAAGTCAAAGTAAGCATTCCTCTCTGCTTTTGTATCATCGCTAATTCATTTGTCACTGTCTTATACTTTGAAAATAAAATTAATACTTTTCATCACGTACCCCTATGTTGCTATTTGTTAAGCAGAAGTTTGAATGTGTAGCTGATCCTTCCTATCTGGATACTATTTCTCAAGACATTATGGAGAAACGATTGGAGGCAAGTTTTAATATTCTTGAATGAAATAAGAAAATATCTTTTCTTACAAACAACTGCTTTTCGAAATCGTGTTTATTTTGTCTCTTAAACATTGTAGAAAACGAAGATTTACTTCTCGAGTTGAAGATGAAACTGAGGTGAAGCTAGCTACTACTATACTCAGGGCCGGTCCATACTGTTTTGGCGCCTAAAGCCAATTTTTTTTTGAGCCCATTAAAAATTCGGTTTTTTTTTTAAAGGCAAGAAAATGTTGGCTGGAAGCTTGCACACCTTCCCTGAAGGTCATATTGAGAAAACATAACCACTACACTACCATAAGCTCTCTGTAATTTGGCGCCCCTAATATTATCTTTTGACGCCTAAAGCATCTGTCTTACTTGCCTTAGGTCAGGGACGGCCCTGACTATACTGAAGAGGAGGGTAAGTTTTATTATCTCAGAGTTATTTCATTGACAAATAGATGGAGGAATCTGTTTTCTCATAAAGTACAAATGTTTTCAGAATATTGACTGTTTTGACCCATAAAACATTGTAGATAGTAGATACAATGGGAGAAGTTGAAAAAGAAGTTGAAAGAGAGGGACCAATTAGCATGTCAAAGGCAAGATTGAACAAGACTAAATAAACAAGGAAGCCATACAAAATGTGGCCACTTGGAAAAAAAAAAAAAAAATGTGGCCACGGGGGTGTTGTTCTTTTTCTTCAAGGCATTTCATATGGTTTATGGTTTGTTCTACTTCTAGCGGAAAATGTTGGCTTAACTAATACATTGTGCTTATTTTCAAGTCTCGTTTTTCCCAATGATTCATACTGAAATTTCGATCAAGAAAATATACGAATTCTTTTAGCTTTCGAGTTTAAGACTGCTTGAGATACAATCGCGGTGGTTTCCGGTTACCAAGAGCTTAACCGCCGATAAAGCGGTCGTAGCAGTCACGTTTTTGAACAATTAAATACTACAGTATTTGTTAAAGCGACGCCGTTTCATAGCTTTGAGAGAGATGCATAACGGCATCGTTTCCGTCTGAGGATAATAAAGGCGAAGAAGGTAAAATGTTAAGAAGTCAAAATGGGAACTCGATGCTGACTCTTTGGTATCACCGGCATTCGAGACTGATCGCCGGAGTTTCCGTTCGCCATTAATCCTCTGCTCAAATTCCGGTCACTGCCATTGTCTTCCCATACCCGGTTTAGGTCAGATGGCCAAATCTCGGGCGGTTGTGGAGCTAACTGCCCGTTTCGATCTCGGCGGCGACAATAAGATCCGAGCCCTGACTCTCTCCCCTCACTCCGATTCCCAAACCCTAGTATACGTCGGCACCTTCTCAGGGTCCCTTCTTCTCCTCTCCATCGACACTTCAACTAATATCGTCTCGCGTCTAGGGAGTGTATCGCTGAGCGCTTCTCCAGTTGAGTCTGTCTTTGTGCTCGGCCAGGAAAGGGGGAAAATTCTAGCTCTCTGCAATGGTTACTTGTTCTTGGTGGATTCGCTTCTATCTCAACCCGCCAAGAGATTGGGTGGTTTATTAAAAGGGATCAATGTGGTTGCTAGAAGAGTGAGAGGACGCGACTCGTCGAGTACTGACTTGTTCCCCGCCGAGATTTCGGCTGATTCTAGCTCGAGCAAGAAGTTTCTTCAGTTGCTTGGCGCTGGGAATCGGGTGAGCGACGTCAGAGGTAAGGATTCTCGGCATGAGGGAGTCGATCAAGGTCATTATGTTTTCGCTGTTGCCATTGGTGAGAGGATGCTGCTGATCGAACTTCAGTGTGATGAAAAAGACGGGTCAGGTGCTTCCTTTGTTGTGTTGAAAGAGATTCTGGGAATTGGTGGGATCAAAACTTTGGTTTGGCTCGATGATTATGTTATTGCGGGAACGGTGAAAGGGTATAGCTTGATCTCGTGCGTCACTGGTCAAAGTGGAGTGATTTTCACGTTGCCTGATGTCTCGGGTTCGCCGCTGCTCAAATTGTTATGTAAAGAGTGGAAGGTGTTGTTGCTGGTGGACAATGTTGGAGTTGTTGTGGATACAAATGGTCAGCCTATTGGAGGGAGTCTTGTGTTTCGGAGGAGGCCAGATTCTGTTGGTGAATTGTCTTTCTATTTGGTGACTGTTGGAGATGGGAAAATGGAAATACATCAGAAGAAGTCGGGTGCTTGTGTGCAGTCGGTTAGTTTTGGTCCTGAAGGAAGCGGGCCTTCGTTTTTGGCTGCAGATGAGGCAGGAGATGGAAACCTTGTGGCTGTTACTACACTGTCAAAGGTGTTTTTACCGATAATGGCTATTTTTACTTCTCTCTCAAGTATATCTTGTTGATGAAACGGTCATGAATTTTGTGTCGACTCTTTCGTTGTGATTTTTCAGCTTGTTTTTTACCGGAGAGTGCCTTATGAAGAACAGATTAAAGACCTCTTGAGGAAAAAGAGATACAGAGAGTCCATCTCTCTGGTGGAGGAGCTTGACTCAGAGGGGGAAATTTCGAAAGAAATGCTTTCTTTTCTTCATGCTCAGATAGGGTATCTGCTACTGTTTGATTTGCGCTTTGAGGAGGCAGTGAATCAATTTTTAAAGTCAGAGAGGATGGAACCTTCTGAAGTTTTTCCTTTTATCATGCGGGATCCTAACCGGTGGTCTTTGCAGGTATATTTGTTCTCCCAGCAAGGGTTTTCTTTTTTTTTCTTTTACTTAAGGCATTGCCTAACTTCTTACCTCAAATTTACGATGCCTCAAGCCTTGTTCCAACTGCTTCACTTAATTTCAGGTTCCAAGAAACAGATATTGGGGACTGCATCCTCCACCTGCTCCTTTTGAAGATGTTGTAGATAATGGGTTGAATGCCATCCAGAGAGCCATTTTTCTAAGAAAGGCGGGAATGGACACTCCGGTTGACGAAGAGTTTTTCTCAAATCCTCCCAGTAGAGCTGAGTTATTAAACTCGGCAATTAAAAACATTACCAGGTACTACAATTTCTCTCTTTATGTATTTTTTTCCCTCTAGGTTCTTCTAGTGTAACCCTGTTCTCTGTGGTGGGAATTGACATATAACGAGGTAATGTTACCTGTTGCAAAAGGTACCTTGAGGTATCACGTGAGAAGGACTTGACTCACCCAGTAAGAGAGGGAATAGACACACTTCTAATGCTTCTGTACAGAGCATTAAACCGCGTTGAAGATATGGAGAATCTTGCATCTTCTGATAATAACTGTGTTGTGGTATGTCTTTTAGTTAATACATTTTTCATATTTCATAGCATCAAATCGGTATGTGGATTTAGAAGCTAACAACAAAAAAAATGTAAGAAAATCGATAGATCTAGCCAATCTATTTACTTGAGATAAATGTTTGAGTAAGACAGCTAAAGCCTGGTTAGAAAGGAGAGAAATCAAGTTTCAGTGCCTAGGATTCTAGGTGAGTTTTTTCATGCATTGTACATTTGTACTTATATCTGCTTTGCAGTTTGCTAGCTCAGGGTCAGTTTAGTAAACTACTGTGTTCAAAAGAAATGGATCAATGACAACCATCTTAGGATGCTGTTGTTATGACTTCTCTCAACAAAGTCTCTAAAGTTTCAGAGTAGCACTGTTAACTGGAAATTTTTGACTGTTGTACTCTAGGATTCATGTTAATGTACCATGGGGACATTACAATTTTTGGGATCCTTAATATTGCAATGCATTGAAGAACAGAGAGCTTGTTGTCAGAGGGTTTCTTGAGGGATGACTGAACAACTTATGTGGGCCGTGCAGGAGGAGTTGGAGACTCTTTTGAATGAATCTGGACATCTACGGACACTTGCATTCCTATATGCAAGTAAGGGGATGAGTGCAAAGGCTCTTGCTATATGGCGTCTCTTTACGAAGAATTATTCATCTGGTCTATGGCAAGACTCAGATGACTTGGTGCCTTATATACACGACAACGAGCTCATTAGGTTATCTGGTAAAGAGGCTGCTGCCGCAGAAGCAGCCAGGATTCTTGAGGAACCATGTGATCCAGAACTGGCATTGCAGCATCTTAGTTGGGTATGACATATATATAATATAACTCCAAGTTGTTGTGACTTCTTAAACTAAAAAATTTGCATGTTGTGAATATAATTGATGATTGTGGATATCATTTTTAGATCTCAGATATAAACCCATTGTTTGCTATCCAAGTCTTGACGTCAGAGAAAAGGACAGAAGAGCTTTTACCAGGTGGGAATCATGGTTAACAGGACATTTATATTGGATTGTGAGTCGGATCATTTTAGGAACATCTTGTCAACTGTTTCTTAGGTTTTTGTTTGTGATATATTTTGGACTTGTATTCATGAATAGTGGCTTAGTTGAAGTCTGAGATGGGTTAGGTAATGCCAGAAGTCAAAGACTGCTTTTGGTTCAGGGTGTAACATAATCTTATGCGTTTATATATTCTCATGTCTCTACTGTGCTGTACCTCATTATAGTTATAATTAGGGTAAAAACAGACATCTGCTCCATTATGGATGTGAAAAACTTACAGTAGGCAGATTTTTTTTTATTTGGCTATGGGTTATTAAGTGGCTTGGCATATGACATTGAAAATCTATAGTGGTAGATAAAGTACTAGATCTCTTTTTTATTGATTTAATGGTTTTTGTATCTTAATCTTCTTGCAGAGCAAGTGATCCAAGCTATTGATCCCAAAAAAGTTGAAATCATACAAAGGTATAGTTTACTTACAGCATAAATAATTTTCATCCAGTTGGGTTCAGCTTATTAGTAACTAGTAAAAGGAAGGTCCACCAGAGTCTTTTGTAGCGATGTTGGGAATTTTAAAATTTTCTTCTTATTAAACTTATATATATATATCTTGGCCAGATACCTCCAATGGTTGATTGAAGATAGAGACTACAATGACCCGCAGCTGCATACATCCTATGCTCTCTCACTTGCCAAATCAGCACTTGAGTGTGTTGAGGTTCAAAATGGTAACCAAGAAATTGATGCTGGAGGCAGAGAGGCACATGATTGTAATGTTGGAAGTGTTTCATTGTTTGAAAGTGACGTGCGGGAAAGGTTGCAGACCTTTTTGCAATCTTCAGATCTATATGATCCTGAAGAAATCTTGGATTTGATTGAAGGATCAGAACTGTGGCTGGAAAAGGTTTTTGGCTCAAATTTGTTTCCTTCGGTTTATGAATGGTGCTAAAAGGGTGTCTTTAAAGTGTGTATGAGCACCTATGATGGTTACGGTGGCACATCGATGATTATTCAATAAATTTTGTACTTGTCAAAACAACTGATTTCTTGTAGAATTACCCTCTGATATATGTGTAAAACTATTTTGGTAGGCTATCCTATACCGAAGGATAGGGCAGGAGACATTGGTCCTCCAAATTCTTGCTCTGTAAGTTCTCATTACACAAAGCTGAACTGTCGATGATTGTAATGGAAACCAAAGATTTGAGACCATAGAAAGTTTATTGTGAATATGAATATATGACTGACAAGATCTTTTGTGGTGGGCACCAGGAAGCTTGAAGATTGTGCAGCTGCAGAGCAATATTGTGTAGAAATTGGACGACCAGATGCATTTATGCAGTACGTTCTTTTGCTTCATTTCATCTAGCTTTATCGTGAATGCCAAAACACAATGTACTATTTTCCTTTATTAAATCCCCAATAACAGAAAGTTATCTTAGGTTGCTAGATATGTACCTGGATCCTCAAAATGGTAAAGAGCCAATGTTCAAGGCTGCTGTTCGTCTTCTCCACAACCACGGGGAGTCTCTTGATCCCTTGCAAGTTTTGGAAGTAAGAAATCCTACAGTCCTTCATATGTTAATGAAGCTGCTGTTGCTTCTTATCCTACATCTTTTGCATTTGTTAACTCTTTAACAATTGTTTGATAAAGCTGATATCATTTCTGCTCTCTCCAGAAATTGTCTCCTGACATGCCCTTAAAACTGGCATCAGATACAATTTTGAGAATGCTAAGGGCTCGAGTTCATCATCATCGCCAAGGCCAAGTAATAATTCACAATCCCTGTATCTGCTACTATTATCTTTGGGAGAAGGGGAAGTCATATTGTGTTTCTTTCGTCAAATGTGCCATTAATAAGAGTAATATGCGCAGTTACATCCTAAGCAGAAGTCACCGCTGAAGTAGCATTGATAAACTTGTCAAAATAATTGTTAACGTGCTTTAGTCTCTGAATGTTCTTATGTCAATTGCTACAGATCGTACACAACGTCTCTCGTGCATTGGATGTAGACTCAAGGCTGGCAAGGTTAGAAGAAAGATCACGTCACGTGCAGATAAATGACGAGAGTCTCTGTGATTCCTGCTATGCCCGCCTAGGAACTAAGCTATTTGCTATGTACCCTGATGATACCATTGTCTGTTACAAGGTTAGTCCGCCGCCTACTACATCTCTTGCAACAAAGCATGCTATAAATCTGTTTTCTTGTATATCCAAATTCATAATAGATTTATAGTATCTTTCTTTTGTTCTTGTTCCCAGTGTTACAGACGCCTGGGTGAATCAAAGTCAGTAACGGGCCGTGACTTCAAGCGAGATGTTCTGATAAAACCCGGTTGGTTAGTGAACCGGTAGCAATCGGTGTTTATTTACATGACCTCTAACCGCTCAAAACACACAGAGAAGCCTGTATAGTACAGCTAATGACGAAGATAAGGATCTAAATTCGATTGCCATAGCTTCATCAAGCTCGTCTCTAGTCTTGTGGAGAGAGGCTCGAATCGGCAACATTTCAAAGATGGTTCTTCAATCGGCAAATGTTGTGTGACTGAATTAATCCTTGTAGTCTGTTTTCTTTCTGAATACGAAGGGACCTGTTTGGTAATAAAATGAAAATAATTATATAATTAAATCAAGAAAAACGAGCGAGAAATAGATTTGCAAAAAAAAAAAAAAATTCTTGAACGGAAGAAAATATCAGACAGTCAAGTTCTCAGGGGAAGAAGACGATCTTCGATTTCAGGTTACTGCTTCTATCTATCTACCATCACCTTCCTCTTCGGGACACAGTTTTCATTTTTGCTTTGATCGTCGAATCGATTCTCGCCGATCACCGGTTGGCGCTGTCTCCGGTTAACGGTTAAAGCAACAGTTAATTCCGGGGGAAAAAAATGTCGATTAATATGAGAACGCTAACCCAAGCTCTGGCCAAGACGGCGGCGGTGATCGAGAAGACGGTTCAAACCACAGTCCAGGAGGTCACAGGTCCCAAGCCTCTCCAGGACTATGTGCTCCTCGATCAGATCGGCTCCGGTGGTCCTGGCCTCGCCTGGAAGCTCTACTCCGCCAAGGCACGTGACTCCACGCGGCCCCAGCAGTATCCCACCGTCTGCGTCTGGGTGCTTGACAAGCGCGCCTTATCGGAGGCTCGTGCCAGGGCGGGATTATCCAGGGCTGCCGAAGACTCGTTTCTCGATCTGATTCGAGCTGATGCGGGGAAGCTGGTGCGGCTGAGACACCCCGGCGTGGTCCACGTGGTTCAGGCGCTTGATGAGAACAAGAACGCTATGGCTATGGTCACGGAGCCGCTCTTCGCCTCCGTGGCTAACGCGCTCGGGGATGTGGAGAATGTGGATAACGTGCCGAAAGATCTCAAGGCCATGGTGCGTTACTCTCGTTTTTCAGTAATCTGTGAAGCTCAAGTGAGAATTTGGCTTCACAATATCGTTATAATTGTTGTTGCAGGAGATGAGCTTGTTGGAGGTGAAGCACGGTCTCCTCCAAATCGCCGAGACGTTGAACTTTCTCCACAATAACGCTCATCTTATCCATCGTGCTGTATCTCCGGAGGTTGCTTTTTTCAGAACTTATACAATCATACTTGTTAGAAGCTGTTCGTGCTTTCTAAACCTGTGGATGTAAAACTTCATTTGCAGAATGTTCTTATTACTTCAGCCGGTTCTTGGAAGCTTGCCGGATTTGGCTTTGCTATTTCAGAAGCACAGGCTGGGAATTTGGATAACGTGCAATCGTTCCACTACTCTGTGGGTACTTAAAACTCATGATCGATTCAACTCTGGCATCTAGATGAGTTTACTATGCATGATATATGATGTTATGATATGGATTGATATGTGAAGGAATATGATGTTGAGGACTCAATCCTGCCACTCCAACCATCTTTAAATTACACTGCACCTGAGTTGGTGCGGAGCAAAACTCCGTCAGCTGGAGCTTCGTCCGACATTTTTAGTTTCGGATGCCTCGCCTATCATTTAGTGGCACGGAAACCACTGTTTGATTGCCGTAACAATGTCAAGATGGTAATGTTTAAGTACTTTCTATTTCAGTTGTATAATATATGTCCTTTCCATCGCTGATGATGGTTACACTTGCAATTTGCTTGCAGTACATGAACACACTGAACTATTTAACAAATGAAACTTTCTCATCTATACCCTCGGACTTGGCATCTGATTTGCAACGGATGCTATCAGCGAACGAGTCCTTTAGACCAACAGCATTAGATTTCACAGGTAGGAATACTGAATCAGTGAATTGTTTCTTGTGACAAAGTTTTACCTCATTGCTTGTGCACTTATATCTTGGACTTGAGCTTTCACCCTGCAGGATCTAATTTTTTCCGGAGCGACACTAGACTACGTGCCCTCCGTTTCCTTGATCATATGCTTGTATGTGTGTATACACTTCCAATCATCTTTTCACACTGACATCATTTAGATAGTGGGAAACATATATATAACTGTAAGGAAATTATTTTATTTATTGCAGGAAAGAGACAACATGCAAAAGTCTGAGTTCTTAAAAGCATTATCAGATATGTGGAAAGACTTTGATTCCCGTGTACTGCGGTATAAGGTAGTCACTTTCTGGCTTCTTTACCCATATTGTGTTCTTAACATCAGTTGCTCAAGTGATTTGCCTTGTAACAACTAACAACTAATCAAACCAGGTATGTTACGCAGGTGCTTCCGCCTCTTTGTGCTGAACTTAGGAATTTGGTTATGCAGCCAGTGATTCTTCCTATGGTTCTAAATATATCAGAGTCTCAGGTGCTTTTTTCTAATCTTGGGTATTTGCATTCGATCAATCAGATTTCCATGTTTGACCGAATGTGTTTCTCTCCTCCTCTTTTGTTTGAAATTTAAAGATACCAGAGTTTCGTAAATCAAATTTGTTTTTCTTAGGTACTTGTGTCTTATGGTTTATCACACACATATATACTTAGACTTACTCTTTCCAGTTGTACAAAAGGTGCTTGCACAAATAAATACCGGCTACTTATTAACCTGTCATGAGTTGCTTTGCATTGACTACTGACAAGGATTTCTTTTGAATCTTTATCATGTTTTAGTGAATGCTTGAAACCTTAAATTACATTTGCAGGATAAGAATGACTTTGAGTTGACAACGCTCCCAGCTCTTGTTCCTGTTTTGAGTTCGGCTACGGGTGATACGTTACTGTTGCTTGTAAAGCGTGCAGAGCTTATAATTAACAAGGTAAATCTCTAACCCATATCTATGCATAACTGGAATTATGTTTTTGAATCCTGTATATTAAGTGTGAGCTAAATTCTGAAACAGCGGGAGAGAGTAAGGGAATTAATGTGAATATTGTTACGTAGGAGATATCTAGTGCCATTGCTTACAATTAAAAAAAAATGGCAGTGCCACAACCACACATTGTTCCTTATGCTGTCGTAAACCAATACAAGACCTTCATTTTCTTAAGCTGACTCATATTACGTTCTTGACTTTAATTCCTAACTGCTATTTGCTTCTTTACTCAAAATTCTAAATATGCTTAAAAATGGAATTACTTTCCCTTATTCTTTAATTTTCGCGTATCATTTACTAGCGTGCTTTTGTTTGAATTGTAGACTAATGCAGAGCATCTCGTATCACATGTCCTCCCTTTGCTTCTCCGAGCCTACAACGACAACGATGTACGGATACAGGAGGAAGTTCTGAAAAGATCCACGTCTGTTGCTAAACAACTCGACGGTCAGGTGATGCTCGATGCTTTGTGCTTTATGTTTTATTGGAAGAGTTTCATCTGAATGGACGATATAAGCTTCAAGATCTATGTGTTGCTACACGAGCTTACTGTCACATGCACATTAATTTTGGTTCTGCAAAGTTATTTCGGTCAGATGTATGGGTGAGTTCTTATCTTTGTCAACTTGTTTTTGCAGGTTGTAAGGCAAGCAATTTTGCCTCGTGTTCATGGCTTGGCACTCAAAACCACAGTTGCTGCCGTATGTTATGCCTTGATTGGTTCAATTTTTCTGCGTCCTTTTAAAAATAAAGAGATTAAATAGAGAGCTCGATCTTCCAAACAAAATTTTGAGTAGAGCGTACCTCTGGTGCAGGTCAGAGTAAATGCTTTGCTTTGCTTAGCAGAACTGGTTCAAACGCTTGATAAACACGCTGTAACTGAAATTCTTCAAACAATTCAACGCTGTACTGCCGTAGATCGTTCTGCACCTACCCTTATGTGTACTCTTGCAGTCGCAAACGCAATTCTCAAGCAGGTAGGTAATAACAGTTTTACTCTTTCTCAATGATTTTAGAAGTTGGAACATCTTAAACTTTCTAGCTCTGATATCGATGGTATCTTATGACATGACTACGTCTCTCACAATACCTTCTCCATCGTTTCTCTCTAGTATGGAGTTGAATTCACCTCAGAACACGTGCTTCCCCTGATTATACCTCTTCTCACTGCCCAACAGTTGAATGTCCAACAGTTTGCCAAATATATGCTATTTGTCAAGGATATTCTCAGGTATGCCTACGAACAATCCTGTCCCTGTTTTCAAGTCATTACTCTCTTGCAACTGCTTATTCTAGTCAACATCGCTTATGTCTTATCATATGGTCTCTGAACAGGAAAATAGAAGAAAAAAGAGGTGTTACAGTGAGTGACTCCGGAGTCCCACAAGTAAAACCAGGCTCTGTTGCGGATGGGAACCAGTTTCAAACACCAACCCAGAAAGTTGAGAAGGTTGCTTCTGCAGCAAAGAACAGTCCTGCATGGGATGAAGACTGGGCCCTCCCGACCAAAAGCTCTGTTTCGAAAGGTCCTGGACCCTCAAACTCTCAGTTTAACAAATCTACAGCTCAGTCACAGCAATCAAACCGGACAACAACAGTGCCGACAACATGCCCTCCAGTTGACATAGAGTGGCCACCAAGACAATCTTCCAATGTCACTGCTCAGCGAGCTAATGATGAGACACAGCTAAACACAACAGGGACATCATCAACTCCAAGCTTTGATGAGCTGGACCCTTTTGCTAACTGGCCACCACGCCCCAACGGTGCTGCTTCCATTGCTTCTGGGGGTTTCCACAACGGTACTGCTTCTCAACCTCCACGGAACAACACTGGTTCAGGCGTGAGCAACAATTTACCAGACAGTAGTACGCAGGCTCTGTCCGCTAACGACTTCTGGGCCTTTGGCAATGCCTCCTTATCTGAGGGTTCGGGCATCAGCGCAATAACTAATGCAGGTCCTATGAACTATTTCGGTACTCAGAATCAAAACCAAGCGATGCCGTCTTTCGGAAGCAGTTCATACAGTAACCAGAAGCCGCCAGCAGACATCAGTTCCATATTCAGTTCAAGCAAAACCGGGCAAGCTGCAATGAAACTCGCACCACCGCCGTCTGGAGCCGTGGGAAGAGGAAGTGGAAGGGGTAGAAGTGGGACATCTAACTCAAGGTCAGGTGGTTCGAAGCAGCAACAAACCGAGCAGTCATCGCTGTTGGATCTGTTGTGATGAGAGTTTTGGTCGAGACAAGATTAGGTTGGGTAAAACCGTAAAAGATAGTTCTGACAGAAGATGCACGTGTAGAGTGAATGAGTGGGTCGTGAGTTTGTGATGCACAGAAAGAAACATTTTGCAAGTAGTGGAGATGTTTTGTTGATTCTTGAGATTAAATTGTCACCAAATCATTTACTGTATATATAATCAGTGGCGGACCTAGAAACATATCTTAGCTGGGTCAAAATTAAACTTAGGTGTCACTGGCGAGATTCGAACTAGCGTTTGGGGTGTCAACAAGAAGGATGTTACCAATTGAACTGTTGCATTCATGTGTTTTTTTCTTACAAATAAAATTATTACCTTATTTTAGGTGTGTCAAGTGGACCAGTATCATTACATGGAGGTCCGCCTTTATATATAATACAGGTTCTTATTTAGTTTCTGTGCACTGCAATGGGCTGTTATGTATATGTTATAGAAAACAACAAATGTCAATCGTTGCACAATTTGAGTTACAGTCTTTTATAACAATCTTTGCAATAGATTAAATGATTATAATATGTACTTGTACTCTTTTCTGTCATGGGAAATATAAGTTTGGTTGGGTTTGTGTCCCTCGTGTATTAAACGATATGTTGCTATGGCCACGGATCGTAACGACGAGTATCCAGACCAGAGAGACGATTACAATCCGAACCAGCCACTTACATCACGCAGCATTCGTCGGACCGTTGGCGTATTTCGCCGCCGGCCGGACTCCTTGAATAGCGATTAAGACTTTTTTAAGACGCGGTGATTATTTTAATTTATTAACGTATATGAGAGGGAACAATCCAATTCCAAAGCTGTCTGTCACGTTAATGACAGCTCATCAATCTCGTGGGCTCCATTTTTCTGTATAATTCTCCTTCATTCCACTGTTTATACTTTTAGCATTTTCCCTATTTCCAAAAAATAATTAATATTTATATTGATATTGTTATGTTATCTCGTGGCATTCCCAATCAGTTCACATTCTTCCCACGCAAAATGATATTTTTGTTACACTTTACAATTCATAACTTGCAAATCTGTCAGCACCCTATTCACCTGGCTGTAACTTTTAACATTATCTAATTCCAAATTGTTTTGCTGTAATAATAAGTTAGCAACCGAGGGTTTTATATCCTACCGCTGACAAAACAATTAAATCCTGAAATATTTTGAAACAAAAGGTCTAATACTAGCATTTATTCTGATAAAAAATTATGTACCAAAAATCTAAGACTTTTTCTTTTATAAAGGATGGTAAATTCTGAATAGCACTTTATGTCAATATTTTGAATTACTGAAGAAATGATTGGATGATTGTGTTGGTGACAGTCTGACCAAACATTTAATATTTTTATCTATGAATCTGGAATTTTGATTTAATAAAAAGTATACTAACTTAATGCCGCTCAAGTAGGAAAGAAAAATATGGAAACAATACAAAACGTAAGCACAAAATTTTGGAAATCCTTAAGTTTTGGGTAAAAGTGATTTTGCCTAAAATCTGCAAAAAATTGTAAATTCTGGACCAAAACCATCGTCTTCTTTCTTCTTCTCTCTGTAGAATCAATCCGGCGGCGATTTCAATTTGAAGTCTTCTTTGACTCTTCTTCGCTCCTTAACGGTTAAAAAGCTCGTGCAATTCTGCGTGACATAGAGATTCCCAGAACACCAAGACAGAGATTGGTGTGCCGTCTACGCCTCGTCGTCAGTGATGCCGAGACGAAACATATCGCCGGAATATTATTTCCCTGTATTCAATCCTCTTCTGGGCTGTCTCCTTCCTCCAGATTCCTATTAGTAAAATCGTTGGTTGCTACTGATTACTTCTCCGATTCCCTCTCAGGTGATTCTTAACTCCGATCACTTTTCCGGTCAATTGTAGTCGTCTTCTGCTTAGTCCACGCACCCGAAATTAGATCTTGGATTTAGAAATTAGAATTCCTCTCTCCTAATACCTCTCTGTTTGAGCTCGAAATGATCTGTGTATAAACTTGACTACACTTCAAATTTCTCATCAGATCTTTGCTTCGTTTCCCTTCTCCTTGTCAAATGAGTCCTCTTTAGTTTGCAAGCTTGAGATATGCCGTTTCATAGGTCTTTGCTTGAGCTCATGAGAAGTCGATACAATCTAATATGTGTTTTTGCTGATCACAGGGCGTGTGATCTGTGTAATCGTTTAGTGGTCTTCTCTTGGCTTGGATGTGCAATGCAAAGTTCTTGTAGAATTCTTCTGGTTAGGAGAAGAGCTTGTGAAAACATTTCTATTGGAAGCAACAGCTTCTACAAAGTCTCTCTATCTCTGGTTTTTCTCCTTTGGGTACTTCTCTTCCAAGCCACCTTGTTGATTAGCCATGGAGATGGTAGCAAAGGTAACCTTTTGAAGTTCTTGTTTTTGTTGGAAATGCGAATAATAGTTTAGCCAAATCCACTTTTGAACGATGATAATATGTACTCATTGAGTAACTTAGAACCAAACTCTTGTGTACTTGCAGATGTGGCTTTGAATGACTCTAAAGGAATAGCTGATCCGGATGATGGTGGGAAAGATGAGACAGCTGTGGTCTTTGATGCACCGTCATTACTAGAGACTGATTTGAGCCGGAATGATGAAATTATAACCCCGTCTGAAGAAGGTGAAGAGAAAGAAAAGTCTGTGAAGCAAGCAGAGATCAATAGCACAGTTTCAGGAAATGATACAGAAGGCAAAGAGAATTACATTTTGAAGCAAAGTGAGGTAAACAAGACATACATAGGGAATGATGCAGAAAGCAAAGAAAATGACATTTCGAAGCAAAGCGAGATGAACAAGACAGTTACATGGAGTGATGGAGAAAGCAAAGACAATGACTTTATGAAGCAGAGTCTAGTAAACAAGACAGGCACAGGGAATGATACAGAAAGCAAAGAGGATGACTTTTTGAAGCAATATCAGACGAACAAAACAGAGCCAGGGAATGGTACGGAGACCAACGCTACAAAAGTCGATCAACAAACTCGTGCTGTTCCGCTTGGCCTTGATGAGTTCAAGAGCAGAGCTTCCAATACTAAAAACAAATCGTTATCAGCTCAGGTCAGCGGTGTGACTCACAGGATGGAGCCTGGAGGGAAAGAGTACAACTACGCCTCTGCTTCCAAAGGCGCAAAGGTCCTGTCTTCTAACAAGGAAGCAAAAGGAGCTTCAAGCATTCTTAGCCGGGACAATGACAAGTACCTCAGGAATCCATGTTCTACGGAAGGTAAATTTGTTGTCATTGAACTCTCAGAAGAAACGTTGGTGAATACCATCAAGATAGCGAACTTCGAGCATTACTCTTCCAATCTGAAAGAGTTTGAGCTTCAAGGCACACTGGTTTATCCGACTGACACATGGGTTCACATGGGAAACATCACGGCTGCTAACGTGAAGCACGAGCAGAACTTCACACTCGTGGAGCCAAAGTGGGTGCGATACTTAAAGCTGAACTTTCTAAGCCATTATGGTTCAGAATTCTACTGCACGTTGAGTTTAGTAGAAGTCTACGGAGTGGATGCCGTGGAACGAATGCTGGAGGATTTGATATCTGTGGAAGACAACAAGAAGATGTTCAACACGCGAGAGGGAGATTCTGAGCAGAAGGAGAAGACAGTAAAGCAGCAAACGGAATCCTCTGAAGGTGATGAGGACGGTGCTAAGAAGAGCACACAGAGAGAGAAGGAGCGGGACGCTTCACCAGAGAACGTGGTAGCGAGAGCTGAAGCATCGATGGCGAAGAACAGTAATAAGCTTTCAGAGCCAGTGGAAGAGGTAAGGCGTCATCAGCCAGGAAGCAGAATGCCAGGGGACACAGTGCTGAAGATACTGATGCAGAAGCTAAGGTCATTGGACTTGAACCTATCGGTTCTAGAGAGATACTTAGAGGAACTGAACACGAGGTACGGGAACATATTCAAGGAGATGGACCGCGAAACGGGCGTGAGGGAAAAGGCGATTGTGAGTTTGAGACTTGACGTGGAGGGAATGAAGGAGAGGCAGGAGAGGATGGTTAGGGAAGCAGAGGAGATGAAAGAGTGGAGGAAGAGAGTGGAGACAGAGATGGTGAGAGCTGAGAAAGAGAAGGAAGAAATGAGTGAGAGGCTTGAGGAAGTTTGGCAAAGACTTGAGTGGATGGAGAAGAAAGGCTTGATGGTGTTCACCGTGTGTTTAGGGTTTGGGATTATCGCGGTTATCGCGGTTTTGGTCGGTATGGGGACAGGTCGAGCAGAGAAAACCGGTGGTGGGGCTTGGCTTTTGTTATTGATTAGCTCAACATTCGTTATGTTCGTTTTATCTCTTTGATGAGAGAGTTTTGGTCTTCTTTTTCTTTACACTGTAGAGTCGTGTTACTGATTTTAGTCAAGATCTCCTTGAAGTTCAGTAAATTGCTGCGACTCAATCTTTAACCGGTATATGGAATTATAAAGGGAAATTAGAAACGTACTTAACCGATCTTTGTCGCAGCTGTGACTATTCAAGAAGTATATATATAGTCAATTTGTATACTATAGGTCTTTTTTGGCGGACGTAACGTATAGTAGGTGAGTACAACAATTTCAACGATGCTTCATTTTAAATATAATATAGCCTGAGCCATGTCTTGTTATATATGGATATGAAATTGTGGGAGAGTCGACAATTTACAATTTTACATTAATTTTAATGGCTACAAAGACATCACATGTAGTTGGTTTTCTTATATCTTTGCTTCTTCTGCTCTTATTGATCTTCTTTCAAGTTGGAGTCACGGAGGCCAAACGCAACCTACGTGAGTATATATATTTAGTCTCTCGCTTTGCTGTTTAGGTTTCTCTGAAAGAAGAAACTTACACATATAGATATAGTATCAACCTGCCAATATGATCTAGGGCTTTTTCTGGATTACAGTTTATATCTCTATCTATTTCCTCAATCCCTCGATTTTGAAGGTTTATATGTTCTTTTCCACCTGAAAATCTTTGTGGGGTTTTGTGGATTAACATTTCTTTGGCTCATGGTTATATGTTAAAGCAAATTTATGTTGCATTTTTGTTGTTGTTGATTGGCACAGGTCAAGGACGGCGTTTGGAGACCTCTCTCCCTCCTCCTATCTATCTGCCGCCTTCTTATTCGCGCAGAGGAAGAGGTCCATAAGCCAGAGTACGGAGAAGAAACCTAAATATGGTCAAGTTTACAGTTGTAATCATCTCACATGGAGAAGAAACTAAACTATAATGGTCATGTTTTGATAAAAACAAAAATATATGACCTCGTTGTACGCTTTATGCCTTTATAATAAAGTCTTATTTTCTTTCTTGGGTCATAAGTTTAGTCTACGATCATTTTCAGTCATCATCGATCGAATCATTCCCATCGTACGGAGCATGTAGATAAATTGTTCAAATCAAATGTGACATGATGAAGTGCATGAAGAAGAGACATAATGGATATATGCATGCACTTGTGCGACATTGAAGTGGTTATGTTTTATACGTGGCTAAATTATTCCTGCAAGCGAGCCTCAATCCGTGACCAGTTAACCACGCTAAATAAGTTGTCATGGTCACGACTCGCTAATATATGTCAATGGTCATGTCACGGTCTAATAGTCAACAGAATGAAGTAAACCACAAACTTTGTTGTAGCCGTTTTAACAAAAAAAAAAAAAAAAAAAACACTTTTGTTGTAGACTTGTAGCCTTAAAAAGAAAAGTCCGCGGATTTTTTCCCCCTATATCTCGGAAAAAATCCGTAAAATGAGACTTTTTTTTTGTTTGGTAGTGACATTTCGACACCTCGAAGAGCTGTTTGGTACGTATGCTTATTTCATATTCAACCTCTAACGGTTGGTAGAAGAAAAGAAACGATATATTTTTCGTTTTTTTTTTTTTTTTTTTTATATCTCGGAAAAAATCCGTAAAATGAGACTTTTTTTTTGTTTGGTAGTGACATTTCGACACCTCGAAGAGCTGTTTGGTACGTATGCTTATTTCATATTCAACCTCTAACGGTTGGTAGAAGAAAAGAAACGATATATAAAATTTTAAAATTCAACAAAAAAAATGAAAAATTGCAACATTTCATCAAAAATGTGTTCCTTAACTTGTAATAAGTCTTAGATTTCGATTTATTCAAATAACATCTACACTTTTTAAGCTTTAGACAACGCAAGCCGAAGAAGAAGACGTCAAAAGTGAAACAACTTATCCTCGAAATTACACTTAAAAAGAAAAGAGCTTCCAAATACTTAATGCCTAATGAAGACATTATACTCGACCACGGCATCAAAACCACTAAGCTTATAAGTCTCGGGCTGCGCGTAGCCGCTAGCGAACCTGAACGCACCGGTGCCTCCGATGATCGGTAGCTCTCGCACCTTTGACAATATCGGATTCCGTCCATACATCGCGACGGTGCTGCCGTTAAACTCTCCATCCGTGAACACCAAGTTATAGACCATTGTGAAGGTTATGATGTTCAGGTCCGTCGACGCGTACATCCCCTGAGCTCTCCCCACTTCCCTCGAAGTCGGGTCGGGTCCCTCAGTCAACAGGTTATCCGCGATCACAATCACACCAAATGATGAAACGGAGGAGGAGTTTGTGACGGGGGGCGTGGTGACTCTGATGGAGGTGGGTTTGTCACCGGAGATGACGTCGTGGAAGTAGAAGTGGAGGTGGGTGAGTTTCTCCGGCTTACGACCTTGGAACGGCGTCGTTGTGGAGTAAGCTTCGGATTCTGTAACTGTGACCGCAAGAAGAAGTATAGTTGAGAAGAGAGGAAGAAAACGTTTTGCCATGTTCATTGTTTGTAACATACAAAATCAGATGAGATACTTAAGGCTATTGATATTGTATGGAAATGTGATATATTTATACACAAAATGTCAAAATTTATTGGTTTATGTAATATTTGTATATATCTCATTTCCATATTTGTGACAACAACATATCCGTTGACGAGGAAGTAGACTAGGGGATTTACAAAACTAGATAGTCTACATATTTATTCCCCTGTACGAATTAATCCTGATATATACCAAAATATGTAGATGATCAGGTATATGAATAGATAAATAAGAATAAATGTAAGAGTTTGTATTGCAATGACTCTAACTAACTCAGTTTTAGAGTGATAAATCAAGAAAAATAGATGTAGACATTGTCTACATTGATGGGAATGTAAAAAATAGTTCCAAGTTTAATATCAGTGTTCTCCAATGGCATTATTTTTGTGTAGACCATGAATAATTGTGTTGTTAAAAGGGAATTTTAAAATGGCATAAATGTCTTATTTTGCGGACACTTAAAAAAGCGAAATTATGAGTGCGTTTGAGTGGAAATGTTGGGTGAGTGTTACAATTTCAACGATGCTTCATTTTATGTAACACTAGTATTTTGCCATGCATGGACATAGACCTTTATTCTGATAATTTTCTTTATTACGCTCATTTGAATTTGTAACAAATAATTTTATAAACAATAGATAAAATTATCTCTTTTTAGCGACATATCTCTTTTAACAATGGAATAGCTATAAAAAGTGCCGTGTGATTCTGTTTTTAGAAATTGTAAACTGAAACAAAAAGAATGCAAGATAGATAAACTCTCTGCATGAAAAAACGCATAAACTGAACAAAAGATTGATCCTTTATCCTCAAATGCATAAACGCAAAAACCAAAGAAGATCATGACTAAAAGATTGATCCTTTATCCTCAACAAAGATAGATCCTTTCCCTGAATACAAATGTACCTGCAGATGCAAGAGACGACGATAGAATAAGAGTAATGATGCGATGATCCATCAAAACTCTGAAATAAAATGAGCTATCAAATGCTTCATTTCTATTAACATATGTTACTGTATTTATTTACTATACAATTGCGATCAACTTAAGTTATCAATCAATATCTCAGACACAAATAGAAATAGGAACTTGCAGCCAAACAGCCATCGTTATCAAGTCCGAACCAGCATATTTCAATTAAGCTTCTCAATTCTAGACCTATCAAACTAAACCAGTCAGCATACCACCAAACAGACAACATAACACATTCTTCTCAATCTATCGAACCTATTGAAAAATTCTAGCTCTTGTTCTGTCCGAGATTGGATAACTGAAACATTACCATAGAGGTAGAGATGAAGCCAAAATGGTAGACCTCTGTTTAAACATGACCCTTGTCTGAAATCAGCTTTTGTCGCATAAATCAACCTGAACGAAACTTCTGCTCCTCTGCTACTCTTGTTTTGACTTCAAAATCAGGGACTTGAAAAGCAAAGAGGACATATCGGAAAGGCGAAGACTGAATGGTCATTGCAGGATCTACTGTACAGATGCATCTTGAAGATCAATCCATTTGCATTTGGAGACAGAGCTCGACCATATTCTTTCGACAATGCTTCCATTTTACTACTCAATGTATCTCTGCAGCAAATAACATCAACAATCAAGAACATGCAAAAATCAAGAAGATCATGCAATTTTACAGCGGATTGTTTGTCACTTACATTGTCATTTTGTTCCTAAGAACATTTTGATCAGCTAGAGTGTTATTAGGATTGACCAAGAAGCTAGCTTCTCCCATTTTCCGAATCCCTTTTACACAAACCTCCTCGGAAACTACACCATCATCGAATTTCTCAAGCTCTCTTCTTCAAAACAGAAGCTTTCTTGTCAAAAATTATGTCTGTTGTTTCTAGCATCAGTGTCTTTAACCTTTGGAGACTTTAACTCATTCAGTTTCTCAATCAAATAGCTTATCTCATCTTCCAAAACCTTGCTCTCTTTCCTCCCTTCTGAGATTCTATGTTTCCCCTAAAATCAAACAACCAACATAGACCAACAGCTTCAAAACTCAAAAACATTCACATTCACAAAACCAATCAAATTGAAGAAAAAAAAGGAAGATTTTTGACTTACAGAGAGAAGAGTAAGAACAGCAAGATCTAAGCGTCTTCTCCATTCGTTTCTTCTTCCTCTCCATATTCTTCATAGCAATCTCTTTTTCTATTCTTAACAAACTACACTCTGATATCATGGTTTTCGTCCCTTCACTGCAGACTTCTTCTCGCTGGCAGGCGCCGACGTGCTGATTTCCTCCACGCCAGTAGCATTCTTTGCTCAATCGCTGGGAGTCATCGGAAAGTTGATTTCAAGATCTTAATTTGATTACTAGAAACCGCAAATGTAAACATTTCAAGCACCAAACAAATTTCTTATTCATTGTCTAAATCCTTCAATCTGAGAAGCAAAACAGCACCAAGCATTCCAGAATTAGAATCAAAATCAATTACGATATTTCGTTCTGAGATTGAAGTAAAGTTATCAATCAACAAAAAAAGGAAAAAAAACCCCAGAATGCCGAATTACCTGATTTAAGAAGAAGAGATGAATTTGAAGATCTTGATAAATAAAACGCAGTGGTTCAAGATGAATGGATTTAGGTGGTTTCGTTTATCTCTGCAGATGTGAAAGATTCACGGTAAAAGTGGATTTTAGAGTTTGAAGACGTGGTGATGAAGCGGTTTTGGGACGGAGATCGTGGTTTCAGACTTTCAGTGGAAGAGAAAAAAGGAAATTTTAGAAAAAAATTGAAAAAAGCAACAAAAAACAAAAATTAAAAATTTAAAAGAAAAAAAAAAAGGAAAAATGCAGAGGACACGTGTGATTAGATAAGCCATGAGGTACTTTGATTTATTAGTATTAGATATTTACTAGGAGAGAACCCGCGCAATGCGCGGGTTTATTAAACCAAATATTTTTAATTTAATTATTCAGAACATTAGATTCGAATATATCATTTGTTTTTTACTCGAATATATTAGATTCTGTAAGTTTTGCATTTTGTTTTTTTTCATATAGTTTTAAAATTTAGTTGTTATTTACGTGAAATCTTATATAGACTCATAGTGAATAGTTTCATATGTTTTTTGTTCTTTTATACAATAATTTATCGACTGGAGTTGAGTTCTTCTAATTTTCCTTATACTAACAATCATTATAGATTGATTATTATCCTACAGACTCATAGATAATAATAATTGCAATCCTTTTTAAAAGGAAATGAAATGAGCTAATTAGCCAGTAAGCCCATTTAAAGCTACCATGGAAACGAAGAGGTCCGATAAATAATCAAGCCCATCAAAACGAACAGCATTACACATAATTTTGATTTAGATTTTTTTTTTTTTTTTACGAAAACGACGTCGTTTTGGTGTAAGACGAAAAAAAAAAAGATAAAGCGCAAAACGACGTCGTTTTGGTGTAAGACGAAAAAAAAAAAAAAAGTGCCACGTGTCAAAGACGAGTGTCCAAGCCTTATTAGTTATGTAGATTATGAGCTTGTCTTATAAGTGTGATAGATTCTAACCGAAACTCCGACTAATCTCTTAGAAAACCGGGTCTGATCTTGCCGATTGCCATTTAAACCGTTACAGTGGTTAAGAGAGAACCCCAACTTGTGTAGATGGTGGAACTAGAATTCTATGTCTTTGACCCACATAATGATTCATCTACCCACTCAAGGAAACCATTGGACCCCACATTCTTGGTTATATATAACATAAAATAGCCTTAATGTCAGGAATTGTGGGAGAGTCAAACAATCAATGGCTACAAAGACATCACACTTAGTTGCTTTTCTTCTCTCTTTGCTCCTTCTGCTCTTACTGATCTGCTTTCAGGTTGGAGTCTCTGAGGCTGCCACCCGCAATCAACGTTAGTATATATTCAATCTCTTGCTTTGCTATTTAGTTTTTTTTGTTGTCTGAAAGATCATACATATATAATATGAACCTTACCTCCCTCCCCTGCATGAGTCATGAGTCACTCTGGTTGAGATTATTGTCGAATTATAGTTTATATTCTTCATCAAATTCCTTAATCTCTCAAGTTTTAAGGGTGATATGTTTTCTCATAAAAATCTTTGGGTGGAATCTTTGGGTGGGTTTGTAGATTTATGTATTATTAGCTCGTGGTTATATAGTGTAAATCTTTATGGTGCATAAATAGTAATATATACTGTTAATTGGCAGGTCAAGGAGAGACTTTAGCGCCACCTCTCCCTCCCACTGCTCCTATATATCTGCCACCCTCTAGAACGCGCAGAGGAAAAGGTCCATAAGCGAAATTACGTTTTGAGAAGTGACGCAGAAGAAACAATAATGGTCAAGACTATTGTTGTTATGATCTTATGTCAGCTTAAACCGTTTCGGGATGATATCATAACTTTATATCATATACAATAGTATTTGGTTATATAAATATGACCATGTTCTACGCTATATAATGAAATTTTTGTTTTCTCAAGAATAAAACTTCATCTTTTTTATATAGGATATAGTAATTTACGGTTATGCTGTTATATTTCATATGTGGTGATGATTCAATATGCATGTGGCTAAATTAGTAGTCATGGTCCTGTGGTGGTCTAGTAGTCGCAGGGGGCTACAACTAGAAGTTAATTGTCAAAAGCTACAACTACAACTAAAAAGCCATGGTTACAAATATCTATTGAGGCCTAGTAGTCACGTCTGGTTACGGTTAGGAGTATGTAACTATTTGACATCGTAGTAACATTTCGCCACCTCGAAGAGCTATTTGGTTTGTCCATATATCCCAAATATTCAACCTCGGTAGGTAGAAGAAATAAAATTTAAACCGACTTAAAGAAAAGAAAACTGGATATGATAGAGGAAGTCGTACGTATTAAAGGCGCGTTGAACAGAAATGTAGTTGGGAAGTACTACTACTACATTCAGATTTCAGACGAGGCTTTATCTTCGTATATTATATAGATCATGATTCATGAGCTGGTCTTGTTATGGTTCAGAGAAATTCATGGCTACTTAGACATCAAATTTTGTTGTTCTTCTTTCGTTGATTCTTCTGCTTTTCTTTGTCTCGTCTCAGGTTGGAGTCGCTGAGGCCAAACGCGACCTACGTTAGTAATTTATACGCTTTTTCTTTAGTTTTAACGATGCATTTTCATTATATTCTAGTTTTTTTCCCCTGAAAAAGAAGCATATAAATATAGTTTATGCCTCTCAACCATTTGCAAATAAATAATTTACACTGAGTTTTGTGAGATACAATTTAAGTGATACAGTGTCCAACCTTTTTTGTGTAGTGTCACTGTATACGTACGACTGAGCGTATTTTAGATTGCAGTGGAATGTTTTATCTAGAAATTAAAAAGACTATCAAAAGTAACAATATCATAACATAAAGTAGTACACTTTTTGATTTATTGTCCATTTTTTATCTATCTCTACTGATTTCTTACTCTCACTTTTGAAAGGTTAGTATGTTTCAATAGCAAGCGTATACACATAGAACATATATATATTGTGCTTGTGCCCATAGGTCTAGAATTGTTATATAATAGTATTGGTAGTCACAATCTTTGTTGTATATATCTTTTGAAGAAACTAATCATACGATCATGGTGCAGGTGAAAAATTGGGTTTGGACTGCATTCTCATTTCCCCTCCTCCTCCTCCTCCTCCCGTCCGTCCTCCAATTTTTCTACCGCCGTCTAAATCACCCAAAGGAAAAGGCCCATAAAACAATGTCTTTTCTCCACAAATAATCGATATTAAATGTATCATCATGGACTTGTACTTTATATAATAAAAGTGGTTTCGTTTTTAGTTTTTCTCTTTTTACGAGTTATAGTAATCAGTTTGTTATGCTTTTAGAGATGGTTCGAGTTTTCTTTATTTTGTTATGTTTTACTACTACACATTTAGAAAATAATAGAAGATATTTAATCAGTTTAATTTCGTACACAAATCAGTTTTTGCATAAAAGTTTTTTAATGCGAAAAAGACACAACTTAATGTTGGGCAATGAACTATCTCAAATGTTAGACACAACCTAATGTTGGGCAATTAACTATCTCAAAAGATATAATCGATTTTGTTTCTACTTTAATTTAGTGAAATGAAAGTTCTAGCAGTTTTTGTGTCATCAACCCATTGTATTAGATTAGATATATTAACCCAACAAGGAGAACATAGGATCCTTACGAGTGACAAATACATCAATTTAGGGTAACTAACGAAGTAACGAACCATAAAGGATAACTCACTATTCACGACTTTCACGATGTTTCCTCACAGTTCCAATTCTTGCTTTTCAAAAAATACAGCCGCACTCTTTATATTATCTGATAGAGCCAGGTTTATAAGCAAAAACTTCTTATGTTAGAGAAGATATATGAAAGAGTGAATAATTTGGACTATTTCCATTATGTTTACTCTAAGTTTGTTTTTTTTTTTTTTTTTAATTTTCCATGAGTGATTCTAACAATTCTAGCAACATCTACACCTTTCAACTTAGATGACACAACACCAACCAGTAACATTAACAAAACAAAACAAAACAAAAAGTGAAACTTACATAAAAAAGATTCATTAATAATTAATGCCAAATGAAAACATCGTACTCGACCACAGCATCTAAACCAACAAGCTTATAAGTCTTGGCCTGTGCATAGCCTCTAGCGAACCTGAACGCACCGGTACCTCCGATGATCGGCATCTCTCTCACCTTAGACATGATCGGATTCCGTCCATACATCGCGACGGTGCTGCCTTTAAACTCTCCTTCCGTGAACACAAAGTTAAAGACCATTGTGAAGCTTATGATGTCCATGTCCGTCGATGTATACATCCCCTGAGCTCTCCCGACTTCCTTCGAGGTCGGCTCGGCTCCCTCAGTCAACGGGTCGTCGGCGACCATAACCACACCGAATGAAACAGAGGAGGAGTTTGTTCCTGGGGGCGCGGCGACTCTTATGGCGGTGGGTTTGTCACCGGTGATGACGTCATGGAAGTAGAAATGGAGGTGGGTGAGTTTCTCCGGCTTATGTCCTTGAAACGGCGTCGTCGTGGAGTACCCTTCGGATACCGTAACGGCGACGGCAAGAAGAAGAATAGCTGAGAAGAGAGGAATAAGAAGAAGCTGAAAACGTATCGCCATGTTAATTGTTTGCAAGCTACAATGTCAAGAATGATACTTCTAGGCTTGTATGGAAATTTGATTTATTTATACACGAGAAAAGATCGGTACGTATGACTTGAACGCACGAATTTTGTTGAGTACTTGGTTATATTATATAAGATTTCTATTATCGTTTCCAGATTGGTGACAACAACATGTTCTTTAAGATTTATAAAGAACTAGATTTTCCACCCGTACGAATCCTGATATGCATTATAAAATATGTAAATGACGAGGTTTAAATAGACTAATAAGTTATTAAACTCGATCTTAGAGTGATAGATAAAGATGTTTTGTTAAAAAAAAAATAGATTCCATAAGATAAGTCGATAACAAATCAAGTCACATATATTACAATTCTCCTCATCAAATCAAATCTCAACAAATCAATGTACGGATATACATATTGATTGACTATATATCATTGAGTTACAAGTGATACCTTAAATCTACTTCATTTACACAAACACAAGTATATATATATATATATATGAACCTGCAATTTTCTCACAATCAGTTGAACAACAATTATAAGATCAATGGTTCGTACCAGCGAATCACAAGTGAAAATTTTATTACAACCGTTGCTTAACTTTGAGTTGCTCTTTGTTCAGAAATCAGAAATAGAAATAAGGAAATGGGGAAATGAGAATATGAGATTATGAGAGAGTAAACTTTTTTTATAATTGAAATGGTTTAATTTATTTTTCCTCCTCTACTTCTTAAAATCATTGAACGTAGCGCAGGAGATAGATACGCATCTAACGCGCGTCAACACCACATAACCACTGAGCAGAGGCTGCGTGAGAGTCACGAAAACTGAAGTGCGTGAAGAAAGAATGATAGAGGATGTGGTGGAATGAGGGCAATACTGTCTAAAAGTCCATTATTTTTCTCTCTGTCATCACACTTATAGTTTATTTGTTTTATTTTCTCTCTTCCATTTTCTTCTTATTCTCATTACATATCAATCAACCCTAAAAAAAAACTTATCTTCTGAATCCATTAAGTAGATCTCTAATTTCTTTCCTACTACTACTTATATAGACACCTTTGTAGCCTACTTCTTGCATTAACCTTTGTGTCTCTCACAATCTCACAAGTGAAACATAGAGATAGAGCTATATAGCTAAAGAGAAGCTAATTGGGATCCACTCTATACATATTGAGAGAGGAGAGAGTGTTTTGATCGGATAAAAAAAATGGCGGGAGGAATAGTGTTGGGAGACACGACGTACACGAAGGTGTTTGTGGGAGGATTGGCTTGGGAAACGCACAAGGAGACGATGAAGAAGCACTTTGAGCAGTTTGGGGAGATTTTGGAAGCTGTAGTCATCACCGACAAGGCCTCCGGCAGATCCAAGGGCTATGGATTCGTATGTATACACAACACCTTGTTTCTATATATACATATATAGAGAGAGAATGATATATATGTGTATAGATATATATATACTTAAAAGAGAGACCTAATTAGTAAAGTGGTGATGATCAGGTGACATTCAAGGAGGCAGAGGCGGCGAGGAAGGCTTGTGTGGACGCTACTCCAGTGATCGACGGGAGAAGAGCAAATTGCAACCTTGCCTCTCTCGGTCTTCAAAGATCTAAACCCTCCACTCCTAACCATGGTTAGTAATATCATCTCTCTCTAAACTTATGCAAGTTAGATCAAGAAAAAAAAAAAGATAGCTCTTAGTTTATATATGGTTAGCTAATGTCTATACAAAGTTGGTTTAGTTGATTAGAAATTTGTGTGGCCGATTAAGAATTGGAATTAATAACATTTATATATAGTTAGGTGACTGATGTTAATGGACCATAGATATAGCTTTTGTATGGTGACGATGATGATGATGGATGAATGTGTTAGGAGGAGGAGTAGGAGGAGGGAGGATTAACAATATGAGAGTGATGATGAGCACAATGCAGACTGGTTTTGGACCACCTCATCCACCACCCACTTTCCCTCACTATCCCCACCTCCCTCTCAATCTCTTTGGGTACTCTCTTCTTCTTCTTTTTTTCCATGCATGTATTGATGATGATGATGATAGTATATGAATGTACTTATGCATCAACATAGCATGATGAGACCATAAAATGCCAACTCATATATAAATCGAACAAAGCAATTTGCATATAACATAGCTGGCTGTCCTCTAATGTTTCCCATTTTGATTGTGGACCGACACTATTATTGATAGTCGTATACTTAGATAAATCTTTTTATTTTTTTTTAACTGTCGTTTAAATGACTACTGACAAAGTGGTCAACGGACAGCTTGTAAAACAAACTGATTCCGTCTTTCACCAATCATTTTTACTCTCTCTCACATGCCTCCTTCTGTCATGAGACCACGTGCCACGTGCATTCATGTTTGTTGGCACTCTTAAAGTGTAAATAAAAACATTGATTTGATACTTCGCAGGTACTCTCCATACTCGTCAGATTACTCTCCATTCCCTACGGTCCGTTAACTTTTTTTTCCATCTTCTCTGACATAAACAGTTGTATAACGAATCGAAGAATCTTTTCTGTCTCAAAAAATCTAATAATTTAGCTACTCATTAGTGGTTCTTGATCAAATAATATAACCTTATAGTAGAGTCTAATATAATGTGTTACGTTACGTTACGTTACATACAGAGCATATACGGCGTGTACGGCTGCAATTCAGGGGCACAATACGGAGTATATGGAAACGGAAACGGTGGAGGCCGTGGACTAACCGCAGCAGCCGCATCCGCCGCTCCTTTTTATCCATGTGGTGGTGGTGGAAGCAACGGACCTGGTGGAGTCCACTTCTCTCAGCCACAACCATACTATCATCACTTTTCTTCTTATAACAACCATCATCACTACTCTCCTCCAACCATTTCTCTTCAACAAGGTTCGTATATATGATATAGATAACAATATACACCAAATCCAAAAAGAGATGCGTTAATTTATACACTAATATTGTTGAGACTTGAGAGTGTGTTTTGCTGTTCCACAGGCGTAACCGGTCTTCCGTTTCAGCCACCTCTCATTCCTTACCGTTAAAGAAGCTTTAGAGTGTGGTTTAAATGGATGCACTTTGGCTATCTCAACACTTTTTTTTTCACTGTCTCTGCTCTAAAAGCCACCTCATTTTATGGAATTTGAGGTGGATTTTTATTTGAAGATTCCCAATGGGATATCAAATTTCAGATGGTGGTCATGTCGTATTGTCATCTCTCACCTTCTTGCAATTGCATCTTATCATTCTCTCGGGAGAATGGTATTTGCTAATGGAGCAGAATCAGATCATGTGCCAAAACTCAAAGCTGATGCATGTATCAGCTTAATTTGTTATGTTGTTTTAGCCTATGGTTGGCTAATCAACAAAGACAAAGAAGAATTTTGTATATAGCTAGAACGACCCTCACAAATTGCGAATACAAGTCTCTGTTAGGATTAATGTAAAAAAAAAATGAAGCACCAAAACCATGTTCTGTTTGAAAGACTGGAAACTGATGGCATATTTAAGCAAAATATCAGAACAACCCTGCAAGTCTTTTTGTTGCATGAACATTAAGTCATTGTAGCTTTAGGACTTAATAAAGTTTTCTTCCTCTTGGAGGGGAGGGATGTCTCATGTTATGTTTCTTAAATAAAGATGCATTATTCAAAGTCTTTGTTCGTTTCTACTGCTTAAATACTTTGGAGAGTAACATCCCACATCCCCTATAATATACTACAATGCTTTTTAATGTTATTTTTATTAACATGTTCTTGATTTTTCCAATGTATGCTTATAAGTCCAATTTCACACAACCTTCTAGTGCTGTCTGACTCAGCCTGACCTATCAAGCCTGTCCTCCCCAACATCTTGTAACAAAACATCCTCAGCTTCTAGCATAATGTTATTTAACCTCACAAGTGATGAGTGAGAGGACATAAAAGAAGTTTTTTTAAAAAAAGACTTTGGGTCTACACAAACTTAATCAAATTACTGAAATGCTCCACCAAAAGCTCTTTCTGAATTATAAAATTGAACATTTTTATTATAAAAACACTGAATGTTAATACCTTAATAGTTAATATTATGCATTTTTAAATCCTAAATGTGATGCTCTAAGATAAATCCATCACAAGTGTAGTATGATAGCAACATTAGCCCTTACCATGAATAACCAAAGTGTTAATCACACAATACCAATGAAACAATGGCCATCTTGATGATGATGACCAAGGAATCTCGATTCCTCTTAACAAAAAAAAAAAAGGAAGATTCTAGATTTTGCTCAGATTCGTGTTAACTAATTTAATTTTGGTGTTAACTAAATTGATTTCTACCGTCTTTCCTCCGTGTTTAACGAAGCGATTGATACTCTCGAGTTTTTCTCTTCTCTTCAACTATATTGGGGCGTAAACTAAATAATATGGGCAAACGAAAAGGCTCGCGTTAATATTGGTGTCGATAAAACCCGCTTAATGCGTTTAGTCAATTTTAAGATGATGAAGCAAGTTCGCACATAACTTCTCTTCTCTCGAAGAGATGACGTGACGAAGCATGTTCCAACAACTTTCAATCAAATTACCAATTTCAAGATAGTTAAAAAGCAGATTGAAGCTGTCATGTTAACGTCATTTAATAAAAACCCAAAGAGCTGGTCTGAAGCAGATACTACACTGGAGAGAAATTCAAAGAAAACAATGTGCATATTTGCCTCATAAACCGGGTCAAAAGCAAAGTCAACTGCGCAAGACAAAACCAAAGAATACTAAACTTCACGATGTAATCATCGGCTCTGGATCTGAAGGGTCGCTGGAAGACTTGTTGGACTGGCGTGCGGAATTGAACAAGATGTCTTTGATAACCTGCACATTGATAGATAAGAGACATTGAGAGTGGATCTCTTGGATTCATGAACCAAAACTGGAACAAATAGCATCATTATGTCAGATTGTTGAGTTTCCTCACCTGTGACATTAGCCCATGGACCTGCTCGACTGTTATCTTTGCACTATCACGAGTTATCTTAGCGAGTGGAGGCTCATCCTGAAAGTGATCCACATCACACAAACATAATTAGGCTTTGAAATCTCCCAAACAAGATTAAAATGTCAACACAACTATAGGAAGCAAACACAGACTATTGGCAACCACTAGTTGACGAATTGACTTGACACATCAATGTATCCCACTTTTACTTGTTCAAACTTTAAAAACAACTCTGTATATTTTTGACTAAACAAGAACGCAAATTCTGTAATCCTACAGCCAGAAAAGGTGAACCATAATGATGTGCAGGTAGAGTTCCTATAAGACTATTAGTTTAAGAATAAAGAGACGATGCAACACTTGATAGGCTGATATCACAAGATTCTCTACAAACTATCAATCCAAGCAGCATGTGGACGAGATCAAAACCATGGTCCAGTATCTCAGACAGTAAAAAAACATTGAGAACATAGCAAATTTAGACAAACCTCTTTTTTCCTATGAGAAGAGGCCGGTACTCCTCCATACCGGGAGTGAGCAAGCTGACTCTCGGCTTGCTCAAGCTTCTCAGCTTCATTGGTAAGGATCAGATGATAAGAAAAGAGAAAGTATTAGACTATGAACTCCATGAAAAGTAAAAAACATAAACTTGCTATTGCATATCCAAGAACTTACCCAAGTCTGAAATTTGTCCGGCAACATAGTCTCCATTGCCCAGCAGTGGGGAAGAAGAAAGAGTGTTCACCCAGTACTTGTTCCAAAGGAGATCCAGAAGGTGGCTATCAAGAGACGACTTGAAGTAAGTGATGTCCAATGAGTAGTACTGCCACATACAAGAACCCAACATAAGAACGATAACAAAAGCCTCCAACATCAAAAACCAAAGAAACTAGGATATAATTTTACCTGCTTGCAATGTACACCAAAGTCCTCAATCTTATTCAGAGGGATAGTCTGATACTCAGAAACATGATCATCCGAGATCTTATGTCCCTCCGGATAAGTCCTGAATGCCCCAATCTCAACCTTACCAGCCGAAACAGTCCTTGTTGGATCGATAACAACAGCCAAGAAGGGCTCCTGATACTGCTGGTTAAGCATCTGTGTTGACACGTCGATACCCGAGAGCCAGCAACCATACCCAGGGTGAGAGTGATACCATCCAACAACGTTCTCCAACCGCCCAGCCTATGGTTCAAGTCACAGTAATCACCAATCAAACAATTTCAATTGTAGAGAAACTTGAAGCAACACAAGGCAAAAGTTGTTCACTATATTGTGGCAGTAACTAAAACAAGAATCACTATTACCCTAGAAGATTACCACAAGCTTAAGCATCTCGCAAACAAGCAACTATTGTGAGTGATTAAAGGAGCTACTGAGAGAAATTTACCAGCTTGTTCGTCTGGGAGTAATCAACCATGTACTCGTAGGCATCAGCCTGGGCATTAACCCTAGTCTCGGTACCTTCGACAGGCAAAGCGAAAGCGTCCATGACGATGATCGTATCGCCGTCGGTTTTCCCCTGCATAAGACCCATAATCTCGATTGTGCCACCGGAGCGAGCGTGGACAACCATCTTGAGGAGAGCGAGCGCCGAGATTTGGACGCGCTTGAAGTAGTTGGGGTCGCTTGCCCATGGCTTCTCCTGCTGGACCTTGGCCTGCGCTGCGTCGTCGTAGTGGAAAATACTGTCGGAGGCCGAATCCGGCGGGTCTACGGTGAGGATGTTGTTCTCGAGCTCCCATGTCTTCCTCGCGATGGTCGACGCACCCTCCATTGTTTTTCAAAATCGAATTCGGAAACAGTAGGAGAAATCTAGGGTTTTGCTAAATCGCCTGATGATGGTAGAGAAGAAGAGCCGAATCAAAAAGATTTTGTCGAGTCGGTGTTTCTGGGGCTCCTCCTTTAAACTGGAGAAAGCTTTTGGTTTATTTGGGTTTAACCCGTTTGCGAGATTTCGGGTTTGGAAATTTACACCGCTTTATATTATACGACGGGATTGGATTGGGCTTTATAGTTTATTAGGCCCATGCGGATTTATTAATATAATTGAAATAAATAAAAAAAATCTGGTCACTTTTAAAAGTAAAGTAAATAATATTATTTTGATATTATAATTATAATATTTAATTATAATTGATTATTCTATTTAAAAGATTTCGATTGATGAAATCTTTTTCATAATATTGTTTTACCTACCAAAAAATAGAAAATTAGTCTATTTAAAATTAGAATATCGGTCAATTAGATATATTTTTAATGTTATAATTATTTTGTTAATTTTCTATTTATCATAATTTTTTGTTCAATTTTGTTTTGCCTCGGACCATTATAAATTTTCTTATTCATAATTAGTTAGTTGTTTTAAAATTATTTTGTTAGTTTTTTTATTTATCTTATTACATTTTTCTAATTTTCTTTTGTTAACACATGTTATCACATGATCATATATTAGAAACATTTTGAGACAAATTTTCAATTTCTACCCAACTTATCTAAAGTTAAATATTCTTCATTGATATCTTGAACTTTAAAGTACATGATTTTTATTTTGTAATAAAAGAGAAAGTTTAAACAAAAGATAGAATCACAGATATAAATCATGAAAGCTATAACTTATTATATATTATTTTTTTTGTTTCCTTTTCTTAATGGGAATATGTTTTTTCTCCTTTTCTTAACGGATGTAACATTTTTTCTTTTATTATTTGTTTCATGTTTTTCTGAATATCGATTATTTTTCCTTTTCGTATTGGGAGTATGTTTTTTTCCTTTTCTTGATGGATATAACATTTTTTTTTAAATTGCTATTTGTTTCCTATTTTTCCTTGAATTGTATTTTCCTGTTTCAAAAAATGTAAAAATTTAATGTTAATCTATTTATAATTATATATATATATATTTAATGTTATATGTTAAATTTTTTTTTCTTAATTTTCGTTTTTCTAATATTTAAATTAAATAATTTTTTTTCAAAAAACGTGTCACGATCTTAACGGTTTTAACATTAAAAGTGACTCATGTCGCGATCATATAATTTATAAAAATCCTATGTGTCGCAACCACGTCGCGCGCATCCAACTTTATATAATAAGATTTTGATTTTATTATTTTTTGGATAATATTAATTTGATGAATGTAAAACTTTTCTCTATTATGATATGACAAATATATTTCTATTTCTTTTAACTGTAATGGATTATTTTTTTTTTAAAAAAATTCCTTTATCTAAAAGCATCCAACTTTATATAATAAAAAAAATTGATGAATGGAAAACCTTTTTCTGTTTGGATATGGCAAATATTATTTTTTCCTTTTTGATATAATAGATTAAATTAAATTTCGTTTTTTTAATTAACATTTATCTGGAATTTTTTTTAAGTTCTCCTTTTTTTCAGGACACATGTCACGATCTTAACGGACATAAACTTAAAACTGACACATGTCGCGATCTTGAATTTTATAAAAATCCTACGTGTCGCAACCACGTCGTGCGCATCCAGCTTTATATAATAAGATAGTTAGAAAAATAGAATAATCCGGGAACATTTACATTTTCAATATATTTTTCTGGCCAATTACCTTTTGGGTATCTCAATTTTTTTATATTATATCTCTTGAATAGTCTATTTTTAATAATACTGATAATTTACTCTAGAAGTAACTGAGCTCAATTTATTTTTTGTTTGTCCATTATTTATTTGTCATCATATTATTATTTGCAAAGTCAGAATTTCGAATGGAGTCATCACGTTAACTCTCAGCCGCGGAATTACCGAGATACCCTTAATGAAAATCTATTATTAAATCTTCTGAATTTCTTTTTTATTAATTGACGATTTTGTTATATATATATATATATATTTTTTAAATGTTCATAGTTTCCTTATTAAATCTTGAAAAATTCATTCTTTTTTTTCCTCAATTTATATTTTTCACTTAAATATTTTATGATAAATATCATAACTACCATATTACGCGCCACAGTTTTGGAAGAAATAAAATAATTTACTTTTTTTTTAAAACCCTAGGTTTGTAAACCGACTTTGTCCTATTTATATAAATAGATTCATATTAAACCCTAGACAGTATACATACGTTTCTCGATGTAGTTCTTGGTGGATGTGGTTATGGTTTGGTGCAGCGAATCTCATTATTGGTTTTAATGGGGTTTGTTCTTTCTGATGGGTATCGACCAACAATTTTGCACTGAATTCTCTGATGCAACTAGGAAACAGTTCATCTCTATGGCTATTTGGGGGGATATGGAATATTCAATCTTTGGATCTGATTTCTGAAGTATTTACAGAAGAGAAGAGGATCAAAGTACTTTTAATGTGATTGGAACTTAGGATTTTCTTGGAATGTATTTGGTCTGTTTTGTTTCGGTGGGAGAGCTTGGTTACTCAGATCAGAGTTGCAGGAATTCTTCAGTTTCGTTTTTCTTTTTCCAGACTTGATATGGAGTTTTTTAGATTGATGAGTGGATTATGTAGTTGGTGCATAGATGTCGAAAGAATACCAAGCGGATGTTGGGGGATATCTTTTAGTATGATAATGTTTTACTTTTTAATATATATGCCTATATAAACGCAGAAGATTGTTTCAAACTTTCAATCAAGAAAGTGGTAGCATTATTATTCAAAGCTAAAGTAATATGTATATTTGTTATCATCGTTAGTAGACGATATGCATAAAAGACGTATGAATAGACAATACATGGTTTAGTTTCCGATCTAATCAACTATGTGTTTTCTTATCTCTATTAAACCGGTTATGAACAAAAGAAATCGAGCTAGGGTGAGAAGTGGTCAAACACACAATGTCTTAAAATTTCAATACCTTTGTCACCGTTTGCATTCCAAAACTCTACGGTATTATATTTTAATTCTTATAAAAGAAGCCAAATCAAAAATCATGTCTTCATGCCACACTTAACTTGGATGTTTGGTTCTTATCTCAACAATTTTTCATTCTTATAGGTAACCGCTGTTTTGTATACTTTTAACCGTTGTCAATGATGTGTTCTAATTAATAGAGCTGTGTGTATTGTACTTTGTTTTCCAATTTGCACAGAAAACATAATTCATGTCGACGTGAATCATCCGACTGCGGCAGCGGCGATGGGGTGAAGAATAAGCTGATTTCTTCGGAAAAAAAAATCCAGATATCTAGATCAACTTACATCGCTATTACTCCTGCTTTATGTCCAACAACAACTATAAGCTGGTTTATAAGCTCATTCCATCTGCAATGCTTCAAGTTGACCTTTATGTGACTCAGGTTGTTAGTATTGTTAGTTGCAATAAGGATTTTGATTGAATTCTCATTCTCTTTAATTTATATTAGCTTAGTATTCAACTTTAATGTTTCATTTATATGTCGGCGTTAATTATTGAAAATAAATTGGTCGGGATCTGATGAAGGTATATATGCTTGTTTCGTTGCAAATCATCGCTTGGTTCTCTTGGAGGTGATCCTTCTTATTATTACATTTATTCTTCAAGGCGGCCATCTTCTCTGTGTTCTTCCTTTGACTGAATCTTTCATCGCCTTGAGCAAATCGCGCCTCGCGACGTTGGCGTTCATCACCATTTCTTCGAGGAACGATTCGTCGGTATCCGATTTGCATCCCTCCGTATGCTACTTTCTTCCACTTGAGTGTCGGAGTTGAGTCTCCGGCGAGATTCCTCTCCATTTGGAGGTCCAGTGAGACTATGACTGCACAAATCCCCTTCAAATTTGGGATTTCCACGACTCCTCTCTCGATCAAATCGAATTAGAGCAACGAATCGAGCGGAAGGGACGCAGCAAAGGACACACGGTGGCGCGTAGGATCGACGCGGCTATCGGCGGTGAAGGAGCGGAGAATCGAGAAAGTTTAGCGTTATTTATTTAATATTTTAAAAAGAGATTTTTATTTCTCAACAAACTACACTGTAACATTTTTTCGGGAAAAAATAAACTGATCTATTTATATTCACCTGCCGACTGCCGTGTCAGACATATTCGAATAATTGTTGTTTAATTATCCCGTAAAAGAAAAGGAGTCCACTGTGTTCTGTTTTTTACAAATTTGCCGGCGAAAGGAATCGAATCTAAACGATGGGTTCCATCGAAGAGGAAAGTGTTGCTTTTATCAGATCTGAAAACCAAAATAGAGTTTTGAAAGCTTAATTGAACTGAAAACTCTTGCATTCAACAACGAAACAAATGGTCATGATATAGACCTTACAAAAAGGAAACTGAAATCGATAAACTTGCGCTACTAAGCTACTCGAGCTATTCGTGCTCCGACAACGACGGAGACGAGTGTGACTCGTTCAAAACAACGAAAGACACAGCAAAACGAAACAACCCAAATGAAAACCAATTCAAGTTGCAGGCCAATAATGGAATGGGCTTTTATTCTTCAGAAAGACCCTTCATCGAAGAAATTTCTATATCACAGGTTTGATTCTTTGAGAAATACCAATATCAATTACGCCCAGGAATTGTGATTTTGTATCTTCTTATGGTTTCATGATCAAAACATTCCCCAAACCAGACTTATTACAGGATTACTAGAAACCATTCATACAACCTTTAAACCCTGATCAACATGAAAAGGTTCACAATACTCATCGCGACATGCACATAACCACCCACACTAACCAGTTCACCATTAACGTTTACGATTTCTCCCTGAGAGTCCTGACACTTTAGAACATCCATACCATCCACCGTCCCCCAGAGAACGGCCAACATCATGTGATAGTAACCTCTTCTAGTAGGAGGATTGTTGTACAGCATTCCAGCTTTTGTCAGCCTCACAAAATCATCATCGCAGCTCACTCTCACGCAGATAGGGCCCAGCTCATCACTCATACATCTTTTCAGAGATTCGATAAATTCTTCGTGTTCTGACGGAGTCCGTCCACGCTTAAAGACTTTGCAGACACGTGGGATAAACCTTCGACCACGCTGCAAGAAGAGAGGCAAAATGAATACAAAATGTTCACAAAAATCAGCACACAATGTTCACAGGGAATCAATTATCAAACTTCAATAAAATGTTCACAGGAATCAGTATCAGATTGAAACGGCAAATACCTGAGTTTTGTATAGAGGAAAAGGGGGTACAATCTGTGTGAGGGGACGATATGGAGCACTCACTGTCCCCTCAACCAGAAACCATTCTGCATATCGATCTACATCGACGAGTACTCTTCTCTTATTGAGGAACTCGGAAGGACATGTATCTACCACTTCCTGAATTGAGAGGCTCTCATCGACTCCTTCTTCGTTCATCTTTAATCTCTTTTGGCTTTCCATAGGTTGTTTCTTTTCATTTGTTATAGTTCTGACAATCGGTAAATTTCAAAGACATTGGAATCATTCAATAAATCGAACCATGTCATCCATGTATATATACATGAGTGCACTTATTATGTACTTTATCTTGGATGCAATTAGGATGCAACAAACGACCAAGAACTTCATGTCTTCCATAATCTTGCTGCTTTGATCTTACATTCAACTTTAACAGGAAATAACACTGCAAACAACAAAGTCAATGCAATCATATATGAGAGAGATGATAAAATCTAGTAGTACAATAATCCTTTTTCAGAGACATAACGGTCAAAATAGTTTATTGTCAAATATGGAACAAAGACATCTACTTCGGAGCTCCACATGATCTGAGAGATTCTCTCCACCTTAGCTTTAATAGAGGTCTTGAAAAATCTGGATAGAGAAATTTGGGTAAAGAGAATTACCGTATGGAGAAGAGGACAGTGTGGTTAGTTTTTGTGGTAGCCCTTTTGAATCCAAGTTACCACACATGTCTACATTTAGCCATAGCCTATCAATTTCACTCACAATACGTAGGTTTTTGACCCACTACCAGTATTAATATTATGCTAGGGGTATCCCGGACTATGCCTCGTTATTTGTTGGTTTAAGTTTTACTTGTTATTTTCGTCTGAAAAAATGGTATCATCACATTCAACATAATGAGAGAGAATTTGAGGGAGATAGAATTCGAGTTTTGGACGTTTGGTAGTGTTCCCGTTCGTAAAATGAGTGAACGGTGGTAGATCGGAGGTCCAAATCATGAATTAAATCAAAAACTATACTTATCTTAAATAAAACAGGACCACTTTAGTTTTTTCCTCGTCGACCACTAGATTACGATTTATGAATAATTTTGATACCAAGCAAGTTGTGGATATTGATCTCAAACTCTCTTCAGGTCGTAGACAAATTTTTGGAGATGTCGATTATATGGCGTAAGATTACTCTTGTACACTTTCAGCTAAAAAAACAACTTCAAATTACTATGCAATTCTCATTGTCTTGATTTAGAAAATGGAACTATACTGAAATTCTGTTAACATAAATAATCAAAATTGCAATTACGTTAGTTGTTGGTGGCCAGCAGATTAGCCATTTTTTTGCTTTTTTCAAATTGTAACAGAAATAGTTATATACAACTATATTATCTTAAAACCAAAAAAAAACTATATTATGCGGCATGAACCTATGATCGCTAATTAATGTTAAGATCTTATAATAAATGATAACAGAAAGGTAACAAAATAAGATCTAATTAAACGCAAATGGCATGCACAATACACGCCATTGGAGCTGTAAGGGCCTGACTGGTTTAACCGCTGCGGTTGCGGTTGCGGGTGCGGGAGTTTGCGGAAGCGGGCGGTTGTGATTAGTAGCGTTATTAAGCGGTTTGTACGACTGGCATAACAATTGAAAATGGATGCGTTTGCGGGATACTTATGACTGGTTCACTTGCGGATGCAATAGCGGTTAAACAATAAATTAATAATATAAACACATTATATAATTATAAAAATATCAAAACTATATTATAATGAAAATTTTAAATTTATGGTTCAACATAATTAAAAATATTTTTTTATAAAGAATAATATGTGTATAATACTTACGTCTATTTTTTAATTTCTATAATTTAAATAAAAAATGTGATTTTATTTTCAAAATATATATTTAATGTGAAAATTAAATTTATTTTACAATTTATTTATTAGATATATATGTATTAGTATGAAAAGAATATTTATGAAGAGAATTTTGATTTGTAGAACTTATAAATATATAAGTATTATATGATTTTAATGAATATTGACTAAAAGTACTAATTTTTTATTTATATTGTGATTTTATTATCCAAATCTTATTTTTTAATAAATATTATTATTTATTTTCGGATTTTATATAAGTTTGTGTTTTTTTTTTTTTTTTAATTATCCACCCGCAACCGCAAACGCTTGCGGAAAGGAGCTTTTGATTTTCAGCGATATAGAGCGGTACAGAGTGGTATAGAGCGATTCAAAGCGGTTGTCGTGATTGTTATAAACCGCCGAAAACCGCTACGAACCGCAAACGCTGCGTTTGCGGGTGGTAGCGGGAGAACCAATCAGGCCCTTAAGCATGAATTGCAGTTATATATCATGTTTTTTTTCTGTTAAATAAAATGTTTAATTAGTTATATGTCATGTTGGTTTTCTCCTCACTGAAGAAACTTCTGTTTTAAATCACATTACGTCTTGTCGCAAACGAAGAACGAGTTTGAACATGATCACGTTGGATTTATTATCTCAATCTGATTAGCCGTCGATGATTACTTTTTTAATTTCATTGAGATCATGTGAGAATGTGGGTGAATAATAATTACTATTTATATTCCGTAAGCATGATTAGATTGCTAGAAGAAGTTAATCTAATCAAATCATATCGGGGAGTAGTAGGTAGGTAGCGTCCGGAAAATGCATTTCCTACAATTTCAACAAAGGGTATTATCGTCAATTTCGATCAAACAAACACGGTTAGGTTCGTCGCTGACGTGTCGAGTTCTCAGATAACCTTTGAATTGAAAAAAGACGCTCAAGTTTCGATCCACAAGGCAACGCTTTGTGACCAAACAAAGTAACAAACAGTCTTTTTAATTTTTTTAATTTTGTTTTTATTAAAAACAAAACAAAACCAAACCGAATTTCTTTTCTTTGCCCGAAACACAAAGCAACTCCCTTTCCTCTTCTTCTTCTTCTTCGACTTTCGTCTCTGAAAAATTACTTCTTTTTTTAATTGGTTGAATTCGTAGGATTTCTGATTGAGATCGTTCACTGATTTGATCGAAACGATGGAGAAAGATCGAGTGGAATCGATCGCTCTCGAAATCGCGACGGAGATTCCTCCGGCGGTGACGAGAGTTCCACGGAGGATTCGCGAGAGGCTTTTAACCGACTTTAGTAAGAAGACAGTACCTTCTGTTCAAGATATTGAAGACAAGCTTCTCCATGCGCATCTTCGTAGACAGGTTCTCTCTCTCTGTTTCTCTCTCTCTCTTTTTTTTTACTCGATTTAGCCCTGAAATGACCAAGTCTTTGATTCTCTCTATTTCCATATTTAAATTCCAAAACTTCTTTGTCTTATTCGTGTGGGAATCTGAAAATTATTACAACGTTTTGTGTTCTGTCTGTAAAACCACAGCAATTTTATCACAACGTTTCGAGAAAGGCTCGTGCGAAACCGAAAAGCCCATCACGATCCTCCGATGAAGAGCTTGGCCAACGAATCGAAGCAAGACTCCTCGCCGCCGAACAAAAAAGGTAAAATTTCAAAGTCAAAGAGTCTTTCACTGATCCTTCTTCTCTCTCTCTGTTAATTGATTGTTTTCCGCAGATTGGAGATTCTTGCAAAGGCACAGATGCGTCTAGCGAAACTAGACGAGTTAAGACAAGCAGCGAAAACGAGCGTGGAGATACGGTCGGAGAGGGAACGTGTGAAGCTCGGAACTCAAGTGGAGTCTCGTGTTCAGAAAGCAGAAGCCAACAGAATGAGGATTCTCAAGGCGTCGCATCAGAAGAGAGCGTCGGCGAAGGAGAGAACGTCTCAGTCGATGATGAGGAGGATGGCGAGAGAGAGCAAGTACAAGGAGCGTGTTCGCGCTTCGATCAACCAGAAACGTGTAGCCGCCGAGAAGAAACGGCTCGGGTTGCTTGAAGCCGAGAAGAAGAAAGCACGTGCTCGTGTCCAGCAAGTGCGCCACGTTGCCGACTCTGTTTCTAATCAGCGTGAGATGGAGAGAAGTAAAATGAGGGACAAACTTGAAGACAAATTGCAAAGAGTAACATATGAAGATCTTTGATTACACTCTTATTCTGTTCTGTTTCTTGATATAACGTTTTTGTTTGTTGACAATTCAGGCGAAGAGGCATAGATCGGAGTTTCTTCGCCAGAGGAGAAGACAACAACGTGATTCGTTTAGTCTCTACTGCGATATGATGCAAGAAGACGCTGTAATTCTCTCTACAAAGCTGTCAAGGTAATAATAAAGCATTTACACAATTCTCCTTTTCCTTCAACGGCCTCTTAGTTTTGAAAGCTTTTGTTCATTAGGTGTTGGAGGTGCTTTGTGATGAAGAAGAGGACTACTTTGGCCTTGGCTAAGGATTATGATGGTTTGAAGATTAACGAGTCACTGCCATTTGAGCAGCTCGCTGTGCTACTTGAATCGCCTGGTACTCTTAAAGCTGTTAAAGCTTTGCTTGACCGCGTTGAAGTTCGTTTAGAAGCTTCAAAGAATGTTACGGCTGCTGCTTCTCAACCGTCTTTGTTGGATAACATTGATCACCTTCTGAAAAGAGTTGCTACGCCAAGGAGGAAGGTGACGCCGAGTTCTCTGAGGAGCAGAAAAGGAAAGAAAGTGTCTCCAGGGAGGAGTGTGGCGGCGAAGATGTCGAGATATCCTGTAAGAGTTGTTCTCTCTGCGTTTATGATACTAGGCCATCCGGATGCTGTTTTCAACGGCCAAGGTGATCAAGAAGCTGCTCTCAACAACTCGGCGAGAGGGTTCGTGAGCGAGTTTAAGCTTTTGGTGAAAGTGATTCGAGAAGGTCCGGTTAAGTTTGAATCGAAGCTTCGGACGTTGAGGTCTCAGCTGGAGCTGTTCGACAAGGCGTGGTGCTCGTTTTTGAACTCGTTTGTGATTTGGAAAGTTAAGGACGCTCGGCTGCTTGAAGATGATCTTGTGAGAGCGGCGTGTCAGCTTGAGCTCTCCATGATTCAGAAATGCAATGTGACTCCCGATGGGGACAGCGCTATGCTGCTCACTCATGATCAGAGAGCTATTCAGATGCAGGTGACACAGGATCAAGAACTTCTAACGGAGAAAGTGAGGCACCTGAGTGGAGTTGCAGGCGTTGTGCGGATGGAGAGTGCGTTGACGGAGACACGGTCGAAGTACTTTCAGGCCAAGGAGAATGGAAGCCCTATGGCTCATCAGCTCGCGTGTTTCTTTTCTCCATCATCTCCAGTTGAGTCTGTGTCTAGCTCAAGCAGCAGAGGTAAAGAGAGCGTAGGTGGTGAAGGATCAAAACGAGTTGTTCGTTCTTTGTTTAAGGATGAGGCTCCTCCACCTTCATCTGGAACCTCTAGAGTCGGTAATGAGAATGAGTTGGTTGTGAACGAGTTACTGCACGATTGGAATTTCAAGCTTCCAGGTGGATCCAGTGTCAAGAATGAGGAGGACAATCTGAAGGTTTGCTTTCTTTGCTTTAAGATTTAAGTACTTGTAGGAGATGTTGTCAGCGTTGATTTTTTTGTTAATGTGTGCTTGCAGAGAAAGATAAAGGAGACAATGGAGAAAGCTTTCTGGGATAGTGTCATGGAGTCCATGAAACTGGAGGAGCCAGAGTATAGTTGCATCTCCAACCTTATGAGAGAAGTGAGAGACGAGCTTTGCCAAATGGTGCCAGACAGCTGGAAAGTAGAGATAACCGAAACTATTGATATAGAGATTCTCTCACAGGTTTTGCCTCATCGCTCTAGTCTCTGATATCAAGTGACTGTTCTTATTATATGTAAAGCTTGGTGGTTCTCATTTGTTCTTTTGTTGCTAGTTGCTTAACTCAGGCACATTGGACATCGATTACCTTGGAAAGATGCTCGAGTTTTCACTGGCTACTCTGCGGAAACTCTCTGCTCCTGCTAATGACCGTGAGAATGAAACCAAGCACCAGAGTTTACTCGAGGAACTTCACAGGTTGTGTCAAGCTGAAGATGAGTCTGGTGACCTCCGTGCTGTTGCAATAGTCAAGGGGATCCGCTTCATTCTTGAGCAGATTCAGGTCTGTTTCCACTTAATCTTCACCAGCAAGATCTTGTTATCTTCACTTATCAGTTCCTTGATTTTTTTTTTGTGTCTGCATTCTCAACAGGAGCTTAAGCGAGAGATAGGCATGGGGCGTATAACAATCATGAAACCCTTTTTGCAAGGACCAGCAGGGGTTGATTACATGACGCAAGCTTTTGAAAAGCGCTATGGACCTCCCACTCAAGCCTGCGATTCACTACCAGTGACGAGAAGGTGGATCTCAACTCTCTCGTCTTGTAAAGATGACTGGGAAGAGCACACCAACACTCTTTCAGCGTTAAATGTGGTTGAGAGATCCTCCATGGGGATCTCTCTCAAGACTGGTGGAAGCTGTCTTTCCACAGTAAACAATCAGTCACAGTCAATTGTTACGGACTCTTCAGGTTTTGATTTTCTTGCAACCAACTCTGTAAATACATTCTTGTTTTTAGGTTATAGTATTTAATGTTTTCATATGGTTTTCGATTTCAGAAGGTCAAGTGTCAGAATGCAAAGGAGAAAGAGTTGATTTGACAGTGAGGCTTGGATTGTTGAAGCTGGTGAGTCAGGTCTCTGGTTTAACACCTCAAGTTGTACCAGAAACTTTTGAGCTTAACCTCTCTCGCTTGAGGGGAATTCAAGCTGAGATTCAGAAGATAATTGTAGTATCCACAAGGTATGAATGTTTGTTACATACTATTATGTTAAAAGCAGAAACTAGAGTTTGTCACCTTATAAAATTTCTGTGTTACGCAGCTTGCTCATATGGCGGCAAATGAAACCTGGGAAGAGCGAAAACGAAACAGAAAGCATGGCGAAGAAGCTGTTGGATCTGTTAGACGTGAAGGAGGAAGCAGGGCTAATGGAGATTGTGGAGACGACGATGAGTGAAGAAGGAGAAGAGAAGAAGAAGATGATGAGAGGTTTGTTGGGGAGGAGTCTGGGAGAAGGCAACACAGTGTACGAGAGAGTCACGGATTGTATATACAAAGCATTGAGAGGAGTTTTATTGGGTGGGAATGGTGAGAATGGGAAGAGATTGGTGGAGAGAGAGATGAAGAAAGTTGGAGGAGGAAGCTTTGGTTTGAAAGAGAAGGTTTTGGAGACGGCTCGAGCTCTTGGAGTCGTGGCTTGTGTCTCGGTTAAGGTTCATGGTCCGTGGTTGACTCGTCTCGTTCCAAAGCAGTGAAGCTGCGTATGTATGTGAAAGTGTTGACGCAGGTAAAAAAAAATTGTATAGCTTATGTGTATATATATTGATAATAATTTATAATTACACGTGTCATGTAATAAAGCTGCGTTGTGATTTGATGCATATGCTGATTTGTAAAAACAAAAAAACGGCTTTGGTCTTTCTTCTTCTTTAGTGTGTTGATGGATGAATAAAGTGACTACATAGCTTTTGTTAATTGTGATTGTAATTACTCTGAAACTTGTTGTATATATATGATTTGATTCCTATCAATTATATAAAGGTTTGCTCTTTAAATTCATCAATGTATATCTATCCTTTCTATTGTTTTTATTTCTTTCGTGGACGACAAGTGTCAATGTATCATTCAAAGATTTCTTGTTGATGGCATCGGAATCACACTGATTACGAAGATTTGAAAATAAATGAATTTTTCCCTAAAGACAATTAAGTCAGTAAAATTAGGAAAGTGGGAATAAAATAAATTTTTAAAATAAGAGAAAATTGAGAAATCGACGAGAAATGAATAGCTTAGGAGGAATAAGGAGTTGGCCGGCGATTTGGAGAAGCACGACGGCTACTATGACAACGGCGGAGAGCGTAAGAAAGGTGCCGCAGGTGCTAACAGTGGCGGGATCGGATTCCGGCGCCGGAGCTGGAATCCAAGCCGACCTCAAAGTCTGCGCTGCTCGCGGCGTATATTGCGCTTCCGTGATAACCGCCGTCACAGCTCAGAACACTAAAGGAGTCCAATCTGTTCATCTTCTCCCACCGGAATTCGTCTCCGAGCAGCTGAAGTCAGTCCTCTCTGACTTCGAATTCGACGTCGTAAGCTCATCTTCTTCTTCTTCTGGTTCATATGAGTAGTGTGATTACTCTCTCTCTCTCTCTCTCTATCTCCAATGATGATCAACTGGAGAATTAAGTTAACAGGTGAAGACTGGGATGCTTCCTTCCCCTGAAATCGTCGAAGTCCTTCTTCAAAACCTTTCAGATTTTCCAATCCGTGGTAGAGAAACCAAAACGCTTCTACTCTCAGATTTCAAAATTGAGTCTTTGTTCAATGCTTATATAGTTTATTTTTCTTAAGGCAGCTTTGGTTGTTGATCCTGTGATGGTATCAACAAGTGGCCACGTTTTGGCTGGCTCATCTATTCTCTCCATCTTCCGGTAATCCTTTTCCTTTTATGTGGAATGAAGTTTGTGTGACTTGAGTGATTTGGTGTGTTATGTTCTTCTGAGTATGGTTTCTACTTGCAGAGAGAGATTACTGCCAATCGCTGACATAATCACCCCAAATGTGAAAGAGGCTTCTGCTTTACTTGGTGGTGTTGGGATTGAGACTGTTGAAGAAATGCGATCCGCAGCAAAGTTGTTGCATGAAATGGGTCCAAGGTTTCCATTTTCTCTCCTTCTTCTTTTTATGGTTTGATTGCTATGTGTTCATGCTTAGTCCTGGAGCATTGTTATATGATGCTGATCCATTTCTTCTTCTTTTAACTTGTTCAGATTCGTACTTGTGAAAGGTGGTGATCTTCCTGACTCATCAGAGTCAGTTGATGTCTTCTTTGATGGTAACATGATGATATCTCATTGTTTTTTCCCAAAATGAAAGTCCTTTGTTGATGTTTGTGGTTATGAAAATGTTGAACCTTTTTTATGTAGGCAAGGAGTTTCATGAACTCCGTTCTCCTCGCATAACTACAAGAAACACTCATGGGACTGGTTGCACTTTGGCTTCATGTATTGCAGCAGAGCTTGCAAAAGGCTCTTCCATGCTCTCTGCCGTGAAGGTACATATATATCCTCTGCGATTTATCGTAGTGACAAATGGAACACTTTCAGTTTTGACAAGTTTCACATCTCTCTGGTGTTGGTAGGTGGCTAAATGCTTCGTTGACAATGCATTAGATTACAGCAAAGACATTGTCATTGGCAGTGGGAAGCAAGGACCTTTTGACCACTTCTTCAGTCTAAAGAAGGATCCCCAAAGCTCTCGATGCAGCGGATTCAATCCAGATGACCTGTTTCTATACGCTGTTACGGATTCAAGAATGAACAAGAAATGGAACCGGTCCGTTGTGGATGCCGTTAAAGCCGCCATAGAAGGAGGAGCCACAATCGTACAGCTGAGGGAGAAAGAAGCCGAGACACGAGAGTTTCTCCAAGAGGCGAAGTCATGCGTTGACGTGTGCAGGTCACACGGAGTTTGTTTGCTGATCAACGACAGGGTCGACATCGCACTCGCTTGCGATGCTGATGGAGTCCATGTTGGACAGTCCGACATGCCGGTTGATCTCGTTCGGTCTCTTCTTGGCCCTGACAAGATCATAGGGGTCTCGTGTAAGACACCGGAGCAAGCTCATCAAGCGTGGAGAGATGGTGCGGACTACATTGGGTCAGGTGGTGTTTTTCCGACGAACACTAAGGCCAACAATCGTACCATAGGACTTGATGGGCTCAAAGAAGTGTGTGAGGCGTCGAAATTGCCTGTTGTTGCTATCGGAGGCATTGGAATCTCGAATGCTGAGTCTGTTATGAGGATTGATGCATCGAATCTAAAAGGCGTAGCGGTTGTTTCAGCTTTGTTCGACCAAGAGTGTGTTTTGACTGCAGCTAAGAAGTTGCATACAACTCTTGAAGAGAGCAAGAGGGAAATTTGAATACCTTCAAAACTACTTCAACAATGTGATTTTCGATAACATTTATTTTGTTTTAGATTAAAAAAATGAAGAGTAGAGATATTTGAGGAAGCCAGAACTAAAATAAGATTTATTTAATATATATTTGAGGAGATAATCGCTCAAATTATCCAAGATATGCCGTTTTATTATGTAAGAAAAATTGGCTTTACGAGTCTAATTTGTCTCAATTTAAGAAACTTTATTGTTACAGAAATGTGAAAAATGAAACAAAAAAATTTACCCATGACAAAAATGGAACAAAGACAAACATTTCTCCTTCTTGTCTGTATATACATAAAACTACCGAAACCGTAACAAATAAAAATGGATTTGACAACATCCATATTTAGTTTAGTCGGCAGATGGTTTTGAAGCCTTCTCTGCTCCTATCTTAATCAATGCCTGCCAACAAAACCTCATAAGACAAACAAAAAGAGAGAGAAACAATTGCTTGCACACCATTGATAATACACATACCTGTTTAGTTGCCTCAATCGACAATTTCTGCCTATCCGTTTTAACACGTCTGCATTCTCCGCACCAACCTGAGAAATCTTTCTGATAGTTCTTCATCTCTCGAAAACTTGAGCTGCACAAGAAAGATGTAAACACATTGGATGGGCTGATGAATAATATATGAACATTGACGTAGTACTTAAAAACGTATTTATAGAAACTTTACTTAAATAGCAAATTAGCGTTGAAAGGCTTTACCTTCTGCACCACAAGATCAAGTTGACCCTGTGTCCACTAACTGTAGCTCTAGCACCATGGCGGTGACGGCCACGATGAAGAATGGCTTGACCAGGTACATGAGAGTAATCATACATCTCCTGCACAAGAACCAAGTTTATGAGTAATAAGCGCATTAGTTCTAAACCTAACTAAATGCACACTGACACAAGTACCTTATCATTGATCTCGGAATTCACATGGTTATCGCATCTCACACCACGAAAATACACATCCCCACCAGAGAATATCTTACCCAAGCAGACATTCAAACTAACCTCCGAGTCATCCACATGGAACCCTAAAAATCAAGAAGCAAGCTTTTTTAAGATAGTTGCAAAACTAATCTAACTAAACCAAGGAAGAGAGTATAGTGGAGCTTCACATTACTTACCAAGTTCAGTATCCCTATCTTTCCCATATTCAACAATAAAGCCATGGTGAGAATCTAAAGCGGTTCCACAGACTTCCGGGAACAAAACTGACAAAATAGATTGTAACCAAACCCATAAGCACATCATATATCCCAAAAAAAACTTAACTTTTACAAAAAAACACCCAAAATCTGCAATCACAATGTATAAAATGTTAACCTTGAGAGATAGGACTTATGAAATCATCAACCAACTTCTTGAGCATGCTTTCAAATCCAAAATCATCAAGGACAACACCAAATTTGTTCAACGTATTGGGTCTCATGATTGTGGTTCTTGAATCATACACCCATTTCTCCATATGCTCAACCTGAGAGCAATTACTAAGAACATAGCCAACACACAAGAATATAAAAACGAAAACTTTAAGTCAAAATCCACACATACCTCTGCTAGTAACATTTCACAGAACCTTGGGTTAAGCATTTCAAATGTGAAAATCCCAGCAGAGGGTTGAGACATTATGCTTCTTAAGCCCTGCTCTGACTTCTGACTCAGAGCGTTGAGAAACGAAGGCGCGAAGAAACTAGCAGGGTCAAGAGAATAGATCTCTACATGCAGACGCTGGAGAATCAGACGAACAACAAGCAAACAAGATTCAATGAATCAATCGATAAAAGATTCGTTCTTGCCCAATTCGATTATACAGAAGAAGAAAAAAAACGAAATTTTACCTGGTAAGAAGACAAGATTTTCTCCCTGTATTCTCTGTGCCTCTGAATCTGTTTCCGGAACAAGAAATGAAGTACGGATTCAAGCTCAATTCGAAGATATGGGAGCTCGAAATATCGAAAATGGCGAAGAAAGGTGGACACTTTACCCGGATTCGCTCAGTTTCAGGTGAGTATCGGAGAAGGAGGTTCCTCATGAAACGAGCCTTGTCGTTGCGGGTGGAATTGAGAACCTGCTCCGGCAAGTAGCGCTCGAGGGAGCTGAAGAGAACGGGGCTAAAGTCCAGCTGTAGATCCTCATAGTTATCAGGCTCAAGCTCTTCGTTTGGGGTTTTCCGGAGTTTCAATCCGGCCTCGGTGGAGGCTCGCGGTGGTGGTTGCTGCTGCTGTTGCTGCTCGGGTTGTTTGCCGGAGGAATCGAGAGCCATAGATCTAAGCCGGGTAAGATTGCACATTCAAGTCAGAGAAGAAGCGGTACGCATTCTAGGGTTTACGTTTTGATGCCGTGAAAGAGATGATGATGGTTTGTCTGGGGGGTTAGGGTTTCGGATTTTGTTGTATAGAAACCTCCCGAAAGGAAAAATACTGTGGGGCCACTACCGTACAGTTTTAGTAACGTTGATTTTTTTCCATTTGGTAATTCATCTAAATATAGTGAAAATCATTTTCTTTTTTACCTAAACATTTTTGTAATTAGGGTGAATTTGGTCAATTACAATATTGCTATTTCTAATTAAGCATATAGCTATTATGTATGACTAATTGTTTCTTCGACAAATTGAATGGTGAAACTACACTCGTACCCTTTTCTGAGTTGGTAAGAATTGTTGCGTTGGACTGGAAGTGAGATCACCGATGCCAACCTGTAAACCAAATCTAATATATGTTGACTGTAAAATTGACACGTCTTTAAAGAAACATCAAAAACTGTCATATACTATATCAATATTAACGATAATGATATTGTCATTTTCTAATTAAGCATATAGCTATTGTGTATGACTAATTGTTTCCGCGACAAATTGGATGGTGAAACTATAGTTGTACCCTTTTCTGAGTTGGTGAGAATTGTTTCATTCAATCGGAGGTGATGTTACCAATGCCAATTTGTAAACCAAATCTAATAAATGTTGACCGTATTAAGTTATAAATCACAATTTTTAAAGAAACAACAAACTGTCAAATACCATATCAAAATTTACGATAATGAGATTGCCGTTTTCAAATTTAGCCAAGAAAATATTGTGTATAACTAATTGCTTACGTGACAAATTAGATAGTGAAAAGACAATTTTACCTTATCTAAGTTGGTGAGAATAGTTACATTCAACCGTATATAATATCATCAATGCCAACCTATAAACCAAAATTAGTGTATGTTGATTGCGCCATGTTATAAACTACATATATTTTTAAGAAAAACCCAATTATCATATTTTATATCAATATTGACGATAATGATATTGCCATTACAAATTAAGCATATCACCATTATCCATGACTAATTGTTTTTGTGACAAAATTGGATGGTGAAAGAATAATCTTACTTTTCTTTAAGTTGGTGAGAATTGTTGCATTTAACAATTTAAGAAACGTTTATTTTGTTGCATAGAAACATTGAGAATCATTTTTATCTACAAATTATGTGTAATACAGCAAATAGATAATAATGTAAAATGTTGTTGGAAGAAATATTGGTTTACATGTGCATACTTTTCATTTTATTTTGTTACCTGTTCCATATAGATATAAAATAGTTTGCAAGTGTTTTATGAGAAAAAAGTTTACAACAGAGAGAATTAACTCCAATGATTTATCTAAAATGAGCTTTGTTGTTTGGAAACTCCCTAAAGACATTTGAAATATTTTTCATTTGCTCGAAAAAATCACAAACATTTTAATTTCTCAAAAAAATACTCGGACTATTTTAAAGTGTCATTTTAATACAAGAACATTCTAAATTCGTAAGATGATAAATCTAAATCATTAAAAATTACAACAATAACCAAAATCAATTAGTATTCAAAATTATGTAACATGAACTGTATTAATACTCTTATAGGGAATATGTCCACCCACAAAAAGAAACACAAATTCGACTCAATCATTGGTTCCAACATCAAATTATATACATGAAATCAAAATTTTTGGTTATGATCATGAGCATAAATAGGTGAATTGGTGTTTTTTTTCCTATAATATTGGTTGATATGAGGATGACTACAGTCCAATGGATTCTCCAGAAATGATTTCAGAATCTCCGGAAGCAATTCACGAGGAATTTCTCGTCTTTGATTTCGTCCGCGCTTATAGCAACTATACACAATTTCATATTTTAAGAGACAACATAACAAAATTATTGTGAATACCATTTATGCAACTAATATTGATTTGTAGTTAAAACTTTAAACTCAATAACACTTTCGTCACATCTGTTTTTTTTTTGTTAACATCACATTTTTATAAACACTATTGAAAGTTTCTTGCTTTTAATAGGAGATTTTTTCGAATGCTCTACTTACGTAATATAAATTGTTTTTGTTGTTTTCTACCAGTTCAGTTTTGTGAGAGCCTAAAAAGTATATGGGTTTTTCTCAGCAAATAAAAAAACAATTCAGATATTTTCAAGGGTTTCTCATTGTTGCTTTTAGCTTTCTTTCCAAAAATGTCCTACAATGAAATTAATGTGTTTCACACTCTCTTTTTCCCCAAAAAAAGTTCCAAAGAATTAAACAATACACAGGAATCTTCGTTTCACCGAGTGTGAATTTCCTCGCAAACACCATTTATGTGTGTCATCTTTATTCCTATTCGTCTTTACCCTCTGCTGTGTTGCAAATAGCCATGCTTGCAGGTAAGAATGAGTTAAGCTAAAGTAACGAAGCTTCAACAACATTAGAATCGGTTCCGGCCACAGCTCAGAGCAATGTTTCCTCCCTGCAGAAGTATCTCCATCACAGTCTGATAATGCAGAAGCCTTGTGAAAGCTGAGAGAAGTTTGTACATACCAATCAAGCTGAGCCCATCAACTAGATTTGACCATATACACTCTTGGACACAAAACCGGCCAGCTCCAAAACCCAATATGAACATTTTCAAAGTCACCACATTTGCTTCCTCTGTCAACTGCGTAATAACTTATCAAGAAACTCAACCTCTCTTGACGTATGGTCTCTGTCCAAATGCTTGAAAAACGCCCAACGCGTGTAAGCATCCGGCTCAATCTCTTTATCCAGCATCTCTTTATACAACCTCACAACCTCTTCCCACTTGCCGAGATCAGAGTTCTTGTTTATAAGCATCGTGTAGCTGTACTTATTCGGCTTCACCCTCTCTTCTCTCATCCTGCGGAAGTATCCGTAAGCTTCATCCACCTCACCGGACTTGCAAATGCCATGTAAAAGAGCATTGCACGTCATCACGTTCGGACGAACGCCTCTCTTCTTCATCTCGCTGTAATACTGGAACGCTTGGTCCAGCCTCCCCTTTTTGGCATGGCCATGGATCAACACAAAGTAGGTAACAACAGAAGGAGACAACTTCCTCCTCAGCATTTCTTGATACAAGACCTTAGCCATCTGAAACCGTCCCTTCTCCAAATAAGCACGCATGACCGTGGTGTAAGTCACATGATCAGGGACAAGACCATCTCTATAAATCTTGCGCTGAAACTCAATCGCTTTCTCAAGGTTCCCAACCTTGCACAGTCCATCTATACAAACGTTATACGTGACAAGATCTCGAGGGTAATGAGCTTTAGCCACCATCTCTTCCTGCAGACGAAACGCTTTATCCGAATCTCCAAGCTGCATTTCACCAACAATCCTTGTCGTGTACGCATACCTATCAGGCTTGATCCCTTTCCCCAACATCTCATCGTACACTGCATTAGCCATTGAGAGTTTCCCATTCTTGACAAATCCTTTAACAAGAGTCGTATACGTCTTCACATCAGGATCTATCTTCTGGCTGTACATTTCTTCTTTCAACCGCTGAGCAGCTCCCATATTCCCTGCCTCGCAAAGACCATCAATCAGAGTATTGTAAGTGACAACACTGGGAACGATGCTCCTAATTCTTAACTCATCAAACAAGAGAAAAGCCTCAGCAACTTTCCTCAGATTAACGTATCCATGCATCAGAGTGTTGTAAGAGACAACATCAGGAGCTGCCATGTCAAGCAACAGCCTTTTCGCATCATCTACTCTCCCAAACTCGCAGAGACAGTGCATATAAATATTATAACTAGACGTGGTTGGAGAAACACCGTCACTGAGCATCTCGTCCCTAACACCCCAAGCTTCATCAAACAAGCCCTGTTTGCAATACCCTTCAATCAGCGGGTTAAACGAGTAAGCAGTGAGAGTGAATCCACATCTTCTCATATCTCCATGAAACCGCCTCGCTTCCTCCATTTTACCTTTCTTGGAGAATCCATTGATGAGTATATTGTAAGTCACCTCGGTGACAATCTTCCTCCTCTCCATCTCTGACACAATCTTGGGGACTTGCTGCAAATCTCCAGCTTTAAAACAAGAATCAAGCATTGTGTTAAAAGTGATAACCGTAGGGACAACGTTTCTTCTCTCCATCTCCGATACAATCTCCGGGATCTGCTGCAAATCTCCAGACTTGAAACAAGAATCAAGCATGGTGTTGAATGTGATAACAGTAGGAACGATTCCATGTTCCACCATCGTCATATACACCTCTCGAGCTTTATCCATCATCTTCTTATCCCTAAGAAGCTTCAAAAGTATGTTACAGTTTCTAACATTCGGCAAAAAGCCTCTCCTAATCATCTTCTCGAAGCTCAACAAACACTTCTCCACCATTGATTTATCAGTGTAAACCCAGAGAAACAGATCCAGAAGCTTGTGAGCAATCCGCTTATCGAACTTGTTCCCGTCAATCAGAAAAAGCTCGTCGATTTCGTGCATACCGAGATCGATGCACCTCTCGGCGATCCGAAACGCCTTGCACATCAAATCGTTCTCCGCTAAGATCTCGAGCATCGCGACGAAGGCTTGCAGCGACTGCTTGACATCGCGCTGCCTCTGGAGCCACCTGAAGAAGTGATAAGCGATTTCTGGCTTCTCGCGAATCATGTTGAGGACTCTGATTAGCAAATCTGGGTCGGCGAAGAGGAGACGAAACTGATTGGAGGACCAATGTCGATTAGGATTATCCCCGTGGGAAGTCACAATCAGATGAGCGAAATAGGACTCGAGATTGGAGGAGGAGGAAGACGAAGTTGGATGAGAGAGAGTAGAGAATCGGAAGAGGAAACGTAGCTTAGAGAGAGAGACGGTGCTGCTGTTGTTGGCAGTAGAAGTAGAGAAGAAAGATCTCGAAGCTCTGAGACAGAGACGGAGACATAGGATCATTGAGGAAACAGAGAGGAACACATAGGAGCCAAATCGAGAGAATCGTTTTCTGGGTTTCCCAATGATGATCCGAGACAAGGAGGAGCGGCCATTAATTCTCCACGAAGCCTTGTGCCATCTCTCCTCCCGTGGGGCGTCGGCGATCAGTCAATTCTCCCGGAGGCTACAATCAAAAACAAGGGTTTATCTCAATTGCTCTCTTAACCGAACCGGTTTAATCGCTTGATCTCCCATCCGGTTTGTATAAATTTTGTCCTCAACCACGGTTAATACCGTTAAATCCGTTTTGTTCTCAACTCTCTCCGTTCTGGAATCAAAATGAAAACCAAGGTTCTGGCTGGTTTAACCACGACCCAAAAATTTCACCGGTTTGGAAATCGGATTCGGTTTTGAAAAAACATGGTCATGTGATATTACCTACTCGTCCTTATCACTGAAAGTCTCGCGGTGTTAGCTACAGTCCACATGATCATGTCTAGAGAATGTTCGAAATCTAATTTCCGAAATGAAATTCTTGTTTTTGAAGTTGAGAATATAAACGTAAACAAAATCTTAAAGTTACATATCTATAGATTTTTGGGAAATGTAAGCAACACACTGAACAACACATATTACATGAATCTTAAAAAGACACATGCTCCACTTTCCGACCGAAGCAAAAAAAAGACTAAAAAAGAAAAATCGAAACTTCAAAGAAATATTGCAAAAAAATCCAAACTTTTATAACTTCCAAGAGTAACATTCTGCATTTCAACAACGACTTCATCTTCACATCTTTTATCCAACTCAGTCTCCATGTGTTTGATCGACCTTCGCAGCTTCCCACAAGCTCCCGAAAACGCGTCTGAAGAACTCTGCAAACGCTCAACTTCAGCCTCGAACTCATCAACATTCCCCTCTATTACCTCCACCGCTTGCTTCATCTTACTAATCTCCTGCGGCGGATAAACGCAAGCTCCAAGCTCGTCGATATGCGCTCCTGTTCCTTGACACTGCTTCAAAAGCTTCTCAAGCGAGTCCACAAACCCGCTCTCGTCCTTTGCATTCTCCATCTTCATCATCCCAGGCGGTGATAACTCGGATGAGCTCTTTAATCAGAGAGATCGTGTCAGAGACAATCTCAGCAACCATTTTCGCTGCTTCCATTTCTTCACGAGACAAATCATCACCAAAATCATCGTCCTCATCCTCATCACCATCATCTGAGTTGTGATCATCACCAGCTGGCTTGACTCGTTCATCTCCCTAGAACATCCTTCATCGAAACCGCAACCTGCGTGATCCCTCTACCAATCTCTGTTTGTTCCAGGGACTTTCTTGAAACTGGAACATGCTTCCCAAACTGCTCCTGAAATCTTCGGAATTGACGGCTTCTTCCCCTTCTCATATGATCCTTCTGCAGACAGAGAGCATAGAACAGTTCCATCTAAAGATTTAGATATGAACTAAGAAGAAAGCGTAGAAACGTTAGTTAGTATGGATTAACGTATAAGGAGACGGAGCCGCAACAATCTGAAGCTGGAATCGACGATTTGCTTGACAGAAGAATGTATGGTTGAAGAAAGAGTAGGACCGGCACCAATTGTGCTTCCATGGCAACAGAGCAAGAAGCCTTGAGGAGCGTTTAAGTAAGACTCCATTGCTCTTTAAGTGATTCAGCTTTTGGAGCTTCTCCAGTCCATAGCATTCCCACTATTTTAGAGTTTTAAGAAGAAAGACAAATCGAGAAATTAAACAAACGCAACTAAAAGGAATTTTTTTAAACCTATGGTGGCCTGTTTAGAGAGATGATCAGTCTATCTGACGAACATCGCTCCAGTTTACTTTCTCCTCTGTAGGAGACGCTTTCCGATCGAACAACTGCGAGAATTTAAGTAGAATCCGTTTCTAATTACGATTCTAATTCGTCGCGAAAACATGAGACAAAACAAAAATTGGTAAAAAGAAAAATTACTTGGAGAGTGTCGTAGATGGTATTGAGATGAGCGATCAGAAACTGATTCAAATCTTCTCTCTTTGGTTTCCCCATTTTCGTCTTGTCTTCCTTCAACTCTCTCGAACGCCTCTCTACTGGCTCAAGAGAGCTAAGGGTTTTGCTCGAACCCTTACTACGAGACTCCAAACGATATCGTTTAATGTTTAGGAGACTAATGTTATTACGGAATAGCCCTTTAGTAATTTGGATCTTAATTTTTTGAGTGAATAAACTCCAAAGTCTATATTAAGAGCTACACAAAACCAGATTACACAAAAAGAGGGTTTTTGATAGTTTGATTAGGCTGATAATCTGTGAAGTATCCAATTGTATTGTTTGGTTCATGAATCAGTTATGATCTCTTATACATAACCTGAAAAAACATATACTGTATAATCTTTCAGTCTGTCTGATGAAGCTGGTCTCCTTGTGAACCAGCTTAGGTTATCAAGATGTGGTTTAACAGTTCCGGTCTAATTTGGTTTTGACGAAAGCTGTTTCTGTTGAGGACTCCGGCCCCACCCAAGGGGCTGGCTGGTCCGTGGTACTCCGTACAAGTACAAACATCCCTAGCTGTCAGCAATTTACAGAGTAGCATAAAGCAAAACAGCTCAGAAGATTGGAGCCAGATTACATAAGGGGTCTTTGATTTGAGTAAACCCTCCTATGTTTCTTTCTCCTTATGGAAACCGATATTGAACAAAGACAGAATTAGCAACTGTAAATATATACGAACTGTACCGTGAGGGAATTAACCAGGTTTTGGTTTGGCACAATTTCAATCTAACCAAGTTTATGATCAATTAAGACAAAATTCGATATGGTAAGTCAAGTAAATAGTAATTCCAACGAAGATGATCAGATGATGAAATCACAATGTACAATTTTAAAACCAAGAATCTGGGAATTTTAAAAAGTTAGAAAATTTCAAATTATGGACAAGAGAGTTAAAGAAAGACGATCAATTTACAAAGAGAATCAGGAAGACGAGGAGGCGCCAGCATCGGAGTCTTGCTTCGTCGCCGGAGATTCTTCTTCCACCTTAGGGAGACCGAAATTGGTAGGCGCGTCGGGTCCAATCAGCTGAATCGCGGCGTTGTCGTAAGCGAGAGCAGCTTCCTCGGCGGTGTCGAAGGTCCCAAGCCAGAGACGGAGAGGTCTTCCGTTGCGAGGTCCGCCGCGAGTTTTGCCGCACCTGATCTCGGACGCCCACTTCCCCCACGGCCTCTGCCTCACGCCGCGGAACTTCTTAATCTCCCCCTTGGCAGCTAGAAGCTTCGCCGGAATCTTGAATTTAAACCGAGTCTTTGTCTTTCCGACCTCGGGGTTGTTGGCGGAATCGGAAGGGTGGTCGATGACGATCTCTCTGACGAGCTTCTTCCCTCGGCGGTGAAATCGCGATTGGGTGGTGCCCGGCTGCTCGTCCTCGCTGCTTGATGAGTCGGTCGCCTCCGCGTCCGTGACCGATATTCTCACAATTCGCTTCATCCTCGCCGGGAAATTTGGGGAATTTGACGACGGAGAGAGTTGGTGCTAGGGTTTGATCGGGACACTTGAATTTTAAACAAGGGATTTGTCTTTATGCCTCGAAGAATCTCGTTATCTCTGGCTTGTGCGTTACTTAATCCATTGTTTAAGTCGGTTTTTGAACAAAGTATTTCTAAGTCGGTTTTGAAAAAGGAAAACAATTTTTCAAGTCCATAGTGAATTGAAAAATCAGAGACAAGATTAAAAACGTCAAAAAAAAAGTAAAAAACAAAATCGAGATGTATTGAAATTGAGATTGTATATTGCAAAATCAAACCTGGTCCGATCTTTGCTTCGGTTTGCACTCAAATTCTCGTTCTTTTGGGCTTTTTCGGTCTTTTGGGCCTCATGATAACAATAATAGGCTTTCGTAATCCAATGACTATTTCTATTTTGATACAGTCGTGTATAATTTTGATCACTTGGTTACTGAACTATGTCTGCAAAGAACAGTTTTTCTGTAACTCAAATTCAGTATTATTGGCTATGTTTTCTCCGGTAATGGCAAATAAATAAATAAATAATGTATGGATCACTAACTTCATGTGACCATTGGAATTAGACGCACTGATCAAAATTTTATGCACGGAGCTCTTGTGAATTGTGACCTTTTACATGGAATCTATCAAAACTTATGTATGCATGCGTATTTTTAAAAGTATGGTATCGGTACCAATATTATTGGTTAACTCAAAATCCTGTAGTCAACAAGAAAACGTAATACCCGTTTTGTAAATCTTGAGATTTCGACATGTGTGGTGTGGTTTCTTGATAAACTAAGTATAAGAACATGAAAATCATCAACCAATTAATGAAAGACTGGGTTTGTTACAAGTTTTAATAATTATATTATTACAGTTAGGATATACATTTGAATAGTATATTATATGTATGATACGATACGACTGAATTATTAATTATTCTTCTCCACAAGTTACTGGACTATTAACAATTCGTATCCACAAGTTTCCGTGCACCACTAGATGTAAAGAGAAGGAAGATATTACCAAACTGGTAAAAGGGACATTTACCAAAATTTCAACCTAATGTGGCCCAAACCCCATATTTTTCCAAATTAGTTTATTATTAAGCACAATCAACTCTGTCAATTTAAAATATTTTGTGACCACTGATTATTTTTGTTGGTATACAATAAAATACCACAAAATATAAGAAACGTGACACAAGAGTATATGGAGATATTACAAAATACTATTCTTTGTAACCTAAAAAGAAATATCTATGAGAGGTGTATCCTTTGTCCTTTGCGACGCCACTTTTGTCCAACGGGTCAAATGGGATATATTTTCTAATTCATAGATCTTTTGGACAAATTGTTTTTTAACAAGTTCTGTTTTTCGTTCTTTTTATGTGTTCATCAGGTTATAACTTTCAGAGATTGATTAAGTATTCATCGTCAATTTGCGACTTTGCGTAACTAATGCCCTGAGTTCCACATGGCACGCTATCACAGCAACGACTAAGTTGACATACGCGCTAGATACATCATAAATATTGTCATTTATCAATGTTAGTTCTTCACTGAAATTCGAAGAGATATACTAACTAAAACTTTAGTAGAAAACATCTCGTGCCAAACCTATACATATTTAAAATGCAATAAGATCCTTTGATGAATTACTATGACAGAAGAAATCGCGATAGAATAGGAAAAAATGTAAAATGCATGCATCTCCTGCATTAGTTGATAAATTTCCAGTTATGTATTCTAGTTTTTCAATTCCAGGATGTGGGCTCCATTTTGTTTACTATATATAAACATATAACGTTTCAATTATTTTGCTTGAACAAACAAAAAAAAAGTTTCAATGCTTTGTATTCGTGTTGGTCGCAAAGCCTCTTGCGTGGTACACCAAAGTAATATCGCAACTAATAGAAATTCTAAAGTCAAAGTGCACCAATTATTACAGACTCAATAATAAGTTTACCTTTGCAGAGAGTCATCAGTGCATGGTTGCAAGATAGTTGGACAACAAACGAACCAAAATAATTTTTGTCGGAAAGAAAAACACAGTCTGCCGCTCCAGTTCCATTTTAAATCAGTTACTCTAATCCATATTTTTATAGTGTTCAGTGTGATAATCTACAGCTAGACTCTGATTGATTGTCATGATTTTTTATGGTTTCTTTTAAATCGCCTTACTGAATCATGGTTTCTTTAATTATTATTATTCCTTTTTGTTTTTGTTTTTGAGAACCGGTTTTAGTTATTTTAGTATCACATCACCAATATGTTTTATTTGTTGGATTTGTTTGCCAATTGGTAGAAACAATTTATCCAACTTGTAGTATTTTCGCTAGATGAAATACATAACTTGAAGAAATACTAGTACTCATATAATCAACTTTGTTTCTATAAACAGTTTAGTATTATATAGCAAAAGGAATTAACCGACAAGAGAAGAAGAAAATGACCCGATCAGTGAAAGGAACATTAGAAACCGCCTCGTTGTCCGCCAGGAAATATTTTGGGTGAGCACAATATCATTTTACTATATACATATTTGATAATACATTAGAGGGACACCTCCAAGGTTAAAAAATTATATCACCGCCGTTTACCACTTGTTCCTCATTTGTTAACCTTTTTGAGTTTTTTCTTTCAATTTGATAAGCGCAGACGGTGAATATAAAGGTCAAGATAGATTGTGACGGATGTGAACGCAAAATCAAGAACGCTGTTTCATCCATGAAAGGTTAGATCCTCTTGTCAAACACGATTCGCCTTTTCATGTTAATTAATCATTAGGGCATAAATTAATTGTGCTACAAGTAAATTATCACCACGAAATTATTCAGAAAACTCAAAACTTTTAAGTTTCTGCCGTAGCCACAATTTTTGTAATCTGACGTGTCAAACGCAGCTAAACGCGGTTTTACTAATATATACCCCACTCGTTTTTTTTTAACTCGAAGGAGCAAAGTCCGTGGAAGTGAACAGAAAGCTGAACAAAGTGACCGTGAGTGGTTACGTGGATCCCAAGAAAGTGTTGAAGAGAGTCCAGAGCACTGGTAAGAAGAAAGCTGAGCTGTGGCCGTACGTTCCGTACACGATGGTTGCTTATCCGTACGCGGCTGGAGCTTACGACAAGAGGGCACCACCGGGATTTGTGAGGAAATCAGAGCAGGCTCAGGCGCAGCCGGGAGGTACAGACGATAAGCTCATGTCCATGTTCAGCGACGAGAACCCAAACGCCTGCACCGTCATGTGAATCAGTGAATGAGTTTAGTACTTGACGTTATTATAGTTAGTAAACGTTTTTTTCATAAAGTTTGTAATGGAACCCTTTTTTGTTAGTATTGTATACAGTCAGAAGCAAAGCAAATCATAGTTGTAATTACTTCTTTTTGTTAAAAACTTAATAGTAAGTTCAAATACTTTGTGTGTTATTTTCGTAAGTATTTGGATTATTAGTAGTATATTAAGGCTAGAAAACCTTTAACTGAAATATAATGGAAATCTAGAGATTAAACCTCACCATATTATACACGTGAACTATGAAATTTTTTATTTGTTTGGTGTGAGAGAAGTCATTCACGGTGACATTCTTCTTTATAAAAAGAATGATTCCGTGACTAAAGGCGGAAAATATCATAATTATTTCAAAAATAGCATACATAAAATATACTTTATAATAGTATCAAATTTTGAGTAACCATTTTAGACCAAAATATTGAATTCACTCGATACTAGTAAAAGAGTTTTATGGAGGCAGTGGTTGGTTAGTAAAAAAGTTGAAAGATTCTATGACGATGGAGAGATCCTTGGCAAGTGAAAAGCAAGACATCAGACAGTTATATTCCATTTATGCCCCTATGTTCCACAACTATGACACGTGTAATATCTTACGGTAGATATTTATTTGATGACATGGGTCCCTTATTGTATCTCTACGTAATTAATGGTATTGTTCCTCGGTGGAAGTAGATATGTCGCTGATGATGTCTTTAGATTGGATAAGATAAGATATTTGTTAGTCAATAGAAAGTAAATAATTCAGTATGCAATTGCTTATCTTGAGTAGTGAGTACTCATCTTTTTATACGCTCATTTTCACCAAACATTGTATTAAAATTCGGGACATAGCATGTTTTGCCGACCACCCGTAAGAGGACAAGTTTTGTTGTAGATAAATTTTATAATTTCGTATAATACTATATATGCAGTTGGTTAAGAAAATGATAACTTATTTATGCGACTAGTTAACTGTAAACTTCTAAAAATATCTTTACCTACATCGCTAGAAAAATAATACTTGATGCACAACTAGTTTTGAACTTGTTCTTTCTATTTGATCTATTTGGATAATTAGTATAGTATATGACCCAATAACTAAACTTGAACCTTTCTTAAACCACTAGACTACCATTGACTTTTAAGCACTTGAGTCATATTTGAAGATCAAATTCGATGTAAGTAAGCATCGAACACGTAGAAAAATTAAATTACAATGAGTAGAGAACTAAATACATCATCTTTTTGTTGTTGTCAACGATAACTAACAAAGAAAGAAAACTAAAATACGATTAGAGGACATGAAAATACATAATTGTCGGGTGATGACATGACTAGTTATTAATTACGACCAACATTGTCAATTATGCATGTGAAAATATGAAAGACCCAAAACAAATGGACCGCTATAAGTAGTAATACAGCAAACGCGTGGCGTAGAAGATAGTTCTTGGAAAAACTAGAACTATGGAGTCAATGTTTTGTTGATGCTGATAGAATATTTCAACCAGTTAAGGCCCAGGGTTTAAGAGCTTCTGTTATGTTCAGTTGCCACATGTACGGTGACATGAATGGATAACTCATTCGACTTGACACATTAATCACGGCGGGGTATCCACCGTAAACAGTAAACACAGGATAATATTGAAAATGTGCAGTTTACATCAAGATTTAATACGTTAATATATGTAATATTGGCTATGGATCTAACATATCATGTGATCAATATAAAATGAATTTTGTAACTAGATTATGTTGTGAAATGGAAATATTTAGACTATTAACTGGAGGTGGGATTGGCAACTCCTAAATCTAGAGAGATTTTATCACATATACAAGTTTCGATATATGAGTGTTTTTAGTACGTCTTTTCTTCTCGTTGTGTATAGTTTAACACTTGACAAAAAAAGAAATTTCGAGTGAACCAAACATTGAAGACACAATCATTCATTCATGGGTCAATATGGAATGGGCCTTGTTTTTCGTTTCCTGCCTATAATAAATTGATCTAAAGGGCCAAAAGCAACAATAATGATAAACTTACACTGTACATAAACAATCTGGAGGCCCTCACGTTTGCATGTACACTTTTTATTTAAAAAGTGTTACTAAATTCATGAAATGGTGGAAAAGAAAAGTAAAATACAAGAAAATGTTGCACGCTCGAATTAAATAAAATTGGGGAAAGAGAGGGAGAAGCTCGAGAAGAGTATGGGAGGAAGAAAATTAACCCCACACACTGACTAGACTTAGACCGTTGGGCCCGACTCTTCATGCATGCACTCTTCTGACATTTCCATTTTTTTATATATAAGACATATTTCATTGAATTAATAGTTTATGAATACTTATTATTGGAATTTGGAAGTACTAAAATAGTAAAGTATATGTACAACATATGCTCGTTTAGATAATAATAACGTTCAATATTCAAAATGGTCCTTGAATGTTTATGTTCGAATGCAATTAAATACTCCAATATTCAGAAAGTTAATGAGGGAAATAAAGAGGGTAGTGGTCAGGTCACTGTAACTTTTAAGTGTCAGTCTCACTCACTCACTCACTCACTCACTCACTCACTCACTCACTCACTCTACTTTTAACTTTTAACTTTTAAGTTTTAAATTTCAGAGCAAAAGTCTCTAAACCCAAAGCCACTCAATTGCCTACTTCAAAACTTAACCTTCTTCTTCTAAACAAACCCCAAAAAGTCCCTTTTCTCTTCCAAACAATATCCACAACGCTTTATTCTTTAAATACTCCAATATTCAGAAAGTTAATGAGGGAAATAAAGAGGGTAGTGGTCAGGTCACTGTAACTTTTAAGTGTCAGTCTCACTCACTCACTCACTCACTCACTCACTCACTCACTCACTCACTCTACTTTTAACTTTTAACTTTTAAGTTTTAAATTTCAGAGCAAAAGTCTCTAAACCCAAAGCCACTCAATTGCCTACTTCAAAACTTAACCTTCTTCTTCTAAACAAACCCCAAAAAGTCCCTTTTCTCTTCCAAACAATATCCACAACGCTTTATTCTTTCTTCTTAAGCCATGGCTAAAGATGAAGACTTCAAGCTCCTTAAGATCCAGGTACTTGTAACCAAGATTTCCTCGTTTATTTATTATTTTGCATTAATGTCTTAATTGTGCTAAATGGCTCTATTTATTGGAAAATGCAGACGTATACTCTTAGAGTCAACATCCATTGTGAAGGTTGTAACCAGAAAGTCAAGAAACTTCTTCAGAGGATTGAAGGTTTCTCCTCTCTCACTTTCTCTCTATCAACCACCATATCACACATGCAAAACATTTCTACTTACTTATCTTGGATTCTTGATGAGTGCATTGACTGGTTTTTGACCAAACAGGAGTTTTCCACGTGAAGATAGAAGCAGAGCATCAAAAGGTCACTGTTTCAGGATCAGTTGACTCAACCATACTCATCAACAAGCTCGTTAAAGCCGGCAAACACGCCGAGCTCTGGTCTCCAAACGGACCAAACACAACCACCAACCACCAGTTTCAGAAACCCAAGACTAATGAAGTCATCAAGAACAACCAAAAGGGTCAGAAGCAAGGCTCAGGGAAAAATGGTCTTGAAGCTTTCAAGCCCAAGAACAGCACTAAAGGCGCGGCCTTTGTCCCCGAGGAAGATGAAGACGGCGGCGAGGAAGAAAACGGAGTTGTTCAGTTACCAAAACTGGCGAATCAGCAGCAACAAACCACCGTCAACTCCAAGAAAACCGGTGGAGGAGTTCCGATGAACAATGGAAACAACGCTTCAAAGAAAGTCAACCCAAAACAGAGCAACCAAAACCAGAACAGTCAAGCGATGGCTGCGGCGGCTATGAGAATGAGGAACGCCGGAAAACTGAGCTCCGGTGTTGAAAGCAACGAGATTGGAGCTCTCATGGATCTCGCTGGTTTTAACGGGGCAACAAACGTCGTGAATCCTTCACCTGGGATTCAACAGCTTCAAGCTCCACCTTTAAACAGCGTCACTAATCACAGCATAAGCAATGGTAACGGAGCAGGAGGAGGAATGATGATGAACATGAATGGATACAGCAATCATCATGCAATGAACATGCAGAGCAGGCAAGTGATGCATCATCATCAACCTCAACAGATGATGTATCAAAGACCAGCTTACGTTCCAGCATCAAGCAATGGGTATTATTACAACTATACCCCGAATCCTTACACTTATTATCCTTATTACCCTTACCCCAATGAGCAGCATCAGCAGAGTACTCATTCATCTGCAACAAACATGTCCGGTGATGAAGACACTAGCAACAACAACAGCTGCAACATCATGTAGAATGTGGTTGCTTGGCAAAGAAGTTATCAAGAAACAAGACAAAAAAAGTTTAGTCTTTTAGTTTGTTAATGGCTAATGTGATATATTATTAGTGTTTAGTATTAATTTTTTTCTATCAACTAGGCTACTTTTGTTCTGCATGTGTTATGTGGCCATTTTGGTTTATGACAAGTAGTTTTTTTTGTTGTTGATGCTAAAATTGACATGAAGTGTGTTGGTAGATAAGAATTCCCAAATGCTTTCGATCTCTATTTTTGAATGTGTTTTAACGTTTGGAGCGTTGCAAAGGTTGAAATAGTTAGAGCGGTATTGAAATGGTACACTGCTTCTAATTATTATTTTATCTTTAACCGTAATTTGATGTGAGATGCATTGCGTTATGAAATGTGGTGATATTCATGAAGTGTGGTTGGTGCGTTGCCACCATTTGTAAAAGAGCGTTTAGAGCGGTTGATTTTGTCATAATGTGATTTGTGTGTATCTCACGAAAAAATATTCTCTCTATCCACTCGAAAGTTATTCCACCTGCTGGCTGCTTCTCGGTAGGTGTCTCGTTATACGGGTCACCTGTTTATATTTAATGCGACATGATTCGATTTTTAAATTGGACTAGTGAAAATACTGTTGTAGCCAGTCATGCATCAATCAGTTCTCTGTTTTGAAAATTTGAGATTTACAAGATACGCCGAGGGAGATTTGGTATTTACTTCTTTTTGGAGACTGAGAATAAAAAAAACAATTTGATCTAGCTAATTCGATCCATGTTTTTATGTTTTGGGTTTTAGAATTCCAATCGTGTTTCGGCCTCAATATAGTAGCCCAACATGCTGTTTACAACAATATAAAATCATATTTTAAATCCTCGACATCCACACAAGATTCTCCAACCATGTGACAAAAACATGCAAACAAGAGAAAGCAAAACATTTTTTCTGTAAATTTTTTTATGGAATGGGACGAATATTTACTCATACAAACGCTTTTCTAAATCAAATTCAAAATTTAAGGGTTATAGCATTAAAATTTCGACTAAACAAATAGCAAGCCCATTCACCACATTTTGGTCACTAATACATCAAATTCTGGTATGGCCATTTGCTATATCACTGTAACAAACGCAGAAAATGTGGTTGTGTTTATGCCTCAATTGTTTGTGGTTGAGTTTAACTAGTGTATACTTTTCCAAATGAACTCACAACTTTAGCCATTTGAAAATATGTTTAATACACAAATAAAAGTTTTAGATAAATACACATTTTGATTGGATATATATATGAAAAATATTCTGTAATCTATATTAAAAAAAATAGATTAAAAATTAAGTATATGAAAACTCTTTACCAAATATTAATAGCAAGGTAGGACACTAAAATTATAGGTAAGTGGTAACTAAGAAACATTTGGTACAATGACTTTGCTTGATGTTCCGTGTTCGGTTCGTTTGCATACTATGTTAATATAATAAAATGTAGTTTGCGCATGACTATCATGGATTACCAAATGGACACTCGGATGTAAGAAGAATTGAGGTTAGGAATCTTAGGATAGTGTATGCATTTTCAAATTCCTTTCACACTTGACCTACTTTTTGCGACATGAGCCGTGGGTTGTTTGCCTTTGTTTTGTTCATTTATTATCAAAGTTTGTCTTACTTATAAATTTATCGAGCGACCTGTTGGCGTGATAGTTTCGGAGATTAAGTGGTTAACAACTAACAAGAATTACATGTGTAGTGACGCAGCAATGAGATTGATTTACTGCAATTTCATGAGAATTTGTCATACCAGCAACACTAATAAAAATGAAAATACTTATTATGCATGTGATTCCACCAATTAAAATGATCTAAAGTTACTGTTTTAAAAAGAAACTCATCTAAAGTCTTATGAAGTTAAATGGACACATACACCTCTGTGAAATTTGCCTATAATACAAAACTAATTTTTGCTATTAATTAAAGGCCATTTCTTTTTGGATTTTCTCATTTCATAGTGTTCCCTTGTTTTTCTACAGATGCCATTGTATTTGTAATTGCATATACGTCGCGTACCAACTTTTTTCACCTGTGAAGCCCATACGAACTTATTTATTTATTTATTTATCATACTATACGAAATCTATCTCTTATAAATCTTAAATGAGATTCTGGTGTCTTTAATCCTAAGAGTCTTAAAGACTCGGAACTGATTGCTAACCGACAACCAAATTAAGGAGTTTAAGATCTATTCTCGATCACATGACTCATAGTTATACCTACCAATCAACCTACCTTTACGTACTACGCTAAGCTATAAGGATGAATCATTAGAGTTAGGCTCTCATTTGTCACTAAGCTTCCTTTCTTTTTATTTTCACTAGTCATTAAGCTTTGCACATTATATGCAACTTTCATTAAATGCATACTTCGAAAAATCCGGTACTAAAGACTAATAAGGGTGTGAAATGAAATCTCACAAAAGAAGTGTAAGGACAAACAAATAACCCCAAAATAAACACATTGAAAAGAAAGGTCATTGAATAATTAAAACAAAAAAGATGCAAAATGCCATCTGCACATCATGCAACCTTTTGAAAAACAAAAGTAAAGTTAAACAAAAATTAGATTAATGATAGAATCCTATACTCTGTAATAAGAAGACTCGGAGGTGTGAACCAGAGACCACCACGCTCTCTCAAAGACTCAAACACACACAATACTTGCTATATATATATCTACCTAATCTCAACGATCAAGAACTTAATTTCTCTCTCCCCAAGTTAATAATTTACTCTCACAAACACACACACACACACACACACACACACACATACGCACACACAATTGAGTTGATAGTTGTCATAAATGGAATTTAAACTGTGTCGGAGGAGGATGAACATAGCCATGGTGCTAGTAATAACGTTGACGTGGCTCGGTGGCACGTGTGGAGAGTTGGGGGAACAATTGTTCGAAGTTGGGAAGCTTGAGATGTTCGTTGACGAGCTTCCAGATATGCCTAGGCTCAATGGCTTCCACTCTGTTCATGGCGATCTTAAACCCACTTCCCTTCAAATCGGCATGTTCTTCACCAAATGGGTACACTCTTCTTTATCCTCATTCAATCTTCAAGAAATAATTAAAAGTTAAAAAAAATGTATTGGATTAGATTCTTCTTGATTGGTGAGAATAATCGTATTTCACTTGCTTACGGTATTCGTGAAAAGATACGAGACATAATGGGCTTCGGACCATATTCTCCTAGGCCCAGAATTACAAATATATTTTTTTGTCCACAGAAATTCCATAGAGATTTGCCTCCGACGCCAGTGTTCGCATTCGGTACGTCGCGGAGCAGAGCAACAGTTCCTGGTCCCACGATCGAAGCCGTCTATGGAGTTGAAACATACGTGACGTGGCGAAATCATCTCCCTTCATCTCACATCCTCCCTTGGGACCCAACAATCTCCCCCGCAACACCGAAACACGGTGGAATCCCCACGGTGGTTCATTTGCACGGCGGAATCCACGAGCCGACCAGCGACGGCCATGCCGACGCTTGGTTCACCTCCGGTTTCAGAGAGACGGGACCGAAATGGACCAAAACGACGGCGCATTACGAGAACAACCAGCAGCCTGGTAACATGTGGTACCACGACCACGCCATGGGTTTGACCAGAGTCAACCTTCTCGCCGGTTTGTTAGGCTCGTACATACTCCGCCACCACGCCGTCGAATCTCCTCTCCAGCTACCAACCGGAGACGAATTCGACCGGCCGTTGGTCATTTTCGACCGGAGCTTCCGTACAGACGGTTCGATTTACATGAACTCCACCGGAAACAACCCGTCGATTCACCCGCAATGGCAACCAGAATACTTCGGCGACGCGATCATCGTGAACGGGAAAGCGTGGCCGAGATTAACCGTCCGGCGTCGGAAGTACAGATTCCGCATCATAAACGCCAGCAACGCCAGATTCTTCAAATTCTTCTTCTCCAACGGTCTCGATTTCGTCGTCGTCGGATCCGATTCTGCGTATCTGTCGAAACCGGTGACGACCAGATCGATTCTCTTATCTCCGTCGGAAATCGCAGACGTCGTCGTGGATTTCTCCAAATCTCAATCACGCACGGCGGTGCTAGCCAACGACGCTCCGTATCCTTACCCTAACGGTGACCCCGTCAACGAAGAAAACGGCAAGGTCATGAAATTTATCATCAGCAATCAGCCAGAAGCTGACACGTACACAATCCCGAAGAAGCTCATCGAGTATCCGTCTGCTGACGTGTCGAACGCCGTCCTGACGCGTTACATAGCAATGTACGAGTACGTTAGCAACTCCGATGAGCCAACTCATTTGTACGTCAACGGCTTGGCCTTTGACGCTCCCGTGACGGAGACTCCAAAATCCGGTACAACCGAGGTACGTTATTAATTTACCGGTCTAAATATAAATCAATAACGGAAATTTGAACGGTTTAATTAGTCTCTTAAATTTTCATAAGGTATGGGAAGTGATTAATTTGACGGAGGATAACCATCCGTTACACATTCATCTTGGACTGTTCAAAGTGGTGGAGCAAACGGCGTTACTAGCGGCGGCATTGGAGGAGTTTAAGGACTGTATGACGGAGCTGAACGACGCCGTCAAGTGTCATATAAGCAAATACTTACGTGGGAAAAAGACGGCGGTGACGGCGCACGAGAGGGGTTGGAAAAACGTGTTCAAGATCATGCCGGGACATGTGACGAGGATACTGGTTCGGTTTTCTTATATCCACACTAACGCATCTTACTCGTTCGACCCGACCCAAGAACCCGGATATGTCTACCATTGTCATGTAAGTTAACAACTTTGAAATTGGTAAACGTTACTAGTTATTACATGGTCGTTTTTAAAGAAGCTTAATATTTTGGGTTGCAGATATTGGACCATGAGGATAACATGATGATGAGGCCGCTTAAGATCATCAAGTGATATGACATGTCAATGTTAATGGTCTCCACAAGGTTTTTTGATAGTGCAACATAACTCCTGAGAAGATTCAAACAGATTATATATAACACAGTGCTAAGAATAATAAAATGAAACCCATTGAGAATGTAATGTAATAATTATAATTCCAAAATTTTAGAGTTTTGACAAGTTCTTAAGAGTAACTCTCAACCTGTATTTAGCCAATGTCAAGATTATCAAGACAAGTAAGTGCCCAAGTGACTGCCCAAGCTACGGCTTCAAGGATTGACTTCAGCCTAGGGTAAGTTTTGACACCAAACCACCGAACATCACCATTTATGTCTCTTGAGCTCTAACCAATACCACAAATATCTATATCAGACTTCCAAACAACATGCACATTGCACTTGAGAATGTCTAGAGGAGGAGTCCACTTAACCTTCTTGGAGTTTGTTAAGTTCCACTTGAAATATTGATTTCAGGAAGTATATAGGATTAAACGAAAATAATAAGTGTATATCAGTATATGCAAGACCAATGAACAATGAAGCGAAATCAATTTTCTCAAGGTTTGATAAGATGGAAACTAAAATAAATACGGAGTTTAAAGTTTAAACGGTCATCAGAACTCCAACGACGACATGCGAAAACATAAAGCCCAAAGTACACAAGTCCTAAAGGAACAAACTTGTAAACGCACAGTAACGTACACAATTTCTTACTACAAAACCACGGTTTTGTAACTTTTCAATTTCTTTTTAACGCATCAAAATATATTATATACAATACGGTATATAAAGTATTAAATACACAAGATATGGTTGGTGTATAAATTCAATTTGTCGAGTAGGGTCTAATGCAAGTGGTTCACCGTGCTTCATGGTTTTTGGGTTAGCTCTGTGTCTCTAGCAGACGCGACGCATACCGCATACGAGATATTATCACTTTCTTTTAATATTTCTTGTTGTCATTTGTCGATTTTGGTTCTTTTGTGTGTGTCTTTGACAGCTTCCAGGATGCGATTTTGTTATTGCATTTAATATGGCCACGTTGTGTTGTTAGAAGTTCTTTCCAAGCTGCTTGACATTGTCTCGTTATTGTTTTAAACGACTGTACATATTTGTACGAATGCATGTTCTAAATAGAAAAAAACATCAAACTTATAGACCATTTACAATGAAGATCATCGGTCGAGGATGGTCTTACCAGAGATGAAAGGGGTAATTACACAAATTTTCCTTTATGCGTTAACAAGTCTTTTTTCTTCTTCCAAGTATTCAATTAAAAAATATTAATGGAAAGTAATAGTATTACCTAGGTCATTATCAATTATTACTACTAAAAACGTTGTAAAACTATATAAAACAACATGTCCTACTATTTGGTCTTAGGTAATCATGTCGAAAAGATCAAATAAGAATTCTGACTAACAACAGTGATTAGAGTTAAAACTAACAATACTGAAAGTCGTGACACTTCACACTTGATTATATTTGTCCCAATGAAATGAGAAAGCAACTTTGAATGGTGTTTCTGTTTATGGCATTTTAGTTGTTCTGATAGATTCTATACAGACTACAGTCAATGGTCGTTATTTTTCCTGTGCAAAATAATATAAGTTCCAATTATGCCAAATATATCTGAACAGGATAACTTATGATTTTGACTTTTGAGGATGAATTATATCGATCTGGTCTTGAATTACCTGTTGTACTAACATTCAGATAAATTATTCAAAACATTAACCAAATTAAATTAAAGAAAACCCTACAATATAGATACCAATCAATGATTGATGATTATAATCTGTTAAAATTTCATAATTTCTTCCGGCCAGAACAAACAGTTAACTAAACTTTGACATATTAAGGTCCATTGTATTTATTAGATTGACCCATTCCGTTTACATTATTAAAAGCCATTACATTTTCTTCCTATCTTATAAAGAAAAAGAATGATAAGATAAAGTCGGCTTTACAACGAAGCAAGAAAAGAAAATGTAATGGTGCTCGATCACTCTTCTGCATAATTAAAGCGTGTGTGTGTGTGGTTCATTTCCATTATATGTTTTTGGTTGCATTACAAACCATAATATTCCAAAGCCAACTGTATCCTCTCCTTCTTGTTGTTTTCTTCTCCTCCATCTCCCACCGCCAATTTCGCTTTCCTGTTTTCTTTTTCCTTGTTTTTATTTATTTATAATTTTCATAATTTTCTTATTTATCTACTCATTATTCCTTTCTTTTATTAATAATAGATAAATTTATTATTTGCATAATAAAAACTTCATATTGAAGAAGATAACAAGTTGACAAAAAAAAATGAAGAAGATCACAAATAAATTTATGACACAACGAACAAGAGTGAATTTAGACCATTTGAACGATTTTATTATTATTAATTGTTACGAAATATTTAATTGTTTTTCGTTAGCATATTATTTTTTATACGAACAACTGGCCATTAATTTAATAATTCAACCTCTTTAGGTAGACTTATTCGATTATTTCTGATATAACAAATGATTTTCTTCTATATTCTGTTATTTGTTTGTGTGAAGCGTTAATTTACTGAATATTTTGTTTTTATGGTATAAACATATGATTGATCATATTATGATTTTATATTCTTATTTAGCACGTTAAATACTGGCTTATTTATTTACAAAAATATTTGTAAATCTACAATTAGTAACATAACAAGCTAAATTTCATTCAATTTTTTTTTTATCGTTACTCGTACTCATTTGTTATTTTGTAATGTCAACTTTTCACTTCATCATTTTTCAATAAATTGTTTCCACTTCCAGTATCAGTTGTGTAAATTTTTGTTTTTGTTTCTAGTATCATTTAACTGACTCTCACTTAAACAAATAATCGTTGGAGTAGAAAAAGAATGGACATAGACGTAGGGGCCCTGCAAAACGGTGCCGTAACAGCGACCTCTCTCTTGACAAATGGTCGCGTGGATAAATAAAAGCGATGTTAAGTCGCTTCTCTGAGTAGAGCGAATCCCCAAGTTGATTTATATTCTTTTTTTTCCTTTTTATTTATTTTTCGATCGACGGAGGCTGATCGGCGTAATGGCCGGAGTAATCGTCTCACCGGCCTCTCTGCTCGATCTTATCGCCGAGATTGCCGAGATTCCAGTCAACGCCGGCGTGTTCAAGAAGGATTGCGTGGATCTCACTCGGCGAGTCTGTCTCTTGACGCATTTGGTGGAGGAGATTAGAGACTCTAAGCCGATCGATTCCGCCGCATCGTCTTCGTTGATCTCATCGGAAAATGACTGGTGGTCTGAGCTTGTGTTGGGGCTTCAAGCCGCGAAGCGTCTTCTATCCTCAGCCACCCGATTCCAAGCTCGCGACTCCTCTGTAAGCAAAATCTACGGAACACAACATTCAATTTTACTGAGAGAATCAAGCCATTAATTGTACATTCTAGTGTTCTACAATTTCTTCCGATCGCATTAAATTCCCAGATTCAGATGTTCAAATCTTTCGTAGAACGTAGCTCCTATTAGGATGCCTGGTTTAGTATCGGTTCAATGTATTTAAATCGCTGATTATATAGTACGGTTATCTCTGGTTTGGCTGAACGTTGATTTTTTTTTTCTGGATTGAAGGGTGGTGCTGCGAAGAGAATCTCTTTCCAGTTCCAATGCGTTACATTGAAGCTGGAGAAAGCATTGAGCAATCTTCCATACAATCTATATGATATCTCTGACGAAGTTGGAGAACAGGTAAAAATTGAATCTTGATTTTGATTTTGAAAGAAGAGATGATTTCTACTTTCTAGTGTTTTTGGAGCTTTAGAGTTTACTTTTTAATGGATATTCAGGTGGAACTAGCGAGATCGCAGTTGAGAAGAGCAATGCAGAGATATGGGTCGTTAAATTCGAAGAAGTTTTCCGATGCCTTATCTGAGCCAATGGAGAGAGACGCTTTTAGCAATATAAAGATCAAATCGGAGGAAGAAAAGCTTGAGAGTGTTTCAGAAACAGTTCATTTTGCTGAGGAGAAGAAACAGCTGAGGAAAAGCAATTCCATTTCTTTGGCCTTTTATTTGTCCAAAGACGCGGATACCGATAGGTTAGACAAGATGGTCACCAAGAACACTGACGAATCGAAGAAGTCTGATAAACTCGCGATTCCAGTAGATTTTCTTTGTCCGGTGTCTCTGGAGCTGATGAGGGATCCTGTTATTGTCGCCACAGGACAGGTCTGATTCAAGAATCCAAAGCACTTTATATATAGTTTTATTGTCATTGCTTGGTTGTTGATATTATCTCCATTCAATGGCAGACTTACGAGAGGGCGTACATACAGAGATGGATCGACTGTGGGAATCTAACATGTCCAAAGACCCAACAGAAACTCGAACACTTTACGCTGACTCCAAATTATGTTCTCAGAAGCTTGATCTCTCGTTGGTGCACTGAACACAGCATTGAGCAACCTGCAGGTCACATCAACGGCACTTCAAACAACCGTGGAGACATGTCAGTGATCCGGGAATTGGTTCACAGGCTCTCAAGCCGGTCCACAGAGGAACGCAGGAACGCGGTTTCCGAAATCCGGTCTTTGTCAAAGAGAAGCACAGACAATCGCATTTTGATTGCAGAAGCAGGAGCGATCCCTGTTTTGGTGAACCTTTTAACCTCGGAGGACGTTGCAACGCAGGAGAACGCAATCACATGCGTTCTCAACCTCTCTATATACGACAACAACAAGGAGCTGATAATGTTTGCCGGTGCAGTCACATCCATTGTTCAAGTCCTTCGAGCAGGAACCATGGAAGCAAGAGAAAACGCAGCGGCTACACTCTTTAGCCTCTCGTTAGCTGATGAGAACAAGATCATAATAGGCGGGTCCGGTGCGATACCTGCCTTGGTGGATCTGCTCGAGAACGGAACCCCGAGAGGGAAGAAAGACGCAGCCACGGCGTTGTTCAATCTCTGCATTTATCAGGGAAACAAAGGCAGAGCGGTTAGAGCCGGTATAGTGACTGCGTTGGTGAAGATGTTAAGTGACTCGAGCAGCCACCGGATGGTTGATGAAGCTCTGACGATACTCTCTGTTCTTGCAAGTAATCTTGACGCGAAGTCGGCGATAGTGAAAGCCAACACTTTGCCGGCGTTGATAGGGATTCTACAGACGGATCAAACAAGAAACAGAGAGAACGCAGCAGCGATATTGCTTTCGCTGTGTAAGAGAGACACTGAGAAACTCATCTCTATAGGTAGACTCGGTGCGGTTGTGCCATTGATGGAACTGTCCAAGAACGGAACAGAGAGAGGCAAAAGGAAAGCTGTGTCTTTGTTAGAGCTTCTCCGTAAAGCATGCTAATTAGTGGTCTGACACAAATGAAAGAAGGTTCGTCAAAGCTCTCATTTTTTTTTTATGAAAGATTTGCTTGTTGGCTGTTTCTTATAATTATGTTAATATTTTGTTCAATTGATTTGATTATTTTTTTACGGATACTAGTTCCAATTTGTGGAACCGAATTTGGAGATGGTGAGCCAAAGAGGGTTTTCGAGAATCGAACTCTTTTTTTGTTTGCTCGCTGTGTATTTATTTGTTACATTTATAATAATATTGGGGAAGAATAAGCATTGAGATTGATCCTTTATATTCTTTCTGGTACATGAATCTCCACTATTGCTCGATCTCAACTCAAAACTTAAGGTAGATTGGTACTTCACGGAATTGGTTAATGTGAATTAGTTACTTAGAAGAGAAGCAACAGTTGATATAAATAAAGAAATGATTAGGGTACATTATTCGTTAGATGTCAAAATTATTCACTTGCTTCGGTAGGCAACTAGAGGGCCACATGTTCTAATAAACCGGCGTGATTACCGGAAGAGTCAATTTCATCGCTGGAGGTATCAATTGCCGGTACTTCACATAATGGTCTAAGTGATGAAAATGACGGATTCCGAACTCAATGATTGAATTATTTTCGAACAAAAATTATATTTTTATCATCGGGACTGTCTGAAAGTTTCTTCAAGACCGAAAGCGAAGTGAGTCATATTAGTCTTCTCATTGTTTTGTAGTTTTTGTTTACCAAAATGGATTACTTCTATCTTCAACCACCCATAAGCCATAAATCCCGCAATTTCAAATGAGGATAGTAGCTTGGAAAGCAAGAAACCAGAAAGTCAGGAAGATTAGGCGGTAGAATTTAAAACTGAAAGGCACTACTAAGATTAAAGCTAAACACCATGAGCATTAATATACAAAATGGACGGGACATGTATGATATAAATACCAATGAGATTCACATATCAAAGCCATCTTAGCTAATAAATCGACACAACGATTTTTTCAGCATTGTTTTTTTTTTTTTTTTTTTTTTTTTTTTTTTTTTTTTCACACAAGTGAAGAAGAAGAAGTAGAACTTCACCAAATAATGCATCGGCAAGACAATTGTTCTCCAAATATTCTCAACACAGCATCCATAAATCAGAAAAACGATTGATCCACATTCACACATAAATGCAGCTGAAAATAGAATTAAAAGACTTGACATTTCTTCTTCTTACCACCACATTTCATATTCAGAACCTAAGAAAAGAAGAACAAGAAAATGAACCAAGACGAATGCTACTTTATTCACTATGTATAACTTTCACTTACCGCCTCTCTTTGGAATGATCGTTGTGCCTTTCCTGTAAAGCCGTATCTTTAAAGTGTTATCAGTCAGTCATGTTCACTTCTCGATCTTATAACTTAACTTCCATTAGCCTTCTCTTATGCTGAAATATTCCCAAATCAACTTCCCCTGAACAAAAACAAAAAGTTTCAAATTTCTATTAAGAATTTGCTAAAGACGCCAAAAGATGTTAAAAAATAATCAAAGCAAAGTTATAATTTAGCAACGTTGTTGGTTTTTTTATTGCTACCAAGCTACCCCAATAAGTTGCTTGATACTTGAGCTTTCATTCATGGCATTTTCTACAAGCCACTTGTATGCACCATATGAAATTAAGCGAGATGTCTAGTTGCACTTTTCTGCTCATGTATGAGATCAGATAATGTTTTGTTTTCATTATGCCAAAAAAACTATTGGATAAGTGAATATGTCTTTTACCTTCCATCAGCGCTTTCAACTCGCATCTAGAAAAGTTTGCGATTCCATAAGCGATGTTTTAAGAAAATATGGAGCTTATCACTGTTGTATCCCTTCTCAACAAAACGTTAATGATGTTGTCTGGCTCTGGTTCTGGCTGCAATGCATCTGTTGTGATGCAGAAAATTCAAATGAATTTCAGAATTTACCAAAAAAAAAATAAGAAATGGAAATTATGATTTACAAAGAGATTTGCAATTGCTACAACAACAATCTCGATGATGTCAAGGTTTTTAGCTTCGTTTATTACTGTTTACAAATGAGAGATAACACATTCTACGATCATGTCCACATGTTTTTGGGAATACTAATTGCTTAAGAAAATACATATATGAATGATAAACTCGGAAAAATAACAACTTGGATTTTTTTTTACGGTTTCTGGCAATATTGGTGACCGCAACAACGACCACATATGTGAGCACATTATTTGTTGAATTACCCATAATCTTCATAAAACTTAAGTGGGCAGGAGCTTTTGACATATGCTCCAAATTGCTGACTGTTTTACACAGTAAAAGTTATCTTAGTAATGATAAAACCAACAATGAAAAAAAGTCATATGAGTAACCTTCAACACTAAATCTGCACATCAACATCTTTATCTTGAAGCAGAAACATATCTATACACAAATCGACCCATACAAGAGACAAACATATATATCAATTATGTGATGTAACATTGTTCCATCCACTTTGTGTTTTTTATTTATTTATTCTATGTTACCTAATAATTATGAAAACATAACCTTGAGTTAAACTTCAAACAAATTTTCAAACGTACACTGATTTTCCCGATAAAGAGCATTCTTTTCGACAAGAGCTTGGTTAGGAGCCTTCCTAGGAAAGTTGAAACATAACGACAATCAGTTTTTGTGTTCCATTTGTAAACCAACATTTCATTCACTTTTCTTTTTTCCTGAAAGTTGACACATAAAACGAAAAAGGGTGTCAAAGAAATCAGTCAGAGTCCATATGGTTTTGATGCATATCTGAAATCTTTCTTTGACGTGCTTTCTCTCTGTGTGCAGCTGCTTCCTCAGCATAGAGCTCTTCGTTATCCTATATTGAACATATTGTCTTTAGCTATTGGTTTTGATTTATTAAATCCAAATTGAATGGCTTTGTTAAAGAAAATATGATTTAACTGAGCCGAAAATTCCAGATGGTATCTAGCTATTGGTTTTAGAGTTTCGTTTATTTTCAAACGTACAAAAGGTAAAAGACTGATGGTATTTTCCATTTACCTTTTATCAGTGTTTTCAACTCGCATATAGCAGATCAGTTTGCGATTCTATAAACAAAAATTTCAGCAAATATAGAGCTTGTGAATGTTGTCTCCCTTATTAACAAAACATTTACTCAATAGATTGGGTACTAGATGGAATCACGCCTTTTGTCACGGAAAATACACGACTTGAGCTCTCGGCGGAAGTGGTGAACAAAGTTTTGGACTTGCATGATAGATTATCTTGGGGAGAGACACCGGAGACCGGATGGTAGATTCACAGTTTCATCGGCTTATTGGTTCTTGTTCACACCTGATATGGGTCATAATAAAGCTACTCCATAATCCGTACGCTCAGCAATTTTATTCCATGGTTAATCTTATTGGCCCATACAAATTATATAGGCTGAGTCTTCTATCACAGGCCGTGGCCTAAAAATGCGATGCATGTCTAACTTTTCGCTCTTGGAAAATTATCCAACTTTGGTCCCTTATCCTATTTAGTATGATTACTGTGTTTTTTAAGTACTTTTTTTTGGCACCGAATATAAGACTCAGATTCTCCTTTACATGTTGCTATTTTTTGTAAACCCTTCTTTACATGTTCCATGGCCACCAAAACCGTTTTCTCCTGTAATATATAAAACAAATTTATCTTTAACAAAAATATATAAAACTAATTTATATATTTTTATTCAACAATACTCTACGCTGTTAATTTTTTTCTGTCACGCATTATTCTTCAATTACACGAAAGCATTTATCCATTTCCTCTCTCTCCTTTACGATAGCCATAAGAAATATTTTCCTGCTACAACTGAACAACTAAAGCAAAGTTCCTTTAAAAAAAGCATTCACTTACTCTTTAAGCAACTACACGCACTCGCATATATACGATTCGATATACTCGTTGAACTTTTATTCAAGGTTTGGTTAAAAAAACATTACACAATTTTTTCAAGATAAACCATTGACTAATAAAGCAAACTTACGCACATATCTACAAAAAAAGGAAATTAAATACAGAGATACAGTATTTGTCTCACACATGTACTATATATGAATTAATGTATACGACGGTGGGATTTCATTTCAGTTACTAATTAGCTCCACAACTTAAAATATTGCATAACAAGGAAAACCAAAATAGCTCATGTGATCCCCACCACACATCAAATAATCTGAACATTTCGTGGACCGACGGGTACTCCTTAACCAACCGCATTCTTAAATTTCTTATTAGTTTCACACTAGAATAATTTTTGATAATTATAATTCGTTAAAAATAACAAGACTAGAAGCCTAGAGAAATAGTATACACTATTTATAATAAGTCTATGAGACCGTCCCATGCACTTGGCTTACGTAACGAGAACGCATTCATCATCACCCTCTCGTTTCGTTTTCACGTCTCCTCTTTACTTCTTTACTGATCTATAACTCTTTTAAGCGTATAATCTCCACAAACTCTTGATTTTAGTTTCTCTTCAATCGATTTGCAAAACTCGTCGATCACACAACACAACATGCCGGGAAATTCAAGCCGCCGGGGATCCGACGTGGCAGTCATCATATTCACCGTGATGATCACGTTGCTGACGTATCCAATAATCATCAACGCTTCATCATCATCATCATCAGATTCTTCTTCAGTCAACATGAGGAAGCTCGACGAGGTCGATCCCATAAAGTGCTCTCCAAGCTGCGTCCAAACTCCACCTCCACCGTCCCCTCCACCACCGTCTCCGCCGCCTCCGGCGTGTCCTCCTCCGCCGGCTCTCCCACCACCGCCAAAGAAAGTCTCACCCTACTGCCCACCGCCTCCGCCTCCGCCGCCGGCTAATTTCTTGTACATAACGGGTCCGCCTGGTAATCTCTACCCCGTTGATGAGCAATTCGGAGCTGCCGCCAGAAAAAGCTTTACCGTGGTGAAGCTCTCCGGTCTAATCGGGCTCGTAATTCTGGGGTTCTTGATACTTTGAAACATGACCGGAGATTTGTTGGTATGTTCGGATACTTTTAAATTAGCTATTGATCGTTGTTGATTAATAATTTTTCTAGCTAGATTATATACATGTTTCATCATATTTTCCTATATCCAAATTTACTAATGGCTTTTTAACCAAATTAATAAGGTACGTATACGTGGACCAAAATTGTATTAAATGGAAATTATGTAAATTCTAGAAATGTGATATCTTTGTCTGATATGTTCTGTGTCAACTTGTTGCTCGATTGATTCTCGAAATTGGAAAGTTTACTTTATGCGGAATAATTTTTTGGAAAAGGAAATTATAACTTAACAAAGTTAACAATGTAAAGTAGAAAAGGCGAAAATTTATTTGTCCTGTTTGGTTTCCACTTCACGCTTCTGCTTACATTTCACAAATAAAATAGTTAAAGAAAAGTCAAATATGTTTTAACTAAAGCAAAGTCATTTTTAATGACATGAGTCGGCGTATAAAAAGTGTTGTAGCGGAAGATTATATTGTAGATGAAGATATCTTAAACTAGGAAAGGAGGATTGTTGATGATTTTACATATATATATTAAACTGAGAAAAAATGTTTTACCTCAAGAGTGTACTTCAATAATCTGGACAAGCATATATGATCTAAACCGAACCAAGATGATCGATTTAAAAACCAGAACCGAAATATGGATCCAACATGATTTTGTTAGGTAATTTTTAAGCTGAGACGCATATGTGTCGATATCAAAAGTAAAAAGGACAGGTGTTGATGCTCGATGTAAGAGAGAGAGAGAGAGATGAAAGAAATGGAGATCAACATGGGTTTTAACAAAATAGGTCCCGCAACGCCGACCTCAGACATGACATGTGCGTCTGTTTCGCCTAACGCTATATTTCTCTACCGAATCTCCGTTTCTTTTACTTTTATTTCTCTACCGAGAGTATTTACGTAAATCATATATTATTTAACCAAATGTGATCAACCTAAAACAGTATATATTTGTTTTCAACCTGGAATTGAGTTTTAAGAAAATATACTATTAAATTTCTTTTCTGTATTTAACCTTTTTTTGTGTATTATATATCTTGGAGTATGAGATATGAGATATGAGATATATTCGTATTCGACTTAAAACCCAATACCGATCGCCTCATCATGTTTCAATTGCTTTTACAAAAATGAAAGAACAAATAACTTTTCCAAATTAGCAAAGAAAGAAAAGACACGGAATCAATGAAATGAAGTCATTCGCTAATCTCTAAGTTTTTCTATTAATGATAAGTTTTGAAATAATTGTGCACCACACAGCTGTGTTTATGCTTTTATTGCCTCAAAAAGGCAACGGAACACATACTCTTTTATGGTTTTATAATTTCACGGAAGCTCTCTTAGGTGATTAGTATACATTGTATACCATATTCTCCTTTTTTTTCGGTTTTTGTTTTTCTTACCTGATTGTCATTATCACTTTTGACTTATTTTGGTAAGAGGTTTGTCACGAGTTGTAGTAGCTATAACTACCGCACCGTCTTTTACAATTTTGTGGAAATTCATTTTTGCTAGTACTACTTTACTATTTTGGGTCAAGTTTTTGGTGTAGTAGCAAAATAGTGCCAATTTGCCATTACTTTTTTTGGGAGAAAGTGATACGCAAAAATTGGCGCTATTGGTGTGGTATTCGTGGAATCGTGTGGGTCTTTACGATTAGCGTGAGCTTTTGAAATATTATTCAAGAAACGTTCACGACTTACATTTTACGAAGATAACTTTTCATTTTCCAAAAGAAAGCACTTATCAATACCATCTACTAAAACCTCGAACAAGATGTAAACATCTATGATGTACCTTCATAGCCTTCAAGATCACTATTCACTCCACGTGTAGTCCTTAAGAGGTATGCTCTCGAAATTTCCTCAAACTTGTAATCATAGGACACGTACCATATTATTATTTAAAAAATTGAGTTATTTATTAATGAGACTTGACACGTCGACATCGACTTCTGGAAACCGATAGCACTATTAGCAATCTAACCATCTTTCTTTGGGAAGGTTAAATTATTATACACCCATCTACCACTTTAAGCATCAGTGACGCATTGATTTCTTTAGAGGACATAATTAGGTCATCGTAGTGGGTTGATATGTAGAATATACATATAAAGTTTGTCGTTAAACAAAAATGGATTTCTTAATTTTCTTTATAAAATGGTTGTGCATTACATCCCCTTTTTAATAACGCAAAGCATGCATGTTCTTCGTAACTTTTCTTGGGTCAATAACATACAAATAATCAGCCAACGAATCGTGTACACTGTGCACCGAAAAGCCCGTTTATAAGTATAATAATCAAACTAAGATCCAAGAAAATTACATACTATATATTACATCCCCATGATATATGGTTTACTAGTATTTGATTTTCTTAATCACACCAATAACTGATGTGATTAAGGAGGATTATAGTTAGCAACCACAGTTCCAATAATTGATAAGACAAATGTCTTCTAGCTAAGACTCGACACTTTCCAACTAAGCTTTCTCCAAAACTTATCTTTACTTTCTCGCGCTTTCTCATACAGAAAACAAACCTCTCTGTTTACCATTTTAGTTAAAAGAACCATTTCTTCATCAAGAAAAGGTTAAAACAAATAATAAAGAAAAAAAATGTACAGAAACGATCATAGCCTTCTCCTCTCAAACTTAGTCTTAGTCTTTTATCTTCTCTACTTCCCATACTTAGTCTTCTCCGAGACTCCGTGCCCATACCCGTGTTATCCGCCGCCCATTGCCGGTGGCTCCTCTACGCCCACCATGACTCAACCACCGCCATTTCCTCCTCCAGCCGTTAATTACCCTTCTCCAGCTGGGAATTTACCAAACTATCCTTCTCCACCGGACAGTAGTGAAGGCAGTAGTAGTGGAAGCAGCTTCTATGGTACTCCTCCACCGCCGGACGCTATTTTGCCATACTTTCCCTACTACTTTAGAAAACCTCCTCACCAAACGGATCAAACGTCGTCGTCTTCACTCGTGGAGGTTCCATGGCAGTTCACGGTGAGGATTGTAGTCATTTGGCTTTGCTTAAGTAATTTTATAGTGGAAAAAGTTTCGTCTGCTCTATAGTAGAAATATTGTAAGATTTTAGAAAATATTCAGAGAAATGATATTTGAATTTTCACTCATTATATTAGTAGAATAATACATATATGCAATTTTAAAAGTTACATCATATTGACCAAAAGAAAGTTCCATCAATAATTTGTCGCGATCCCTGATTAAGGATAAGCACGAGCAATGTCATTAACGTCACTTTTCGTGGGTGACTTCGCAGTGGTTAACGAATGGACAAAAAGATAAGTAGACGAATAGTTTTAGTTTGTCTCTTTTATTATGTGGAAAGTGGAAACTCATGCAAGCTGAAAACGATAGTTAGGCTGTCTCCAGTTAAAGAATTTGGAAATTAAAATGAAACTTAAAGTTGTAACTTGTAAGAGAAAAAAAGAATTTAGTTTTTAGATTTTCTTTCTCAAAGAGTATTACTCTAAAGCTAATAAATTTTGAAGTTTAGTACGTAATCTTCAACATATTTATATTTAATAATGTAACATGTATGTGAAATATAAATGCAAATGCACCACTTTTGTGAAATGGAGATTTGACAGAAAGTGTAATACAAATTCACCATTTACACATCTAAATAGTAGATACACATATAGTCTCGACATATATATGACTGGATACGTAATAAGTTTGGTGATTCTATCATAAGCTTATATAGGTTCTTATAGTTTGTTAATATGTATTTGTGTTTCTGACTAATTATTATAACATAGAGACACAAATTCAAACTTAAACTCAAAGAAACAATCAAGGTCATAGTACTAATTGCAGCTGAAGTTGAATCTAAAGAACACAAAAGCAGAGACGGTGAATTGCTCTTGTTCAATAGCAGACTGCCTAAATGCTAAACTTGTTCTATTTGTGTTGTTTCTTGCAGTCTGGTCGCTGCTCTTTGGCAGTATTCCATTTAGACTCTTATCAAGATCATCACTCTGTTTGCTAACATTTACTCTTGACCTGTCTATTTGCCATTGACCGATCACAACAAGCTTTAGATGACTGTTCCTGAGCATCACCTCTTGACGTTTGCTGAGGCCTAGCTTGTGTGATTTTAGGTATTGGTCTTGCTTTAAAGAGATTTTTATGCACTACAACTTCCAACTCTTTCACCAGAATATTGTCGTCATAACTCACGCAAGAATCACCGAACTGACTCACAGACTCTCATCTTTCTCCGTACAAGGTTGATGATAATGATGATGAACAACTTCCCCCCATGTTTGAGCTTCTATAGAACTCGGAAATCTGATTCTTTTCATCTTAAAATGAGCTCTCATCTGAGTAACAGAGCCTGGTTTAGATAATTCCTCAGCCTCTTCTATATATATCTATTGTGTGAGAAGGATGATCTCTTCTCCCCCATGATAAAGCTTTCTTCTCAAATCTTCCAAATGAAACGGATCCTGAGTGGATTGAATTCTCCTGCAGCCTCATTCAGTAACTAAATTTAAGGCTTCCAAATAACCAAGGCCTAGTGAAAAAACGTGTACTGGAAGTATGTTTCTGTTTCGTGAGTGTCAAGCTAAGAATAGAAGGATACATGGACCCCTAGATCTCAAGATAACGAACCAAGAATAAAATCCAACTTAAGCAGGATCAATAGACAATTAGGTCCATAAAAACGAGTGAAATCCCAAGAAAGACAAGTATCAAACTGAATAGAACATAAAATCTGTTTTTGTGTCAAATCATCGATCAAAGAAAATTTGCGTATCATTCAACCACATAATCTAACAAAAAAAGAATTGATTTCGGCATGATGAATTAAAAAAAAAATGCTACAAAGAGAACAAAAGTATGTTCATTTGAAATCAACATCAGAGAAAAATCTATAACCTAGAATCAATTCAAAGAAAACAAAAGGTTGGAATTTTGATTATTCTTCTCTAAGGTATCACATAATCAAGATGTAAAGATTTTATATTGTGGATATGTTCAAACCGTAAACTACTAATTAACCATTATCACGTCAAAACAAAAATACGCTAATCCTTCCTATCGTGTCTTGAACTGTTACTTACATAAATTTTGCACAGAATTTGTTCAAAAAAAAAAAAAAAAAATTGAAGACAATGGTGAGTAAATTTTACTACACTCTCTTCACTCTCTTCCTTACAGTCCAAGTTACTCTTCAGTTCCATTGGCATACACCTTGTAGGCGTCTGTTCTTAAGCTCGATAGCAGGTTCAGAACCACCAGATACCACGACTACCCGCATTATCTGACATAGTTTGATAGTAAACCTTTGATGTAGTGTGTGTTGGGTGTGTTCGTGTGTGTTGATTAGTGTTCGTGTTGGGTTATTTTGATGAGTAATTTCATGTATTTCTCTATCTGTGTAAATCTTTGAAGTTTCGAACATGTCAGATCTTTATCTTTATTTATTTTTAATTTGATTATGATTTTAGTTAACACTGATTTAATTAAATGAAAAATGAGCAATTAAGTTGAAGAAGTCGCTTAAAACACGCCTTTTACATCTCTTCTCTCTCTATGTTCTCTGCGACAAATTGAGAATTTGAGATGAAAATCTGAGATGAATTTTGGTGAAGGGAGAAGAAGAACTGGTTTCTTCCTCAACGCGTGTATTTTCTCTGGGAATCAGGTCAAACTAGTTATCATCATGTCTAGCTTGTAAGATTTTTCTTCGCCATCCGCAACCTTAATTGATTCTTTTTGATAGACATCAACTCTGATTTTGAATTACAAAAATTAAAAATCAAAATTTCCAGAAATTTGAGTTTTAAAATTGTTCTGGGCACTCTTGTTGGATTCTTTGGAGCTGCGTTTGGTAGCTTAGGAGGTGTTGGTGGGGGTGGAATTTATAACTCGGCATGATGAATTAAAAAAATGCTACAAAGAGAACAAAAGTATATTCATTTGAAATCAACATCAGAGAAAAATCTATAACTTAAAATCAATTCAAAGAAAACAAAAAAGGTTGGAATTTTGATTATTCTTCTCTAAGGTATCACATAATCAAGATGTAAAGATTTTATATATTGTGGATCTGTTCAAACCGTAAACTATTAATTAACAATTATCACGTCAAGACAAAAATACTCTAATCCTTCCTATCGTGTCTTGAACTGTTTCTTACATAAATTTTGCACAAAGTTTGAAGACAATGGTGAGGAAATTCGTTTACACATCAACGGAGTTACATTAGTTTTCTTAGCCAGAAGATTTTTTTGCTCAAGAGCAACATCCGATTGTTCACCATTTCCATTTTTAAAATATCTTAATATATTTTCCATTCCCATTCACTATCCTAGTAGTATTGTTCAACATCCGATTGTTCACCATTTCCAGAGATCTAATTCTCTTCCTTACCGCGGTTCCATTCGCGTATACGTTGCCGGCTTCTGTTCTTGACCCGCATCACCAACATTACCTTCCAGAGTTCGATACTCGTTCTCCCACTCACCAAGATTAGTGTTCGTGTGTTTTATGATATTGTGTGTTGTCTTAGTATATAAACCATGTAACACGTGATGTAACAACAATCAAGTTTCAGAGAAATAAAATAAACTTCCTCGTTTCTTGTCTTCTTCACAAAGAGAAGAGATAATCATTTATCTCTTACTCTGTCTTTGTCTCATTCTTTCTCTTCTATGTTTCAAATCAATAATTCAACAAATAGTAGATATATAGTCTCGACAAATGACTGGATACGTAATAAGTTTGGTGATTCTATCATAAGCTTACATAGGTTAATTATAGTTTGTTTATATGTACTTTGTGTTTCTGTGTTATCATAACCTAATTACTATAACACAAAGACACAAATTCATACAGAAACTCAAAGAAACAATCAAGGTCATAGTACTAACTGCAGCTGTAGTTGAATCTAAAGAACAAAAGCAGAGACTGTGAATTTCTCACAAAGCAACCTCGACAGCAGACTACCTAAACGCTTAACTTGTTCTATTTGCGTTGTTTAATTTCTTGCAGTCCGGTCGCTGTTCTTTGGCAGTATTCCATTTTAGACTCTTATTAAGATCATCCCTCTGTTTGTTAACATTGAACTTAGTCTTGACTCTTGACCGGTCCATTTTCTATTTCCATCATTCACCAGAATATTGTCGTCATAACTCTCGCAAGTATCACCGAATTTGTCTTGTTCTTGGCTATGTTTGAGAAGAACTTGATGATGATGAACAACTTCCCCCCATGTTTGAGCTTCTATAGAACTCGGAAATCTGATTCCTTTCTTCTTAAAATGAGCTCTCATTTGAGTAACAGAGCTGCTGGTCAAGAAACCGTAAATGCTTTTATTTACTCTTTGGTTCGGTTTGTTGTGATTAGCTTTTCAGTTTGGATCAGATAAACCGGAACGCCGAACCAGTTTTACTCTGTTTCAGACAAGAAAACGCACATTTGCACCTTTTTCAGCGTTTTGTGACTAAAATTAATCTGTTTTGTAATCTTTCTAGACGCTGAAATCGCCGAATTTCAAAGTTACATTCAAGCTAGAGGTTCTAAAAGGAGGCGGATCAGGTAGCCAATTCTATCTAATGGACATGGGAAGCTGCTGGAAAAACGACGGCAGAGACTGCGACGGCGACGTCACCACCGACGTCACAAGGTACAGCGAGATGATAATCAACCCGGAGGCAACCCCGTTTGCAACCGTAACCGCCTAGGCGCTTGCCCGCCGCAACACACGTTTCCAAACGGAACTAAGATTCACAGGACGGACAAGGAGAAGTTCCCTTACGAAGCGTATCACTATTACTGCGTTCCGGGAAACGCGCGTTTCGCGGAGTCTCCATACGAGGTTTGCGATCCGTACAGTAATCCACAACCGCAGGAGATTCTGCAGATCTTGCCTCATCCTGTGTGGGAAGAGTTTGGGTATCCGACAAAGAAAGGACAAGGTTGGATCGGAGATCCAAGAAGTTGGGAACTTGATGTCGGAAAACTCTCTCAATCACTCTACTTTTACCAGGTACTGTGTAATCTATACGTCTGCGTATACGTATGACGTATCTACAATATTACGTTTTGTTTTCTTCCTTTTTTCGTTAATTCCGAACACAATAACTTTGCAGGATCCAAAGACGAAACCAGTGGAAAGACATTGGTCGTCAATAGATTTAGGAACTGAAATATATATGAGCAAGGATCAAATTGCAGAATGGACTGTAACTGATTTCAACATTGTTATACCAACGACCGTTATGTAAATGTAAATACGCTCTAATAGAAGACAGATATCAACGATAAATTCCTCAAGAATTTATATAAACCGACTGGTTTATAAAAACAGAAACCCGGCAGAGACTATTTTTATAAACCGACTGGTTTAATACCATCTGTAGTGTAAATGAACCAAATAACAGAAACGAATAGGTAATTAATTATTGGACCTTTTTCTAATTATAATCGAACCGAATTTATATCAAAAATAAAAGGAAGTATAGAACCAATCAAATTACAACAAAAGTTCTCAGGTTTTTTTTGTTTGGTTCCGTTTATAAACCGAAAAATGAAGAACAAAAAAAGGGAAATAATGGTAGTCAACGAACTAAGGCTAGTCAACAGAATTAAGAATCGTCATTGGATATCTTTAGTCTAGTTAGGTGGTCTTGATGCAGTAGATTATTCTGCTGATCTTCCCTATAGACTGAAGAAACCACCGGAAGACGGCACCAACCGTTAATTAACAGGCGTCAAAAGCCGAGAGGAAAAATTCTCCGAGAGAGTTTTTCGTTTCAGTTTCTCTTTAAAGCTATCGATTGCGTTTGTTTGGGTAACGGGAAAAGCGAGAGAAATCAAATCGTAAAGGTTGTTCCTTTTTCCTTTTTCCTTCGTTTGTTTTGTCTGTGTTTTCGTCTTCTGGGTTTTTTAAGGGTTTCGCTCGCAAAGTCGAGAGGTGGTTATAATGGCGGGTGATTGTGCAATCGACACCGAGAAATACTCTCTGTTGGAGGATTTCAATGTCGATGTCGAAGTGGAAAACCAAAAGTTTGAGACTTTCTCTCTTTGCTTTTGGGTTTATCTCTTAGATTCCACCACATACCCTTCTACAATCATCAGACAGGTGAGTCCTCGATTGCTAAAAGCTAGCTTCTCTGAAATGTTCATCTGCTGGATTCATGTCTTTAACTTGTGTATAGTCTTCTCACTTGTTTGGAATTGGGGATAAAGGTTGGAACTTTTGAAATTTCAAGTACAGCCAAACGACACCCACAAAATCTTAACATAGATACCACACATCGTACAACGATGCCGCATAACAAAGTCAGAGAAAATAAAGAAATTAAGCCATGCATGGTTACATGATTACATCATAATCATGAAATAATTCAAGATCAACACGACTTTCCGCAGGAAGGACTAAGAGCTTTCCTAACTTTAGGAATAGCGGGTTTGATATAGACAGATCGGTCCTCACCACGTTTAAAACAATAATACTCACACGCCCTAAAGCAAAATAAGCCATCTTGATACTTAGGCATGCAACTATGGCTATAGCATTCTCTTTTGCACACATGTGGATCCACTTGGCTTGCATGTAACGATTTGTTTCCATCGGATCTCTTTGGAGATATCTTTATCTCCTCACTGTTCAAGCACCATGCCATGTTCAATAACATAGCCGCCACTATTATCAAAATTACCACTCTCTCGTTGATTCCCTTTGCACCCATATCTCTTATTTGAACAATTGACTCTCTTTTTGCTAGATTTGTCTTCTTGTTTTGAGGAAATAGGATTCGATTGTGGTTTGCATTGGTGATGTTTTTGAGAGAATTTATAAAAAGTGTATTTGTAGTAGCGGTATCTATTTTAAGGTTTGACGTTTGTCTTCGGTGTCTGAGTAACAAATTAAATCACCTTTGACCTTTGTTATTTGTTTTATAATTACAAAGACAGATTGTCAACAAGTAACTGTTTTGATTTACACAAGATTATTAATAATTCATTGCTTTTACACCAAATTTGTTATGTTTTTGTTTCTGTTGGATCCTAAATTAAGCTGTTTATATATGAAAATATTACGTAAACGTTTTTGATTCAATTCGAGCCGGTTTAGTGCGTATCGTTTTTCACGTTTTCTTGTTTATACGTGAATTCTTCTGAAATTCAAGCGAACGTACGTGAAGAAATTTTGTTCCAAAATTCTGGCCCTTTAGTGTTAGCTTTCTTTAACATTACTCAACGTTAAAACTTAATTTCAAGAAAATAATATAAAATAACTAATGTATGACCAAAATTTATTCGGGTATAACAGCCAAACCCAAAAGAAGAAAACACACATCATAGAGAAGTATCATAACTTAGAACGCAAGTAAACTAAGGCAAAATAGGACCAATACACGATTTCAAAACATTGCTTAGGACGTACGGAACTTGTGGAGAGCAATGCTCAGTCCTCACGAGATCCACCAACAAATAAAAGGAGCAAATACATTCCTTTCTAATTTGAAGAATTCAATCCACTCAGGATCGGTTTCATTTGGAAGATTTGAGTAGGAAGCTTTATCATTTGGAGAAGAGATCATCCTTCTCACACAATAGATATATCTAGAAGAGGCTTCCAAATAACCAAGGCCTACTGAAAAACCGTGTAGTGGAAGTATATTACTGTTTCGTGAGTGTCAAGCTAAGAATAGAAGGATACATGGACCCCCTATATCTCAAGATAACGAACCAAGAATAAAATCCAGTATCTTAATCCTAAACTTAAGCAGGATCAATAGACAATCAGGTCCATAAAAACGAGTGAATTCCCAAGAAAGAGAAGTGTCAAACTGAATAGAACATATAATCTGTTTTTGTGTCAAATCATCAAAGAAAATTTACGTATCATTCAACCACATAATCTAACAAAAAAGAATTGATTTCGGCATGATGAATTAAAAAAATACTACAAAGAGAACAAAAGTATGTTCATTTGAAATCAACATGAGAGAAAAATTTATAACCTAGAATCAATTCAAAGAAAACAAAAGGTTGGAATTTTGATTATTCTTCTCTAAGGTATCACATAATCAAGATGTAAATATTTTATATATTGTGGATCTGTTCAAACCGTAAACTATTAAACAACCATTATCACGTCAAAACAAAAATACTCTAATCCTTCCTATCGTGTCTTGAACTGTTTCTTACATAAATTTTGCACAAAGTTTGAAGACAATGGTGAGGAAATTCGTTTACACATCAACGGAGTTACATTAGTTTTCTTGGTGGACCAATGGAGAACAGTTTGATATTTAAATCAAATCATGGCACGGGTGGAGCTCCAACACCCAAAGCAAACAAACCTCAACCTCCAATGTCGCCGGTGGAGAAGCTTCGCGGTGGCGGTAAGAATGATCGCTTTGCCGAGTCTCTGTCGCCATCGAGTTACTCTCCCGGACCGGATCTCTCTGCTCTCTCTTATTCGGTGGCTTCTATGTCATCCTCTTCTCACACACCCCACACGCCTTTTGAACGATGCCGAAGAGGGAAAGTTGGAGTTAGTTGATTCTTCTTGGAGATCGGTTCGTCGTTCTTCATCGAGATATGGTCGTCGGACCCAGGAACCCATGAGATCTTTTGTAGTGGCTCCTCAGAACCGTCACAAGTTTAATCACCACTTTAAGAGATCCAACTCTCTTCCATCGTCTTCTTCTGTTCCAGATTTACCTCTCCCATTCAACATTGGAGAAACATATGACGTAGCTGAGGATTATCCCCGTTGAGGAAAGTACTCTTTTGATTATCCGCCTAACCAGCATTGAAGATGAAGTATGAGGTGTAGTATGAACTGTTTTATCTTTGTGTGTGTTATTTAATCATCCGTATGTTTTTTTTTTTTTTAGAACTAATCATCCGTATGTTTAAGCATGAACTTGTGTGTCTTCATCATACTATTATTTGCAAAGTCAGAATTTCGAATGGAGCCACCACGTTAACTCTCAGCCGCGGAATTACCGAAGTACCCTTAATGAAAATCTTTCAATTAAATCTTCGAATTTTTCTTTTTTATTAAAAACGAATTTGATTATTGACTTTTAATATTTTTAGATAAATATGTTAACTACCATATTCCCGCCTTATTTTTGGAAAATTATAAATTTTAGAAAGATAAATAAAAAGTAAACCCTAAGATTCTTAACGACCATGTCTTATATAAATAGATACGAACAAGGAAAATCAACACAATTCTCATTACGATTTACAATTCCTCTTTTTATACGTAATTTTAGTTCTTAGATCTCATAATTCTTCTTTTCATGTATCTTAATTGTTTTAGTTTGATCTTAGTTCTATTAAATCTATTTATGAACTGATTATTTGTTATTTCTGTCAATATCATCTATTGATCCGCTTCTAACTTCTTCCTCTCTCACTTTTGTAACAGAAAATTCATTATTTGTAAGCTGATGGAATCGAGAAGTTCATATATGGTCCCAAGCCAGAAATATTCTTCCCCAAAAATAAGGGTATGAACATCTTTTCTTTTATATATCAACTTAATATTCATGAAACCCTAATTCTAATGGCGAGATTATAACGTTTTTTGTTTTTCCAGTATCCATATTATTAGTTTCATAACGTTTTTTGTTTTTTCAGTATTCATATTATTAGTTTCATAGTTCATATTAAATCTTAAGTTGTGACTTTAATGAATCAGGCACCTACAAGAAGCTTTTTACGAAGTATGCACAAGAAAAAGGCTGTCAAGATGTTTAGAGACCTCATTAAAGAGCTCTTTATCTTTGCGGTACTCTCTTACTCAGCATTATTAAATGTGGATAACCCAACCATGTTATAACTTTGTTTGGAATTGAATTTATAATTACTTTCATTGACATGTTCTAGCTCATCATCACTGGTAAGTTTCAATTCACGAACTGCTGATAGTCTGAAAAGGAATTGTTGAGGCCTTGAGAGACTGGAGATCTTTTTACATCTTCGTCTCTATAAGATTTTTTTTAATCTTAAAGAGTTTATTAAAAAAAACTCGATTCGCTAATTCACAATTTCTAATACTTTTGTTCATTATCTTGCCTCTCTATAAAGTTCGGTATCCTGTCTGTGAAGGCTTGGTAGCATGGAGGGAACTGCCAAAAACAAAAGGGTTTCTTCTCTGGAATCTGATTAACTTATTTTAAAAATATGATAAGTTAATTCAGACAAAGAGACAAGCTTGGTTGTGGTTAAGAAACACAACTCAGACGATCCTCTATCCGAAATCAGATGCAAATTGATTTCCACAAGAAACACCAGCCACAATCTTGATAAACAATGAAGTTAAGAGTTATAGTTCCAGTGAAATTGGTGTTGGAGATACCAAGGTTTTGAAGTGAGGTAAACAAAGAGATCTTAGGAAGGGAAATGTAAAACCAACTGTAATAGAAACGACAAAGATGTCTGTAACGAGTTTGTCGGAGGTGAACAACTGATGTAAGGCCATTGATATGGATCGGAATGAGAGAGATTCAAGACAGAGAAAGCTGCTGGTACAAAGAAAACCAGAAAACTAAGATGTTACATAAGACAAATAAAATAAAAAAGATGAAAGAAGTATAACTGAAAAAAGAAACATATGATAAAATACTTATGAAAAATAAAGCTACGAAAAACTAAAGTACGATGGTAAACTTTTTATGTTTGCATCCATGGCAAACTTTAATGTTAGACTATTAGTTGTCTTACAATAGGTATGTTGCTTCTTTGTTTTTTTTTTTGTTTTTTTCAAGATAAAATAAGAAGAAAAAACATGAATAAAAATAAGGAAAAGATAAAAGTGGGAAGATGAAGACGGGAACAAATAAAAGAAGAAAAGAATTAAAAAATATGTGAACAATAAAAAAGTTGAAAAGTGAAAAAAATGAAGATTAAGAACAAAAAGCCAATTGAAAAAAAAATTAGAAATAAAAGTGAAAAAACGAATAAAAACCAGGAAATAAGAAGATGAAGAGAGAAAATAAAAAGAGAGTAGAAAGTTTGATAATAATAAAAACAAAACGGTAGAAAATGAGGGGAAAAATATGAAAGAAGTAAAAAAAACAAAGTAAAAGAAGAATAAGATAAAAATGGGGTTGGGGTTTGCGATGCATGATTTATATTGATAGGCGTAAGGTTTAGTTTTTGGTGCATTTAAAAAAAAAATTGAACACTACATTACCGATTAAAAACAAAAAAAAAACTAATTTGTAAAATGTGGGGTTTGTATATGCGATTTGGAGGGGGTTGTGTAATGTGGGGTTTGGGTTTAGGATGTAGAGTTGTTTAGTAGGGGTGGTGGTGTTACACTATGGAGTTTGGGTAGTAGGGTTGTTTAGAGGGTGGTATTGCACTGTGGGGTTTGGGTTTAGGGTGTAGATTGTTTAGGGGGAGTGGTGTTACACTGTGAGGTTTGGGTTTATGGTGTAGGGTTTATATTGATGGGTGTAGGGTTTAGTTATTGGTGCATTTTAAAAAATTTGAATTATGATGAAAGAATATCATAATTAAAAACCATTAATTATAAATTATACATTTCTAAATTACATGAAAAAAAACTAAAACAATTAAAGTAAGTCCAGAATCGAAAGATAACAAAACCAAAATATTCCTAAAAGATTTTGACTATATAAAGATAAAAAATATTTCATAAATTCTTGAAAATCTAAACTATCAAATGAATTAATAGGTGAAATACAAGATGTAGATAAGAACTAATAAAACACAAGTATAAGAAAAGAAAATAGTGAAAAAGAAGATGGGATATTTGCAGAAAAAGTAGAAAATTCGAACATGAGGAAAAAAAAATCATAAAAGAAAAACAACAAAAAGAGAGAAATAAAATCTTAAATAATATGATATCAGAAAATACGAAGATGATAAAGATAGAAAGAGGGGGAATAAAGAAGAAGAAAAACCAAAAAAATAATGTAAAAAAAAAAATAGCGAGTTGGAGAATATAAAGACACAAGAAAGATTGAAGAACAAAAATTGGAAGAAGAAGAAGAAGAAGAAAAAGATGATAAAAACAAATATAAAATTGAAAGAAAAAGAAGAATATATGATAATTGGAGAAGAATAAGAAGAAGATGTAAACAAGAATTGTGAAATCTTTTGTATCTCTCAAAGTTAATGAAAAAGATTATGTAGAAAAAATAAATAAGAGAAGACAAAAATAAAACAAATCAACATTTCAAAAATAAAAAGTAGAAGAATACAATAAAAAATTATACTACTTATATTCTTAAAAACTTTAATTAATTAATGTATTTAGAAAATATTGTATCAGCACAAGGTGCATTAAAGAATAATGTATAATATTATACTATATTAAATGTAATTATATTCTTTTTTGTGCTTTCACAATTTATAAGTTCACATCAAATTAACAAAATGTTAAGCTATGATTTTCTTGGAAAATAAACACATTACAAAAGTATGAAAAGTAACTGAAAAGAAGTTGTGTTAATCTAATATTAATTGAATTTGTGAAATAACAAAATCTAGACTATCGAATAAATTGATATGTGAAATACAAAACGTAGACAAGAACGAAAAACATGAGTAAGAGAAAAGAAGATGGGAAACTTCGAGAGGAAGAAGAAAACTTGAAAACAAGGAAAAATAAATCAAAGAAGAAAAAATGGAATGTGAGGAAAAAAAAGACAAAGAAGAGATAAATAAAAACTATAATAAAATGATGTCAGAGAAGACAAAGATGATAAAGATAGAGAGAGAGGGGGAATGAGGAAGGAGTAAAATCGTAAATATAATGTAAAGAAAAATAGAAAGAAAAGAAGAATTGTGAGTTGGAGGATATGAAGACACAAGAAACGATTGAAGAACAAAAATTTGAAGATGAAGAAGAAGCAGGAAAAATGAAGATGATGACAACGAATAAATAGAAGAAGATGGGATCATTAGATAAGAATAAAACGGATAAGAAAACAACAATTACAAAAAAAACTTTTATAAATAAAATAAAAATAAAAACAAATCAATAACTAATTTATAATATGAGGTTCATGTGCGCGGTTCAGGGGGGAGTTATAATGTGGATTTGGGTTTAGGCTGTGTAGGTTCTTTAATTAGGGGGAGGGAGGTTTATAATGTGGGGTTTGGGTTTGGGTTTAGGGTTTAGGGTTTATATTGATGGGTGTAAAGTTTAGTTTTCTGGTGCATTTTTAAAAATTTGAATGATTATAAAAATATATCAAAATTAAAAATCACTGATTATAAATTTATATCTACCATTCTAAAAGACACCCACAAATAGAAAAAAAAAACTAAAACAGTTAAAGCAAATCCATAATCAAAAGATAACAATACAAATTAAATAGATTTTTAAAAGATCTCGACTATATAAAGATAAAAACAATTTCACGAATCATTGAAAACTAAACTATCGAATGAATTGATAAGTGAAATATAAGATGTAGATAAGAAGGAATAAAAATACGAGTAGAATAAAAGAAGACAGTGAATAAGAAGTAGAGAAACTTCGAGAAGAAGAAGGCAACTCGAAGAGAAAAAAGAAAACAAATGAGAAAAAAATAAAATGTGAAGAAGAAGAAGAAGAAGAAGAAGACAAATGAGAGATAAATAAAAATTAGAATAAGATGATGTCAAAGAAGACGAAGATGATAAAGATAGAGAAAAGAGGGAATGAGGAAGAAGATAATCCGGAAAAAGAATGTAAAGAAAAGTAGAAAGAAAAAGAATAAGAGTAAGTTGGAGAATATGAAGACACAAGAAAAGATTGAAGAACCAAAATTGGAAAAGTAGAAACAAAAAATGACAACGAATAAAAAAAAGAAGAAAAGAAAAAGATGAGATCACTAAAAAAGAATAAGAGGGAGAAGAAAACAACCATTACAAAATTTAACTAATTTTGTTGTACATTCATAATTTATAAGTTCATATCAAATTAACAAAATGCTCTATTATTTCCTTGGAAAATAAACACATTACAAAAATACAATTTTTTTTTTTTTAAATGCGTTTTATAATATTAATTGAAAATATTGGAGTTCTGAAACATCTCTTGCCCGCGCATGCGCGGGCCAACCACCTTGTATTTAATAATCTCGTGAGTTTTTAAGTATGTTTAAGTAGGAAACTGAAATAATCTCGTGAGTTTTAAATTTGTTTTCCGTTGATTATTCTGCCTCAATTCTGGAAAATTTCACCTGGTTGTGCTCAATTATCTCTAAAGTCGATTAGTTTATAACAAGGTTCACGAAACTGAGTTAGGCAATTCTCACTGTGGCATTTATATCTTTAAGACGAAAATAAATGGAGATATAAAATTTTGGTAATTTGAACGGCGTTTAAACAGCTTAGATGAAAATTAATTAAACGGAACGGCATTAAAGCCCGTCTTACAATGCAAAAGCTACATTATTTTTGTATTAACGAACATTTGATACAAGAATAAAGAAGACTCAGAAACTTGACAGTTATAAACCACTGTTTTGGATTCTGTCCCAATACTATAATGAACAAATACAAACGACTAATCACACTTCTGATATCCCATTTCGTATAATTTCCAACACACAAAGTAAAAGATTGTAACAAAGATTGCACTAAATCTATCAATAAGATGGCAAGAAAAAACGAAACATAGAGAGAGAGGCTTTAGATTCCCAATCACCTCATCTCCTAGACTCTATTGCTTTGAGTGAGAGTACTCCTAAGTGTGTTACCATTTGGTTGATGATGTGCCTCCACAAATGTCACCGACTCATCACCGACTCCCTCCGCGTTGCCCTGGTCTTGGACCTGGTTTTCTGGAAAACTGGATCTGCAAAATCTTGGAATCAGGTTCATCTTCGTTCATTCGACATCCTGTCAAACGCATAGTAGCATCAGTTTAGTCTTGAGTTCGAGTGTCTCTCTTCACGACGTCGACGAAGAGAATACAAGAAACTCCAGTCGTTGGACTATATTCAGTTTACCTTGCAGGGCGGTACGAGCAGTTGCAGCACATGCAGGACTTTCAAAATCAACAAAACAGAGAACAATAGGATCTCCATTCCTCTGCATAAAAGAAAACCTTTGGGTAAGTAAAAGATTAAGTAACAACAAATGCATCAAGTTAAAAAGCCAGTGAATCTTTGTTCACAAGTCTCACTTGTTTATATATCTAGACATAAGAGTTAAGAACAGGGAACAGCTGAAAAACATTCTTAAGTGAAACAGATAATAAACATTGGTGTAACAACTTTGAATCATAGGGTACGAGCTACTTTAGAAGGAAGCCCTTCAACACAAAGAGTGTTGGATGCATCAGGAGGCAGACGAAGAAGCTCCCTGCTCGGCCTACCAACTAAATATTGCTGACCTAGCACGACCATGTTGCCCATAATCCGGAGCCACAACTCCACCACCACGCCCATTCACTAGCTCACAGGCATCATCATGTTTTTACCTCCTGTTTTACCTCATAAGGCGTTGGCTACAAGAACAGAGGAAGAACCCGGTTCACTGAGGAAAAGAAAGGAAGAGGCCACACATTCAAGAATAACGACTGTTTACCACACTCTCTAGGTAGAGGTCATAAGCTGAGCCAATCGTTGTCGTATCTTTTACTGAATGAGGGATACTTCCCGTGACATGTAATTGTGCATATCTGTCCCTGAATGTGCATAAAATACAAAGCCAACGAATTAAAGACATTTCCAAGTTCACACGTATGTTTGTTAATGTGTATATAAACCTATGGACATGGCTCTTTTGTAAAGCACAGTCAGTCACAGAGCAGCTCTTCTATAACTATAACAAGAGATATTGTTCTCAGTCTATCAGTGAAACAAGAAGAGAGATTGTTCTCAATGCAAAAAGGCAAAATTTTAGACCTAATCACAGGTTAAGAGCTGTTCAATCAGCAATGCTCGGCCGTCGCTCTGCCTCGTTCAATACTCGCCGTCGCCGACCTCTGAGGAGTCATGTATTCTCTGATTTCGAACTTTGAAAACAATCCTCTAATCAAATCCTTTACTCACGCCATGGAAATGGAAACCGAAGGGACAAGAGTTGAAGCAGATCAGAGACGAAGAGGCATTCAAAGCGGCGATTAATCCTCAGTGTTCATGTCGCAAAATCTCTGAATTTCAGAAAGTCGCTCTCTCCTCCAGGTCGCAGCTTCCTTTGGTCATCCTGAGGTACATAAGAAGCACCATAACCTCTTTGATTCCTATAAAACGAACAAGTTATGGGTAGATTCAAACCTCTTTGTTCTTCTTCTTCTTCTTATGTGTCTGTTTCTTTGTATGGTAAGTATCTGGTTACGCTGTTGTATTTCCATTGCAGGTTTCTTAGGGAAATGTTTTCTTTTAATTGCTCAAGGTCCTGATGCTGTAAAAATTATTGTCAATCATGATGCATCTGTGCAAGCCATATTTTGTAGGGAAGTGTTTTCTTCTAATTGTTTTAGATTTTTAAAAAATTAAGACTTGCAAATTTTATACTGTATTTGGCAACACAATTAGAAGATGTACAAGTAAAATTAAAATGAAACAAGGAGTATTTAATCTGGTAATCCAAGTTCAAAGTTAAATTACAAAACTAATAATTAGTTACATTGTGTAGTATTAACGCCAAAAACAATTAGATTATGGACCTCTTTGCGTTGGGAGCTCTCGTAAATGTCATTTAAGTGCATGATGCTTTCACTCTTATTCATCATATTAGTGAAGTAAAAATCGTAGTTATTCATACTAAACCAGCGGTCCGGTATTTCGCCGACCATAATAGAGAATGTAATAAAAGGAGACAAGATGTCATAGCATATCTATCTTTACCAAAAAAAAATCATTAATTATTGGTGATTGAGGAAAATTTTTATTTACGCAAATACAAACACAAAGATAAACGATTTACTAATGAACTTTTTTGAATTTTGTTATTTGGTTTTGTATTGACTTTTCCTTTTTTGTACTTATAATGTACTATGAATTTAATGGAAATTTAATTTAGTTATCACTAAATGACAAAGAGTACATTTGATGAGTTTACATGATAAACGAAAGGAAGAATAAAAGTTGAATTCTCTCTTCTCTCTCTCAAGCATTTGGTTGGATCAGAGAGACTTTGAAGAACCTTGGAGCTAGCTCAACAAGCCACTTTGGGTCAAGCACAGTCACTTCCCATCATGTAAACCTTGGTCGTCATCACAAGCTCATGGAAGATGATCCAATCTGGCTGCCGTTGAAAGAGCATGCTCGGATGCACTGCTCTTGTAACCTGTAACCTTCCTGTGGATCTTTCCTTGCTCCGTGGAAGAAGAATCCTGCTGTGATTGCTTTCCTTATCTGCGAGAAATTCTTCCCAGCACATACCACATCTAGTTTATATATGTAAACATCAATAAATCACACGTTAAGAGACTGGACTTTGTTACACATTAACAAACTTAAGGTTAGAGACTAGTTTACTTTAGGTACTTACTTGTCCATAATGCTGAGAAGTTGTTTCCTCACGTCTTGAGCACGCCGTAGAGATCGTGACTGTATAAAGTTCTCGAAACACCATGGACCTGAGAAGTTCTTAGCCTTCCAAGCTTCATATACAGCTAGCAATGTCAAGTGGTCACCTTCAGGCTGGAAAAACTTGGCCCTCTTTTGGTCTGCTTGAGCTTGCTTCTCTCTCGGTCTGTAGAATATGTTGCCAGTTTGGATCATCGTCAATATCTCATCGCTGCACCCGAGATCCACACTCGCTACAACATTTTGGAGAGCGGTGGTTCAAGGGGAAACTCTGCCATTTTTCTGCCTAGCTTTGTCAGCAATCCTTCCTCATCCAACGCTCCCAGGCTGTACAGCTGCTCCATAGCAGAGATCAACGCTTGTGGCTGGGTGGATCCATGAAGTCAAACGATAACAGGTCATTGATACCATTGCTTTCATGGTCAGCGTTGTCATTCCAAGATTAATCCTCTGGATTTCAGGGATTGATGTAGGAGGCATCTCGTTACGGTATGCGCTCTCAGTGTAGAGACGGTAACATTTACCAGGACCAGTACGACCAGCACGTCCAGCTCTCTGCGACGCCTGTGAGATTGGAGTTATGACTAGCGATTCTAGCCCTTGCTTTGCAAAGCCGGGATCAATCTATATATAAAGTTGAAGGGATTTTCTTCTCAAGCTGCCACCTCAGCAAAAGAGGGTGCCTCTAAATTCATCATTTCAGCACTCTATTTAATTTATTATATTTATTTTTCTAATATTTTAATTTCATAATAATTAGCATTCATTATTATAATAAATTTAACAAGAATATGTAAAGTCATTTTTTAAAAGGAGAAAGATTATGTATAGATCTACAAAAACTATTATTTAGTAAATTTATATTTGTCAGATTATATAATTTACAATTTATATTTCGGAAAAACAATAAAATTAACTCAATAATATAAATTATTGCGCGAAACGCGAGTCACCTCCTAGTAACATAATAAATCCCATCTATCGTCAAAGAAGCTTTTGCAATTTTGTAGCTACAACCACTTTCCTCGTACCAGGAGAGTGAGGATCGAAAATTCTAGACAGCATTTCACTTGGAAGGGCACTGTAAACAGGAAGAATGATGAGTTCATGAACGTTTTTACCTATATTTTTCATTCTCTTGTACAGAGACTGACAAGCAGAATTGATTTTTCCCTGTCCCGTCAAAAACCTAAACCGAAAAATCGATCCGGTTCTAGATGCTTATTAGATTCCAAAATAAAATCATATCAAACCAAAAAAAAAACTTATAAGTTTAGATGTTTATTAGATCAACTTCTTACTTTTATGAGTTTTTTTAATCATTTTTACAATCTTTTGAATACATCTAAATATATTCAAATAATTGCAGGTATATTTTCGAAATGGAGAGTATGTGATTTTTAACACATACACATAATCTTTGCTCATTTTGATTAATTTATAATCGCTTTATCTTTGTTACTAAAACTTCTGCATAAGATTTTTAAAATTAGTTGAAGAATCTTTAACTAGGTGCGTATTATGTGTTCTTAACCAATTGCTTACTGAGTTAATGTTCAAGTAAGCACGAATGAGGAACTTGGACAAGATTTGGAAAAGAAAACCGACTAATCAAATAATCATGTTCATATGGTCATGTCACATGTGCAGTTTAATTTACGATCAACGGTCTAGGGTTTCTAATGTAATGGCGTTTATTCGTAACCGTTCGATCATTCTTTGATTATTGATCGTAAATCGTATCCCGTCCATGGAGACTAATTTATGGTCCAAAGCATGTGATAACATAAATGATATTTATGTGGTTTTAATTTTGGTGAGAGACCATAGCATGATAATTGCATGTGACATCTCCCACGGTGTCAGGAATAAGTCATAAGATCGGTATCTCATATTTGATATTTTAGCTCACTAGCATTTGATTCTCACTCTTATAAAACTATAATTAACGAAATGAAAACGTAACACAATAGCTTATCAAGCTCTATATCTTACATATCCAAACCTATGATTAATTTTTTTTTTTTTAATTTTGTTGTCTTGAGGAGTTTCAAAACACGATCAAATTTTGTTATGAAAGCGAATTTTTATTCCCTCCAAATTTAACACATCATTATATTCATTACATATATGCAGATGGTTATGACAATTTGGTGAAAATGAATGTTTGTATTTGGTACAAGTTGTATTCATATGATTTGCTTCTGATAATGAATGTTTGTATTTGGTTTTACATAAGAAAATCATATTAAAAAGTATATATTTTTCTGAAATAATTAATTTTGAAATAAAGCCCACTCTTCTTCTTCTTCTTCGCTCTCTATCTCTCTCTCTATAGTCAACCATTTTCTTCTCTCTCCAATTAAACTCCGTGAGGTACGTCTCCAACTCTCCACGATCAGAAATTTTACTAACAATTCTTATCCTCCATCTCTTTGAAATTGATTGCCTTTCTGGGCTCATCAGGAACGCTCTCTATCTACACGTCTAAAGCTTCAAGCTTTTTCCTTCTCCGATGCCAATTCTGTTCGGATCCGAACCCAGAGAATAGAGGTAAGCCCGGCTGATTTTTACCGATCTGGATTTGTTATCATTTCTTTTCCTCTTGATTTCAATCATGAAACGCCTAAAGGTTAAGCCTTTGATAACGTTCTGAAACCAATTCTATTGTAACAGAACAGAAAGATCTCAAACGTGTTTAGCAAAGTACAAGGAGGTGGCTTTTGTGTTGCGCTTACTTCTTTCTTCTTAAGGTACAAAAAATGGTTTCTAATTTTGGAAACTGTGTATGCATTTGAAATGTTTTATATTGGCACCATAACCGGTTTAGGTTTCATGCTCTCAGGTTTGCTAGATTAAACTCTATAGAGCGTTGGTAGATTATCAAAGCTATCCCAGCAGAAGAATGTCAAATCCGATGTTGCCGGAGAGCTCAAGTAAAAGCAGCAGAAGAGTCCATAAAAGGAGAGAGAGGATGATGTGGAAGAAACCCATCAGGATTTCCAGATTGCCCAGTTTCGGATTCTCCGGCTCCGATTTCAGAGTTGATCAGATTCCGGCCATCTTCTCCGGCTACACTGCCGAGTCCGAAGATTCCTCTTCCTCCGAGATGTCTGATGATTCAACAACTTACGAGGACATTGACCAGGCAAGTCTCACATTTGTTCTTTTTTCAATTTTTTGTCTCTCTCTGTTCTTGAGCTCACTAGATGTGATAGAATCTAAGATGTGGAAAAATATACAAAAATTTGTGGATTTTTGATATCAGGAAAGGTCAAAAAGACTCTCGGATTTGAAGAGTATATCTCGAATTTCAAGCATGAAGGTTCTCAGGAGACAGTCAACGAGGAAACTATCTTTAGGAGGACAGAGACTAAAGAAGATGAGATCTATAAAACATTTAACTTCAAACTCGAGACACATTCTGAAGAAGAAGAAGAATCTGGATTCGGTTTCTAGTGAAGATCTAGGATTATCACAGCCTCATTACCTGAGACCAACGAGCTCTTCAGCTTCAAAGAAAATGGAAAAGATCCAGAATAATCTTGAGGTAGCTAGGTTAAAGAGACTGTCAAGCTTGAAATACAATGGGTTGCTTAAAGCTACATGTTCTTCAGCTATGAAAGGTTCCAAGAAGAGCAGTGATGTTTGCAATTACAAGTATTGTTCTCTACACGGCCGGCCTCATAGCCACGCCGCCGATAATAACAGTGTTGTTGGTGTTCCGTCTTTGAAGCGGTTTGTGTCGATGAGGAGGAATTTTTTGAAGAGGCAGAAGAGTGTGAACCGGCGTTTGGTGCTTTTGAAGCGGAGTTTGAGTAGAAAGAGAGGGACTTTAGGGGATGGGGTTGTAACTGATCAAGAAACAAAGCAGGTGGATGATGATGGAGATGGAGAATCCAAGCAAGAGGTTTATACATCAGAGAATGATGGCAATGATTCGGAATTGATTGAAAAGTCTTGTGAGACTGTAATGGTAGATGTTGATGGTAAAGGCGATAGAGGAATGGATTCAGTGGAGACTGGTGCATCAGCTAAAGAATATTGTGTACATGTATCTAAACCGGAGACTATGGATGTTATAGATAGAAGAATTGAAAAAGATTCAGATGATGATGATGATGATGAGGAAGTTTGTAGAGAAGAGGAAGTAAAGAATACAGAAAATGTGTGGAATGATACAGTTATGCTTGTGAAGCAAGCGTTTGATGAGATACTTGCTGAAATCACTGATGATGATGTTTCTGTCACGAACTTAGATGGTGAATTGGCGAAAGATGATGATGATGGTGGATCGGATTCGAGTGAGACTAGCTCTGATTTGGAGCCTATTGAAGAAACAGATACACATTTGTACGTGATTGGTTCTACTTCTCATATGGGAGAAGAATCTGATCATGGGAGAGGTGGTGGTGGCAAGAGGTGGAGTTTCTTGAAAAGGGTGATGCTTCTCAAGAGGTTTCTCAAGTCGTTGGATCGAAGAGAGAGGCGTAAGTTTTCTTCTGATGGTGAAGAGAGTGAGACTACAATAATGCGGTTGAGAAGTGAGTTGGTTGGAGAGAGGAAGATTGCAGAAGAGTGGATGCTTGACCATGCTCTTAGGCAAGTCGTTTCCACACTTGCCCCGTCGCAGAGAAGGAAAGTGAAACATCTTGTTAAAGCTTTTGAATCTTTAGTTAATGGAGGCTCTAGAGGTCATGATGATCTTGGAAGTCCTGATAGAGAAGAGATCGAAACAGTGAACTCGGAGATGATCTTGGGAGACAATGCTGATGTATCAGAAGGTTTACAAGAAAAGGATCTTGAAGAAACTAATGAAGCATCATCACCATCTATGTCTATTGGTATGAAATCTGATGAAGCTTTGGGACAAAAACAAGATTCAAGTCATCATCTTGCTGTGGAGGAAAAGTTAGATGAGTCGGCTTTAGTAAAAGAAGAGAAGACAGGAGATTCTGAAAAGCAGAATCTGTCTACATGGAGGAACCTTATACAGAAGCACATGGTTAAGAGAGACAACAGCGAGAGAACTGATCAGACTACAGGTATTGAAGTGGATGGTGATGCTGCAGAGAGGCAGAGCCGTGCTGTAGAATCATTTCAGAAAGCATTTGAAACGATTCTCTCAGAAATCCCTGACCAGTCTTTTGTTGATGAAGTGGTTGTTTCAGAATCATCATCAAACTCTGCGAAAGAGGAGAAAGAGGATCAAGGAGAGAGCAAGAAGAGCTGGAAAGGCCTGAGAAAAGTTATACTTTTGAAAAGATTTGTGAAAAGTTTGGAGAATGTAAGTGTTTTTAATCTGAGGAAGCTGCGGAGTCTACCTGTTGAGTCTGCATTGGGGGCGGAGAATGTGTTACTGAGACACCAATCAACAATGGAGAGAAGAAGAAGAGATGGAGAGGAAATGATGTTGGATTATGCTATGAGACAAGCTATATCAAGATTGGCTCCTATAGAGAGAAAGAAAGTAGAACTCCTTGTGCAGGCCTTTGATACAGTTCTTGATGGCTACGAGACTCCTAAGAAACCCAAGCGCAGTGGCAAAGAAGGAACACCGAGAGCAGAGGAAGATTGTGAAGTCAACAAAGATGAGCAGAGGATCAAAAATGTGTTTTCAAGATTTCAGGTGAAACAAGAAAAGGAGGAGGTTGATACTTCCCTGAACAATGTTAAAACTAGCGAAGAAGGAACTCTAAAAGTAGAGGAAGATTGTGAAATCAAGAAAGATGAGCAGAGGATCAAAAATGTGTTTTCAAGATCTCAGGTAAATGAAAAAGACTTGAAACAAGAAGAGGAGGAGGTTGATACTTCCATGAACAATGTTAAAACTGGCGAAGAAGGAACTCTAAAAGTAGAGAAAGATTGTGAAGTCAACAAAGATGAGCAGAGGATCAGAAACGCGTTTTCAAAGGTACATCAAAAGGGCTTGAAAGGAGAAGGAGAAGAGGAGGTTGATTCTACGCCGAGGAAATCCAGAAGTGTACTTCCTCCTATCAAGAATGTTAAACACCGAACCGTATTGGAGAAAGAGAAAGATTCAAGAATGTGGAAGCTCATCTACAAACACATGGTAACAGAGAAAGAAGAAGGAAATGGTGAATCAGTAGAAAATGAATGTGATGATGAGTCTGGTGGTCATCAGATTGATGCAAAAAGAAGCGGAACAGTTACACTTGTTAGAGAAGCTCTTGAGAAGATCCTCTCTGAAATCCCGGACAACTCATCCGATGATCAATCTATAGACAGCGACATAACTAACGATCAAGAACTGTTCCGTGAAGAGCACGCCACCTTCAAAGCAAAGTCTAATGAGAAGATGAGAGTGAAAGGATGGAACAATGTGAAGAAAGTCATTCTTCTAAAGCGGTTTGTCAGCGACTTGGTAAGTCTTTCAAGACTCAGCCCCAAGACTCCTCGAGTTTTGCCTTGGGAACCCGATCCAGAGACCGAGAAGATCCGTTTGAGGCATCAAGAAGTTGGAGGGAAGAGGAACTCAGAGGAATGGATGCTTGACTATGCGTTGAGACAAGCCATATCGACATTAGCACCATCTCAGAAAAGAAAAGTGACTCTTCTCGCACAAGCTTTCGACACGATAAGCTTGCAAGATATTGGGAGTTGTTCTTCCACCCCTGGCTCTGCAGCAACGTCCAGGAACATCTCTCGCCAGTCCAGCCTTTCCTCTACGGCGTTCCATACTGAAAATGAAACTAGTCATGCTGAGATCATCAGAGGGAAGCTGAGAAATCTACAAGAGGATCTCAGAGAGACTACGAACGTCGATATGGAGGAGAAACAACAGTGCTCTGGCTTGTGGCGGTTGTTATGCAAACAGATGGAAGACAATGAGAAGAACCAAACATTTCCTGAAGAAACAAGTAAAGAAGAAGAAGAAGAGTTGAAGGAAGATACAAATGTGGATGGTGAAAAGATGGAGATTTACAAAACTGAAGCGGTGGAGCTATTAGGAGAAGTCATAGATGGAATCTCTCTTGAAGAAAGTGGTCAAGATCAGAGGACTGAAACTTTACCGGTCTCGCAAGTGAGGATTAACCGATGGAGCAACCTCAAAAGAGTGATTCTGCTAAGGAGATTCGTCAAGGCGTTAGAGAATGTGAGGAAATTCAACCCTAAGGAGCCGCGGTTCTTGCCGTTGGAACCAGGCGTTGAAGCGGAGAAGGTGAATCTTAGGCATCAAGAAACTCAAAACAAGAGAAACGGGGAGGAGTGGATGGTCGATAACGCGCTTCAAGAAGTGGTTTCGAAGCTAACACCAGCTCGGAGACTTAAAGTTCAGTTATTGGTTCAAGCTTTTGAGACACTTTCGGCTACAGGGAACTGAGACAAACAGTGTGGCTTGCTATTTATAAAGGTAAAAAGCTTCATATCCAATATATTTGGAAAGAAAGTCTTATTACACAGTTTTTCAATTCATACTATTTACTTTGTTTCCTCCATTGTTTGATAAAGTTCTACAGTTTTGCAGCTTCGAGAAACAAAGAACCATGAAGAACAAGATCTGCAATACTAATCAAAGAACTGAAAGATAAGTATAGACTTATTAATTATGTGTGCTTGCAATGATCTCATGGTGTTTCTTCTTCTTTTTATTGTTCTTGCAATGATTCATATTTTTTTGATTTTTTGTTTTTTTTGTTTTGTTTTTTTTGTAATGTGTATAGAAGGTATTATTATTATCACTCCAAAAAAAAGGTTTGAATTACAAAGTATAGAATCTTAACCTTAAGAACTCTAAGATTAAAGAATAACTCTCTTTATTAGTTTAAGAAAATCAACTCAAAACTTAAACTCTCTCAAAGCTCATAAATTATGCCACATCTTGGCATCTCCTTATATAAGAAAACTTTAATCCTAATCCTATTATAATTCACCTAAGTTTAGATAACTCCTAAACAATTTGTGACTTATCTCTAACCATATCTCGGTTAGGATTAGGATAACTTCTAACTCAAGCTATCTTCAAGCTTAAGCCAACATTCTCCCTCCTAAGCTTGAAGTCTTCTTCAACTACATCCTTTACTCCAATAAGCTCCCTCATTTCCTTGAACTTGATTTTGCCGAGAACTTTTGTAAGTATGTCTGCCTTTTGCTCCGTCCCGGGAACATGTTCGACTTCCACCAAACCATTCTCAACACACTCCCTTATGAAATGAAATTTGGTGTGTATATGCTTGCTTCGGCCATGGAACACCGGGTTCTTAGTAAGCGCGATGGCCGACTGATTATCAATCTTGATAACCACTTTCTTGCTTGTTGCCTCAGTTATTTCACTAAGTAGATCCTGAAGCCATATCGCCTATCTTGCCGCCTCTGTCCCTGCCATGAACTCTGCTTCACACGACGACAATGCCACTGTGTCCTGCTTCTGAGAACACCACGAGATTAGGCTCTCTCCAAGGTAGAACACGTGCCCGGTTGTGCTCTTACCATCATCTGGGTCTACATTGTGACTGCTATCATTGTAACCTACCAGTCTTGTCGCGTTTGCAGACGATCGCTTGAAGGTTAACCCAAGAGTAGTGGTTCCACGTAAGTACCTCAAGCACTGCTTCATCGCCACTCCGTGAGATTCCTTTGGATTCTGCATATAACGACTAAGTACTCCCACACAATACGAGAGATCTGGTCTTGTGTGTAGTAGGTAACGTAGACAGCCAACATTCTTCCTGTAGGCCATAGCATCAATGTCCTTTTCTCCTGTTGCTTTAGACAGCTTTAAACCAGCCTCCATTGGTGTATGGACTGGATTACAGCTCATCATCCCGGCTTCCTCTAAGATCTTCAAAGCATATCGTCTTTGGCTTAGTGTTATCCCGTCACTGTCTTGTTGTACTTCTATCCCGAGATAATATGTTAACCTTCCGAGATCACTCATCTCAAACTTTGATGACATCTCCTTCTTGAATTCTTCTATAACAATCAAACTTGTCCCTGTGACAAACAGATAATCAACGTACACGGCCAGAAGGAGAGTTTCTTGATTCACCCTTTTCCGATAGACCGACGGTTCCTTGGAGCATCGTTTGAACTGGAGATTTTTAAGATTTGGTTTAGGTTATCGTTCCAAACCCTTGGAGCCTGTCTCAAGACATACAACGCTCTGCTTAGCTTGTAGACTTTGTCTTCACTTCCTTTCTCTATGAAACCTTCTGGTTGAGTCACATACACGCCTGTCTTGCTGCTTCAGGAACTCCCACAACAAGCTTCTTCTGCACCATTAGCTTCATTGTGTCTAGATTTACATGCCCTAGTCTTGCGTGCCACCTCGATGATTCACTCATCGCATCCGAGATTAGACACATGGTGTTTCTTATTCCCATACGAACTTTGTATAGCCGGTTTCCTCCTCTGGTTGCCTTAACAAGGAGCTTTCCTTTGGCATCGTGCATTGTTAGGAACTCTTCCTTCATTCTTACATCACAACCTGACTCAGTTGCTTGTCCGAGGCTGATGATGTTGCTTCTCAAGTCTGGGATGAAGTAAACATCGGCCATGGTTCTTGCTTCACCGTTACGATCGATGAACTCGATCAAACCTTTTCCCTTTATGTCGATACGCGAATCATCTCCGAACCTGACCTTTCCCGTAATAGATTCATCCAGCTTTGAGAAATAACGTCGATCTCCTGTCATGTGATTGCTAGCTCCATTGTCGAGGTACCAAACGTTATCATCTTCTCGATCCTCCTCATACTTACTTGGAACAACTTTCTTCTCATTCAAGTAAACAACCTCATGCATCATAAGCTTGTCTGCCTTTTCTGTGTCTTCGATCTCATCTTCTTGTGCTTCCTGCAGCTTGAGCTTGAGCAATCGATCAGGGCACTTCGAGGCATAGTGACCAAACTTGTCACATCGGAAGCACTCTACTTCCGACATATCCCTTGTTCCATTGCCTCTTTCACGACCTCTTCCTCTGTTTCCTCCACGACCTCTGCCTCTGTTTGCACCACCACTAGACTCACGATATGCTTCACCCGTCTGTGAATCTGCGTGGGCATACATTAGCTTGCTTTGATCCTCTTGTTCGTCCTGATCCTCAGCAACACGTTCTTCAAACGCTTTAAGTCGACCCGTGATATCTTCAAAGGTTGTAGTTTTGAGATCCAGCACTTGCTCAAGCGATGCAACAATGTGTACAAACTTCTTTCGAGGTAAGCACTTTAGAAACTTTTTCACAAGCTTCGTGTCTTCAATCTCCTCCCCTAGGGCAGCGGTCTTCGATGCGATATCTGATAGCTTTCCAGCGAACTCATCGACTGACTCTGTATCCTTCATCTTCAGTCTATCAAACTCTGTCATCAGTGTCTGCAGCCTGGCTTCCTGCACTCTATCCGCCCAACGTGTACGGTTTGTATGGCTAACCATACCTTCTTTGCCGAAGTCAACTCCCCAAAGCGTAGCACAAGGGTTTCAGGAATAGACTGGAACAATAGGGCTATGGCCATATCGTTTTTATCTCCGTCCATGGATCCCGTGTCTATAACATCCCATGCTTTGTTAACCTTTAGTAGAGCCTTCATCCGTATGGACCAAAACGTGTAGTTGGACGAGGTTAGCATCGGGCACTTGATTGAGGAAGATCCTCCAACTTCCTTGTTGGACGATCCTCCTTCTCCTGTCTCTGCTAGTGCGTCGTTAGCCATCGTATCACTTCTCCGATCAACACTGAAGCTCTGATACCAATTATAGAATCGTAACCTTAAGAACTCTAAGATTAAAGAATAACTCTTTTTATTAGTTTAAGAAAATCAGCTCAAAACTTAAACTCTCTCGAAACTCATACGTTATGCCACATCTTGGCATCTCCTTATATAAGAAAACCTTAATCCTAATCCTATTATAATTCACCTAAGTTTGGATAACTCCTAAACAACTTGTGACTTATCTCTAACCACATCTCGGTTAGGCCTAACTCAAGCTATCTTCAAGCTTAAGCCAACACAAAGTTGTCACTAAACATTAAAAATAGTTGAAAAGGAACAAATTATAAAAACTGAATGAATCCATACAAAATCCTTAGATCTGTTTAGCGATGCAATTTAATAGTTTGAAAACCACCGACCAAAGGAAAAAAAAAAACATCAAAATATTTATTGGATAATGATCTGAGCTAACCAATTTTTCAACGAGCTTTCCTTTTTTGTTGTCTAATGCATTTCCTGATTCACTATGAGTTACGAAATTAAAACCTAAACCTCCTATACGCTACAAGCTATAAATATTGATCCTCCTAACTTCCAAACTAAACATTCGTTGTATTAGAAAAAAAAAATCAGAAATCATTCCACATGTCGACTCTCTCTGCCTCCGTCGTTGTTACACGTACGTTGTCTTTTCCCGCCGCCGTGAAACAACACCCCCTGAAACGCAAACGCGAGCATGATGAGATCACTCAAAGCAAAACCATGCTTGTGACTCTGCATAAAGAAGACGACAAGCATGAACACACCGAGATCACTCCTCCATCTTGGGAAGCCCTAGACCGTGTTGGTTCTTACATGGAGCCTGAGACTCTCGCCGTCGCTTCTTGCGTCTCAACAGCGTGGTTAAAGTGTTTCTCCTCGGAGAATCTATGGAGATCTCTATTGATCTCACGGTCCTCACAAGCTTCTTCTCCCTACAAGCTCGCCTTGGCTACCACGGAAACCATAACCTCGTACAAACAAGTTGTCACCGCCGTTGAAAGGGACGCGAAACGCCAACGCAAGGATCAACTGCCGGAGCTCAAGCTATCACTCTCTGATCTCAGCTTCATCGTCCACGTGTCCGCTGGAAAAAAGAAAACATCTGTTCTCAAAAAGGGGAAAGACCTCGTCTTTGGCTGTAACGACAAGTTCCACATCGAAGCCGACGTAAGCAACTCTGGGATCACTGTCGGCGAGAAGGATGTGAGGATGACGTGGCAAGTCGTGTACAAGAACTGGGAGAAGTTCTTCACGATGGCGGATACTACAAGATCGTTGGACGACGCAGCACACACGCGTTACGGGTGGTTCACCGATAAACTCGAGGACAAGGACAACCGCAAGCTAGTAGGCGACATCAAGGCGAGATTTAACGGCGGATTTCTCGACAAGATTGGATTTGCGATGGTGGACTCTGACGGATGGAGCTCTCTGTTGGTTGACGAGTGTTTGAGATATCTTGAGCGGTTTTTGTTGGAGTAATCTCGAAACAAGTTTGCTAAGAAAGTAACCTAGAAGTTTTTAATGTTTTTACGTACTTTTCTTTTGTACTCCATGGTATTTAGATTCGATTCAAGAAATCTATTGTAAGTTACCCTTTTAATTCATGAAACAGTCATGATTGTTACATATTGTAGTTTGTAAATATATATAAATTAGGGTTTTTAAATCATGTTAAAGTTCCTCCAATTCCAAAAGTGATATTGCCTCAGCTCCTCCTATACTTCTTATTATTCTTCCGTGTGTGATGAATTAATATTACGTATGGTGATGGCAAAGCTGGATTGTTTTGTCCATCCCAATGATAGTGTTACTTTGTTTCAGTGTTGTGCTCTACTACATTCTTGAGACTTTGGGTACAGTCCCTAAGTAATACACTCACACGTACGCTCATATATTCTTTAACTAATTAAAAGACACATACAGAAGATGCGAGTGGTGACACAATTTGCACATCATGACGAAACTAGCATGTGTTGATGGAGAGAACAATAGAGTGATCAACACCCAGTATCTGAACAAGACTCTGAGAATTGATAAAGACACTATGACGATAACTGTTCAGAGTGGTATGTCACTTCGCCGACTCATAGAGGATACTGCTAAAGCTGGACTTGCATTGAGAATGGCACCATACTGATGGGGATTAACGGTTGGTGGGATGATGTCAACGGGAGCACACGGTAGTTCTTGGGAGGGGAAACATGGAAGAAGTACTTTTCATGATTATGTCACCGAGATGAGAATTGTTACCCCTACTGCTGCAGATGAAAGATATACCACCGTCAGAATTCTCCATGGCAACAATTTTGTCGAGTTATAAGAGAGAAGAGTGTTATTAAATTTGTCATATTTACTGGGACTGTAAGGTTTTTAAGAATAAGCTATATGAAGCAACATTTGTAAATACACAGTGTAAAAATGAGTAATCCAACCCAACCCAACCCAATCCTTTCCGTGATCCAAACCATGAATACATAATCCAAAAAGTTTTTGTAAAAAATAAGCAAAACAAAAGAGAAAAATGAACAAAAATAAATAAAAATATAAGAAATATATAAGAAAATATAAAAGCATATATATATTAGTGATTAAAGTTCGAGATTTTAAAACAAAGATAAATAAGTTTCTATTTGAAAAACATTGTTAAAGCCACCAGCAATGTGATTATCTTGGTGCAATGTGATTATCTTATCCCAAACCGAATAATACCCAAATCACTTGAATGTTGATGCAATGTGATTATCTTGGCCTTTTTCCTTTGTCACATGATGAGTTAATCCAAAACTAGCCCGATCAAAAAAACCTCACATTCTCTCCTTTGATGCATTTAGTTCCTTTCACTCGATAAACCATTCTCTCATTGGTGTCATGTTAAATGAGTACCACTTATCCATAATCGACTCATCTTGACTAATCTCATTCAGCGTGAAGTTATGTCCTTATGGCATGAGACCAAGAAGATCGCGTGCATCATCTTCTTTCTTTGCATTTGTTTCTTTCAATCTTGCAAAAAAAAATTCTGTTTTATAGTGATGATGAATGAAGTCACGTTTCTTCTTTGTATTTTTGATGGTTGTTGTTACTGTCGCTGTTCAAGAGGACATAGTTTAAACGGAGTCATTCAAGAGTTTCAAACCAACAACAATTTGTTTGTTTCGGGAACTGTTTACAAACCAGGGAATCCTTTTCACAGCATATACTTACCGGTCGCCGACACAAGAATTTGGTTTCGCTTCTTGGCTACTGTGGGGATAGTGATGAAAAGTAAAAAAAAAAACAAAACAAGGTGTTAACACAGCCAAACTGTTTAACTTGTCGAATAATATTACACACTTTAATAATCCAGAAAATGTATCCATGTATTATTATCATCATAATTTTGTTTCATGAATTATACTATCTTTTTTTTTAATTAACTGGAGTACTATATATCACCAGTGACTTTATCGCCTTTTTAATAGTTTGAAAGCTACATGCACCGACCAAAGAAAAACAAAACATAAAACAAATAGTTAGGATTGCCATATATTTCTTGGATAATTATCTGAGCTAACTAATTTTTCAACGAGTTTTCCTTTTTTTTGTTGTCTGACGCGTTTCCTGATTCACTTTTGAGTTAGGAATTAAAATCTAAACTGCCTATACTCTACAAACTATAAATATTGATCCTCCTAACTTTCAAACTAAACATTCCTTGTATTAGAAAAAAAATCAGAGACCTTTAGACATGTCGACTCTCTCTGCCACCGTCGTTGTTACACGTATGTTGTATTTTCCCTCCGCCGTGAAACAAAACCCCCTGAAACGCAAACGCGAGGATGATGAGATCACTCAAAACAAAACCGTGCTTGTGACTATGCATAAAGAAGACGACAAGCATGAACACACCGAGATCACTCCTCCATCTTGGGAAGCCCTAGACCTTGTTAGTTCTTACATGGAACCTGAGACTCTCGCCATCGCTTCTTGCGTCTCAACCACATGGTTAAAGTGTTTCTCCTCGGAGAATCTATGGAGGTCTCTCTTAATCTCACGGTCCTCACAAGCCTCTTCTCCCTACAAGCTCGCCTTGGATACCACGGAAGCCATAACCTCGTACAAACAAGTTGTCACCGCCGTTGAAAGGGACGCGAAACGCCGCCGCAAGGATCAACTGCCGAAGCTCAAGCTATCACTCTCTGATCTCAGCTTCATCGTCCACGTGTCCGCTGGGACAAAGAAAGCGTCGATTCTCAAAAAGGGGAAAGAACTCGTGTTCGGCTGTAACGATAAGTTCCACATCGAAGCCGACGTAAGCAACTCCGGGATCACCGTCGGAGAGAAGGACGTGAGGATGACGTGGCAGGTCGTGTACAGAAACTGGGAAAAGTTCTTCACGATGGCGGATACTACAAGATCGTTGGACGACACAGCACACACACGTTACGGGTGGTTCACTGAAAAACTCGAGGACAAAGACAACCGCAAGCTAGTAGGCGACGTCAAGCCGAGATTTAACGGCGAGTTTCTCGACAATATTGGATTTTCGATGGTGGACTCTGACGGATGGAGCTCTCTGTTGGTTGACGAGTTTTTGAGATATCTTCAGCGGTTTTTGTTGGAGTAATGTCGAAACAAGTTTGTTTAGCAAGTAACCTAAAAGTTTTAATGTTTTTACGTACTTTTCTATTGTTGTACTACATGGTATTAAGATTCGATTCAAGAAACCTATTGTAATTTACCCTTTTAATTAATGAAACAGTCATGATTGCTGTATACAGGGTTTTGTAAATATATATGAATTAAATTAGGGTTTTTAAATCATGTTAGATCTTGCCTCTGCTCCTATACTTGTTATTATTCTTCCGTGTGGGATTAATTTAGATTACGTATGATGATGGGGATTGCTCTCCTCTGTTTTGTCCATACCAATGATAGTGTTATTTTATTTCAGTGTTGTGCTACTACATTCTTGAGACATTGGGTACAGTCCCTAAGTAATACACTCACACGTACGCTCATATATTCTTCAACTAAAAGACATAAAACCGGGCTAACTAGTTGAAAAGACAAGTAATAATTAACACCACGATTTTCTGTTGTAGAAAGTTAAAACAAGACGGTATTAAATTATTACGACCATGCTTGTTTTGCAGCTTTGTGTGTTTGGTTTTACCCAGATAACTTTTTCTCAGCAAAAGAGTAGACTTCATAGATAGCGATGCAGGCCAATCAGCTTCATTTTCTGGTCGGTAGTTCTTAGGCGGAGCTGATAAGAAAACACGGTAATCTGTGATCTATCATACTCAAAAGTTGAAGCCTCTGGCAGAAGAACCAGTCATTTAAGACTTGATCCGATACTATGACCAAAAGTGATAGACGCAGGGAAGTCAATTTGCATATGATGCTCACTCTTTAAGGTTATTCTCTAATGAAATTATTATAACGAAATGAAAACGTACGTAACACAATAGCTTATGAAGCTCTATTTCTTGGACATATCCAAATCTTATGATTTTTTATTTTATTTTTATTTTGTTGTTGTCTTGAGGAGTTTCAAAACATGATCCATTATCCATCCATGTGCTTATGAGTTCTTAATCACCATTTTCTCCTCAGTATTAAATGGAATGATAGATCGGAGTAGAGCTAGCAGAGAGTACCAAATGGTGATCATCAGAGAAAATTTGTTATGAAAGCGATTTTTTCTTTCTTTCAATTTAACACATCCTTGTATTCATTATGCAGATGCAGAGACAGATATCACAATTTGGTGATTTTTTTTTTTTTTTTCCATTTATGAAGCATGTATGTTTTTATTTTATTTTGATACAATGTATATTCGTATTATTTTTTTCTGTTAAAGAATGATTGTAGTTGTTTTTTCACATAAGAAATTCATATTAAAAAATATTTTTATTATTTTAATTTTGAAAAAAACAGCGATTTTGGCCGAAAGTAGCCAACCCAGCATCGTAATCAAAGAGACCAACGATCTATCATTTGTTTTGCTGTAAAGCAATTAAACAACATAAAATAAAAAAAAGGGCCCACTCTTCTTCTTCTTCTCCTTCTTCTTCTTCGCTCTCTATCTCTCTCGCACAGTCAACAATTTTCTTCTCTCTCCAATTCTATCTCCGTGAGGTACGTCTCCACGATCAGAAATTTTTCTAACAAAATATTATCATCAACCTAAACAAACATTAATGATTTAACGACGAGTTGCTATTCAAATCTGATTCTCGATCTCTTTGAAATTGATTACCTTTCTGTGCTCATCAGGAACGCTCTCTGTCTACACATCTAAAGCTTCAAGCTTTTTCCTTCTCCGATGCCAATTCTGTTCAGATCCGTACCCAGAGAATAGAGGTAAGCCCGACTGATGTTTACCGATCTGGATTTGTTATCATTTTCTCTTTTCCTTTTTTTTAATGTTACCCTCCTCTTGATTCGAATCATGAAACGCCTAAAGGTTAAGCCTTTGCTAACGTTCTGAAACCGATTCCATTGTAACAGGACAGAAGATCTCAACGTGTGTTTAGCAAAGTACAAGGAGGTGGCTTTTGTGTTGCGCTTACTTCTTTCTTCTTTAAGGTAACAAAATGGTTGCGTTTTCGGAAACTGTGTATGCATTTGAATGTATTGTATTGCCACCATCACGGCTTTAGGTTTCTTGCTCTTAGGTTTGCTAGATTAAACTCTATAGAGCGTTGATAGTTAATTAGATCCGATATTTATTGATCTTGGAGGGATATTTATTGTTGATGTCTTAATGTTGCATTTGATTTTGGTCTATAGTTTGCGATTGTGCTTTGAATTGGACTCATCTTGTTGTTTTTATCTCATCAAAATAATAAATACGATCGAAAGTTGCTTAAATGCTTCTCTTTTTGTTTATTTTGTTGAATCTCTGAACTGTAAAGCTGTTAACTTTCGTTTCCATTTCTTCTAGTATGAAACTTCATCATCTGATTTGTGATTCTTGTACAGAAACAATCTGGAGAAAGAGAAAAAAAAAAGATGATCAGTGATCGGTCGGACTTCAGAGTTCAGATACGGAGACTATTTGTGGTTATGATAAGAATGTGCTACAGATGGATCTGCAATCATCCCTTTCTCCTTGGTTTTGTTGGGTTTTTGTACTTTCTGCATAGAACCTCTCCTCTTCTGTTTACGTCTTTGGTGGCTGCGTCTCCTGTTTTGATATGCACTTTCGTTTTGCTTGGCACAATCTTGAGTTTTGGAGAGCCAAACAACATACCTGAAATCGGAAAAGAAGAATCCGAAACTGTCCATGAGGCTGCTCTTTTTAGAACAGAGGTTTCAAGGGATGCTGCTACTGTTGTTGAGAGAGGGGATAAGAGTTTTACTGTAGAGAGATTCGTGAGCACGGAGGAGACAGACGATGGAAATGATGATGATGCTGAAAGATTATTGGTGGAAAGCCAACTGAGTGAGGTTGAGGACTATGGTCGACCGTTTGATTACAGGCCTTTGGTTGACGAGACTCTTGATGAGGTCAAACGGGATACTCATGTCAGGTTTGAGGAGAGAGCATTTGTTTTGGATAGAGGAGAGGAGAGATTGTTTGAGAATGGTGGGAAGCAAGTTTCGAATGCAGAACAAAACGGTGGGTCTTTGGATGAGAAGATGGGAGATTCCAAGGAGGATCAGATGGATGTATCTCCAGTTTCACCTTGGAGACCGATGAGGCATGAGGAGGACGAGGATGATGATGCGGACCGTGATGACTCGGACGTGGACTCTGGGTCTGATGGTGCAGAGAGTTCTTCACCGGATGCTTCTATGACAGACATCATACCGATGCTTGATGAGCTTCACCCGCTTTTACTCTCGGAAGGTCCAGATCGTGGTATTGCAGACGGGGAAGGATCAGATGCAGCTTCAGAAGGGCCACATAGGAGGAGTAGTAGTGATGAAGGAATGGAGTCTGATGTTGATAGTGAAAGTAGTGAAAGTCATGGAGAAGAGGGCGACAACGAGAACGAAGAGGAGGATGAAGAAGACGAAGAGGATGAAGGAGAGGAAGAGGAGAAGAAGGAAGAGAAGGACGATGAAAACAAGTCAGCAATCAAATGGACAGAGGCTGACCAGAAAAATGTCATGGATCTAGGAAGTCTGGAGCTTGAAAGAAACCAGCGGTTGGAGAATCTTATTGCCAGGAGAAGGGCTCGCCACAATATGAGAGTGATGGCAGAGAGAAATCTGATTGATTTCGACAGTGCTGATATTCCCTTTAACATGCCTCCAATCTCAACGGCAAGGCAGAATCCATTTGATCTTCCGTATGATCCGTATGATGATATGGGATTACCACCTATCCCTGGCTCTGCTCCGTCCATTATGTTCGCTAGGAGAAACCCTTTTGACATTCCATATGAGCCAAATGAAGAAAAGCCAGACCTCAAGGGTGATGGTTTCGATGAAGAGTTCACTCCTCAACCACCAAAGGATCCAGTGTTCAGAAGACATGAGAGTTTTAGTGTCGGTCCATCGACGCTCGGAGGTCCTAGACATGATAGGCTACGGCCTTTCTTTGTGCTAGAAAGATTAGCAAATGAGGGAACGAGCTATCATCATCCATTTGAAAGGCAGCTCAGTGAAGTCAGTGAATCAAAAATCAGTTCTGTTCCTGATACTGAATCTGTGTGCACAATCCTGGAGGATGATGAAAAGAAGGTGGATGAACATGAACATGATACTGATCGAGAAACCGAAACCGCTAAAGCTGAGATGGCTTCTGACAATGATGAAGAGAAAAGCCATTCGGCTGCTTCTGACCATGAAGAAGGAAAAAGCCATTCAGCTACTGACCGTGAAGAAGAAAAAAGCCGTTTGTCAGAAGATTCCGATTTTGATGAACCAGCTGATAGCAGAGATCTTCATCATGATGTGGCGGAGATAATACTGGGAAGTGCAGAAACACACCATGAGCAATCAGACATGATGGACGGAGAAACTTCTGAAAATAGAATACTTGATGATGAAGAGGGTTCCAGTGATAGCGATTCATCTTTATCAGAGAAAGAAGAAAAGACACCGGATATTAGTGATAGTGAAGCAATGTTGATTTCAGAGCGGGGAGTTGATCTTCATGAAGAACCAGGTACTTCTTCCCAGCCTTCTTTTGGAGGATTAGCAATCCATGTGGCAAGAGGGGTGGAGGATGATTATCACCATGCTGAAGACTCTTTCATTACTGCGCACCCCTCGCTTTCGGAGTCGGCAATTCTTGATCTTTTGGTGGACGACCACCACGAAGAACCTGTTTACGATTCGAGTCCTCCCTCAGGCAGTAGATTCCCATCATTTTCTTCCGTATCTTCTTCTGATTACAAACCAGATCTACCTAGAAAGAATGGGGAAGAAGTACAAGAGAATGCAGAAAAAGAAGGTGAATTTTATTCTGAAAGCATAGGTTCTACGGAAATTCATTCCACTTCCGATGAGACCGAAACAAGTACTATGGAAGTAGGAGTGGCTAGCAGGCATGTTACTGGAGAGGCAAGCTTTCCCATTCAGGAGCTTGGAACTGATGGTCAAAATAACTCAACTATTTCAGGGTCTGAATTTGAGGATGCTTTACTTGATCCATCTTCTCTGCCTTTGGATAAGAATGAGAACGCTGATCACCAGGAGGATGATCACTTGTCTGTTTCTAGTGAAGAGGGCGTGGGAGAGCTGCATGAAGACGTAAAAGAGACCGAGAACACTGATCACCAGGAGGATGATCATTTGTCTGTTTCTAGTCAAGAAGACGTGGAAGAGCTGCATGAAGATGTAAAAGAGACTGTAGATACAAGAGCGCTAGATGTTAGTGCATCTTCGGTGGACTTGGTTTCTCCAACGGAAGAGGAATTAGTATCGACTGGGGTGGTTGAACAACAGCTCCCAATTGACACAAGCGAGCATGTGACAACACTGGAAGAATCACCTGATGTGGTACATGACGTAGCTGAAACTTCAGAAACCAGGTCAGTAGATGAAGGGATAATGAACGAGGAAGAGGAAGCGCAGAAACAAAAAGATGAAGCCAATCCTCAAACATTCAATGCAGACATCCCAATAGACAGTTACTCCACTTTGTCTTCCGGAGCGGTTGAGTATGTTGAGACTCATTCGTTTAATGACGAAGATGTTCCGCAGTTGGAACAAGATCCAGGTCAGTCGTCAGCTTCTGAAGCCAAGGAAGAAACTCACCCCAACCAAACTATGGATATCGAAGTAGACTCTGTAAATGCTAGTGCCCAAAGTGTGGGCTCTGGAGAAACGACTCCATCTGAATCAAATAGAGAACTGACCTGGTCAGATAAATCTGTGGTAGAGCAATCATCTCTTGAACCTGATGAAGATCAAGTAAGTCATGAAACTTATCGTCTCTCGTAGATAGATGCACATCATTACAACATATATATGAAGAGTTTAAAAGACTATCTTCTATTGGATATTGCTCTAAAGTTTTAGATAGTCTATTTACAGATTTACTTGATGGTGCATGTGCAAAAACATATTTGCTAATAATTATCATGTTTCTTATTCTCACGTCATAGATGATAACCGTACGTCATTTAGACTTGTGGTTTCTTAATACAACAGACTAATATCTCATGCAACAATTTGTTGATATTTGGATTTCCTTTATTCTTTGTACAATTTGTTATGCAGCAGATATGTTTCTTACCGCTGTGCTGCGTTATTGCAGGTAACAACTCGTGCAGGTCCTGTTAGTGTGGTCTTTTCCCGCAACATCACTTTCCACGAGTATCACGATGCCCCTGAGGATGCAGACGAGTTATCTTGTTTGACGTCTGACACATCCTCATCTCCAGCAGAGTCTCCTCAGTACGAAACACCTATGGTTGGTGAAGGCTCAAGGACAGAGTTCTTCCATGGGGGTCTTGGCCATGTGGTAGAGCGATTAGACGAGCTTACAGATTTACATGCAGTATCTCAAAGTCCTCCTGAAGTTATCACTGAAGAGGCAGAGGCAGACGAGATAAAAGAGATTGATGAAGGATTGTTGTCTGAACTTGACACCATTGGAGACTTCAGTGTTAAGGAAGTTGTGACAGATTCTGAACCTGGACCATCTTCAGAACGATTGTTGTCTGTGGCTGACACTATTAGAGACTTGGGTGTTGAGGAAGTTGTGACAGATTCTGAGCCTGGACCATCTTCAGAAGGGTTGTTGTCTGAGGCTAACAAGAATAGAGACTTGGGTGTTAAGGAAGTTGTGACAGATTCTGAACCTGGACAGTCTTCAATAGAATCAGAAGGATTGTTGTCTGTGGCTGACAAGAGTAGAGACTTGGGTGTTGAGGAAGTTGTGACAGATTCTGAACCTGGACCATCTCCAGAAGGATTGTTGTCTGTGGCTGACAAGACTAGAGACTTGGGTGTTGCGGAAGTTGTGATAGATTCTGAACCTGGACCGTCTTCAGAAGGATTGTTGTCTGAGGCTGACAAGAATAGAGACTTGGGTGTTAAGGAAGTTGTGACTGATCCTGAACCTGGACCATCTTCAATGGGATCAGAAGAAACTCCAGAGAAATCGGAGGAAAGCATTGCAGAAGAGAAGGTAAATACTGATGAGAAGAAGGAGAGTGAGTAAGTCCAATTCTTCAAGCTCGAGCTCAAGCTCAAGCTCTAGTTCGAGTGACTCAGATTGAAAAATTCAAGGGTTATACATCTCAAGTCAAGTAAATATATGTCTGTTCATGCGGTTATGATAGGCACTTCTGGTTTTTTTTTTAGTTTTGTTCATCAGACTGTGTGCTCTGTTTTTAAAAGGGGCAAGAAGAAGCCGCTAATCATTTTTTGCTGGTTTTTTTGTGTCTGTGTTTTCCTTTTCTCCTCTTTCATATTTTATTGATTTGATTGATTTGTATCTCTTGACACTTTTTTGGTTTTTTTTTGTCTTCTCGGTTTTGGTTTGACTTCATATATTTTCTTGTTTTTTCTAAATTATTTTGTATTGAACATGAGAAATGAGAAGTGTACTGCTGTTTATCTGTCAGTTGATCTGGTTCTAATTTTATCTGAGCTTAGGGTGAATAGTTTTTGATTCTGAAGATATTCACGATATATTTCTTTAGCTGATCAACTTTTGAGTCCAATGATAATGTTCATGTATATAGCTTTGTAAATTCACATGGCTAAAAGCATGCCTTTTCATAGGTTAATGATCATAAAGTTTTGTATGCCAGCAATAAGGATGTTTTTGGATCTTGCGATTCGTTTCTACTATGATCTACTAACCAATCTCAAGATGACGAAACTAATGTGAAAAAATACAACATATCATATGCTCTTATTATTTTTCACAATGCACCGGACGAATTAGTTCAATGATTTCAAAAACTAACATCACACATAAGAAGGTTCAGTTTTCAACAAGTGACGTGATACATACGTTGTATTGAAGTTAGATGGTGCACTGAGTTCATTACAGATTTTGTGCGAGGCATGTTGGTCTTAAGATTGCGTAAAAGTTTATTGACTACAAAGATGCTAATTACGAGATCAACCAAATTATTTACTACTATTTTCAATGGATGTTTAATTCGTGATTGTAAATTATTTGTTGCTAAAACTTTTTCGATTTTCTAGAAGGAAAAGATAAGCGTTGAGTATGTTCCCTTAAACTTGGACATCCAATTCAATAGATCTATAAATTGGTTACATATTTCCGGAACCCAACGATCATTCACCCACCCAATATTCAAAACTTATACATACGGCTGAACCAATTATCTGTCATATGTATTCCCTACTCCCTCCGTTTCATAATAAGTATCATATTGACAAAATGAATCTGAACTATTTATCGATGTATCTGGATGTGTTTTGAGTCTTAATACATTCATTTATATCTAGATACATTGGATAATTCAAGAGTCAAAACGACACTTATTATGAAACGGAGGGAGTACCATTATTTGTTTCTATTTCAACAGAATAATTTTTTATGGAATTCAATTTATTAGAAAATACTAGAATGAATCACATATGATGGCAGAAACAGATGGATTTACTTGTAGATTTTTTTCCTCTCACAACATTTGATGACGTTCAAGAAATTTTTGTTTCATAGAGTTTAAATACATTCTCGGTTGGTCCTTTGTTCACCGCAAAATGAGGAGTAATGGTCGGAGACTTACGTAATCAATATATTAACATATCATACAATCTAACACATTACCTAAAAATGGGTCATTTTCAATCGTTTTCCTATATTTGAGAACATACCCAGAAATACGGAAAGAAAAGAGTAAGAAAACAATAAAATCAGTAAAAGCACTTTACAAAAAATAACAATAAAAGGAAAAAGATAGTTTTTTCAATTTCTTATTTTATTTTCCTTTTGACTTTAAGTTTTTTGTTACACGAGTTACTTACCAAACGACGACCCAAAAAGGTTTGAGTGCAAAATCGCCTAACCCATTTCTTGTCACTCATTATGGCAATTAAAATCATCGACGCTCTAAATGCTAACTAGAGGTTCGTCAACCAGTGTGTTACCACCTAAGACTGTTTAGACATTTGCTAAAAGTCTACTAGTAAAATACTTTTTTTGAAAAGAAGTTTTCCACTGTCCACACACATTACTAATATCTAACATTCAAAGTTAATAAGAAAATCTATCTTTATTAAACAACGGCTAGAAAATTCATCTTTGGAGAACCGAGTAAGTAATTGATAATGTTAAACAATCATCTTTGGGGACAATGAATACGATATGGGAAATGATAATTTACAAAACAACACTTTCCGCAAAAACAACCTACACAATGAAACGTTTTAACACTAGCCCAATGCCTACCAAAATCAGAACACACAAAAAGTGGAGAAAACAAAATGAAAAAATCAAATATATCATAAAGATGGGTTTTCTTCTGTTGGCTGCTTTGGCTTGTTGCCCTTGTTTCGCTCTTCTTGTCCCTCTTATTGTCATCATCATCTTCTTTCTCAAATAACTCTAGAGAAACATACACAAGAAAAGGGCTCTTAGTTCCTCAAACCGTCAAAACCAAATCGTGATCCCTAATATTAGTAAATCTTGTGTAACATTCTCTAGTTTTGTTCCACTAATCTTGGATTTCTCTTCTTTCTCCTCTTGAGCCATTCATCTCAAAGCGCAGAACTTCTTCTCAGCATAGCTTATAGCCCGAGTAGAATGTAGTAAACAAGTGTGATCGGTAGTGCGATAAGCATTCCAAATATTACCCTGCAAAAATCATTCCACATAAGGCATCAACACATATTAGTAGTTTTATCTTATGGTTATGGATAAATTCAATATAAAATACTTACCCTGTACTCAAGATTGCCGGATGAACATTGTACTCCTTCGCAAACACAAACGGCACGATTCCTTGTGGCAATGCAGCCTACAAAAACCACCCCAAATTTTCATTTAAATTACTTACTGTAATAATTTTTTAGCAGGAGATTGTTTAACTTACTTGAACAATGGCCACACGTAATAGATCTCCGCGTAACCCGATAGCCGTTGCTGCAACAGCCATCACCGCTGGTCCTGTCAAGAACCTCACCGCCATTGCAAAAGTTGCCGTGGAATTTCCGCAAGCGATTAATTTTGGTTGCAACGCCATGAACAATCCTTCACCATTTTTTTCACAATCAATTCCATCAAACAATAATAATATGTAATAAAATGTAATGTAACTCCCAATCAACTTCCACTTAAAAATATTTGGGGACCACGACAACAATCAAAGACACGAGCTATGTCCTCCCACCACGACCACTTATATAATACGACCTCGCGTCATCGACCCTACATGTCGGACGGTCCATTCCCATAACGGGCCACATCAAATAAAATACTAAACCATTTTTGACTATCAACCAAAAACTTTCCGTACTATTTGCAATAATGCTAGTTACACAAGGAAAGAAAAGTAATTTGTGTAAGATAAGAAGATGATGACTTACCCAAACTGAACATAGCCATACCAAGACCAGCATCTGAGAGAATCGAGATTGATTGCTGTATGATTTTAGGCATTGCCACATTCCACCTTCATCATTATTTCATAATCCAAATCGGTTCCATAATCTCATATAATGATAATAATTTGAAGTATTTAATGATGATTGGTTTTGGTTTTAGTTACCGGAAAGCGACGAGAGCCCAAATAAGACCAATGAGACTTGAGTAAGTGTTTGGGTTCCTTATCAGTTTTCTCCACACCATTATCAGTATCAGCCTTGTCATCACACTCGCCGGCGGCATATTTTTAACCGGTCCGGTTTCACCGGTTTCGTTTGCTTCCTTAGGGTTTAGCTCTGCCGTGGAGTTACATCGAAGCTTCTGTAGCCCTTCTTTAGGTCTTTCCGACTCTTCTTCGCCGCCAAAGTCTTCGTTCATCGGAACAGAAGCTGTGACAACAAAGAATTAAATTTTTGACAAAAAAAAGAAATAGAATTAAAATTAAAAAAAAAAAACCTTTGCTTTCGGCGTCATGAGGAGGATCAGAGATCAACATTCGGATCTCTTTTGCGCCTGGTTCGTTGGCTCCATTATCAGCTCCGCCGAATACCTGAAGACCCGCTCTGTCCGAAACGGGTGACCCGTTGGAGCCCCACACGAACATATGGAGCTCCTTCGCATCATGGCTATTCGATTTCCCGTTTTTGCCACCGGTTTTATTAGCGGCGGAGGAGAAATCCGGAATCGGAGCCGGGTAAGACCCGGCTGCTCCCGGGTAATACCCGAATCTAGGCGACGAGGCCATCGCGCAATTCTCCTCGAAATTCGAAGGTCTCGGAGTCGGTCCCCTCGACGACTGAACGGAATACATATCCGCCGGGCCGAAATTCGAGAGACGGCCACCGGGAAACCCCATCATGGAGTAGAAATCGGAGTGGTTAAAATTGGATCCTCTCGGAGTCGTGCTGAGACTGTAAATCTCAGCTCCGGTGAGATTCGACGGACGAGGAGTCATGTTAGGACCACCGCAGAAAGATCTCCGGGAAGCGTTCGATTTCCTCACGGTGACGTGAAGCTTCCCGTCGTCTCCGATCTCGGCGTTCGTCTCGAGAAAATCGTGCCCGTCTAACGAAACGACGTCGGATTCGACTTTGAAAGAGACGATCGAAGCCGCCGTCTCCGGGAACTGCTCCATGATCAGAATCTTAGCGCCTCGGTACTCGAAGAGGAAGAGGAGGAGCGTGTACCAGATTATACATTGGAGCACGACGATCTGGACCATGAGCGAGCCGGAGTATTCGCCGTACATGGCGATGAGGAGAGGGATCCCCATGACGAGCGTGTTGGGGAGCGTGGAGAGGGAGAAGATGGTGATGCTCCATTCGAGACTGCCGGAGCGAGTGAAATTGGCCCAGAGGATGAGGAGAGAGAGCATGATTACCTTCTGGAGAGTATCGGCGGCGATGAAGCGGAGGTTCATGGCGTAAGGGTTGTTGGTGGAGATGAAGTGGAAGGAGAGGAGAGGGACGGCGAAGATGGCGACGAAGCGGTTGATTCCGGAGCATTGGTCCGGTGAGAAGATTTTCCACCAGCGGACGGAGCCGTAGGCGAGGATCATGGCGACGTAGAGTGGGATCACCGCCGTGAGCACCGTGTAGAGGTCGTGCCATGTGATCATTATCGAGTGTAAATTAAAGTGTGGAGAAAAAACCGTTAGGGAGTGAGAGTGGGAAGTCAAAAGAATAGTGTCAGTGTCTCTCTACTCTGATGACGGAAGCTTTAACAGAGAAGATAGTGAAAGAGAGAGAGAGAGAAGAAGAAGAAGGTTTTGAGGATTATAGTTTTACGAGAAGATGTCCCTTTACAGCTTTTTATACAGCAAAACACATGACATGACGACGACCTAAAGTTTCTATTTTTATTTTACTTAGTTTCAACATTTATCTACTTTTGTACTTTTTTCAACTATCTGTATCTGAACTTTTCCCTAATTTCTGTACCATTTATTTGAAGACAATATATATTTAGAAAATATCACATTAAATTCATGTAGTATTATGGTTATGGATTGTGTTTGAAATAGGTTATGAGAAGTTATTAATATTGTTTAACGGTATTTATAATCAGAGGCGAATCTACTAAGGGCTATACGGTGTCAAGTGACACCGTAAAAATTTGCATGTAAGCTGTTTTTTAGTGAAAATTCCATTGGTTTCATTAGATCATATGACAAAATCCTTCATTTGACCCCCCATAATTGATTTGTGTGTTTTATTGACACCGGTAAAAATAAACTCTAGATTCGCCACTGTTTATAATAATGGATTGTGAAGATTTTTCAGAGTTTTTGGTCGAAAGTTAAAAGGAAGGTTGCGAGTCTTGTGACATATCACTCATTATTTCGCCATTGGACATGGCCAAATGTGTTACTTGTATTTTGACTGTTTAGTACGTAAACATGTTAAAGTCAGATGGTTTTCTCAATACTTCTTGGGCTAGTGTGACTTAGAATGAAAGTTGGAATTTGGCCCAGACAGAAAAAATGTAAACAAAATCTAAACAGAAAAGGTCAATCAGAATGTATGTGATCATATAAGTGGACATAATTTTCTTTGAATAAGTCCTAAGTTTTACTAGACGAATGAAATCTGCAAGACCTTGATTGACCAATCTACACAATATTGTTACTTAGTCCTTAATTAGTAAACCTCACGTGCATTTGATGGTTGTATGATTGAGCTCAGCTGATGATGAATATAATGTTGTGGCGGTGAATTAACTAAGTCCATTGAAGCATAGATGAACACAAATACTACAATAGCTAGCCCACCAAAAATTTCCTTAGCTAAAAGATATTGCAATAAACTGAAATAAAAAGAGTAATGTTGAGTGTACTAATCTTTTTATAAGGCATCAAACAAAAAGATTAGTGGGAAAAGTTAGATTACAAGCCCAAAATATGTGGATTGAGTTCGATTCGATTTAAAGATCAATCTTGTTTCGGTTCAGGTCAAACAGCTTCAGTTTATGGAGATTAAACATGTCAAAGTAGCACTCCAAAATGGCGAAAACTCATAATAAAACATACATCTTGACCAAAATCAATAATATAGAAAGAGAGAAAAACGTAAGGTTACATTTGTACTGGAAAAAGGAAATTTGTAACTAGCGTTCGAATATCGATTCTTGGACCAATATATCAAAAAAATATAGAGTCAAACGTGATTGAGAGATGGGCCTTTAAGAGAGAGCGACGCAACGGCTTCAGCGACGGTTAAAAAGAGAAACTCTGGCCTCATGAACTCCTGTTCCTCGTCAGCTCTTTGTAGCTTCTCCATCACTTCACTCAAAGGGTTCACAAACACAAGCTGCACAAATATTCGTTCTTGATCAAAATCTAGTTAGGTATCTTGGTTTATTGACGAAAACTCGGTTTGCGAATCAAGTTTTACCTCGATGCCCTTCTTCGCGGTTGTTTTCTTCAATTCCTTGAAAAATGAGACTCCGTTTGTGTCCACACCGCTCACGGCTATAACATTTGTAATTAGCTACAAAAAAATCGAGTTTAAAAAAAAAATCTTTAAGACTTAAGACCAACCTGACATTTCAAGAATCAAGAACCGAAGGCTAGAATGCTTTTCTTGAGCTTCCTCTTGTTCGCATTCTTCGATCCAACGAGATGTTCTACAATTTTTTACGCAAACCAGATGAAAAAATTATTACTACAAATGTTATCAACCGACGCTACGTAGTTATTACGAAAGGTGGTTCCTGTATACCGTAATGTTAGCTCAAACCGGACATCTAAAATGCAAAAAAAGCATATTATATAACGAACCTTTCGGTGAGGTAGTTAGAATTGGCGAAATTGATAGGAGACTCGATGCTCAAGACAAGGACTCCCGGAATCCTTTGTGCTTCCTTGTAATGATGAAGATTCCGGTACACGTCCGTCCCCGGAATATTCCCCATGATAACGGTTTTCGGCCTCGTCACCTGCATCAATACCTTGAACAACGATAGTCCCACGGCAATGGCTAGACCGTTTTGAACGGACAGGAAAATGACACCAAAGAATGCGCATAGCATCACCAAGAAGTCGAATTTATCGATCTTCCATATATGACGAGCCGCAGGAAGGTCGATAAGGCCGATGACCGCGGTCACGATGATGGCACCGAGTACCACGTTGGGAGTGTACTCGAAAAGCGGCATTAGGAAGAGGAGTGTAACCATAACGGTGACCGACATGACGATGTTTGAAACCGCGGTTTTACATCCGGCGTTGTTGTTGACGGCCGATCTAGAGAAAGCTCCGGTTGTGACGTAGCAGGAAGTGGCAGAGCCTACTACGTTCATTAGTCCGATGGCGATCATTTCTTTGTTTCCGTCTACGTGGTAGTTCTTTAGCGCCGCGAATGTTCTTCCCACTGCGATTCCTTCCTGTTCGATCAGACAAATATACAGACAAAGCGAGACAGAGTTTAAAATTCATATTTCTAGTTTGCATTTGGCATTTACGTTTTACAAATCACAAAAATAAATTTGAACAAAAGACTAAAAAATAGTTTTATTTGAAAGAAGTAACATGATGGCCTTCGTACTTTTTGTTAAGATTTGCGATTATGTTTACTGGATATTTTTTTGCGTTTTAATCCAAAATTTGAAAATTTAAAACAAGTTATGGGGTGAGAGAGGCTCGAACTCTCGACCTCAGGATCACTCACTAGCTATGAGACCTACGCGCTAGCCAACTGCGCCACCACCCCGATGTTTTAATTCCAAATTCTTTTAATCCAAATGGTTAGTTTTAACTTTTAAACTTAAACGCCAAATTTACAGAAATACTATTTCTGAAACTTCAACGCCAAATTTCCAGATTGTTTTAATCCAAATGGCTAGTTTTATGAAACTTCAAAAGAAAATTATTATGTAAATATAAAATGTAAATGAAGAAAAACTGCGTTCAAAATCATGGAACAAAAAAAAAATCATGCAAATGATTTAACTAAAAAAAGGCAATGGCAAATGCAAACTAGAAAAACAATTAAGGACTGAACATAGTTAGATGATCCGAGTTGTAGGAAGTATTACAGTGAGGGAGACGATTCCGGTGATGAGTCCTGTTTTGGCGACGAGTCCCAGATGGCTTCCGTGAAACTGAAGCATATTCCAAGACGGTGGATTCAAGCCTTCTTGTAATTTCCCGATCTACCTCACAACAAAATTAGAAATACTTCAAAATTCTGCACAAACAAGTTATATATATAAAGGAAAAGAAATGAGCTTACGACGCTGATTCCGTGACGGTCGGCTCTTGAGACAAAGACGATAAGCGTAGAGACGACAACTGAAAGTAGCGGCGCTCCGGCTGAGACCCAGAACAGCTTCGGCTTCTTCATGCTCTACATTCATTTCCCTCTAAATATTATTATATTTTTTCAATTATATTTGGATGCTAGTAGCATCATGCTACAGTTTTGATTTTCATTTATTTTTACAAACCGGTTTTTTCATATCAATAAGGTATGTCTTTATATATTTTTTCAACATGGATTATGCGTATTAATTAACACATTTAAAATAATTAGTTGTATCAAATAATGATCAAATTAAATTTAACTTTTCAGTGAAATAATTGTTTGTTTTTCCTAAACCATGTCCATAACCATTACTACTTTCATACTTTGTTATTTATGGCGGGAAGAATGTTTAGAGAAACAATGGCGGTCCAATGTAAATGGAAGCGTAACAAATGTTCCACATGCATTTTGAGGTTTGCGAGAGAGTTCGAATGGTAATAAATAGTGAGAGATAAGCAAACATACGAGGTGACGTGTTGCGAGCAAGAAGAGCAAGAAGGAGACTCCCATCACAATTGTTTGCCATGACCACTACACACCATTAATAAATACTATTAACAATAAAATTCATATTAACTGTAAATAAAATTGAATAGAAACAGAGGAAGAAGAGAGAAACCTCGTTGGTGTGTTGGAAAACAGAGGAGAGAACAGGGACTACACTCATTTGCTTAGTAAAATGAGTTATCCCAAGCAAAGCCTTGAGCTGTTGCAGTGATACTATTATGGCTGCTCCGGCCATAAATCCTATCAGCGTTGGTTTTGATAAAAAGTCTATTATAAATCCCAGCCTGTACATGTAAAAATATAACTATATAAATATGTATATCGTATAACAAACCAATTATGAAAAAAGGATAACTTGTATAACACTTAAACACTAGTTAAACACTAGTTAAACACTAGTTAAACTATTAGTCTTTTATTTTTGTTATTTATTTATTTTTTCTGTAAAAACTATTAGTCTTTTAAATATCAAACACAATATTGTTGGTTATTGCAGACGTCTTATATAGCAAAAATATTCGATTGTTACAAGATTCAGAGATTAGTATGTGTTTCGGTTCAAAATCTAGCTAATTATTAAAAATTAAAAACAGAACATTTTATTTCTGTTTATTTTAATATGCATCTGTTTTGTATTAACATCTAAGTATTTAACTTTTTTGAAAAGTGATGTTGCGGTAAAATGAGCTTATAAAAAATGTTGTGAAGTATGATTAGATAAATCCTTTTTTTTTTGTCAAGCAAAGATGAATCCTTTTAAAACTAAATAAACGCAACAGAATATGTATTGACCCTATAGATTGGTAGTAAAACCTAGCCCAGGACCAGTATTGACCTCTGAACACATGTTTCAACAGAACAGTCAACAGATAGCATGCAAAGCTAAAAAAACATTATCAGTAAATAGACTATTTTATCACCTGAGGATTCCAAGAGAGGCTTGAAAGAGACCAGCGAAGAAGGTAGAAGAGAAAGCGAGCTGTAGAAAGAGAAGAGGATCGTCTACGGGAGACACTTGCTGCCTTAGCATGGATCCTAAGATCAACGACGCTATGGAGACTGGTCCTACCGCTAGATCTCTTGAGCTTCCCAATACCGCATAAACCAACGGTGGCACAAAGCTCGAGTCTACACACATTAACACACACACACGTGTGTGTATATATTTATTATTTACATTAACTATTTACTCTATTATTATTTCCTTGATATCAAAGGATAGATAGATAGTTCGATTAAATTTTACTTTAGATTCTTACATAGACCGACGATTGGAGGCAAATTCGCTAGCTTTGCGTAACTTATCCCCTGTTATTAACAAAAAGACCAAAGAGAGATAAAAGTTTGAGTTTTCAAAAATGAAAGAAGTTTCCATTTTTGGAGAAAAGGATCAAGAACTTGATTAAAAACGGCAGTCGTGATTGGTCGGAAGCTAAAATGGGTCATCGGCGGAATTTTTACGTACCTGAGGAATAGCTAAACTAGCAATGGTGAGACCTGAAACGACGTCGGATTTGAGGAGTCTGAAGCTGTATTCAGGACACCATTGGAGGATTGGGAAAATGTACTGAGCGCCTCGTATGAGTTTGGTACGGCTCGGTTGTCCCCTGAACTGTCTTAAAGGGTCGTCCGGGAAGAAAGTCTCCTTCAGTCTTGTCTTCAGCTTCGCCGCCGTGCTCTTATGCGGCGGAGCAACCACCTGGTGCACCTCCATTTAATTAGTTATAATATAATATATGTGACTCTCTGTGTGATGTTTCCGCTCTTGGCTTTTTGTTGATAATGTGAGTATGTGACCACGAGTATTGTTATTTCGGGTCGGTCTTTAACATTTTATAATGGTATCTTGGCCTCTCATTTTTTTTTTTTTTTTTTTGTATTTAAGGGAAAACAAAATAATTGGGAAAAACTTACACGTACTGTTGTCTCTGTAAAAGAACAATAAATATGTAATCCTGAGCTGATATTCTGTTTTGTTTGTCTTTTTGGTGTTTTTTCACTATTGACCCTGTGAATATTTATCTTTATCTTCCAAATCTTCCACAATTCTATGTGCGACTGAATAATAAAAAATGTACCTTATTTATATAAAACATTCGCCACATTGAGAATCTGTGATGTGATAATGCATATGCAAATACACAACTAAACTATGAATAATAACAAGATCAGTAAAATAAAAGTACAAGCAGTATGTTTATCTCTAAAAAGTTTGAGTAATGATAATGCATTTTTACCCGTTGAGATCGCTAACAAACAAGGAAGCGACCAACTAGCCTACTAGGGATTGTTACATTAATCCGGACAAAGAGAAAAAGTTGATGAGAGTTTAGACTTATCGTATTTGGGTCAAATGAGTTGAGCCCACACTAATAGTTAAAAATATCAACATCTAATATTTGAATATGCTTAGGGACACAGTGTTTTAATGTTCCATCAATAATTATCCATGATAATTGATTAAAAACCATCTCAAACAAATCCATAATCCGACTAACTCGTGGTAGTCTATTAATTAAAAAACATGGAGTGAAGAATTAAGTAGGGTATTCTTACCCCCTCCACCATGTTTTTAATCATGTTTGTCTAATGTGGATATTTGTACTTAGCTTTTTACGAATTATAAAAGTCTACATTTCACAATATTTTTCTGGTTAACAAAAAAAAAAAAAAACTCATGATATAGACTATTTTTTGGCTTTCACTTTTCAGAGAATATTAATGTGGATTAGAGTATGTAACAAGAAACAACATATCATGGATCTGTTCTTTCATGCCAATCAATCTCTATGAACTAATTTAATTACATATGGGACAACAGCTTTTAAGCCAAAAAAAAAAAAAAATAGTTTACAGCTTCATTGCCAAAAAAGTATACTAAATTGATAATTATCGTATTACTTTAAGTAATAACTGTGATATGATATGCCAATTAATAGTTTAGTGCTCGAAGATTGTCTTCTCGTGTGAATGATCAGATCAAGTTTCTATTAATTTAATGAATCATTCTCGGACATTCCTTGTTTCGGTGAAAGAAACGAAAGGGACCAAAATTAGAAGAATTATTGATATATTCATATAAAATGAAGAATCTAACCAAACATATAAAAGAAATAGCAGAAATTCTAACCAAACCTATCTGCGTCGATAATATGGACAAAATGTCTACAACTTTAACCTGCATATTTGAATTAAGTCCAGACGTCTATTACATGAATACAGATCAATTGCGATTCGCACAATTTTGTCAACAAGGAGTGAATGAATGCTAACTAAAGCTAGGTTTGTTATTAGCTTTAGTTATTGCGATTATTAACGCACTTAATGAGTTTTTTTCTGTCGGAACACAGATTAAGACCAACAAAGTAATTAGTGGATTAATTTCACAATTTCTTCCATCGTACAATCTGAGTTAATATACCAAACTGTTTTTGATAAGTTATAATCCAAACTGGGAAGATTCTAGCCCCACTAATTATTATGGGGTCCGTCTAAACAATGGTGGAATAAAAAGTGAGCATGGGTGAAGATGATCGGTATATACGGTTGAAGATTAAAATATAACAATATCAAATGCATTTGGTTGCTAGATATGTTTGTAATTAACTTCAGTAGAATAGTAAAAAGAAATTTGTTCATGAATAATCAGTGCTTGCACTGTTCATTTCTATTCATTTTAACGTTGTTTCATACATACTAAGAAACAATTCAACTTTCCATCTCACCTGTGTATTTTACTAATATATTTCACAGTAAAGTTTGTTTTTGCAAATGAACAAACTATAGCAAGGTAGTGCATAATTTTGTTTTTGCAATTATATCCCAACAAATAGTTGTATGGAGAGAAAATAATTAAAAAATGATAATGATCAATGAAAACGTGTGCCATGTCACGGGGTAGGGCAATGAAGACGAAGTCAAATAATACAAGTAAATGAGTATTAAAATGGATATTGGTAGGCCAAATCAAATAGAAAATAAAGAAAATAATAGTAGAAGAAGAAAGAAACAAAAGGGAAAAGTAACGGGACGTGAATGGAGTTATTCAAACCAAAAGGATCTGATGCCCAACTCTTTTGGAATGAAGGGCAATGTGAAAGCACTATGCACATTGCGCACTTGTGAACGTATTCGCGTGACTCTATTTGTTGGTCCATCTATCCACAAATTAGTTTAATTTTCTTCTAGATATATATGTAAAATATGATAGGTTATAAATTATAAGTTTTCTACAATCAATATTCATGTGAAAAATGAGTACCTATTTATTTGTATTTTGTCAAAGAAAAGAGAAAAAGTAACTATTTAAAGAAAGTTGCGGTGAGCATTATTCAAGAATTCTCGGGATAAATTTTTATCATGAAAATAGAAAATTTGATACGTATTGAACTGAATGGCCTCACGCCCTCACCTCACCTCCGTTTGTGGAGAATTGCCGATTTCTTATATATAGTCATTGTCTCTTTATAGACTCTTACATATTTTTCTTCTTCATGTAACTAGATTATTATGTCGTACTATATTTTAACTTCTTGCCAACAATGATCTATCATGCAGCACGACAAACGTGCCTAAATTATTCACGTATATTGATGATTTTAAACAAATTAGACAAAACTACGAGAGACAATATAAACCGCAACACACCATTGCATTTAGTAGAAATTTAATTGACTATATAACAGTATACAATACATCGTTTTTACTAAAATTTACATAATCAACATAATAGTAGCAACTATAAAAGCAAATTAAGTTGGTGACTAATAAATTACCTTTTCAGAGTTACTAAAAAAATAAAAAATTGGATATAGTTTCACAACCGATCAGTCATTCTTCTTGAAAATGAAAGAAAAAATATTTTGGTAAAAAGAAAAATCATAAAAGGGAAGAATGTTATGATGGAATGAACATTTTTGAATGATATGTTCAACTGAATGAATTAGCCACACGTAAAAAAAAAAGAATATCGGTTTTTGAGTGGTGGTTTATTTGCAGATTCGCAATACAAAAATTGTCAACCGGCCGTTTACTTTGTAGTTTAAGTTTTAGGAAAGAAATTCAGTACTATGAGTCATCTTTTAGGTATTTCCAATGACTGTATGGTCTTTTTCGAGCAAAAGATGATGATATAGATACCATTTGATTTGCCTATGTAAGAAGATAATTAAAGCGTTGAATCAAAAAAAAAAAAAATAGAGAATAGAAGAAGATAGGAAACGAATAGGTGGCACACAAAGGTGGAAAATGTCAAATGATACTACCAGCTTTTGTTACTGCAACGCCATTTGCTATGTTTCTCAAATCTGAATAATAATGAAAAAAAGAAGAGGCCCGGCCATCTCTCACTGTCCATCTCCTTGCAAGTTGCAACCATAGAATCTGACCGGTGACCCAATCTTCCAAAACTAAAATAATGATAATGCGATTTGAGAGTTGATTGTGACAACATATGTCCTTTGATTTATTTATTTTTCAACCTTCTTTCAACCCCAATTCCAAACCAACTTGCTTGTACATTAAACAGCTTATACGGATTTGTCTTCGATATGTTTTTTTGTTTCTCACTATTCTGATGTGATGCAATTTTGGTTTTTTGTTTGTATCATGTTCTTGTCTTCACGAGTACGTGAATGTGACTAAAAAGAGTTCTACAAGTTTTCCATACGTCTAGATTTTTAAATTATTTTAATGAAATGTAAAACACTGTAGATGGATTTCATCCAAAATGTAAGTCCTAACAATTCGGTGTTTTTCTTTTGCTTTGATTATAAAGAACATAGTTTAGACTTCAAGATTCTTTAGAAGCTGTAACTTTTTGTCGTCCTTTTATGCTATAAGATTGTCGTCTTTTGACCATAATATATATTTAATTGACCATAATACTAGTGTTGCATGCTGTTATATCACTACCAGGTTTAACACTTTAAACTCGTTAAAATGCCTATTACTGATACAAACAACCTGTCATCCGATCGGAGTATTCCTCAAGAATACAACTCATGAGATGCAGATAAAATAGTCGAACCTTTAACAATAATAAAGTCAAGAAAAACACAGAAAAAGACACCAACTCAACGTAAATTAACAAGTCCAGTAAATCAGTAGAATAACTTTACATATGTACGATTTTTAGATAATCATCGTTTCATGAATTGAAATCGGTACTATTCTTGTAACTTTTTTTTTGGATAAATACTATTCTTGTAACTTACATCGGTTAATTACCAATAACTTAACTCTGTACGTACATGGCTAAAGATATCTATAGCTAAAGCTGTGGAGTGTGTACATACCTCTCTCAATATAATATATAACGTGAATCAACTCAGACTTAACAATCAAGCGATTAAACCAAGCACTTTACTTTTTGTTCGAGTTAACAACCACGAGAGCAATTGACAATAAGAAAAGAAGGAAATTAAATAGCACTCATGAAAATCAAACACAAAAGAATCTACAGAAAAACGTGAGCCATTCGTTTGGTGGATAGCTTTCGTTAATTTATAGTTTCCTAATCAAACATCAACGTGAAACAAGTCACCATTTTTTTTTCCTCAATCAAAGAAAATTGTATAAATAACGTGGCACATCAGAAAGAACTTCTAACCCACCAATGGTTGAAACATTTGTTCTTGTCTTATTAGGTTTCATTTCATGAATCTTCTCCCCTCAATAAGGTCGGTGCACGATGCAAGGCTTGTAATGTTCTCTTTATTATTTATGGTGGCTTTGGCCGGAACATAAGTAAAGATGTTGATGAGATTCGATACGATGTTAGTGTCAAGATCCTCTTTTTTAGACTCTAGGATGATAAGGTGAATCTTTAAGCTATAGTGCCTATCCATTTCTTCATCATTGTCATGAGATCTAAAACCCATACTTATTATACTTTAGGGACCTCCCAAAAGACACATTGAGCTTTTGATCGCGTGTTGCTTTGTTATCCTCTTTGCCCACTTTAGGGACCTCCAAGTGTCAGTTTCTCTCTTTCCTTCTTACAAAAAAAAAAAAAAAAAAAAAAAAAAACTTTGAATGGTTAGGTAAGGTCATATGCACAAAAAAATGGTTAGGTAAGGTCATCCAATAATAATCTTTGTTCAATTTTTGGTTAAACATTTTGGTTGTGAAGATTTAAGAATGATCAGTGGAATCCAGTTTTGGAAAAGTTTCACACGGTTTGTGTTTTCGTTGAATCAATAATTTCTAAAACGTTGTCAATTCATTTAGTTTTGAACTAATTAGACATCACTATGTAAAGTAGTTGTAACTATCAAGACATCAAACCTCTGTGGTCTAAAATGCTTTACATACGTCCATGGTGCCTTTTTATTTAGTGTTGTGTTTAGCAAATGAACCAACAACCTTATGGAGTTGACCATTAAAATTGTTAGCATAAAAAATGGAATCACAAGGGACAAAACACAAGAATAAAAAGAAAATGAATTCTAGAGGAATATATATGTTTGGGAAAAATACCAAGCAAAAAAAGAATCAACTTTCAAATTTCCAAATGAAGATTATAGGAACGAGCAACAAACGTCATGATATTTTGATGATACTCAATGGGCCTGGGCTGAGTAAAGCCCAAGTAACCGTTAAAACACCCAACACATCTTTTCTTAAACCCTAAAGGCCTAAACCCTAAAACATTCATTTGATCAAAGTTTCGTAATCCGACCTCTCTCAGCAAGAAAATGGCGAAGCGCTTGGTCCCGACGCTCAATCGTGTCTTGGTGGAGAAGATTCTTCAACCGTCGAAGACCGTCTCCGGCATTCTCCTACCGGAGAAATCTGCTCAGGTTAAAAAAAAAAATCCTCTTCACTCGCGCTCCTTGAAAAAAGTCTCATCCTTTATAATTTGTTGGATTTGATCGAACGCAGTTGAATTCCGGAAGAGTCATAGCAGTTGGACCTGGAGCGAGGGACAGAGCTGGGAATCTAATTCCGGTTTCGGTTAAGGAAGGAGACAATGTCCTTTTGCCTGACTTCGGCGGTACTCAAGTCAAGCTCGGAGAGAAAGAGTAATGCTTTTAACCTGTTCGACGTAATTCCTCTGAGACTAACTTCTCCATTTGCCACAGCTCATTTCACTGTCTTTTGGTCTCTTTTCAGGTTCCTTTTGTACAGGGACGAAGATATAATGGCTACTCTTCATGATTGATAGAAAGAAAAGCTCTGTTTCTTGGAATTCCTGAATTGATGATTGCTCTCTGCTCTATTTTCTGCAATTGTCTAGTGGTTTCAACTTTGAACTGTTCTTCCTTTTTGAATGTTCGTTACACTGATGGAAAAAAGCTTTTATCATTCAATAAATTTCTTACATGATCATGCAATACACCATGTAGTTCTCACATAGATATTACTGACTACAATGCTTCTTAGTTATGTCGACTGATTAAGTGTAACAGAGAAACCACTGTTACAAGAATAGAGAATTTCCATAAACAATTTTGGAAACTTTTTGATCTACTCAAGAAGCTTATTACACGTTCCGACGCCAATGGCTGCAGCGAGGTGCCAACCGGCGTGAAGGAAAGGTGTCTCAGGGAAGAAATCATCAGCTATGAACAGAGCACCACCTAGCAAAGAAGACATCTTGTGTACGTTATGAGCTGTTTTGAGATCAGGGTCCTTTAAGCTTCTTTTAGCAAATGCGACCTGAGTCAAATGTAGTCATTTGAGTTGCTGATTTATCAACAAGAAGTGAGAAAGTGTTCAGGTTTTTAAGTAAGTACCTCCATCATTCCGGTGTGAACAGCAGAGACCATGAGAGGCTGAAATGGTAAAGCTAAAGCTGATGCAGCCATTAGCAACTTTGGGTTCTCATTCCTCAGAGCCCTTGAGAGACACTGTCCAATATTCACAACCTCGGTTGATAGGCTGAAGAAGAACTTGGAGATGGGATGGAGAAAATGGAACTTACAATGGTTGTTGTGGCTATCATTGTGTAATCTACCCATCTAAGGTACTTCCTCAGCTTTCCTCTGGAGGCGTGATACAGACTCGATGCAATTCCAACACCGATTAAGGAGTTTGCGTACGCCTTCATGTTCAGATTCTTCCTGTGTATTGCATAGTTGTTTAATCTCCTCTGTCTTGTGACTGAACAAATGAGTTACGCAAAGAGAGAGAGAACATGTACCTCGGTGCCTGCATTCCAAGGACGATGAAAGGAAGCGAAGTAGCCACATTAGCAGCTGTTTCTAGAACACTCTGGTCACCTGCCATATGATCAAACACTTGAGAGATTGGAAAGATAAACAGACCAAAAACAATTCGGAAGGATTCGTACCGTGGATGCAAGAATGGATTGGTCTTAGGCATGGAGGTCTTTGTTGCCAAACACGTCTGTAAAGAGAGAGAAACAGAGTCAGGAACAGAACCGTTTTGAGAATGTTTCACAGCCACTAATGTAAAGTAACGTACTCGATGAACAGTTTCTGATTTGATCCCATGTCTGAGGGTTTGCATTTGGTCTGAAAGTCACCGACTTGTGATGTCTGGTCGTATGAGAAGGGAGATTGAGAGACGACATGAACACCATGGAGACCCTCAAGGGCGTTGCTTGACTTTGATACACATTGCAGGCTCATTGACTCGTCTCAAGACCCAAACAGTGACCAAAATCTCTCTATTCGCCAGCAAAAAGCAAATTACTTGCTGGTCTCGCTTGATCTGTTATGATGATCAATAGAAAAAATCATCCTACAAGAACTGGTCATCCATGTTACCTTGTAGATTACATCATCTAAATATTGATTTCTTGATTCTCAACACCTAGAATTGTTAACTGTGTATTTTCTATTTCGTAGCAATTTTATGTGAACCAACCAAGAAAATTCATAATACATAATAAACCAACCAAGAAAATTCAACTCCAAACTAAATCATATAACGTTTTGAACGAATTCAAACAGAGAAGTCAAGTAGAAAGCAAACATACACAAAGTTACAAGAAATGATTGCAGAGAAAGAAAACATACTCAGTTAGTCAGTTGTTACAGTAAATGATTGCAGAGAAACATGCACAACTATGTAACTGTTCAAGCAGCTAGAGAGAGAGATCGAACCTGAAGAAATGGCCGTAGGAAAAAACTCGAGAAGAAGGGGTTGGAGAAGAAATGTATATGAATAGAGAGAATCAGAGTAAGAGAGATGCGAATGAGGCACGAATCTTTCTTCCTTAACTCTCTACTCCAAGGTATATTCTCATCATCAATATTCCTTATTGCATTTACCCGGAACGGTTTTCCCGGGTCAGATACCGGTTTGATCCAACCATCTGAACGTAACTCGAATTCATGCATGCCTTATAGGTATGGGAGGCCAAATATGGGCCAAGCCCAACGTATGAGGCGAACTGGAGTTTGTGCTCATTTCATCACCATCTAAATTAAACTTTACATAATTGGTTATAGCTGTAGCTTTTTTTTCTGTAAAATTTATGCCTTAGAATTTTTTGCTATGATTACAGATTTTAGTACTGTAAATTTTTTTTATTGTAGATTGTGTCATTAAATATATTATTAAAACAAAAAAAATAAGATATAAAAATAATAGATTAAAAAATAAATGTTGAAAAAATAATAAGGAAACAGAAGAGAGCATGAAAGCCAGAATGAGAGCATGATTGGTAATTTTGGATTGCTATAGAAAGATTTTTGGTTGTGCATAGCAACCACAACTCCTACCAATCATCCGTTACTGATCCAAAAAATAAAACTAATTAGGTATACTATTATACATGTGAGGTTAGTGAAATTTCTTTGAAAAACTTGAGAACGAGAAGTTTTTCCGACCAATACTTTCTATAGAGAATTATGGGTTTGTAATTCACTTTTTGAGGAACATTTTAAGGAAAAATTATGAGGAACATTCTCAAAAATAATCAAGCCACCTGTTTTCTTTTTTCCCCTTTGATGACTACAATAAACTACACCAAACGTTTGCGTTCGCTACGGATCGGTCTACAGCAACTGAGCAACCATTATCAGTTTCTCCCGATTTCTTAGAAGATAAAAGATTCTTTTAATTGTTCTACTCTTATCTTTGGTGTAATGGAACTAATTCTCTCACTTTTAAACAAGAATACTTTAATGTTTATCATTATAAAACTGTTAGCAACATGCTGGCGTAGTTTCTCTCCATACCCAAGGGATCTTATTCCAGAATTTCGGATAACCTGACACTAAATATTTTTCTTTCTGTTTCTAAACATGAATGTTTTAATTTTTTTTTCACACATAATCAACATTTCCTTAACCTTGTTTTTAACATATTCCTCCTTACAATGAAACTTCTTGGTTCGAATGAAAATTTTGAATCTCTTGTGGTGTTTTTGTTAGATCAAAAACAAAAAATTATATTAAATTTTTGAATATTGCCTTAATTGTTACTAGAAGGTTTAGATGTTTGGTAAACATGGAAACGTTTTCGCTTAGTGGTGGTTAATAACAAATTAAGGTATAAGATAAGTGTAGGTGAAATTGTTCAAAATGGTTCTATATATGTTTTTTTTCCACAACAACTTGGTTCCATGTTTTGTAGATGGATTATTTATTTATTTATCTAAAAAACTAATTAAGCTCCGCTTGTTGTGCCTGTTATGAATGAGATGTTATAATCCTGTAATATATGTCATCATCATTAGACATGTGTATACGAGAAAGAAAAGTCTCTAAGCCGTTTAAACAAAAAAGATCTCCAAGAATATGAAATAAGGTATTAACGAAAAATCAAGAAATCAAATCTTCCCAAACTTATTATAGGATTTCAGACCAGATCCACATCCACATCCATGTTATGCAAAGACTAATTCTTTGCTGAAGATATCAACAATTCCCGAAGTAACTATGAGAGGTTGCATAAAAAATGTCAAATACTGTGATTATTAAAAAAGATAAATGTCAGATATGGATGGAAAGTCCACCACAGTATGGATAAACTAATGGTAAAGTATCCATCCATAGATCAATGCTTTGCTAGCACCTATATTTTAAGAGATAATAAACCTATCAATCAATGAGACACTAATCACAAAATTAAACCAATAAATATTTCAAAAAAGGGATAAAAGGATCGTAAAAAAAAGAAGTTTTATTGCTCCTTGCTCTATAAAAAGGGATACAAACTCTTAAGCATTTCAAAGTCTATCAAAGCACTTTTTTGGAAAAGAAAAGCACAGCCGGTAAGAAAATATGGCAAAGGCGATGCAAGAGTCTTCTCTGTTAGGACAACTTGAGGTAGAAGTTGAGATCAAAGCTCCGGCGGCGAAGTTCTACCACATGTACGCCGGAAGGCCACACCAAGTGGCCAAAGCCACCCCTCGAAACGTGCAGGCATGTGATCTGCACGATGGAGAGTGGGGCACAGTTGGCAGTATTATCTTCTGGAACTACGTTCATGGTATACTCTACCGAAGATATTTGGGAATATTATACACAAATTTGTTGAATAAGGTAGAATATTTTGATTGGTAAATTGTTCGTTTTGGATGTAGATGGAGAGGCAAAGGTGGCGAAAGAGAGGATCGAAGTAGTGGAGCCGGAGAAGAAACTGATAAAGTTTAGGGTTTTAGAAGGAGATCTAATGAAAGAGTTCAAGAGCTTTGTGATAACGATCCAGGTTACCCCAAAGCAAGGAGGAAGTGGGAGTATTGTCAAGTGGCACTTTGACTATGAGAAGATTGATGAGAAGGTGTCTCACCCTGAGACTTTGCTCCCGTTCTTTGCCGAGATGATCAAAGAGATCGACGAACACCTCTTGTCCGAGGAATAGAGAATGACCTTAATTTTCCTTTTCTTGCACTTTTCTATATGTTTTGCATGTTCTTCTTGTGTTCTATCTCTATAAAATAAGACAAGATGTTGCGAGTTTGTGTTAAAATTGTTGATGTATGGTGTTGCAAAGTTGATGCTACGTTTTATGTTGTAACTTTTGAGTTTATGTTCTGATTAGTATGTAATAATAAAAATTTCACAATATTTTAATATAAACTTATCTATTAGCATCATCTAAAGACTAAAACTGCTCTAACATCATCATAAGTAGATTGGGAACCGTGTGAACGTAATTAACATCTTATGTTTTTTTCGTAAGTGTCATCTACTGTTCTTGGCTTGGTATTCCCTAAAAACGGGCCGTTACGAAGACCATTTTCATTTCTAGGCGACTATACCATATCTGTGGGATATAATACAAGCACAGGACAAAACTTATCTGAAAGAAAAACAAAAGCCAATAAATACCTGACGACGAACACGTTCATCTATCACTTTAGAAACCTTCTTGTGGAGTTGACAGAGAGTCAGGCTACCTGGAGAAAAAGTCAACGGGATCTGCTTGTATTTATGTGACCAAAGTCGAAGTCAAAACTTTCTAACGCGATGGAGATAATAATCTAACCAAGGTAATGGAAAAAAGAGTACAGGCTGTACAGCCAACAAAACCCATCATGTTGCGTTTGGCAAGAAGACCACGTGTCGTGCTTAGCTGCTAATCAAGAAACTGACGTCAGAAGCCACCTCTGATCTCTGTGGTTATTTTGTTTGTTATGTATGGTAAAGTGAAGGTGACTCAGATCTGAGAGACCAGAAAATCATCGAGTCATGGCGGGTGTCCAAACTCTCGAACTTGAGATCCAAGTAAACATGACAGCCGATAGATTCTTCAACACTTCCAAGAAGAAAGAAGGAAATTTCACGGACAAGACTGAGGCAGTTTCTGTTCATCGTGACGATCCCGAATCCAACTCCTCTATTCAGATCTGGAATTTCATCGTAGGTGATAAATTATTTTTATAACTAATTGACTTAATTTGGATTCTTGAATATAGTGGTTTTTCTCTTCTTTAGTTAATTATCTAGTTCTTGATATTTTTTTTTTTTTTTTTTTTTTTTTTTTTTTAAATATAGTTCTTGAATCCCATCGATTACTTTGGATATATGTATTGTTATAGATGGAAAGATGGAGCAGATCAAGGAGAAGATAGAGGTAGATGAAGAGAACAAGTCAGTGTCGTTTTTAGCCCTTGAAGGAGATGTGTTGAAGCAATACAAGAGCTACAAGATAACACTTGACGTTGTTCCTAAAGATGATCAAGTTTGTATTGCCAAGTGGACATGGGAATACGAGAAGCTAAACAACGACGTACCTCCTCCTACTAGATACACCGCCTTTGTTGCAGATTACACGCGCGACCTCGAGACTAGGTTGTTGTCTGAATCATGAATGTATCATCAATGTCTCTGATGAGCTTCTTTGTTAAATAAATCAAATCTTGTTATGCAAAGAAAAAATACTCTTATACTTCTTCTTGTTTCTCGTCAAACTATTGTTTTTCTTAATTTTTTTTTTCTCTGTATAATATGTATAATTTGATGAATCAATTATATGGACTTTACATTCCTCAAGCTAAAACTAAGTTCCATGAATTCCACCGAATTTTCTCAAAAGAGAAAATTGGCAAGGATAAAATGATTCCCATTTACTCTGTTCGATTGGATAACATACACATTAAATCAAATTTAGTTTTGATATGACTTTATTCCTCTCCTTTTTTCTTTTCTGTCAATTGTAGATTCTTCTTGTGGTCTCCGTTCAAACCCATAGGAATTTTACATCCACTCTATTAGTGAAATTTGCTTGCAAAAGTTTCCAAGAATACACTCATCCTCATAGAGATTATTAGACATAGTTGTGTTGTGATATTGGAATGTGAAATATAAGAGAAAGTTATTTGTAGATACAATGTGGTCATTATTGCAGACTCTACACGCGTGGCCTCAACACAACGTTAATTGTGTGAATTAAAATATCGATCCTATAACTGTAAATGGATATGATTATGCTCGATCTTGTCTTTGGTAGATAGAAGTGGTCAATAATAGCAGCCTATAACAATATTGAAACATGCCTTTCGTGCGGTGATACATCATTGAATCGAATCCTATACAATCATAGTTTACAAGAATCTTATAGTGGTTAGCAGCTAGTTGGCATGATTCTTTCCCTTGCCTAAAGGGACCATATATATTCCAGAAAATAAACATAATTAAACAACTCCGATTTTTCTGCCTGGTTACAATTGCTCATTCCTTCCTCTATAAAAAGGGTTATGAATTATAAAGAGACACTCAATCATCACTCTCATTAACACCTAGAGAAGCAAAACATCCGTATAAAAAACATGGCACAGGCTACGAGGCAGTCTTCCCTACAAGGAGAGCTTGAGGGAGAAGTTGAGATCAGAGCTCCGGCCAAGGAGTACATCCACTTGCTAGTTGGGAGACCACAAGATGTTCCAAAAGCCACTCCTGAAAACATTCAGGGATGTGAACTCCGCGAGGGAGAGTGTGGCAAAGTTGGCAGTGTCATCGTCTGGAACTATGCCATTGGTACTAAATCCAAACATTTAGTTATTTAAATATATAACTGTGCAAAAAAAATAATTTGATTCATAAAACTCTTGTTTTTGGTGCAGATGGACAGCCAAAGGTGATGAAGCAGACGATCGTGGCACTGGACTCGGAGAAGAATCTGATGGTGGCTAGGGCGACTGAGGGAGATATAATGAAAGAGTTCAAGAGCTTCGTTATCACTTTCCAGGCCACCCCGAAGCAAAGAGGACCTGGAAGTGTGGTTAAATGTCAAATGAAGTATGAGAAGATTAACGAGAAGGTGGCTCCCCCGGAAAAAATGATCGAGTTCTTTGTCAAAGCATCCAAAGGCATGGACGAAATGCTTATGTCCAAAGTCTAGGGCACTCTTCGGATATCCATCCATCTATCTATCTACATCTCAATAATGTGCTCTCTCTATATTTGAAGAGATGTAATCTGCAAGTACTATATTGTCATACATGATGTCTGGTATTGCAGAGTTTGTGTTACGTACGTTTTAAGTTGTAATTTTGCAATATGCATGTAATGTGACTTTTGTGTTGTCATGAGTTTCTCCAGCGCATGTCAAGGACTCATGTGTATTTATGAATAATGAAAAGAACTTGTCATACTTTATCGTTAGTAAAACTAACTTTTGTACGTTATAGAAAATTTAACTAAAACCAATTATATGTGAATGAAGTGATGACCTATATATGTCTTTTATTATATTCCATGCTCAACTAATCTCATTAAGTGAATGAAAAGTGAGACAGATGAGGAATCGAAACAGTGAATAACTGAGACTGGTGACACTTTAGTAAATATGACAGCTGATAGATTCTTCACCACTTTCAAGAAGAAAGAAGGAAGTTTCACGGACAAGACAGAGGCAGTTTCTGTTCATCCTGACGATCCCAAATCAAAATCCTCTATTCAGATCTGGAATTTCATTGTAGGTAATAAAATAATTATATAATTAACTGGCTTTATTCGGATTCTTAAATTCTTTAGTTATCTAGTTCTTGAATTCCATCGATTACTTTGGAATTTGCTATAGATGGACAGATGGAGCAGATCAAGGAGAAGAGAACAAGTTAGTGTCTTTTTCAGCTCTTGAAGGAGATGTGTTGAAGCTGTACAAGATAAAACTTGACGTTGTTCCTAAAGATGATGGAGTTTGTATTGCCAAGTGGACATGGGAATACAAGAAGCTAAACGACGACGTTCCTCCTCCTACCACGCGCGACCTGGAGACTAGGTTGTTGTCTGAAATCTGAATCATGAATTTATCATCAATGTCTCTGAGTTTCTTTGTCAAATAAATCAAATCTTTGTTATGCAAAGAGCAAATAATCTAATACTTCTTCTTGTTTCTCCTAGAGGTCAAAATATTGTTTTTCTTATTATTTTCTCTTCAATGTAAAATATATGTATATGATTGATGAATCAATTATATGGACTTTACATTCCTCAAGCTAAAACTAAGTTCAATGAATTCCACCGAATTTTCCCAAAAGAGAAAATTGATAGGGATAAAATTATTCCCATTACTCTGTTTGATTGGATAACAATGACATATACAAATTAAATTAAATTTTTATTTGACATTATTCCTCTCCTTTTTTTTCCTTTCAATTGTAGATTCTTCTTGTGGTCTCCGTTCAAAACAAATTTACATACACCCAACTAGTGAATTTTGCTTGCAAAAAATTCCAAGAAAATTAGCTATTTGGTCATCTTGAATATTGTCCACTTGTATCATTAGTGGAATTACTCATCCTCATAGAGATTATTAGACATAGTTGTGTTGTGATATGTGAATGTGGTCAGTAATAGCAGCCTAAAACAATATTGAAAACATGCCTTTCGTGCGGAGATACATCATTGAACCGATTCCTACAATCATAGAGTACAAGAATCTTATAATTATACTTGTTAGCAGCTAGTTGGCCTGATTCTTTCCCTTGGTTAAGGGACCATATATATTCCAGAAACTAAACATAATTAAACAACTCCATTTTTTCTGCCTGGCCACATTTGCTCATTCCTTCCTCTATAAAAAGGGTTATGAATTATAAAGAGACACTCACTCATCACTCTCATTACCTAGAGAAGCAAAACATCCGTATACAAAAAAATGGCACAGGCTACGAGACAGTCTTCTCTACAAGGAGAGCTGGAGGTAGAAGTTGAGATCAGAGCTCCGGCCAATCAGTACCACCAGTTGCTAGTTGGAAGACCACAAGATGTTCCTAAAGCCACGCCTGAAAACATTCAGGGATGTGAACACCGCGAGGGAGAGTGTGGCAAAGTTGGCAACGTCATCGTCTGGAACTATGCCATTGGTACTAAATCCAAACATTTATCTAAATATATTATTGTGCAAAAACATAATTTTGATTGGTAAAACAATCGTTTTGGGTGCAGATGGACAGCCAAAGGTGATGAAGGAGAGGATTGAGGCACTGGACTCGGAGAAGAATTTGATGGTGGCTAGGGTCATTGAGGGAGATCTAATGAAAGAGTTCAAGAGCTTCGTTGTCACTATCCAGGCCACCCCGAAGCAAAGAGGACCTGGAAGTGTGGCTAAATGTCAATTTAAGTATGAGAGGATTAACGAGAAGGTGGCTCCCCCGGAAAAAATGATCGAGTTCTTTGTCAAAGTATCCAAAGACATGGACGAAACGATTATGTCCAAAGTCTAGGGCACTCTTCGGATATCCATCCATCAATCTATCTATCTATATGTGTGTCAGTGTGTGTGTGATTTGTGTCTGTTTCAATAATGTGCTCTCTCTAGATTTGAAGAGATGTGAATCTGCAAGTCATACATGATGTCTGGTATTGCAGAGTTTGTCTTACGTACGTTTGAAGTTGTAAAAGTTGCAATATGTAATGTAACTTTTGTGTTTCCATGAGTTTCTCCTGTGCATGCCACGGACTCATGTGTATTATTATTAATTACAAAAAGAATTTGTCATACTTTATTGTAAAATATATAATTAATTAGCTTTTGTACGTTATAAAAAAAAAAAAGACTAAAACCAATTGACAATTGTATGTGAATGAAGTGATCTATATACATGTCTTTTATATTCCATGCTCAACTAATCTCGTAAGTGAATGAAAAGTCAGACTGTGAGGAACTTGAAACAGTGATTAAAACCAAAAAAAATAAAATAATAATAATTGAAACAGTGAATAAACGAGAGTGGTGAAACTTCAGTCGCTGATGCATGTTTGATTTAACCTCCACGTCATACCACCATGACCCTTTAGTTGCAACTTGACAGAAAAAAAAACGTTGAATCATTGATGATGCAATGAACGAAGAAGTAGTGAATCACTCTAAAAACTCAAAAAAAAAGTAAACCACTCAATTATATTCATTATTTATTGCATCCTGATCTATAAGATAGGAGATACGAACATGGAAAAGGAACCGCTCATTATTATTTCCAATAATAGCCTAACAGGTAACGTAGAGAAAGAAAGAAAAAAGCAGCTGGAGAAAGAATGGTAGATGAGGAAGTTGAGGTAGATGTAGAGGTTAAAAGTCCGGCTGATAAGCTCTACATGTTCGCTAGAAGATCACAACATGTGTCCAAAGCCACTCGCTACATTCAGGGATGTGATCTGCTCGAGGGAGAGTGGGATCAAGTCGGAAGCATAGTATTTTGGAAATTAGTTTTTGGTAATGGCAAGAATTTATTTTTATATATACCATTCACTACGGTGTGTGACTTCAGTTTTAATAAAGAAAAACATTATATGTCTGATTTGTAAATGAGTTTTGGTGCAGATGGAGAGGCAAGAGTGTCCAAGGATAGGATAGAGAAGCTGGATTCGGAGAAGAATATGATTCAGTGGAGGGTGTTAGAAGGACCTCTTAAGAAAGAGTACAAGAGTTTCTTGAAAACGATGACGGTGAGTCCTAAGCAAGAAGGATATGGAAGTGTGGTGAAGTGGAACTTCAAGTACGAGAGGGTTGATCATGAGAAGGTGGCTAACCTAGAGAGGCAGCTCCAGTTCTTTGTCGAAATGACTAAAGAGGTGGATCAATACCTCTTGTCTCAAGAATAGTGGACTCTTCTTTACTTGACTATATCCAAAGTTAATGCGTGATATGTCTGCGTAGCCGTGCAGGAGAGAGATTGATTGTAACGTAATAGACTAATAGATCTCCTAAATTTGCTCTTTTTGCTTGGTTATCGATCCATGATCCATAATCGCCTCTGCTACCGTAGCGGTTAACCCTATCAGATCCTTAATAAGCACCGACAAACTTTCGTAATCAAACAAAACTGGAAAGAAAGTAAAGGACAAAAATAAGAAACGTGCTTGTTTTTAGCTGGCATATCTAGTGGTCATGCCGTGTGTCTCCATCAATAATTATCGAGGCCTTTCTTATCTCCATTACCGTGTGTCGTCTCCACTCAACCTTCCACACATTTTTTTATATAATCGACTGGTACGCAATCACAAGTATATTAAGATAGTTTATAGTTAGTAAGTTTTGGTCCGATCGTCTATTTATACTGTTTTGTAGTACGCAAGCTTGTAGTTTTTATATGAAGAAGAAAGATTGACAAAAAAAAGGGGTAATAAAACGGTAAAATACTGATATTTTCTCCTTGAAAATTTTGTACATACAGTGTGAGATCATATAAAATAATACTCTCTCCGTTTCAAATTAGTTATCGTTTTGGGAAAATGTATCTGTAATTATTTGGATGTATCTGTAATGCAAAACACGTCCAGATACGTCCAAATATTTGCAGATACATTTTGCCAAAACAACAACTAATTTGAAACGGAGGGAATAGTGTATTTGTTAAAGACATGATTAATATTTAATGTTCCTGTTATATAATAAAAATATACCCGTAAAATGAACCAGCTCATTTATGAGCGTCTCATCCATCACAAATGTACTGATCTATATATAGGGCTTGTTTAGCTCGTGATGGCCGACACTTTTTATGAAACACGTGGTTCTATTATAATCACAATTCTAGTTCGGGCTCTTTAATATATGAAGATCATTGGTTACCAAATAAAACCTACCTAGGTTTGATATAAGTGTGTAAAGAATACTCAAATACAGACGAAAATTAATTAGTTTTTTTTGGTAACCTAAAAACCCTAATATTTCATCAGAAAATTTTGTTTTTGTTTCTTCTTTTGGTTGGTAAATTCGTGAGTGGACTAAAAAAGTTTTTTTTTTGTGTTTCAGGTAAATCTTAAAATCATTAAATTCTAAACCTACATAGTACAACCATTAATTGCAAACCAAAATTGACGTTGAAAGGAAGGACCACGTTAAACATTCATGATGCGAATGCGATGGCCGCCCATCGTCAGTTTTAGCTAGGTAGGGCAATGAAGTACACCAATATCATTTATCTTCTTCTACAACAGTAATTTTCACTCCTTCCTCTCTATAAAAGGAGCTACAAGTTCTAAGTTAAAACCATCATCCTTCACTCACTCTCCATTAAGACCAACTATAAGTGACTTATACGAGCAAAGCATCCAGTGAAAAGAATGGCAGATCCAGAGACAAAGGCTGACACTACGGTGACAAAGGCTGAGACTAAGGAGGCAAAGACTGAGACTAAGGAGGAGACAAAGGCTGGGACTAAGGAGGCAAAGGCTGAGACTAAGGAGGAGACAAAGTCTGAGACTAAGGAGACAAAAGCTGAGACTAAGGAGACGAAGGCATCATCTACGCTTGAAGAGCTTTGGATAGATTTTGAGATTAAAGCTCCTGCGGAGAAGTTCCACCATATGTTCGCTAAAAGACCACACCATGTCTCCAACTCCGCTCCTAGCCACATTGGGGGAGTTGAGCTGCACGAGGGAGAGTGGGACAAAGTTGGCAGCATAGTCTTGTGGAACTACATTCACGGTATAATGGCAACATCTTTTATGTAACTATGTCTTAACATCAGCGGTGAATGCACGAAAACACTCTTTTATTATATGGCATACTAAGCATATGGTTTTAATAGAAAAAAAGGAATTAAACATATATATATAGTTTGATTTGTAAACGAGTTTTGGATGCAGATGGAAAGCCAAAAGTAGCAAAGGATAGGATCGAAGAGGTGGATCCGGAGAAGAATCTAATAAAGTTCAGGGTTCTAGAGGGAGATGTGAAGAAGGAGTACAAGACCTTCTTATTAACTCTCCAAGTAATACTAGATAATTAAAAAAAAAATCATTTTTCGTTGATGTTTCGATCGATTTCTCTATTTTTCTATCTGAGTCGATATTCTAAATTAATCTCTCAACAGGTAACACCAAAGCAAGGAGGAACCGGAAGTATTGTGAGGTGGCACATGGAATATGAGAGGATTGACGAAAAGGTGGCTCATCCTGAAACTCTACTTCCATTCTTGGAATCAATGTCTAAAGAGATCGACAAAGACCTTCTCTCCACGGAGTAGATCGAAGACTTTTCTTCTGCTTGTTTAAATTTCAATAACTTGTGTGTTTGGTGTGATGCATGCATGCATACATGTTTGCATTATTAATAAATAGTTACTGTTTACAAATAGGTTTAAGTTCTTATCAAGTTGCAAGTTTGTAACATGTGTGTGTGTGTGTTTGTGTAGCTATGTATGTTTTGTGTATTAGCAATAAAACATATTATATTTAGTTTATGCATGAATTTATAAAAAATAATTTTTCTTAATTAAGAAATATAAAATTAATGCTATATATTTTTATTAGGAGTAGATACAAAGCTAGCATATAATTCAAATAGTATATTTCAACTTGGACAAACAAAAAAAACTTCAACTTGAAAAGATAATAACAACAACAACAAATTCTGGAAAGCTTACAACACAAATCCAAGATGAAAAACCAACAAAACAATTTTTTTTTATAAAAGAAAATAACGAAGTGAACCATAAACCAGAAATTACCATTCATAGTGTGTGATAGCTAAAGCTTTAACGTAGGATAAATAATTGTAAATCCTGAGGGCAAAAGACATATCACAAAGACTCATGACCTTTATTTTCTGGTCAACGAAATGACGAGGTTGACCGACGTAGTGATGGGGGGAATTGAGACAGTAAAATTCTTGGCAGCATGGACTGCGTACCTGTGGAACAAGCGATCCATTATAGCTTCTCCAAAATGAGGAACCAGAATCGATTCACTGATACATCTAACGTTGTTTGCGATCTTTTGCCAGTGTTCGAATTGATCTGATGATTCGTCGACAACATCTTCACTACTTGCGAAATGATTAACGAATTCACGTGTCTCGATCAAATTGATCACAAAGGAACCTTCTCTTTCAACAACTTCTTTCACCTCTTCTTCGTTTGGATCATAGAACGGCATGTTGAGTGCATCCACCTCCGATTCTTTCACTAGTCCCTGTCCATACATTTCTCCAAAACAATAAGCATCATTTAAAATTTGTATGGATCATCAAATGGGGTGGTGGTCTAGTATTCTATTGAATCTAGTATTATATAATCTTCAAAGGTCTACTGAAAGTGAGTATTAAATGTTTCTATTGTTCAACTTGGAAGGAGTGATTTATATTTTATTTAAAAAATTGTTATACAAATATGTTTTGATTCCAGATTGTATATGATTCCTAACACGCTACCTTATGTTATAAACAAATAAATAGATTTATAACTCAAAACTAATTGATGTTTAGCATATTGGCATGTCTCTCTTGTATATATTACTTTACGTTATTTTTAATTTTGAATGGGGTGTTTCTTAACGTTTATGTTGCACTAAAGATAAATAAAGAAAAGAAGATCTAGAGATCGTACCTCGGTGACTAGGTCGAGGAGAGAGTCAGATAACAATAACCACATGTGGAAGCAGTCTCTGAATAAAGGATCAGAAGCATTTCTACCAATAAAAGTAAGAATCATACGTCCATTTGGCATTATCTCTTCTGAACGCATTCTTAGAAACAATGAGAAATCAGTTTGGAACTGGTCCAAGTAACTCTTGTACACGTTTTGAGGGCTTGAGCTATTTATAAACACACTTCTCTTGTTATCATCCTCCTTAAGCCCTTGAGGAACCTTAGAGAGCCAATGGATACTATACGATGAATGGACAAAGTGGAGAGACTTTCTTGGGAAAAGTCTCGAGTAAAAAGATCCTGGGGTTCCCGACACGAAGCACTTTCCCTTGAGGTCTGCTTTCAGACCATCGTGGAAGGAAGGGAGCCATTTGAAAGTCGTGTTGAAGTCATTTTCTGAAAGATCGTTTAGGAAACAATCGATCTCTGGTAGTTCTGAGTTTGTCCGACCTTTTTGTTGGAACGAATCAATGATTGTGTTGACGATTCCAGACATGGCTAAATAGGTGTTAGGTCCAGAAGAACATCCTAAGTCAGCCACTTTGATATACTCAGGAAAGCCTAACTCTACTAACATCTCTTTGATGCTTCCTACCACCACCAATTGTGTTTCAGATATAACATTTCTCTGCAAAGTCAAAAATAGGAAAATGATTGTGATCTTACTATCTTAGTCTAAAACGCAGCACAAGAATCGATCGTCAAAGTCATGACAAGAAATCACAGCACTAAGTTTTATATTTTTTTTACAAAATCACAATATACATGTGAACAAAACTTTTTTTTTATAATATTCAACGAATCTGTATCTGAATCTGGATCCGGATCTTAAAATCTGTGATATTTGGATGCAAGTTCAGTTTGATGGATTCAAGATTTTGCTATCCAGATATGGATCTTGACCCCTCTGATATTCAGATTTTCACAGTAAAAAAATGAAATGGAGATATATGATTGGATATAACATCTTGAATAATAACATCACCCTTTGAAGCATAAAGTCTTTTGTGTGGTATTACGCTTTACCGTTAAAATTATAAAAGATAATTTTCTAGTAGTAATAGTAAATCAATTTTGCCAGAACAAAAAAAAAGAAGGTAATTTTGGTCGTTAAAACATCTTCGATGGCACTTAATTACAAAGTTTTCATCGAAACTTGATAAACTCATGAAGACATGAACTATGTACGTACATACCTGGTAAGCAGAATTATTAGCATAGCTATTTTGTCCATCTCCTCCGTTCATGCTAAAAGTATTCATGATAGAGTCCCTATAAAAATATGATAGACCTTTCTTTGTTCAGATATATATATTGAATGTAAGGTTACAGATTCATTAACACAGAGAAGGCTACTTAGTACTTACTATGAAAACTTTTGAAGCAAAAAAAAAAATGAAGAAGGAAAAACGATTTACCTTGAGGAAGACATTATGTGAACAACAACTCTTTGGATAAATTCAGAATTGGCCTGTGCTTCAATAGATCTGCCTAAATAAGCTGCCAGAAGGTGTATTTATATACTCCATTCAGATAAACTTTAGCAATGCGGATTTGTATATGAATTAAAGAAAGTAAATTAAAAATAACAAGCGAATAAAACGTTTATTACAAAAAAAATAGCTCAGAGTCAACGATTTCATATATTTTTATCAATAATGAAAACAGTTTTGGAAAGGATTATAAATACAAACTATTTAGATAGATATTAGTAATGGGCCTAACTCAAACCCAAAAGCTAGTTTATGAGTGGAGGATTGCCTTATACTGTATATATTAGTGATTAAAGGTTTCTACTTTCGCCGTGGGACTTTCACACTCTAATAATAGAAAATAAATCTTTGTTATAAAAAATTATTTATCGTGCGAGGCAAGTCTGTAGTGAGCAATTTTATATCTCATTTATCTATTACTATCAATTATGCAAATGCGAACTAGATGTTAAAACAAAATCAGTGTCATTGTGCCAACACATTACGCTATTTTTGTGTTATTAATATATATCGGTCAGGGAGACTAAGAATCTCTCAGTTTTATTAATATATATCGGTCAGATAGACTAAAGAATCTCTCAGTTTTCTATTGCAGTTCAATAACTCTTACTTTGTTTTGTTTGTTTGATTTTTTAGCTTTTTGGATACTGTCACCGGAGATTTTTCTCTTCTCTCACTCTAATAATAACATTGACCAAAGCTCAAATTTAAAATCACAAGCCCAAATGTTTTGGGTCAAAATCGTTTTAGAATTGATTGACCTAAATACACATTTTTTACCAAACTAATCTCATCTGCTTTACGGACCAGCCCATTAAAGTTTTTTTATGTTTGGTTTTAGACTCCGAAATTTTTTTGCGTCTTGTCACTTCAAATCAAAACCTAATCGAAGTCCAAAGATAATTTTTGAAAGAATTGGTATTAAGGATCAAATTAATAGCTTCTTCCTCACAGCTTGGTGTTAACCGTCGAGTAAGTTCGTTGTTCTCTCTGGTTTTCATTTTCATCACCTTGTTTGGTTTCATCCATGAATTGTTTTTCGGAACTTCTGGTTTGAAATCGAGTGTGTTGATTTAAGTGTAAGGATTGCTTAAATTGCTAAAGATTGAGAGAACGAAATGGGCTATAGAAAATAGTAAACTTTCAATTGATTTAGAAGATTCTGAGTTTGGGATTTCTTTCATAATCGAGCCAAGAGATTGCTAGAAGCTAACTCATGTTTGTATCTAGAGAAGAAGATTAACTTTGCTTCTTCTTTTTTGGTTGACAGAGCTTCTCCAGTAGAGAGAATGTGGAAGCTGACCCAGCAATTGCGGCCGCATATCACTCCGACCCGATGGATGATCCGAAACTTCCGTAGTGGAGAAGCCACTGGTCTCTACGGCTTCGATCATCTTACGACTGCCCAAGGATTTCAACGCTTCGTCGCTGACGCTATTGAAAAGTATGGTTCTTTATCGTATTGAAATTGAAAAGTATGATTCTTTATCGCAATGAAATTGAAAAGTATGATTCTTTATCGCAATGAAATTGCAAAGTATGATTCTTTATCGTAATGAAATTGAAAAGTATGATTCTTTATCGTAATGACGTTTCCAAATTAGCCTGTGGTTGAATTACTTAGTGGGAAATGAATTCTCTTTGTCACTGATTGCAACTATAGCCTCCATTGAAATTTGTGGCATTGAGTTACTGTGATGTTGTTTTGGTTACTGAAGAAAGCTTATGGAAACCATTTTCTCAGGTCTGGAGAGTTGGTGAGCTACATAGCAGGCATGCCTTCGTCTCCAGAGATTATTAAAGCCATGGATGAGATCTCAGACACTGTAGGTTCTTTGCTGCTGTTTTGTTATTAGTGTTCGTATTACCGTCTCTCTCCTGCTCTGCTTTCTTAGTGATTTGTTATTCTTCTGAATTTTGTGTAGGTCTGTTGTGTTGTTGACTCTGCTGAACTCTGTAGACAAACCCATCCTGACAGGTCTCTCATCTTTCTACTTCTTCTTAGCTTCAATGCTTCGTTTATTATCTTCTCTTGATTTTTTTTTAACTGGTTTTATTCTCTCCATCTATATAATAGGGAATTTGTTGAGGCAGCTCATAAAGCAGCAATGGATATGAATGATTATCTACATGTGAGGTGCCAAGGGTTTGCTCAACTTCGATCCTTCTTTCTTCAGTTTACTCCATCTTTGAACACTTTTTCTTGTTAACTTATTCCGGTGACATTTCTTTGGGTTGTTGTTGTTGATGTTCAGCATCTTAACACAAACCATACTTTGTATGCGGCGGTGAAAAAAGCGGAGCAAGATTCCAACTTGCTTACTAGAGAAGCAAGTAAGACGGCGCATCACCTCCGAATGGACTTTGAACGTGGTGGCATTCATCTAGACCCTGGTTTGTTGATCTTTAACCCTTTATGATGTAGCCGTTGTATTGTTTGTACGTGATTGAGTGAAGTTTTTATTACTCGTTTTCTTTTGTTCCTGGCAGAGAAGCTAGATAAAGTGAATAACTTAACAACCAACATTTTTCAGCTATGCAGTGAGTGAGTGCCCATGCATCCACACAAGTATTGATTGTACTGAAAGTATGAAATTATAATGGTAATTTGTGCTGTTGGTGCTAACTTCCTTATGATATAATACTTCAGGTTCAGTGAAAATATTGCTGATGATCCAGGACATGTTGATATATTTCCAGTATCACGCATCCCTCGACATCTGCATCATCTTCTCAACCCTATCTACCAATCCACTTCAGGAAGGGAGTCTAAAAGATCAGTTCATGGCTCGAAACAGAAGGGATTTCGAATACCTACTGATCCACGAACCCTTTCTTCCATTTTGCAATGGACATCAGACGAAGAGGTGCCTATTTTGTTTAATTATGTACCTAGATCCATTTTCTGCTGACCACTGTAATTTAATATCTTTATACTCAGGTTAGGAAAAAGGTATATATTCAAGGGAACTCTGTTCCTCACGCAAATCACGGAGTTCTTGAGAAGCTTATTGCTTCACGCCATGAGCTTGCCCAGGTTAGTGCATATTCTTTTATGCTGCTCATGTAGTATATTCTCTTGTGTTACTTATTTGTAATAGCCTTTCTTTTCTTTTCTTTGCTCTCAGATGATGGGGTGTAATTCTTATGCTGACTTTATGGTCGAGCCAAACCTAGCAAAATCGCCAAAGGTTGTGACATCTTTCCTGCAAGAACTGAGCAAGACAGTCAAACCAAAGGCGGACGAAGTAAGCTGAATATATCTGCAAAAGCTGGCATTGTTATAATGTTCTTGTTATGGCAAAATAAGTTTTTTAATAACCAATTTCCATCTCCGTAGGAATACATAGCCATTAGAGACTTCAAAAGAGAGAAATGTGGTGATAAATCTGCAGAGTTAGAGCCATGGGATGAAACTTACTATACTTCAATGATGAAATCCTCCGTCAATGATGTGGACACAGCTGTAAGTTCTATTTTGATATTCACTTTCTGTCAAACCTCCGTCAATGAAACCTTTTTGGTCCTTTTTTCTCTCTAGAGACGGACTGTTTCAAAGATTTATCTTAGCATGCTCTGTTGGAATATTCTTGTACAGGTCGTAGCATCATATTTTCCTCTGCCTCAGTGTTTTGAAGGCCTAAAAGTACTAGTTGAATCATTATTTGGAGCAACGTTTCATACCGTACCTCTGGCCCCAGGTGAATCCTGGCACCCAGATGTGCTTAAAATGTCTCTGCATCACCCGGACGAGGTATGTTGTTTACAAAACTAAGATACTCCTTGAGTACGTCTTGTAGATGTAAACTCAATAATAGTTCATTCGAAGATGGCCACTAATCATGCAACTGTCTCTCGCAGGGAGATCTCGGGTATCTTTACCTCGACTTATACTCAAGGAAAGGCAAGTACCCTGGCTGTGCTAGCTTTGCAATCAAAGGAGGACGCAAGATTTCTGAAACGGAGTACCAACTTCCTGTATGCTTTGATCGAATCTCATTTCTTTTCCTTCATTTCTTTTAAAAGTATGCAAACCACATATGCGTACACGCTTGCCTGTTGATGTGATCCTACTGCAGGTTTTGGCTCTTGTTTGCAATTTCCAACGAGCTCGTGATTCATCAGTCGTAAAGCTTAATCACTCCGAAGTTGAAGTGTTGTTCCATGAATTCGGCCATGCTCTTCATTCTCTGCTCTCACGAACGGTACTCTACAGATTCATTAATACATTGAAGCTAACGCAGTTTCGTTCTTGCTTTTGCTGAATCCTCTGTTTTTGGGGATATGGCAGGAATACCAACATTTTTCCGGTACCCGAGTGGCTCTTGACTTGGCAGAAATGCCTTCAAATCTATTTGAGTGAGTATAAATCTGAAATCTCCACATTTTCAGTACTCTTTCAGTTTTGAGTTGCATAATGAATGTTCTCTCATGCGTCTCTAAGGTACTACGCATGGGACTATCGCCTCCTGAAGAGATTTGCGCGTCATTACTCAACCGGTGAGACAATACCTGACAATCTGGTGAGCTCGTTACAAGGTGCGAGGAACATGTTTGCAGCAACTGAACTGCAACGTCAGGTATGTTCATTTAACTCTCACCTATCAAATAGATTCAGGAGACAGACATCAAAGATAAAACTATATTTGGGTATTTTGGTAGGTGTTTTATGCGTTGATCGACCAAAAGCTGTTTGGGGAACAACCAGAGACAGCAAGAGACGTGAGTCAACTCGTGGCTGAACTAAAACGGGAACATACGAGCTGGAACCATGTCCAAGGAACACACTGGCATATTCGATTCAGTCACCTACTTAACTATGGAGCAGGTTTATACATATATCTTTCTACATAAATGCATTTTATTGTTTGCAGATGTTTCTTGACTCTGGTGTGTATATCTTGCAGGATACTATAGCTACTTGTATGCCAAGTGCTTTGCGTCAACGATATGGCAATCAATATGCGAGGAAGATCCTCTCTCGTTGAGCACGGGAAGGTTGCTCAGAGAGAAGTTTTTCAAACATGGGGGAGCTAAAGATCCAGCTGAGCTGCTTAAGGATCTTGCAGGGAAAGAGATCATTAGTGTTCATGGTCAAGGCATAATCCCTGTGACCACATGCCTTTTGAATGAGCTGAGACTGTAATAGAAGGTGCATAAACTGATGCAAACCGAACTGAAAAAACAAATGATTTTAAACTGAATGAAAAATCCCAAATTTGAGAGAAGAAGTTACTTTGGCATTCAAATTACAAAATAAGCTAATAATATCAAAAGGAACACACAAAAGCAAATTATAAAGAAGACATGCGGTGTCTTCTGGTTCTTGTTTGCGAAATCTTCATCGCCAAATGATTCAATCACTTCCTTCCTTATTTGAAAAGGAATCATCTGTTTAGTTTTTAAAATAAGAAGAAAGCTGTTAGTAAAATTCAGTTGGCTGCTTAAGAGTATGGATCAGACTTATGAATGAAACAAAAAGAGACTCTCACTCTTTCTTGCACAGCCTCGTGTAAACTCTGACAATATTTAGCCGAACGCTTGTGTGACGCCCAGAGTTTCAAACAGTGTACAGCACCTGCATGACAACGCACGTTGCTGCTCTTTCTAATCCATTTCCATGTGATCATATAAAAAGATAAATAATTAAGAAAAAGCAAAAGATTTGGTCGCACCGTCTCTGTCATTTTTCCGGAGAAACTCCTTTGCTTCCGCATACTCTCTGGCGGCCGTGTCCCGCCAAGATTTCTCTTCTTTTTCAAGGTAAACAAGCTCCTGGAGGTGACACAATGAGAAAGAAGACAATCAAAACCACATTATGAAACTAATACAAGAAGAAAAATATAAACGGACGGTACCTTGTTTAGCACGTCTATTGCTTTTTGGGTAATATGAAGAATCTTGTTTCTGGGTTTTCCGGTTAGCCATGTCGGGATCATTTTATATCGGCGACGACGAATCTCCTCTGCCAAAATCTAAACACAAACAATTGAAAATAAAATTAGGTTGTTGACCCAACCAATACCCAAAACTTAGATTTCATAGTCCAAAAAAAAAAAAAAAAAAAAAAAACAATAGAGAGTAGGGTGAGATATATTAGTTCTACAATCGAAATTAGTTAGGGCTTATAAATCTCTTCGCTGAAGTCACTTCAGATGAAAACAAACCTGACGACGGATGCGAGAGCACTATAGATCGATCCGAATGGAAAACCTATGGAGCTTGCCTGGAAATTGATTGATTAATCGGGACAGCTTAACATGGAAGAAGTCGAAGCTTTTTTCAAGGCTGGGATTAGGGTTTTCTACTTTCCTTTTATTCAAAAATCAAAACCGATGATGATTTGGAAAAGTTGCTTACAGTTAACCGATCGATGACCAACCTTATTTGTTCGTAATTTCGTTTGTGACGGTCCACATGATTTTAGCCTTCCGTTTTTAAAGTGTCCCTCTTAACATTTGCTTATTAGTACACTGTACACTCGCATCCACTGGATGGCTTAGGTTATTTGAGAATTTCCAGAATTCTATTGAACATATTTTCTTTTAGGAGCTTGGCAAATATGGTGAGATTACAACAAAGCACATACAGTATATAGCGACATAAGCAACTCTCGAAGACATAGACATGATTGAGAACTATATTCTTTTACTAATTTTTCTTTTTTTTGAAATGCCAAGTTTCTTCATTATTTTATATGAGGAAACAACACATAACTCCAAAAATGCAAAACCCACAAAACAGATAAAAAAATCTTTAACAAAAAAAAGATAAATAAAAAAGAACAACAGAATTTAACCATACATGATCAAGAAGTACAATTCATAGTTGTGATAGCATAAACTGTACATAAAATAAAAATTTACAAATTATAAATCTTGAGAGCGTTGGACCTTTATTTTCTAGTCAACGAAACAACGAGGTTGACTGACGTTGTTGGTGGGCGAGTTGAAACAGTAAAATGTTTAGCAGCATGGACTGCGTACCTGTGGAACAAGCGATCCATAACAGCTTCTCCAAAATGAGGAACCAGAATTGATTCAGTGATACATCTTACGCTGTTTGCGATCTTTTGCCAGTGTTTGAATCCATCTGATGATTCGTCGACGACAACATCTTCACTACTCGTGAAATGATTAACAAATTCCAACGTCTCTATCATGTTGATCACAAAGGAACCTTCTCTTTCAACAACTTTCATCACCTCTCCTTCGTTTGGATCATAGAACGGCACGTTGAATGCATCCACCTCCGATTCCTTCACTAGTCCCTACTTGTACATTTTTCCAAAACAATGTTAGATATAATATTATTTACGTTTTTATAATTTTAGATGTCGATCTTAGCTAGCTAGCATTTATGTTGCCTAAAAATAAATAAAAGAGGATTCATAGATCGTACCTCGGAGACTAGGTCGAGGAGAGAATCAGATAACAATTGACACATGTTGAAACAGTCTCTGAATAAAGGATCAGAAGCATTAATCCTACCAATGAAAGCAAGAACCATACGTCCATTAGGCATTATCTCTTCCGAACGCATTCTTAGAAACAATGAGAAATCGGTTTGGAACTGCTCCAAGTAACACTCGTAAACGTTTAGTGGGCTTGAGCTATTTATATACACACTCCTCTTGTTATCATCATCTTTAAGCCCTTGAGGAACCTTAGAGAGCCAATGGACACTATACGATGAATATACAAAGTGAAGAGACTTTCTTGGGAAAAGTCTCGAGTAAAAAGATCCTGGGGTTACCGACACGAAGCACTTTCCTTTGAGGTCTGCTTTGAGACCGTCGTGAAAGGAAGGGAGCCACTTGAAGGTTTTGTTGAAGTCGTTTTTTGAAAGATCGTTTAGAAAACAATCGATCTCTGGTGGTACTGAGTTTGTCCCACCTTTTTGTTGGTACGAGTCAATGATTGTGTTGACCATTCCAGACATGGCTAAAAAGGTGTTGGGTCCGGAAGAACATCCCAAGTCAGCCACTTTGATATACTCAGGAAAGCCCAAATCTACTAACATTTCTCTTATGCTCTCTACCACCAATAGTTGTGTTTCAGATATAACGTTTTTCTGCAAAGTCAGAAGTAGGAAAATGATTGTGATCTTGGTCCAAAACCAAGATTAATGCTAGAGTTTATACTGTATATCGTCATAACTATCATTTTGTTGAATTTGTTTATATTGTTGATTTAATGTAACACTTATGTATCCCTATATAATTGGAGAAACGTTTTTAGAGATTGACTTTCCTACACGATACTTGTCTGACTTTTTTTAAAAAAACATGCAAAATGGGTATACATTTCTCAACTATATACAATCTATACTATAGAGTATATACAATATATATCACTCATATTAATCTGGTTAAACGAAATTAAGTTTATTCGTTTATGAAAGCTCAAAGAGATGGAACGGATCCGGATTAAGCCAGATCCAAACTAAAAGTATTAGCATAAGCAAACCTGGTGAGCAGAATTATTGGCATAGCTGTTTTCTCCATCTCCTCCGTTCATACTAAAAGTATTCATGATAGAGTCCCTAGTATGTATTATGATAGAACTTGCTTCGTTCAGATATGTATATGTATATTGAAATTAGAGTTACAGATTCATTAGTAGAGAGAGAAAGAAGATCACTATAAACAATTTTTCAGGAAAGAAGAAGAAATTGAAAATGAAGACGATTTACCTTGAGGAAGACATTATGTGAACAATAAATCTTTGGATCAAGAACGAACTGCTTATCAACAGAGTCAACGATTTCGGATATATATTAATTTCATGCTTATCAATAATGGAAACATTTTTGGAAAAGACTTCAATATTTAAATATAGAGCATCAGCAACATGATATTTTGTTATTAAAAATTATTTATCGTGCGAGGCGAGTTGTGTAGTAAGTAGTATTATATACTAGGTAGGAGCCCGCACAGTGCGCGGGATTGTGATCGTACATGAATTCTCTAAATGTGGTTTTAATGTTATTTTTGTAGATTTTTTTCAATTTAAATTACTAAACTTATTTTCGTAAATTACTAAATTTTTGTAGATTCATAGCTAAATTACTAAAATATACAATATTTCGTAAACATTTAGTGATTTGTTTGGCTGATTTTTAAGTTGATTAACTCACTATTACTATTACGGTTATTTATTGTAGAAATTTAATTAACTTTCACAAATTGGTAGTTTAAGTAAATATTTGCTTGATAAAAAAACTTAACTTGAAAAGTTATTGATGTTAAATTGAAAAAGAAAAACACTTAACTTGAAAAGTTATTGATGTTGAATTGAAAAGAAAACATTTATAGTGACACACGGCAGCGTCAACAGTATAACCATATAATATTAGACCATCCAACCCCTCATGCCATATGTTATTGCAAATGGCAAAAATATAGCAATAGCATTGGGTTTCTCTCCAACCCCTCATGCCATATATCATGCTATAATTTTTTTCCAACTTATTATTAATTGTTAAAACTACTTGATTTCTTCAAATTTTACAAAGTGAATCATTTGTTTTTCTTTTTTTGCAAAAACAACCAGAATTATATTTTTTATTATTATAATATTAAAACAAAATACATCATATTACATAAAAATTATAGAAAACAAAGATTTTAACCTATTGTTTTATGTTTTTTGAATTTCAGTATTTTTAAAAATAAAATTTAAGTTTATTATGGTTATGTTTTTATATTTCTATGAAATAAATATTATTTATATTTTGAAAAAGTTATGAGTATTGTTTATTTATTTAAATAAATCATAATCAATATAATTAAACTGTTAAATTAAAAGTAATTACAAATTGAAGGACTATTTTATAAATAAAAAAGTTCAATGGCAAAATAGCATATTGCATAATCTCATGCCAAATATAGAAGCAAAAATAGCATGATGCTATTTTGCAATAGCATATGCAATTGGGTTGGAGCAAAAATTATGGCAAAATAGCATATATGTCATATTTAGCATGGGGGTGAAAATACTGAATAGATATATATCAATACGAAGTAGATGTTAAAAAAAAATGATTTTCATTTTTTGTCGGCAACTAGAAAAAGCAAAAGGCTAAACAATGTAATGCCAAGTGCCAACGCACTGGCTAATTTTTATTGATATACCGGTCATGAATCTTCTCAATTTTCTATTGCAATCAACAATAGAGGAAATAAATCAAAAATACTTTACATTTTGAGGATTTTTCCAAAGGAAATTCCAAAGCGAACATAAAAAATCATGATGAGGTTTATGAGGTTTGGAACATTTTGAGCTTTTTTCTCAATTTGGAACATTATGAGATTTTTTCCAGTCTGGAATGTTTCCAAAGCCAACATTAGAAATCATTAGGTGAAAGTCTGCGCTACGCGTGGGTAATGATGTAAAAATGTGTAAAACTTTTTAATTTATCTTGATTGTCATATTACAGTAGAAACTCTATAGATTAATACTAGATAAATTAATAATCACGATAAATTAATAAATTATCCCGGTCCCAAGTCAGGACAATGTAAGATATGACATAATTCGATAAGATAATAAGATAATAACTTTTTTTAAACTCCTATGTAAAATATGGTCCCAGTAATATCATAAATTAGTAATTATCATATAAAAATATATATATAACTAAGTTAACCTACTAAAATATAAATGTTTTTGTTTGCTTTTTCTTAAAGTTGAGTTCTTTTTAAAATTAGTCTCAAATATTTTTTTCTGTATCAAAAATTTCTAGTGTTGTATTTTCAAGCTGCATCAAAAAATTATGAAAAGTTCTAGACACGATATTTGTCTTTTTTTAAGCGTAAGCACATTTAAAAGAATTATAACAATATGACAAGTTGAAAAAATGTAAAGTATATACATACAGAAATATAAAAGAAAAATGTTAAGCAAATTTATCTTTAAAAGGAAATTTCTTATTTAAAATAAATAAAAATTGAGAAGTTTTTTATCATTATTTTGTTTTTAGTTTTTTTTTGAGTCAAAATCCTTAAATTAATAACTCTATAAATTAATAAAATATCAAAGTCCCGACATTATTAATTTATAGAGTTTCTACTGTAGTTTGTTTGTTCAAACTCTAAAAATGTAGGTTTTATTTTTCCAACTTATCCAGTCGCTTAGAATATGTGCAACAAATTATCTATATAGTAAATAAGTTGTCTATCTCTCTATCTTATATAAGAAGTTATCTATACAGTGAATAAATTGTTTCTCTCTATCTTATATTGCTGTTAACAGTGCTTAATTTTGTATATTGGGTTTTTAGCTCATATATCGTTCTCTATAAGAGATGAGCAAGTGGCCTATTGATAGTCACTTCTGCATCCATCTCGTCTGGAGTTCGACTCCACCTTCCCCCATGTAGGGTTAATTTCCTCATTGGGAGGATTATGGGTTCGTGGGCCGGCCTGTTGTGGCCCACAAACAATGACAAAAAAAAAATATCGTTCTCTATAAATTTTGCGTCAAATTTATTTACGGTACATTCGAGTGTTCGAGCGGAGAAATAGGATGAGTTTTTGTTTTTGGAATTATTGTAATGTTAAACATCACCCAAGTGGTATCACCCAAGTGGTAAGTGGTAAAGTGGTTCTATTTTTTTTTCACTTTCTATTTTAATTACACAGTTCGTAAAATTTTCTATTTTGTATGTGTTTTGTTGGTGAAAGTTACAATTATTTGTTGAGTGAATGAAATGTTACATCCTTTATTTATTCAATAACAATACAATACATCAAACACTAAAATGTACATGTCTATGTGGTGGCCTTATTTGCTCAGGTTGTGGACGTAATGAGTTCAGCTGTTTCCCCACACGAATATGGTTTGTTGACACCTTGCCAACTTCTGTACTGCTGATGGTAAATCTCTCTCCTGTACAATATTTTCATGTTAGTTAGATTTTTTGTTTCTTCTCTTTCTCTTTTACTCAAGCTTCAAAGTTGTAAGGATTCAAGAATCAATGCATGTAGAATCTATAGATGTGTATGCACCTAAACTGATTGCATGTAGTATTGTGAACAATGGACATTGAATAAGAGGAGGATTATGCGCCATATTTGGATCAAGAATCTAGAGCTATGAATTGAAATGCAGAAAAATAGTCATCAGAAATTCTGAAATAAGATTTAGAAAAGCATTGCGGAAACATTACATGTTTGCTCTTGATATCACCTTCTTCCTCATCCCCAGCAACCAAAGAAGTTTTTGGTGAAATTTAAAGACCTTTCTGACTAATCTCTAACCAAGATGTACATAATTATCATATTTTTATTGATAGTGAAGAACATTTTGAACAACATACCTTTACTCAATCGATTTTTAGACCCACTCTTTCTTTCTGAACAAAGCACAAGAATATATCATTTTCTGAAAAGGAGACATAAATGTCAGACTTCATTCCATTTCCTAGACTACATGAAGGCTAGAGTACAATATTAGGAACAAATCAAATGAGTAACATTATGAGTTACGAACCTGCGTAATTTCCAAAGTCAGAACTCAAATATGGCTTAATAGGACATAACATGCGAACAACTTAAATGAGTATTTAACAATAGCAGCAGTAGATTGTTAATTAAATGTATATACCTTGGTCATGCGTAAAATTCAAGAACTTGTATTGCCTTGACATCTATACCTTGCAATTCCACCTACATATTAGAAAACCAAGAATTACGTAAGTTTTCAACCCCAAGTAAGCTTGTGAGCTTATTATGATAAAAGAAACATGAAACTTAAATCTTATAAATTTTCCAACAGAGGCAGATAAATTGATCATGATATTGAGAAGAGAGTCAGTTAATAGTAAATATCTATTCACTGGTCATCACTTTTGTACAAAAATTGACAAAAATGAGATTCAAGTTACAAAAATTGGTAAATAATTTCTGTCTTTTCTCTTTTGCTATTCCTCTGCGGTGAACACTTAACGAAAGTCATACAATATCTTTAAAGACAATACCTCGTGCAGAGGCAGGCTTTAATCTTGCATGTTAAACAATGACTATAAATCTGCAAAATTGGATTGTCTCCTGACCTGAAGTAGACCAAAAAAGGTAGAAAAGCTTAACATGATCAAATTTTCAGATACTTAGAAGAAGTCAATAAATATGAAAATAAAACAAAATTAAAATCTCGAACCTCTTTCTCCAGCCTAAGCCTCTTCTCCACTCCTAAATGTTTTGAAAACAAAGGACAAAGCCGTGAATTAAGCGTTGTTCTCGTAAGCAAATGTTTGAAGGGAATGCAAATATTATGCCAAAATTAAAATGTTATATGGAGAGATACAACTTATCTCTATTATTTAATCGATGCATACCTTGTTGGAAAGAGCGGAGGAAGCAACAAAGGAGTGGGAGATATTTGACTATTCGTGTAACCTAATTTCAGTTGGCAAATATAAATTGAATGTACACAAGACAATTTATATTATAAAAAAAACTTCAAGAACCAACCGGACCGGAGTCGGTACTTAGTGGTGATAAGAGTAAAGGAGCAAGGGACAGAGGTTCAAATTATCCATAATAATGTATATTAACAATGGAATAAAACTCAAAATTAAGGGGAACTTATGTCAAAAAAATGGAACGTACATGTTTTAGAACATGGAAAAAGCGAGAGTTGAAGGAACTGGTTCGAGCTTGGCATGCTGGCAACTTGACCTTCCCATCGCTTCGAATGATGGCTAACGCCTTGCCACTCATTCCCTTTCCAACACTCTGCAAGAAAGAAAACTAATTTTGATACTATATTACTCACGTGATGAAGGTAAACATTTTACAATAGACATTACTGGATAGAGAATTATAGATATAAAAGGGATAGAGAATAAAGAGAACAACTTTTCGTAACTGGATTTCTCTTTTTGCTCATAACCTTGGAAATTTGCACAAGGTAAAGATGTCAACTCCTTGCCATTATAATTTAATCGTAGAACCTGAAAACTGAAAGGTAACAAAAACATATCAAAAAGTAAGTAAAAAGAATGGAGACAAAACAGACACTATGTTGTATTTTTCCCTTCTTTCCATACCCAAGAGCTTTCGATGTCTGTCAATTGTTTAGCTGACATGAAATAGAAAAGCTGCATGTATTTTTTTGTGTTTGTTTCCCTGCTTGTACTAAGTTAAGGCTCTGATCCCCTCTTGAATTAGAACACCGTTGGTCTCTTGTATTGATAAGCTCTTGACCGTTTTTCTGATGAATAGTTGTATTCTTGTCGGAAGCTAGCCCAGAAACAATTCCTGCACATTTCTACTCATGAACTTCAGTTACCAACTTAAACAAAAAAAATAACGAAGCAATTCCAACCTTTAGAGAAATTATGAGCCAATAAAGAAAATGAAAAACATCATGCGATTAAAGGTTTAGAGAAATCAGACCAAAAATAACACACACACCTTCATGAATCCAATCACGTGTTTGATTACTGATATTCATTTGCACGTTCTGGCTTTTTAGACATAGAATAAGGAAGATAAACAGTGTGAGTTTCATACTTTGCCTCTTCTATCACCAGATCTCAGTTGGCCACATCTCACAAGATTAGCAACATAGCCACCTTTCTAACTACAGAAGCACAAATAGCAGCGATGAAAACATTAGCGAGGGTGTAGAGCCCCTATCTAAATGCTTTTCTATGAGTCTTTTTTCTTATCTACACAGATAAGATTTTGAAATACCCAAATGAAAATCCAAATATATGTGCAGGAGCAAACTATGAACAGAAGAATCAGCATAATGTTAATCTAATCTCGCCATTTCCCATTTCCCATTTAAACTCACAATCACAAAATCAATTTTTTTACAGGAAATAGCAAAGCTCGATCGAGAAGAGAGAATCATACCACGGAGTTGAGAATATGAAGGGTGGTAATCCTAGTCTGAATCTCTAAACTGAATCATTGGGCAACATCATTCCGATTTTCTGAGTTTGTTGATATGGAGTAAAAGAATCACCAATGGATTTGTAGACGAAGCGTCGTTTCGTTTACGTTGATAATTATCGGCGAGTTAACGCGGAGACTGTAACTGCACATGAAGAAGAAAGGACATTAATTTAATTTGTGAGGTCCGCCGATTTAGGTACAGCGGCGACGAAATCTGCGGTTGGTGGAGCCCTCAGACGAAGGATCTGCGATCGGCGGGGCTAGTGTTTTGAAAGGGTTTTTTGAGGATGACCATGGAAGGGATGGTGCGATTGGTGTAGGGTTTTAACGGGAAGAGGTGCCGGAGAAGAACCGATTTGGCGGCGGTGAGAGAGAAGATAGAAAACGCGATGTGTGAAATAAAGGCTATTTGGAGGAAAAAATAAAAATAGGAAACAATTCATAGAATCGGCCACGTGGTCATCTCTCCCGCGCTGACGTGGCGGTCAGCTGGAGAGAGATGGCCAACTTTTATAGTACTCCCTCCGTTTCAAATTAGTTGTCATTTTGGCAAAATGTATCTGCAAATATTTGGATGTATCTGGACATGTTTTGCATTACAAATACATCCAGATAATTCCAGATACATTTTCCCAAAACGACAACTAATTTGAAACGGAGAGAGTATAGGATTTCGACAATTTGGTTTGGTAAATGCATATATAAGAAAATCTAACAACACAACCTTTTAATTTTTAAAGAAATAATTGAAAACTCGTAGGTTCCAAAAAACAAATACATTTTGAAGTTATTACAAAATAATGAACGAATTGTGTCCAAAACCTTACTCTCACAAAAACAAAAATCTGTCAACAATTCACAAGGTCAGCTTGAAACCAGACTCGGAAGATTCAGCATGGTCAAGGTTAAATGAAACGGCCAACAGCAACGTTGGCCTAATTATTCTATTCTTAATGTGCATTTACTAGTTCTTTTTGAATATAATGGCAGTGCAAGTAATATACAGTTTTTTTTTTTTAAATTATGTTTTTGTTATATGAGAGTTTTAAAGATCTTATTATATAAAATTAGGAGAGAACCCGGGTTTATTAAACCAAATATTTTTAATTTAATTATTCAGAACATTAGATTCGAATATATCATTTGTTTTTTACTCGAATATATTAGATTCTGTAAGTTTTGCATTTTGTTTTTTTTCATATAGTTTTAAAATTTAGTTGTTATTTACGTGAAATCTTATATAGACTCATAGTGAATAGTTTCATATGTTTTTTGTTCTTTTATACAATAATTTATCGACTGGAGTTGAGTTCTTCTAATTTTCCTTATACTAACAATCATTATAGATTGATTATTATCCTACAGACTCATAGATAATAATAATTGCAATCCTTTTTAAAAGGAAATGAAATGAGCTAATTAGCCAGTAAGCCCATTTAAAGCTACCATGGAAACGAAGAGGTCCGATAAATAATCAAGCCCATCAAAACGAACAGCATTACACATAATTTTGATTTAGATTTTTTTTTTTTTAATACGAAAACGACGTCGTTTTGGTGTAAGACGAAAAAAAAAAGATAAAGCGCAAAACGACGTCGTTTTGGTGTAAGACGAAAAAAAAAAAATAAAACGCAAAACGACGTCGTTTTGGTGTTAGGCGGAAAAAAAAAAAAAAAAAAGTGCCACATGTCGAAGGCTTGAGAGTGTCCAAGCCTTATTAGTTATGTAGATTGGATGTGTACATACACGTGGTTGTTATACATATAATTTTTATAATTCATATGATTGTGAGTCTGTGACATATGTTTTTTTAATTATGAAAATATTAAGATCCTAACATATAATATAATAAGAAAAAAAATATATAAAATAAAAAAAATCAGAAAACATGTAACAAACCATTAAGAAAAAAATATATTTTTTCATTACAAAAAGGGGAAAAAACGAAAAAAAAAAGAAACATGGAATAAATAAATACAAATAAATTGTTATATTCATTACGAAAAATGAAAGAAAAATATATATTTCCACTAAAAAAGGAAACAAAAAATTCCATCATTATTTCAAAAATCTTATAGAATCTCGTATGATTTAAATTGTAGGACCGAATAATTGGCGCACGAAAGTCCCTAAAGCTAATTTCTGTCTCCTCTGCTTCTCCATCCTCGATCGCCGAAAACACTCGTAAGAGCTCTCTCCCCTCTCTCTCTCTTTTGAATGACCAGTTGATATTTTTCTAATGCGATTATCTGCTGGTTTAAGTCATGTTTCTCGCGAGTGAATTGTGATTTAAGGGGATATATAACGTGTAGGGTTTCCAAGGAGGCATCATGTCGAAATTTACTGGAGAAGAGATGGTGGGATTGGATGTTTTGGAGGAATCTGGAGAGAAGATGAGCAAGAAACAGGCAAAGAAGCTAGCCGCTAAACAGCAGAAGTTGCTCCGTAAACAGGAACGAGAAGAAGACACATCATCATCATTATCTTCTCTTTCTGTGGAGGAGGAGGATGAATCTTCTTCCAGCAACTACGGTGACGTGACTCTCAACGAGTTGCAGTCGGCCGCAGGTACAAGCTGGAGAGAGCTCACTCATGTGAGCAACTTGGTTGAAGAGATTGTGGGGTCAGAGGTTTCGATCAGAGGTCGAGTGCACAAGAGACTCGCTAAAAAAATGTTTGTGACCTTGAGGGCAAGTGGTGGAGGATTCACGGTTCAATGCGTGGTGGAGGAGGCCAGAGTTGGTGCAAACATGGTTAAATTTGTTAAGCAGCTGAGTCTTGAATCCGTTGTTGAGGTCATCGGTGTCGTCTCCTCTCCCCCTAAGCCTATCACAGGAACCACTCAGCAGGTTGAAATACTTGTCACGAAAATGTACTGCCTCAGCAAAGCCTCGCCAGATTCACCACTTGTTGTGGAGGATGCTTCTCGAAGTGAAGCAGATATTGAAAAACTTGAGAAGGTAGAATGAATAATGTTTTAGGATTTGGAGTTTTTCTTTATATGTTTCTTTATATTAAGGGAGCTGCTGATTGATTATTGCAGGATGGTCAACCAGCTCCTCGTGTCCTACAGGACACACGTTTGAACAATAGGGTTCTTGACTTGAGAACACCGGCTAATCAAGCCATCTTCAGTATTCAGGACCAAGTCGAAATTGTAAGTCCAAATTATAGCTAGTTAGTGGCAACAACTAGGATATGATTTGTCATCCTAATTAATAGTAATGTTTGTGTAGGCGTTCAGAGAATTCTTACACTCCAAGGGGTTTCGTGGAATCCACACACCGAAACTGATGGCTGGAAGTAGTGAAGGAGGTTCTGCTGTATTTAAATTGGACTACAAAGGGAAGCCTGCTTGCTTGGCTCAGTCTCCTCAGCTTCATAAGCAGATGGCTATATGTGGTGACATGCGAGGCGTCTTTGAGGTTGGTCCTGTTTTCAGAGCTGAAGACTCCTTCACTCATAGACACCTCTGTGAGTTCGTTGGTCTTGATGTGGAGATGGAGATTCGAAATCACTACTCTGAGGTATGTACATGTATGGTTGTGCTAACTAGTAGCTAGTGTGTTGAAAATATTAATAACATTTCATCTCTCCTAATGTTTTTTGGTGCAGATAATGGATCTTGTTGGGGACTTGTTTCCCTTCATATTCAGAAAAATAGAAGAAAGGTGCCCAAAGGAACTTGAAGCTGTTAGAAAGCAATACCCATTTCAATCTTTGAAGGTACGTAGAATCTATATTTTGGATTCTTTAGGATGTTTCTTTTGTGTTGGATACTGATGAGTGATGATTGGCACTAAACTTGTAGTTTCTTCCGGAAACATTGAGGCTAACCTTTGCACAAGGGATCCAAATGCTCAAGGAAGCTGGCGTGGAGGTTGATCCTCTTGGTGACCTAAACACAGAATCCGAGAGGAAACTAGGGCAGCTTGTTCTTGAAAAGTACAAGACGGAGTTCTACATGCTTCATCGCTACCCATCGGCTGTGAGACCGTTCTACACGATGCCCTGTGAAGACGATCCTAACTACAGCAACTCATTCGATGTCTTCATCAGAGGAGAGGAGATCATGTCAGGAGCTCAACGTATCCATGACCCACAGCTCTTGGAGAAGCGCGCAAGTGAATGCGGCATTGATGTCAAGACAATATCCACTTACATCGATGCTTTCAGGTAACCACCACAACACACTCTCATCTCGATCGATTCATTAGGGTTCCTACGTTGTTGACGAGTGGCTGCATGTTTTTACAGGTACGGTGTACCACCTCACGGTGGATTCGGAGTGGGGCTCGAACGTGTGGTCATGCTCTTATGTGCCCTCGATAACATCCGCAAAACTTCGCTATTCCCTCGTGACTCTCACAGGCTCGCTCCCTAATATCTATCTTTGATCATTCTCATATTTTCTCATTGAACATCTTTGAGTTATCTTTAAACTATTTATTTTTCTATAGTAGTCAAGTCGTTATATTGACATTGTTGCTGCCTTTTATACATTGGAGAACAATGAACACACTTTGCTTCTTTTTACATGTCTCTTTCAAATATTGATCAACTCGATTTGAATCTCAACCTCACCGGCGTCGACATCTCTCAGCTTTAGAATCATGTCTTGAAAGAGCTTACCGTTGCTGGAGATGATGCTGCTCTCTTGAGACAAGCAGTTGTTTCCACTCGGCTTCACTCTCTTGATCTCTGTTCCTTGAGAGAGTTGTTGAAAACCCGTTTCTTGGGCATCAAGCAACGGCTTGATGTCTATCTCCGCATCTCCCATCTTGTCATGAGAAGTGAACGTATCTTTATCATATACTTCCTGTTAAAAAAAACATTTATCTAAAATAAAACAATCACAAACACATTAACTATTTAAACAAGATCATCAAGAAGTAACTTACGAGAATCACAGGTTCGTTAGGATCTTTGATTGCAAGCGTCAATTCATCGTTCCACTCTGGGTTACAATTCTTTTCAACACCACGAGTCTTCAGTCTCTGAGAGCCAATCACAAGAAAGATTAATATCCACAAATCGTTGACTTTTTGGCAAATTGAGATCTAACTCCGTTTTTAGAGAGGATAAAAAGTCGACCTTTGTAACATCAAGCAGATGCGATTATCGAAGATCAAAATAAGCGCGAGAGTTAAGAGAGAAAAGAGTACCTGAGGACCCATGGTTATGACGACGAAAGGGTCGCTGCCACTAGAGTCTCGACTAACCAGATTGATCCCTCTTCTCACTCGGATTCTAAGAAGTCCCACCACATCCTCCATGTCTCTTTTTTCCTCGAGAGAAAGCGAATTGCGGAGGATCAAGAAGATGATGTTGCTGGCCTGTAAGTCTCTGATTATTTTCTTTGACGAAAGAATCTTCTGATGAAGGATCTTTTTATGCTTCGGATCTCGTTCTAGTTGAACGGTTTTCTTTTGGTGTACATATAAAATGATATATAATAACATAAACCATCATAAGTTGATCCACTCCCTTAATTCTCATAATCTCATGGATTAAGGCATTAAGCCTTTGTTTTTCCCTTTTAAGAAAAATAAATAATGACACATGGAGTTTTTGAATAAGCCCGCCAATAATCTGTACTGAAGGGCCTATACCGTCTTATCAATACTTGGGTTATGAAATCAAAATTACATGGATATAAGGCTTCTCAGACTGGTCCAGCTATGTCTCACATCTTTTATTTGCTGATGACTCTCTTCTTTTCAAGCGAATATTACTGAATGTCAAGAGCTCCTCAATGTTTTACATATTTATCAACAAGCATCTGGTCAAGAGATTAACTATAAAAATCGGCCATTACATTCAGTAAAGGGTATGCCCTCAACTACTCAGTCTTCTATTCTTCAAGTTATGGGAATTCAAAATAGGAGGCTTTGGTCGTTATTTGGGGCTGCCTGAGCAAGTAGGAAGGAATAGATATGATGCTTTTTCTTACTTAGCTCAAAGAGTTCAACATAAATTAGAGAATTGGTATACAAAATTCTTATCTCCAGCTGGGAAGGAAGTCTTAATTAAAGCTGTAGCAACCTCAATTCCTACTTATACCATGTCTTGTTTCCATGCTTACTGCAAGATTAATTAACCAAATTACATCGGCTATTTGCAAGTTTTGGTGGTCGTCCGAAAGAACTAAGCGTAGATAGCCTAGATAGCATGGGATAAGATAACATATGTTAAAGAGAATGGAGTTTAGGAATCAGGGATTTCAAAGATTTTAATAAAGTCTTATTAGCCAAGCAAAGTTGGAGACTTATGAGCAGTTCAAATTCTCTCTTAGCTCGAGTGTTAAAGGCCAACTATTATCATAAGACTTCATTCTTAGAAGCACAATGCATTAGAAACTCGAGCTAGCACGGAAAAGCCTCATTCAAACTCAAGACTTACTTAGAAGAGAAATTATGTGGCGTGTAGGGAATGGAAAACAAATTAATGTTTGGAAAGATAATTTGATACCTCAAGATCCACCAAGATCTGCTCAAGGACTAGGAGTTAATGTATATCCTCCTCTCACAGTCCATGACTTTATTATTCCAGTACAAGAGAATGGAATAGGCAAAAACTCCAACAACATTTTACGATGGAGGATGTCCTTAATTTAAAAAATCAGGCCAAGCCTCACTAACGTCAGCCATCATCTTTCTTGGATATTTACTACAAAAGGAGAATACACTCTCTAGTCGGGATACTATGTACAAAAGAATCACTTGGATCATGATTTGGACTCACATTCATCTGGCTATGATCGTGATTCCTCAAAGCTATACCAAGCTATATGGAAGCTAGATACACCTCCTAAGTTGAAGAATTTTTTGTGGAAAGTAATGCATAATAGTCTTCCTGTTGCAGATGCTTTGCTCAAAAGAGGATGTTATGTTGATCAGCAATGCCCTCTGTGTGGAGAGGAAGCTGAGACAACAAACCACCTTCTCTTCCAATGTCGAGTATCCCGAGAAATATGGAAACTTACACCTTTAGGCTTTACCCACTCCAACAGGTGACCAATTACGAACTCAGACTTTGCATCAAAATATAGAAAGTTTCCTGAGAGCTTCAACTTTCAATCAAGTAGAAACTATTTTATTTGCTTTTGTGGGTTGGAGAATTTGGAAAACGTGTAATAAGATGGTCTTTGAAAATAAAAGAGATTTCATTCCACAAATTATTCATAAAGTTATCTTGGATCAGAAATTGTGGAATGAATCCAAACATTGGACAGAAGAGAGACATGGTCTGAACCAAACCTCTCCAAGTAACCATCTAGGTAGTATACACGACATTTTAAGATTACATAAAAAACATTGTTGTCTTGTTGATGCCTCCTGGAAATCACCTGAAAGTAGAGGTAAATGGGAAGATGTATATACTTAGAGGTAAATCTTCTACTGATCCTACATCTACTCCTTTGGAAGCTGAAGCCTTAGCTTTACTAATGGCAGTCAAGGAGATAAAAACAGTTGGCTTATACATATGTACTTTTTGTTGGCATCTGGGTGGACAGAAGGATAGCATGAGATGGTGCAACTCAAGCATTGCAACCTTTGTCAAAGATAGCTAAACTTTCTTTTAACGAATGTAAATTTTCTTTTATGCATGTACAACGTAATATAATAGTTGAGGTAGACAGGTTAGCAAAAATAGCTAGAGAGCAATGTTCAAAATATCATGTATCTTGGCAAACATTGTAATCGTTTCATAAAGTAATACATATGGTCAACAAAAAAGAATAATCCCCGCCAATAACTTTTTGACATATATACATCTAAAGATTTAAAAAAAGTAAAGTGAAATTCTCTATTAACAAAAAGGGTTTTATCAATGAACAACCATAAAAAAACAATCAATTAAAAATATATCCATAGCAATTAATAGACTATGATATTCTGTATATAAAATATAATATGACGAAATTAACCTGAAACAAAAAGAAACAAATTTTCTTAATTTTTTTTTCTTTTCACTTCAGACTTTTTTTTTTCCTTCACTCTTCCTCACGATCCACCTCTCTTCCTCCCCTTTGATTGAATTTCATCTTTGGCTTTGATTTTTCTCCAATTCTTTATTTCAGTTGTTGTATTTATTTTCTCTAACTCTATACTAATTAGATTTCTATGTGGTTTGCAGGGTTAAAATTGTAGTGCTTAGGGTTTTGGAGTGTAAGGTTTGGGTTTACAAATTCATGTTTAGGGTTTATTGTTTGATTATTTCAGTTGTTATATTGATTTTCTTTAGCTCTAATAAAATTAGATTTATCTGTAGTTTCCTGCAATTTCTCTATTTTATGGGTTATTGAAAATTGAATTTTAGGGTTCTTGGAAGGTTAGAGATGAAGAGAACCAGAGATGATTCTGGCAAATGCTACACCGCCGACTTGTGTTGCAGCAAGTAGAAAACGAGTCTAATCTAAGCCTTATGGGAAATCTATAGTTCAATTCACTACCAAAAAATCAATCCAATTGTTGCCTGTTCTTCCCTTCCTGTTCTCTCTCTCTATCAAAGAAAAACATAATTTGGATTCAAGACTATTTTCGTCCACACATGGTTACTTGTTTCATTATGCCATCAAAATGGCTATATTCTTTATTATTGGTTCCAATATGATTATTCCACAAATTAACCCTAACAAAAATCACACCCTTTTTTGTCCCATAAAAAGACACATGGATTTTGATTAAACAAGCCTACAGTTTTATGACACAAAAAAACGAAAATTAGGTGATGATCAACTTGGTTATAATCTTAAATATCATGCAACGTGTCCATCAAAAGTCAAAACAATAGGTGAATTTACACCAGGATCCGAAATATCTACAACATGTTCTTCCAGATCCACCACCAACTCGTTCAAACAATATTATAAAAGTTTTTCCAAACGAATATAATTAGATAGATCACTAATTAATAAATCTATGGTTTTGCCTTCTTCTTCTTTTTCTTTAATAACAACTTTAGTTTTTTTCATTAATGAAAATCGGATTAGAGATCTAGGAGTAGAATGTGGCTTAACATTCGCCAAATTTCTTGGTTTGCACGTATGCAACAGAACGTACTTATCTCGGTTTCGTTTGTGGTACATTTTTCTGTTACGTTAACAAAATAAATACGCGTGTTTAAAAAAGGAAACAAAACTAAAAATCACGCGCGACTCCAAAATAACCGAAACGACAAACAGTAACAGAATCCAAACAAACAATAAAAATCCCAAAAAAATTCCCAAAAGAGCCCTAACATTAACCTCTTGATTTATATTCATTCACGCCTCTCCTCTCATCACAATCACAAATTTTTTCACAATTCGATTTTCCTCTTCTCTCTTCATCATCTTCCTCCTCCTCCTCTCGGCTTTCTCTGTGTCCCTCTCTTTTCTCACCGGCAAAACCATCTCGCCTTTTCGATTCCCCTCCCTACAATCTCTTTTTTTTTCTCCTTTTCTCCGGTGACGTTTGTGAATGGTGGAAGCAAATCCGATCGGCGAAAATTTCAGGCTCTCCCTTTCAATCCAAAGGGCGAGCTTCTTCATCCCTCTGTCTTCAGACTCTGTTTTCGCTTTCGGATCTTGCAAGGAAGGCTGGTACTACCGCTGCCTCGGCGTCGACCCGTGAATCAATCTCTCTCCGTCACCGATCGCGTTTGAGATTTGAGATCTATTTCGTTTTTTTTTTTCCGTTGTGAGATTTTTGCCGATTGAATTTTGGAAAGATGTTGCTGTACAACAAGCAGAAGAAGAGAGAGGTGGTTAAGGGAAACAGAATCCTGATCAGTGTCACGTTTCTGGGTAGTGCCGGTCCGATCCGGTTCGTTGCGAACGAAGGAGATCTCGTCGCCGGTGTGATCGACGTTGCCCTTAAATGTTACGCTCGTGAAGGTCGTCTTCCGATTCTCGGATCCGATTTCAATGATTTCCTCTTCTATTGTCCGATGATCGGACCTGGAGGTAATTTGATAATTCGAAATTTAGCCGGTTCGGTTTTGGTTTTGAATGCGTAGATTTGTTGATTGATATGGTTTTGTTTGCAGCTCTGAGTCCGTGGGAAGCGATTGGGTCGTTGGGAGTGAGGAACTTCATGCTGTGTAAGAAACCAGTGGAGAAGAAGGTGGAGGAAGACGTTGGAAAATCGAATTTCCCCATTAATGGAGCAAGAAAAGGAGGAAGCTTCAAGGCATGGATTAACAAGTCTTTCAGTCTTAAAGTCACTACTCATTAGACTTTTCGAATTTATGTAACCTTGAAATCTCCCAGTTTGGATCTGCGTCTGTTTTTTTCTTTTTGATTTCTCGTTTTGAAAGAATGATTTTGTCTTTTGTTCTTTGTTTTCTCATTTTCGCATTCTTCAGGAAATAAAAAGTTTCAAGTTCTTATTTTTGGCTTTGTCTACAAAATTAGATTATCAAAAATGTGATAATTGCAATGCTTTTTGAAGTTGCTTTCCTTTAGGCGCAAATTGAGGACTTGTTGATTCTCCAAGAGTTACTTAATTTCTTGGCTTTTGAGACGAGAAATATTGAAATATCAGACTAGGGATTCGAAAATTGAATTTTTTTTCAATACGTTGACTCTCTTTTTTTTCAGTCTGTAAAATAAATTACTAATTAAACAGACAATTAGTCAAATATTATCCATGGAGACAGGAGAAGAAATCAAATTTCTTAGCTGAAGTTTATACTAGATAACCATAATGTATCATAATTTGAAAGTGTCCTTTTGAACTTCTTCTAATACAAACTTAGTAACGACTAGCAATATAAAAGTAAACCATGATGTATAGTTTTTGTGTGTGTGACAAATCTCATGTTTAGTTATATGAAAGTAACACAGTTGGCAAATGTATTTGAAGTCAGATGTGACCTTAACAGTTACATGTGAATACTTATCCAGATTAGATTTGGTCGGTAGATGGCGTGGCAAGTCGATCCTTCTTGGCTCTTGCAAACCCCTTGGGGCCATCTACTTCAAATGGTCGATTTAACTTCTTCCTATAAACAAGTCACATTTGAGTTTTTACTCTCTTTTTCAATGTTTGGTTTGGTTTTATTATACAAGTTCTGATAACGATTCTTCTTCTTTACACAAGTCAAATTATAGGTTTACTCTCTTATTCAACGCTTTGGTTTGGTTTTATTAGAAGTTCTGAAAACGATTTATGCCTCGACGGCTCAACAAGAAGTCACACTCCCATAAAAAAGGTCAACAGTTGAAGAAGAAGAGAAAAATGGGTAAGACAAACTGCTGTATCCAGCAATGATGATAATTTAAATTTTTGGAGGAAGATATCACCATATCCGAACTTTATAATATAATAGGAAGTAATATTTGTAGTTGTACATAGTCATAGATGAATTAAGAAAAAGCTAAAGAGCGAGAATGGCATCCATCAAACAATAAATATTTTAAATACAATGCTTAATACCGAGATAAACTGATGGAAACTAGCTAGGGTTTATTAAAAAGGAAGAAAAGTAATGAAACCCTTGTTTTTGATAAACTCGTAAGTTGAAGTAAAGTTTACACTTCCACTCATAATTAACTGATATGCATGTGAGTTGGAGGCAGCGAGGAAGGTATACAACATATCCCAAAAAATAATATAAAGTAATATATCTCAAGTCCTTAAGGTATACAACATATCCGAAAAAAGGTTCTTTAAGATACAGCAAGCATGAAGCATCTTTTGGTACCTTAAGATCTTTCCAAATACACTTTTTCCCCAATACACTACAAGAAAACAGCCGATATTCTGACGGAATTACCGACGGCCACAATCCGTCGGAAATTTTCTGACGGCCTTCCGACGGGGTTTAACAGCACAAAAAAAGTCGGTAATCCGTCGGAATAAAAGTAAAATTTCCGACGGTATACCGATCACACCAACTTCCGTCGGAATAATGGAAATATTCCGACGGCATATCGACGGGACTGAAATCCGTCGGGAACATATATACCCGTTGCTTTAAAGCCGTTGAGCATAGCCGTTGGTATTTGAAACCCGTCGGTAATCCGTCGGAAAATTACTTAAACTCCGTCGGTAATCCGTCGGAAGATTACTTAAAATCCGTCGGAAATCCGTCGGCCAAATATAGCCGTTTATATGGACATTGTAATTTCAGAACGGTTATATTCCGTCAAAATCCGTCGGAAATCCGTCGGCCAAATATAGCCGTTTATATGAACGTTGTAATTTCAGAACGGTTATATTCCGTCAAAAAACCGTCGGAAATTTCCCTATATATACACATCCGAATTTTTAGTTTCTTCACACCACTTTTCACACCAAACATCTTACAAAATGTCTTCTTCCAATTCTTTTAACTATTTTCGTTCTTGGATGGATAAACCACATCAAAATCCAGCTACGGGACTAGCAACGGAGGAATACTCTACCGGTCTCAGACAATTCATGGAATTTGCGCGCTCTGGTGATATTGTGTACTATGGTGTCTTGCGTGAGATTTTGGAAGTTCAGTATCCCGGGTTGCTCAACCTCAGGTGTGTCGCATTTCTTTGCGATTGGTACGACCCAACTCCTGATAGAGGAGTACGAGAAGATGAATTTGGTGTTACGTCAATTCATTCGAGAAGAAGGTTGGACAACTACGATCCTTTCATACTTGCTTCCCAAGCAGACCAAGTTTGTTACATTCCTTATCCTCGTGTTGAGAGCAGACAAGATCCTTGGGTCGTAGTGACATCGATTAGTCCAAGAGGAAAGGTGTATGGCGTTTCAGAGCACGCTCCTTTACAACAAAACACAAGTGGGGTTTTAGGTGCTATCGATCAGTCCCTCAATGTCGAGCTTGTAGTTGACTTAACCATCGATGGAGATGATGAGATATTTGAAGATTCAGAGGAAGATCTAGATATTGGAGAGTTTGAAGAAAAATCGGATTCCGCAAATTCAGACGATTATAGTTCAGATTCAGAGTAGTTTTTTAATATATTGTTACATTTGTTCTCTTTTTTTTGTAATATTAAATATTTGTGATGTTTGTACTACAAAAAATATTTGTTGTTTTGTAATATTAAATATTTCTCTACTTTTAAAAATACTAAGTTGATTTATTTTGCAAATAAAAATTTAGGTTTATTTATTTGCAATTTAATAATAAACGTATATGAAATTTATTGTAACAACTTATAAAAAAGTTTATAATATCTATGCACTCAAAACATTACAAATCCCTCTGTAATCCATCGGTGTTCCGTCGGAAATATTATAGCCGTTATGATTTATTAAATAATTTAAACACATTTCCGACAACTTTCTGACGGCTTTGTCAATTTCGACGGTATTCCGTCGGAAATATTATAGCCATTATGCCTTCTGAAATAATTTATAACACATTTCCGACGGCTTTATGACGGATTTGTCAATGTTCCGACGGAATTCCGATGAATATCCGATGAACCGGAGTTTAGAGTATCCATATATTGCCCATTATAGGACAAACAGTAGAAACATAAATAAACGTAGACATATTAATAACTTATTATGTTTTGTATGATATCAGAGCTACAATTTTGCAATTTTTAAAATAGTTAAGTTTAAATGTTTCAAAGTGTTAGAAGAAGTTTAGTAGTTTTCAAGTACAACTTTAGGTTGGAAATATATATTTGGTAGCTCTAGACACTCTTATAAAGGAATCATAAAAAAAAACATTTATTATATGTTTGTACTAAAAATATTTATTGTAAATTTGTGTAATTTTAAAAATATTAGGTTCAACAATCTCGACGGCTTTCTGACGGTATGTCAATTTAATATGATTTCCGACGGATTTCCGACGGAACTATCATAGTCCCCAAAATAAGGGTTTAGGGTATCCATATTGTCCCCAATAGAACAAACACTGATACATAAGAAAAGTGATATCTATTGATAAGTGATTATGTTGTTGTATGAAGTTAGAGCTACATTTATTCAATTTCCAAAATTGTTAAGATTGAATGTTTGAAAGTGTTTGATGAAGTTATAGATTTTATAAGTAGTAGTATAGGTTATGAATTTAGTAAACGTAAAAGTTTATGTAATTATGTTACAAGAGTTTAGTTTGGACATTGTTTGAAAAGAATCATCAAATAACATGTACTATTTTTTTTTACAGTTATTTTCATCCATTTTTGAAATACCCTAAACCTTGAAGCGTCGGGACATTGTCGGAAAATGGTCGGTAAACTACTTGATATTTCGATAGATTTCCGACGGAAAACATATTTTTGTCTTCTAAATTAAGATTATGCAATTATTTCTAGTTTTTTTTCGGAAATCCGTCGCAATTCCGTCTGAATGTGGACACTTTTATCGACGAATTACCGACAGCATTTCGTTTTTTTGCACGCGGCAACATTTCGCGAAGGCGCGAAAAATAATTAAGGATAAAAATTTTAGGCGGCAATTAATTAATTAATTAATTATTATACCGACGGAACATTGACGGATATCCATCTCAAAAGGTTATTTACCTATTCTCGACTATTCGGATTCCCTTCATTTCCATCTTTCTTCTCTTCAGAAACCCTAATCTCCTCCCTCTCGAAAGCGATTATCGCCGTTACGGGATTCTTCTCTCCTTCTCTTCACACCCACCCAACTCGACTCTTCCATTCTTCTCCTCCTTCTTCTCTCTTCCGCCGACTCGTCGTTCGCTCTACGCCGCTCGTTCTTCTCCCCGCCGCAGAATCTCACTTCTCTATTCTTCTCTCCGCCGGTTTCTCGTCGTTCTCTCTACCACCGATTCGCCCTTCTCTCCGCCGCCTCGTCCTTCGCTCCACTGCCGCTCGTTCTTCTCTCCGCCGCCGTTCCGCCGATTCTCGCATCGCCATGTAAGTTTACTATTTATCGAGTCAATTTTGTAGCTTAATTTGTCAGATTTACTCTCAGTGTTCATGTTTTTTTTTTCTTCTTTGGATTTAGTCAGTTTGGTTACAGTTTTCTTTGTTCTTGGTTATTGGCTCAGTTTCTCTGTTAGCTTGTATCTGGTTGATAGTTTGTCTGGAAATGTTTGCGTCTGTGTTAATTTTTTTGTAAACTCCGACAAATTGCTCGTTCTTGCTTCCATGTGTTCAATTTTCAGTATCTTTTGGTTTATTTGATTGGGCTACGAATTTAAACAAGCTTTTGTTTATTGACTGGGTTATTTATTTAATTGATTGTGTTGATTTGAATGTGTTCTTCATCGAGTAGAACCAAATGTGATTAGTTAGGTTTAATTAGTACTATCTGTGAACAATCATGTAAGCCAACAAATGTTGGATAAGTCTAGTGAACCAAATGTGATTTTTGAAGAGTTGTTTGATTAATTTCGTCTGTGTGAAGCATTGTTTGATTAATTTCATAGGTCTTACTTGTTGACGCTTAGTTTAGTTGGTGTGAAGAATCTGTTAGTTTTCTCAAGCAGTGACTACCTGCTTTTATCTTCCTTGTATCTGTTCTATTGTCTTGTTTGGCTCTGTTCCATTGTCTTGTTTGTCAATGAGCAAAACAAAATGTTAGGTTTTTAGTTAATTTTTTTTTGGTCTGATGAAGTTTTTCATTTTCGAGTTGCTCTTTTATATTAGTTTGCATAGCTTAGATCTTTTTAGTGATGTGATTAATGATGTTTGGTTCTTAGTTTTCTATGTGTAATTAGTTTTTGTTTCTTAATCTTTTTCAAATTTTCTTTCTTCATTGAGAACATTGGCTTTCTTAGTTTACTTTCTTCATTTAGCAGAACAAAATGGTAGGTTCTTGGTTAATTTGTCTTCACCGAGTTCTCTCAACTGTGATTTGTGATGTTTAATTACTCTTCTTATCATCTGTTTTTTTCGTTTGCATTTTCCACTTTAGAATGATTTCCTGTGTGACGGTCTATATAGAATTTGTGTTTCATCCAATAGACTTTGAATACGTGGCTTGAAATACATTTTGTCTTCGTCTGGTTTAAAGAACGAAGCGTTTTACTCTGTAAACTTAAGAAAGTCATTGTTGTTCTTCTTCTTCTTCTGCTAATTGGGAAACTGAAAGATTGTGAACGAAAGGTGAGATTTTGCAATCTGGGTTTATAGTTTCTCTCTACGAATGTAATTATCTGTTGGATCAATTTTGTTCGGGTATGTGTTTTGGGGAATTGATACCGTAGACCTAACATTGATCGCCGGCGATTATCGATTGAGAATCTACTGAATTGGATCTTCCTAACTGTAAATTCCGTGGCTTTTCTTCATTATGATCGCAAATTTCACTACAATTTGGGAAAAGTATCGTCTTTTGATTTGTGGGTTTTTCGTTTTCGTTAAGATATTTACAAAAAGCAAGGCTTTTTATTGTTTCTCTCTGTTAGTTAACTTAGCCCCCTTGAAAGTGAGAGAAGATGATAGAAGAACAAGAGCTTGAATTCATGTCAAAATGGTTTTTTTTTGTTTTTTTTTTCAGGTTAGGCACTGTAGCCACTAGCCAAACCGCTTACTTCAACTGAGTCCACTGTTCTGTTTCCGGAGGGATCCATAGGAACGATGACGATCGAAAGAGCCCGAGTCCCGTTAAGCAGGTGGCAACAAGCGGCGGTTGCGATGGGATCTGCCGTCGGTGCGTTGGTAAATCCTCGCAGGGCCGATCTGATCGCGGCTTTAGGTGAAACCACCGGAAAACCAGCTTTCGAAATGGTTCTCGAGAGGATGAAGAAGAGCCCTGAAGGACGAGTAAGTCTTTAATTTTTTCTCGCTTAAAGGATCATCATTTTTGTTCAACAACATTGAATTTGACGAGTGGGGGCCTAAAGATTGTTATGGATATTAAATTCGGAAAAGAAAGATTGAATTTTGATGTTGTGATGTGATTCATATACATCATATCGATTCTAATTGATGTTGTTGATGATCTTTAAAGCTGCCAAAGTAGTTGAATGATTCAAATTCAAGATCTTGTTTCTTCATCTCTATGGCAGGCTATATTACTGGAGCGTCCTCGTGTTGTCTCAGAGCAAGTAGGTCACGCTTGGGATCTACCAGAGAACACATTTGGAGCTGCGTATGCAAAGTTCATGGGATCTAGGAACTTCTCTCCGGATGATCGCCCGCCGGTGAGATTCATGGAGACCGACGAACTGGCTTACGTGGCGACTCGAGCTCGCGAAGTTCACGACTTGTGGCACACGCTCTTCAGCCTCCCGACGAATCTCATAGGCGAGTCGGCTCTGAAAGTGATAGAGTTCGAGCAAATGTATCTCCCAATGTGCATGCTTTCCGTGATCGGAGGCACAGTGAGGTTCAACGAGAAGCAGAGGGGAATGTTCTTGAGGCATTACCTTCCTTGGGCTGTTCGAGCAGGAAGACAATGTACAGACTTCATGTGTGTGTGTACTATGAGCGTCACTTTAGTGAAGACTTGGAGCAAGTGAGGAGAAAATGGGGAATCATCCCTGCTCCTCAACATCCTAAATAGATTTGGATTTTCACACTTTTGAAAAAAGACAATATACTTTTGTTTGTTCAATAGTTGTATTGGTGATTTGATAATAACAGAGAACTTTGGAAGTTCTTGATTATAACATTTTGAGCAGAATAATATTACAAGATAACAATTTGAGATAAGGGTGACAAGAAACCGACTTCTTATCATTTAAAGGCTCACATCAAACAGTTTATAGTGAGAGACGATGTAACAAAGACAATGGACATGGTTTGGTCAACCAAATTTATCTAAATAGTTTGATACTCTTGCAAAACTCTTTCACTTTTATCAAATATTATTTATAAACCTATTATTTATATAGATAAAGGTCATGGTTGCCTCCGTAGCATAGTGCTATTGCGTTCGCTTCGTAAGCGAAAGGCCGCGAGTTCGATCCTTGCCGGGGGCTTCCTTCTTACCATTTTACCTTATTTTATGAACCTAAAATCTCATATTTATGGTTATCTTGTGAAATCTGTTTGCCTTTTTGTTTTTCTTCTTTCAAGTTTACCCTCTTTAACAAATGCAATATATATTTTTGATATGAACCTAAAATCTCATCATGTTTGTTGTTCTCGACATTTAAAGATTCAAATACGAATTTTATTATCAGATGAGTGATATTAGTGACATAATAAAGTAATTACTGTATGTTGTTACAAAAAAAAAGTTAATCATATAATATATGGGCTTTAACAAGCCCAAAGTGAACCGTGGGAATAAAGAGTCCACGCGCCACGCGGGACCAAAATCGCGCGCGTGTCATCTAAATTCCTCGTCGTCGCCGTCTACCGATTTTGATATCTGAATATTAGCGATTCACTGTTCGGGAACTGGAGTGATCCCAACGAACGATGACGATCGAAAGAGCTCGAGTCCCGTTAAGCCGGTGGCAACAAGCGGCGGTTGCGATGGGATCTGCCGTCGGTGCGTTGGTAAATCCTCGCAGGGCGGATCTGATCGCGGCTCTAGGTGAAACCACCGGGAAACCAGCTTTCGAAATGGTTCTCGAAAGGATGAAGAAGAGCCCCGAAGGACGAGTAAGTCTTATTTTATGAACCTAAAATCTCATATTTATGGTTATTTTGTGAAATCTGTTTGCCTTTTTGTTTTTCTTCTTTCAAGTTTACCTTCTTTAACAAATGCAATATATATTTTTGATGCCGCCCAAATTGGACCTAGTAGGATCAATAACTCCCAGTTGGTGTAGAGTGTAGTAACAAAAGTGTGCTATTAGTTGAGAAGCACACAACAAGCTTTCAAAACCATTGTTTATCTGTTCCATAAAAACAGGAAAACTACAAGTCAAATTCAATCTATGAACGTCTAAATCAATCGATAAAAATACATTTTCAAGGAAAGACAAAAAGGCTTACAAGGACGTAGATATCAATTTTGTAGATCAAAGAATAAGTAGTCCAAATTCCAGCGTTGATGAGACTAACAAAAGACAACCAAAACGGCATGTACGTAAAGCTCTTCGTCTCCAACATTGTATTCTGATGTTTCATTCATTATAAAAAAAGAATTAATCAAAACCCACTATTTGTTAATTACTAGTAGTTTACTTATCCATCAATTATAGAGCGAGAGCTTACCTTAGCAATTGAAACAGACATACCAATGTTGTAAACGTTGCAAACAACACCAATTAAAGTATGCTTAAGAGATAAACTTTCAATTGCCCAAATAGTATTCCCATAGAAGCCTATCAGAAAACATAACTCAAGCACGAGACATAGATTAAGATTCTTCTTCTGCACATAAAGATCAATATCATCAAAAATTAATGTAGAATATGATTAAAAATATTTAAGCATAAAAGATAGACACACATACACGTGATTCGTCACCGTAGATATAAAAGACAAGCACGTAGATAAATTCTATTACGAAACCAATGCCATTAGAGGTGGTGACGAGAAGACTGTCCTTGTGAATCACAGGGAGGCCATACAAAACCCAAAAACTACACTTCATCAACATCGCTACATGACGATGCGGTTTAAATCCCTCCACTGATTTCTTCTTGTATATTTGTATAAACTTTGGCCTGTATGTATTGCAAATGTTTATAACTCTTTACTAATATAATCGTTAGATCTAATTTTGGGAAATTATAATACAAGGAACAATACAGACACGCATTATTAATAACTCCTATATACAGATTATGTTAGTGGCAAACTAGAAAAATACGACTTATCAAAATTAACATTAAAAAAAAATATAAATACATACATATAGACACAACAAAATTGTGAAAGATGAAAAGGGATATTACATTTGTGAAAGGGAGATTATAGTTGATATAACATTCCCTGCATCATGGCATAGAAAATTTGTCACTACCATATAGTTATGTCGAAATTATGCTTATTAAATAAATATGTATATTTGCCACACACACCCACACACACAAAAAAACTCTCTTGCTCTCTCAATCGAACCTATCAAAATAAGTTAGGCTAAACATAACGACAAAAAAACATGTACACATGGATTAGGGATTGAGACGCAGTTCATACCAATAATTCCGATGATTATACGAATATCTTTCAGTTATTCATTGTGAAATTGGCGAGAGAGAGAGAGATTATATGGGCGATGAAGCAGATGAAGAGCAGAAGAAAGCCTAGTCTAGCAAAACAAGGGAGCGAGAGATCAAAGAGAGGCACGTCTCAGTCAAGGAGTCAATGTTTCTCGAGTTTTTTTCTCTTTGGCATATTTCTAGGGAATTAGAAGACTGTATATTTGTAAATCCAAATATTTTTGTTTGTTACGATATGATGGACTATGAATAACTGTTTTTATTTATTTTAAAAAAATTATTTTTGTAAATAATAATTGTTTTTATTTTTATTAATATGAAAATCTTTGAAGATTTCAAAGAGGAATGCGAACATTTTAAGGTTTGTTATATAAAATAATTAGTTAAATTGCATCATTATTGACGATATAAGCGGATTTGAATCAGAGCTTATCATCAGTAACTTGATTTGATTACCACTATGTAAGTTGACCAAGATAATTAAGATTTCTGAGGGAGTAGAAAGTTGTCAGCTTAAAGCCTATATTGGATGACTGAACCGTCTTTAATTTGTTACACATCAGAGAGGAAAAAACAAAAAACCACAGTTCATATCCAAATCGTCGTCTATGGTGGAGATCGAGATATTCATGCATTCGATATAGGAAAACGCATAAAAGGATTTGCATGTAATTTTTTTTAATGTTTATTTACTGGGCATAACTATCAATAAGGTGTACCAATAACTAAAAGGATTAATAAGGAGCTATTTCCCCCTTTCCCCCTCAGAACTATCATATAGCACCATATCTACACAAAGTTTAAGCCTCTTTCTAGCTAGATCTCCATCAAATAAAAGTATAAAACTTACATACCTAAAAAGAAAAAAAAGACCAAAAGATATCCTGGAACAATTTCAAGGAGAAAACATGTAATTTATTAGGCGGTGTTGTTTCAAACAAAACGCTTGATCAAGGATTCAAAAACTGAAAAACATAAAATATAAGTGAAGAAGACTAAGCAAATAAATTAAACCTAAAAGCAACAATAGTTTTTTTTTTTCTGTTAGTTTAAATATAAATAAAAAAGAAAGCAATAATTAACTAAAGAAAACGGTGAGAACAAAAGCATTGATTCAACCCAAGTGCACTTCATAACGCAAGAAAACGTATTTACTAGGAACCGTAAGCACAGCACTATCCCACTCAACAGTTCCCCAAACTTCACCACGGCCATTGCGTCTTTTGAGCTTAATCACGGAACACCAAATGTTCTTCTTTGGACATTGACCCTTCATAGGCTTCTCAAACTTGTCCCATATGATCAAGAGGTTCCCATAGTATTTAGCTAATGCAATAACAACACCATCACTAACATTCCTATCAAATTCCTTCAAACCCTTGATAGCTCTCCACTCTTTACGCTTTTCATCATACCAAAAGCAGCCGTCTGTGGTACAAGAGTACCAAACATCTATGTAACACTTTGTTCTCTCATCATCCACTAATTCTTTTGCTACAACGTCCCATCTACCTTCTCTCGGATCATAAACATAACAATCATCCTCCACGCTACTCTCAACGTAAACCTTTCCCTCGATCATTCTCATTGATTTAAGTAAAGAGGAGCGGAGCTCAGCGCCAGGGTCAGGTAAAGCTTCCCAAGTTTGAGTCTTTGTGTCGAAAACCTCAGCCCAGTTCGCGGTTTCTTTTGCCTTGCAACCACCCATTACATATATTTTCTCATCGAGTACGCCCCCGACGGCGAGCGTCTTCTCTCGAGCCACTCTCATGCTAGGCGCTTTACGCCATGCATTGTTAACCCCATCATTGCGAACCTTCATCTCGAGATGGTTGGGTAGCGTCGTCGTCGAAGATCTGTGTTGTCCCAATATTTTATATTTTTCCGAACCAACCTTACCGATGAACGTTGATGGTTCCCAAGGAGTATATGAAGAAGGAACACGTGTCAACAAGGTTTTTCTGGTTGACGACTTGTTCTTATCATTGGTTAGGGTTTGATCAGGTTTTATCCAGAGGCTGAACCATGAGGGAAGACGACGACGGGGAAGCTTTAAGCAGACGTAAAGTACTTTTTCTCTTCTTTCCAAGTGCTTTCGCGCAAGACGGAGCTCCTTGGATGAGATGATAGAGCAGAATCTCTTGGAGACTAGGGAGAGTTTAGGGTAGTGTGATTTCGGTATGCGGGCTAAGCAGCTTACGACGATTTCCTCTGGAAGAGACGAAAACGTTGGTGTCTTCTTCTTCCTCGTCTTCCGCGGTGGTTCAACATCGGAATTCATAGCGGAGGCGGTGGTAGGAGCAAAAGAAGAGATTTTGTTTTGCGGTGCTTCTTCTTCTTCTAGTTCCACCTTCATCAATAATTAAGAAAACATGATTAGTTAGGTCTTTATGAAATACTTTTTTGTTTTTTCTATATTAAAACGAACCCCTTTGAGTTAATTAAATTATCTTCTTACGACTATTACCTCTGGAAGAGACGAAAACGTTGTCTTCTTCTTCCGCGATGGTTCTTCAACTTCGGAATTCATAGCGGCGGAGGCTGTGGTCGGCGCAAAAGCAAAGATTTTGTTTTGCGGTGCTTCTTCTTTTAGGTCGATCATCAAAATGATTAGGTTAGCTAGGTCTTTCTTAAATACGTTTTTATTTTATTTTTCTTAATTGAAAACTAACCCCTTTTTACCTTTTTAAGTTAAACCCCTAAATTATTAATATAGCAAGAAAACCCTCAACTAAAGATGGATCCGACAAAGACCCCGTCAATTATTAAGTTATAATGATAAAACCCCTCCATGTTTAAATCTTTCAGACCCCTCCATCTACTTTCTAGTTAAAACTGGATGAACACGTTTAATGAAAACGCAGTGTTCTAATAAACCAAAATAAAACAAGACGCTTTGTACTCAGAACATAGCTTAACTTTTTAGGGTTCCTAGTTTCGTTTGGTAGATGCCCTCATTTTTCTTCTCGATCAATTATTTGTCTGTTTCTCCTCATCAAATCTGATTATCTTGCTACATGCTTTTTGGAATGTAGTGAGACTCTTCGTTTCTATTTGGAATTAGTTAAAACTGATTATTGATAAAGTTTTAGACTTTCTTTGATTGGGAAAATGAAACCTGCGCTTTGTCATGTTAGCTGGTTGATTAAATCTCTGTTGGAAAGGAATTACAGAATTGCAGTATAGAGGAAGAGATTTGTCACTGAATTTTCTCAATTGGATTTCAGATGCATTAAAGCTTCAAGTACAAACTCAATACATAAATTAAAGAAGAAGATAACTACTGCATGATGTGAAAATGCCAAACTAAAACATCCTAATTAATCAGAAAATACCCACGATTCCTAAATCCATAAACCCAACTACTCAAAACCAGATTCAATTGTGAATCAGTTAAGAGTTTCTGGTGATTTGATATACACTACGATGGAAATTGCAGTGCAAGCTCTGGTTCTGAAAAACCAAAGAACAAAAGCCAGGTAATTGCTTTTTGTTTAAAATAGAAATAGAAAAATAAAGCAACAATGCACTGAAGAAAATGGTGAGGAACAAAAAGCATTGATTCAAACCGAATTCACTTCATAACGCAAGAAAACGTATGAACTAGGAACGGTAAGCACAACACTAGCCCACTCAACAGTTCCCCAAACTTCATCTTCATCACCATTACGTCTTTCAAGGTTAATCCCCGAACACCAAATGTTCTTGTTTCGACATTGACCCCTCCTAGGCTTCTCAATTTTGTCCCACAGGATCAAGAGTTTCCCACAGTAATTAGCTAATGCAATAATAACACCATCACGAACATTCGTATCAAATGCCTCCAAACGTCTGACCTTTCTCCACTCCTTACTCTCTCTGTCATACCAAAAGCAACCTTGTGTGCTACAAGAGTACAAAACATCTATGTGACACCTTCTTCTCTGATCATTTACTAATGCGTTTGCTGCAACGTCCCATTTACCTTCTTTCGGATCATAAACATAGTGCTTCTTCTCGCTGTTCTCAACGTAAACCTTTCCCTTGATCATTCTAATTGTTTTAAGTAAAGAGGAGCGGAGCTCAGCGCCAGGGTCAGGTAAAGCTTCCCAAGTTTGAGTCTTTGTGTCGTAAACCTCAGCCCAGTTGGCGGTTTCTTCTGCCTTGCAACCACCCATTACATATATTCTCTCATCGAGGACACCAGCGACCGCCGCCTTCTCTCGAGCCGCTCTCATGCTAGGCGCTTTACGCCATGCATTTTTAACCCCCTCATTGCGAACCTTCATCTCGAGGTGGTTGTGTAGGGTCGTCGAACATCTGTATTGCCCCAATATTGCGTATTCTTTCAATCCAACCTTACCGAGGAACGTTGGTGGTTCACGAGGAGAATATGATGAAGGAACTGGTACCAACTTGGTGTTACAAGAGCTGTTGTTGTCATCGTAAATGTTCCTGGTCACTACGTGGTTTATTGGGAAGTAGAGGACAAAAGAGATGACAAGAAGAAGCTCATGGAGCTCAATCAAGAGGCATTCTCGGAGTGTTGTTTAGTGATGGAGGATTCTTTTGACAATGTTTACAAGCAATGTCGGTTTACTGAAAAATCTGTAGGACCGTTGGAGATTAAGGTGGTGCGTCCTGGGACATTTGATTCGCTCATGGATTTCTTCATCTCACAGGGTGCTTCTATTGGTCAATACAAGTCTCCAAGGTGCATCAAATCTGGAAAAGCCTTAGAGGTACTAGAGAAAAGTGTGGTAGCCACATTCTTCAGCACCGGAGGTTGTTCTTTCAAGAACTAGATCATGTTCTTAATTTCTTATAATATATTTGGTGAAGAATACAATAAATATGCATGTGCGTATGCTAGCCGCTTATTAATTAGTAATTAGTTTTCTCAATTGTTGCAATTTTTGTTTTCCCTTTATGTTCTCAATGTATATTGCAATTTGCAAAGATGATTGAGTATATGTATAATATATTGAGAGTTCAGAGTTCGGGTAAAACAAAATAAATCTTTCTCCCTCAAAGTATTGGATTTCAAGATCTTACCATTTAGCTAGAGTTTTTTTTTTATCAAGGTTGCATAATCTTGGAAAAAGAAGAAGATGCGTACCTTCACCACCAAGAGTAACAATTAAACAATATGTTGCGGTTTTTGTTGATTGTTGAATCGTTTGTAACCATCTACATGTGATCTTTAGCCAAAAAAAAAAAAAACCATCTACATGTGTTGTATGTCTTGTACTATGTTGGATCTCTTTGTTCTTATGAACAGTAATCGTGATTTCATCAACACATATGTGATACTTAAATCATTAGATTTATTTGCGAATCCTTTTGTTTTTATCACAATGGTGACACTATAGCACAAATCAATTTTGATTGTTTAGTCGTAATTTGTGAAGTGTAAAAATAATGTACCGTGTTTCCGATAGAGTTGTGCATGTGAGACTGAGAGTATCTATGGGTTTAAACTCTAAAGCTTACGCCAGAGAAAACATAATGGGCACAACTACATATGGGCCTTATAAATCTGAACAAATATATCTGTTATCGCGATACGTTGAACTTGAAAGAAGATCACAAAAATTAATTATTTTCTTCGTAGCTGGAGATGACTATGAGAGCAAAAGTTTCGGTTTCCAACATGCAAACACGTAAGAGTGATCGCAAATCGCAGGCATTGTTCTTGTCACGTTACGTTCACGCACCAAGAGCATCTCCAACCCAGCCTCATATTTCATTTTTATTGTTATTTTGGAATCAATATTGCTCCAACCCAACCTCATTTTCAATCTCAAAATGGCAAAATGCCATATTTTTTCCTAAATTGAGGTTGATCTCATTTTCATTTACATTTTGGAATTGAAGTTTTTAAATTATATAACAGTTCTTAAAGTTTTAAATTATTTCAGTTTATATATAAATAATTAATTTGATGTTTATTTTTACCCTAAAACACAAATAACACATATTTTATAGAAAATTTAATTATTTAAACTAATAATAAATTTAAAAAGAAAGGAAAAGAATCATAATTAATTTAAAATAATTATAAGAAATTGTGAATGTTTTGAAGAAAAAAAATATTTTGGGGCAATTTGTAATATATATAAATATACAATGTAAATTTAGTAATTAATAAAAGTTTTGAAGTAAAAAATGAGACAATACATTGGAGCAAAATCTAACTCCATTTTGAAAATTCTTCTGGAGTCAAATATGAGGCAATACATTGGAGATGCCCTAATAAATCTAAATTAATTTGTCACGAAATGTAGGTAGTGATGAGTGAAAAAGACAATTAAAGACACGCGCGGTTTTGTCATTTGGCCCTTTTGTTTCGTTGACTTTATGAGAAAGTATTTGTTTTGACTCTCACCGTATTATTGCACGAACTTCTCCACCAATCACCACCACCGTCACTACTTTCCATTTTCTCTTTATCAGTTTACTATCTAGAAAACACCATTTTTCAAATAATATAAACAATAATTCAAAGATATTGATTCTTTAGTTTGTACTCGTTTTTACATAAGAACAAATTTCTAGCTTGATCAAGTGAATTTTTTTCACATGCTCATTGAAAGCTTTAATTTTCTTGATCTGGCTACGGGAAAAAAACAGGTGATATTAATGATACGTATAAATTACAGTTACTAAATGCGAATATGAATAGGACTAATTGAAAAATATCACATAGGTGGGAGAGTATCCAAAGAAACTACTCCTTATTCAAGATCTTGATTTTTAAATTGTGTATGTGGCTAAGATCTTACAGAATTACCAAAATTGTAAGTTTGAAATTTAAATATTTTTATTGTTAATAGAAAAAAAAACAGAGGAAAAAGATTTTCGTGATAAAATTACCTACAACTATAAGAAAACGAAATGATAAAATAAAACATCTAAAACGACGGAGATATTCCAATTTCTTTTTTGTTTAAAGATATTCCAATTTCATTCTTTATACATTAGATAAAAATAAAATGGGTATAACATATTCTTTTTTTTTTGTTCAAAGGGTATAACATATTCAAAAGAAAATATTTTGAGATCTTAACATATAAATCTAAAAACGTTGACTCTAATAAATATAAAAAAAATAAGTCAAATAAATCAGTTTCACTTTAGTTAAAACTTAAAGTGTATGCAAATGTAAAGTTTCAAATAAATCCTTTACCAAAAACAAAAGTTTCAAATCCTCTTAAATAAAACTAAAAGACCATTTTAATTTAATATCCCACCTCTAACCTATATTTATACACCGCTCCGTCCGGTCATCCCGTCTTCTCCTTGTCGTCGTCGTCTTCTTTTTTGTTTCTCTTTCTTCTCGCCGGAGCAAAATTTCGAAACCACCAAAACAAAAAAAAACACAAAATTTCGAATTCATTTCGAAACCTCAAGGCGAATATGGATCAGATCCAATCCGGAGAGTACAATGGCTTCGAGACCACCAACGGTAGCTCACACAACGATCACGGGTGGAAGAAGGTAGTGTACCCGAAACGCAACCGGAAACAAAAACCGGCGGATCAGGCGACGAATGGCACCTCCGGAAACCAGGTTCCCAACGGAACTCTATCCAACGGAGACAACGTCTTCCGTTCCCTCGAGGAGCAGGCCGGAGATCGCCATCGGCGGATCCTCGCGGCGAAATCCGCCGCTGATTCGTCGGACGGTTCCGATCTGGCGAGATCCAAACTCCGATCCAACGGCTACGGAGACGAGGGGTACGATTTCGACGACAGCGACGCTGAGATCGCCGCTGGGAAGGAGAATTTGAAGGCGGAGGCAGCTAAGAAGCCCAAGGTGAAGAAGGAGAAGAAGCCTAAGGTGACTTTAGCTGAAGCTGCTGCCAAAATCGACGCATCGAATCTCGCAGCTTTCCTCGTCGAAGCTACGGTATGTGCATGGAAATGTTGAATTTTTGATTCGATCCGTTAGTTTTTAGTCGAATTGGGGAATGAAAAATCGAATCTTTTTGAAAATAGGAATCGTATGAGAACCAGCCAGAGATTCAGCTGATGAGGTATGCTGATTACTTTGGGAGAGCTCTCTCCGGAGTATCATCGGCTCATTTCCCGTGGGTCAAAACGTTCAAGGAATCTCCTTTATCCAAGCTGATCGATGTAAGCAAATCTCTCTCTCTCTTTCGTTCATAAAAATTCAGTCTTTTTTTCCGATGATTGTTAATTGTGGAATCGAATTAAGTCAAAGATTCAACGACGTCATTTGTGATTTTCGTGTCGTTGTCTAATCATATTTTAGTTTTCTGTTGGATTGCCTCTTTTTGTTCTTTGTTCATAAAGCTGAGTTTTTTTTTATACAGATTCCTTTGGCTCATATTCCTGAAGATGTGTATAAAACATCAGCTGATTGGATCAACCAACGTCCCATTGAGGCACTTGGAGCCTTTGTTTTGTGGGCATTGGATTCCATTCTTGCTGACTTGGCTGTTCAACAAGGAGCTGCCAAGGGTGGTAAGAAGGGCGCACAACACGCTTCTTCTAAATCTCAGGTATTACGATCGCTCAACTTTATCGTCTTCTTCTTCTATATTGCCTAGGTTTTGTGGATGCATGTGTCGACTCTACTTTCTGATCTTTGGTCATAATGATTGAACATGTTATCGTTTTTGATGAATAGGTTGCGATATTTGTGGTGGTAGCAATGGTATTGCGCAAGAAACCTGATGCTCTGACTAATATATTGCCAACTTTGAGGGAGAATCCCAAGTATCAGGGACAGGATAAGCTTCCTGTTACAGTTTGGATGATGGCTCAGGTGTGTTAAGCTCCATTCTTCTTTTGTTATGATAGAGTTTCTGAAGTTTGCACTCTCTTAACTTGGTAAACTATGTGCAGGCCTCCCAAGGTGATATATCAGTAGGATTGTACTCGTGGGCGCACAACTTGTTACCGGTGGCCAGTAGCAAGAGTTGCAATCCTCAGTCAAGGGATCTCATCCTTCAGTTGGTTGAGAAGTGAGTTTAGTTCTTCTGTAGTCTGTACGGTGTCTTGTTTATGCACGATGATTATCTATCTCATCTTGGTTTATTGTGTTTTTTACTTTCAGGATCTTGTCCAACCCGAAGGCCCGGACCATACTTGTGAATGGTGCTGTTAGGAAGGGAGAGAGATTGATTCCACCTCCTTCATTTGAGATCTTGGTTCGACTTACATTCCCTGCATCATCTGCAAGAATTAAGGTAAAGTAATATTACTATTTGGTGACAAGATTGTGATGCATGAGAGGGTTGATTTTGATCTCTAGTATGGTTTTAACGCACAGGCTACAGAGAGGTTTGAGGCAATATATCCTTTGCTAAAGGAGGTGTCTCTTGCTGGTGCACCTGGAAGCAAGGCAATGAAGCAAGTCACACAGCAAATATTCACTTCTGCTCTGAAAGCAGCTGGGGAAGGTATGACAAAACTTTCGTCCTCTAAATCACTACCTACACATCCTGTAGAAGACAGTTCAGTCATTATTTGTACTATGGCTCTGTACAGGAAATCCTGTATTAGCCAAGGAAGCGGCTGCAATCGCTATCTGGGCTCTCACCCAAAACGTTGATTGCTGCAAGCACTGGGTGGGTTTCACTCTTTTCTTTTCCCACATAAGAGTGATACATTGACTGGATTGTACTTATTAGTTTTGGTTCAACAGGTGAATCTCTATAACGACAATCTGGGAGCTAGTGTCACTGTTCTTAAAAAGCTCATAGACGAGTGGAAGCAGCGTCCTGTCAAGCTGACTCCTGCTGATACCCTCACTCTCAGCCGAACAATGAAGAGCTTGAGACTAAAGGTTTCAAACTTATATTCACATCTTTTATATTCACTGTTGATACCGATTCTGACTCAACCATGTTTTACTAAACCACAGAACGACGAAGGTCTTGCTGAGGGAGGCAATGGAGCAAACCATTCCCTTTACAAAGATGCAGACAAATGCTGCAAGGTGATCTCTGGGAATCTCTCCAGCTGTGGTGGCTGCATCAAAGGTATAGCCATCACTGCAGTTCTGGCTGCTGCAGGTGCTGCTGTTCTGTCTGCTAACCCCGAGGCTATAACCGAGCTGAAGACTCTGGTGGAGTCGTGGGACTTCAACAAGTTCACCGAGTCAGTAATGGCAGCTTTTAAGAACTAAAGCGAAAACACATGAGGGGGGGACGATAAAGCAAGAGAGAGAAAGTAAGTCTCCTTATCGTCGGTGTAGAGAAGATGCTTGAAAGAAGCCGCCTTTTTTATTGCTCTCTGATGACAGAGTTTTGAAACCTGACCAAAAATTAGGGGAGGTTAGGGGTAATGAGTGAGAAAGAGGAGGTTTGTTGTGGTCTTGTAATCACGTCTTGTGAGGAGTTTGTTCAAAAAAGCTCACAAGTTGTAGAAGGTGTTGTTTCTAATTTAAGATTATGGCTTTTTTTTTTTCTTTCTCCTTTCCGGGAACAATAATGTTATATTTCATTTTACTCTCCGAAGATCAAATCTAAGCTTTTTTTTGTTCTGCAATTATGTTCTTGTACCCATGTTCAACATAGTAAAGATGTCGACTTTGGATGCGTCTCTTGTTGTGTTTTTCTCCTTGTGTCTCCTGAAGAAGTTTGTGAAGTTTGGAGGCAGATCCCAACAAATGCCAAACCTGCAAAAGCTAATCAAAGACATTTACAAAGTATGAAGCTTTATGGGAAGTTGAAGATAAAATATCAATCACATGATTATATGAAGTTGGTGTTCCATATCATCTTATGCTCAGGCAGATAATGATTCATGATGGTTGGATTCATAGTCCATTCCATTCAATGTCGTACCAAATTTCCGGTTATTGCAAATTCATGTTGGTACTCTTCTGTAGCCTTAAAACGAGGTTGCGAGTTCGATTCCCTTCTCCACCAAATTTGTTTTTTTTCCTTAGCTTAGGAAACTTTGTTGTCAGAAAAAAAAAAAACGTTTGCCGAAACATCGAGACGATTCGTCTCCGTTTATCACTGGAGAAGAAAAGCTTAGAAGAATCAGATAGAACAGAGAGATAACAGTAAAACCTTAAACCTCTGATGTCACTCTCTACAGTAGCTTCCGGCGTCGGCGTTCTCGAGCTCCCTTGCTCCCGTCTATTGCCAATCTCAAGCACCCAAATCCATTTTCTCACTGTCAACGCCAGAAAACAATCTAGACGCAGACGCGAGCTCTCCTTCATCCCTATTCCGTTACTTATCCACTCGAATCATCGTCTCCGTCACGGTTTCTCCAAACCCAATCCGAGTTTCGATCGTGCCCACTGTACTGGAGAAGCAGGACACTCCGATACCACGAAGAAAAGCTCCGTCGCTTCTGTAAGTCAACTCTACTGTGTAGTAATTGGAAATGAAAAGACTCGATTATAGGTAAAGGTTAATGCTTTTTGTGTCTTCCTTTGTTTGTTGATCGTATAAGCTTAGTTTGAAGATGGTGAAGAAGTGAGAAGCGAAAGCTCTTCTTCAGGTCTTGGTGATAGCTATGTGGCCTTGTTTGTGCGGATGCTAGGTTTAGACAACGATCCTCTTGACAGAGAACAAGCTGTAGATGCGCTATGGAAGTACTCTTTAGGTGGGAAGAAGTGTGTTGATGCGATTATGCAGTTTCATGGCTGTTTGAATCTCATTGTCAATCTTCTCAAGTCTGAGTCTAGCTCCACCTGTGAAGCTGCTGCGGGGCTGATTCGGTCTATAGCTTCCGTGAATCTGTATAGAGAATCGGTTGCTGAGAGTGGAGCGTTGGAAGAGATAACAGCTTTATTGAGCAGGCCTTCGTTAGCTACAGTGGTATGAAGGAAGATTATGATTCTAAAGTAGTATACTTTTTGCTTGTTGGATTTGAATTTTTGAGGTATGGTTTTGTGTTTTTGTTTTCAGGTGAAGGAACAAAGTATATGTGCTTTGTGGAATCTGACTGTGGATGAAGAAATTAGGGAAAAGGTTGCTGACTTTGATATCCTTAGGCTACTCATTAGTTTCCTTGAAGATGATGATGTAAATGTAAAAGAAGCAGCTGGTGGCGTCTTGGCTAATTTAGCTCTTAGCCGCTCCAACCATAAGATTATGGTGGAAGTAGGAGTCATACCCAAACTGGTAAGACCTTTGCTCTCTATTGACCATTAGCTGCTCATGCTTCAGCTTTCTTATTACCTTATTGGAATCATCCAGGCAAAGCTGTTGAGAGGCGATAACTCAGATAACAAAGGGTCAAAAGTTATTAGAAAAGAGGCAAGAAATGTGCTTTTGGAGCTAGCCAAAGACGAATACTACAGAATTCTCGTCATTGAGGAGGGTGTGGTACCCATTCCCATAATTGGTGCAGACGCTTACAAGTCCTTTAGACCGGATCTGTACTCTTGGCCTAGTTTACCAGATGGCATAAAAGTCGAGCAGACAGCAAAAGCACCTTCAAGATTTGGTGCCTCTGAGCTGCTCCTTGGTTTAAACGTTGACAAGGACGTTGACGAAGTAGACGAAGCCAAAATGAAAGCAATAGTTGGGAGGACAAATCAGCAGTTCCTTGCCCGTATTGGAGCGATTGAATTCGAGAAGGAAATAAAATCCGAAGGCTCCGTGAAATCTCAGCAGCAGCAGCAGCAGCTTACTCTTCTTCCTTGCGTTGATGGTGTGGCTCGTTTGGTACTGATGCTTGGATTGGCAGATGAAATGGCAGTGACAAGAGCTGCAGAGTCAGTTGCTGATGCATCTGTCAATGAGGATATGCGGGTTTCGTTCATGGAAGCCGGAGCTGTAAAGCCTTTAGTTCAGCTTTTAGCCAACAACAACAAAGAGTCTGTTAAATTACCCGTCATCCGTGCTTTGAAAAACTTATCTCTTAGGTGCTTACTCTTGAGTATTCTCTACATTTTTTACTAAGCAGTTTCTCCTCAGAGGTTGTGATTAATTTATACATGCTTGATAAAATGCAGCCGCACTGTTTGCCAGAGGATTGAAGCTGAAGGGACAGTACCGTTTCTTATGAATCTTCTGAAGCAGCCTGAGATCTCACTAAGCGTTACAGAACAGGTTTGAACTTTTTTTTCTTCCTCTTGATGTCTTTGTCTAGGCTATAGCGGAATCACTTGACGTGGAATGGTCTTTTGTGAACAATGTTATGCAGATTCTAGATATACTTGCTCACATCTTAGATCCTAGCAAGGAAATGCACTCCAAGGTGTGTTTAGTTTTCCTTTTTCTTACCATGTTACACTTAAATCCATTCTCTTTTGACTTTAAACTGTTTCTCTACATGCTCTAGTTTTTTGAAGGACCAGTGAACGGATCAAAAGCAGAGTCCAGGTCAGTCCTCTTCTTCGGATTTCCTATTTTCAGCTCGTTTTTGTTTTGTTGTATTTACTCAGTCTCTGGTGTGGAATGAACAGAAAGGAAGTTGTGGACGCTGCTGTTATTTCTCGCCTCGTCCAGATTGCGAAGACAGCTTCTCCTAACCTGCTAAGAAAGGCAATCTCCATCATCGAGTTTGGTACAGTCGTTAATCCAAACATGGACGCAATCATCTCCGAGGATATCACAACTGTTCTGAATATTGCTCTCCACCAGAAAGTCCTGGAAGGTAAGTAACAACAAGATTTTGAATTCATACAAATTGATTCTTGTTCAAATTCACACCAAGTGTTTTGTTTGGCAAAATGCAGAGCCTGAGAACGAGGCAGAGGAGTTAGAGAAACATTTGCTTGAGCTAGAAGAAGCTGGCTTGACAATCTCCGCTGCTTCAAGGCTACTGACAAAGCTCCTCGACTCTGAGTCCTTTCGACAAACCAATGATACGAAGCTCTTCACGGAATTACTCAGAAAGATCCTTAGATCAAACCTCCCTCTACATTACAAAGACTCTGTCGCCAACTGTCTTGTCAAACTCGCCTCTCCTTCCTCTCTTCCCCAATCCCTTAACAATCCAATCAACGTTGAGGTATGTTACTGTAAAGCTCAAGGTATTCGATTACAGCAAAATTTGCGAGTTTCTTGAAATCATCTTTTTGTAGGTAACTCTCTACAAGACGATCCCAAGACTTGTGGAACAGATGAGCTTTCCTTCATCACCAGAGGCGAAAGAAGAAGCGGTTTTGGAAGTAAACAGGATAGTCTCTGAAGGAGAAGTTCCAGAGTCGACACAAGCTCTTGCTTCACATGGAGGCATCGAGCCGCTCGTGAAGCTTCTAGAAGAAAGGAGCGACCGGTGCGTTGAAGCGAGTTTGTCAGTGTTGTATAACCTGAGCATGGACAGTGAGAACCACACGGCCATTATAAGAGCAGGAGCTGTGCCAGTCTTGAGACGGATCGTTATGTCTCAGAGATCAAATTGGAATCTAGCTCTTAGGTTGCTTAGAGATTTACCCGTTTGAGAGTTCTTGTTTCTTGAATCAAGTGGTCTCTGGTTCTTGTGTGGGCCAAATATACGAAAAAGAAACATTTACGTTAAAATAATCGGATTACGTAGCACGTAATATCATCAGTATATTCTGCGGATCTACACGAGTATGAAACATTTACTCTTTTGGATGTTACGCAAGCAAAACAATTAATTGCGTGTGTTAGATCGGAAAATTCAACGGTTGAGATTTGATTAGTGCTGTCTGTCAAAAGGTAAAAAAACGAGAGAAACGTTCCGCTTCACTCACTTGGCAAAAGGTGAAAAAGCGAGGAGCCACACGTGTCGCGGTCTCGTTTAGCTAAAGCAACTTCTTTGCGTCGAATATACTCTCTCTCTCTCTCTCTCTCACACAGACAGCTTATATTTAATCATCACTCTCCCTCTCTTTCTTCTCTTTCTCTGTATACGATTCAGCTGATTCTAATCCAATTCTGATCTTTGTTTCTCTTCGAATACGGATATGGTTTTCAAGGTTTCTCTTGTCGCAACATCTCCTATTGATGGCCAGAAACCGGGAACTTCTGGTCTTCGTAAGAAGGTTCGTCGATCGATATCTTCTTCTGAATTCAACCGAACGAAAATGGATCTGGATCCGATCTGTTTAGATAATTTACTGGAATTTAACTATCTGTTCGCATAGTTTCTTAGATTTGATCTATGCATTGATCTGTATGATTATGCAGATAGCTGAATGATGATAACATTTTCTCCCCATTTTCATCGTTGGATTGGGTCAAATTATAGATCACGTAATTATCATTGATTTGGTATATATTTGGGACGCTGGTATGATGTAAATGTTAGAAACTGATACAATTATCTACACAGAGCTTGGCGTTACGTCTTACGTGTTTAGATTTGATGTGGAGAAATGGAGACTGTATGGATTGGATTTGTGTATAATTGTACTATAATCACTCTGGAAAACTAGGGAAGAGCTTAATTGCTGATTTCAGATCTTTATTTATCATTCATTTCTGGGTATAAATGATCTTTGGATGGATAAGCAAATCATAAATGAGAGTCAATGACGTTTACTGAGACTACTTGGATCTGTTTCAAAGATGCGGTACTATTCTGATAAAAAGAAATTTGGGATGATCATTTTATGCTATCGATTCAGTGTCCGTTGTTTGGTCTACTCTCTGTAGACATCAAACTAGCATCTTTTGGTATCTCCGATTATGTGATTGCTATTTTGGTTTCTCCAATTGTGTAGGTGAAAGTGTTCAAGCAACCCAATTACTTAGAGAATTTTGTCCAAGCAACATTCAATGCTCTTACACCACAGAAAGTTAAAGGTGTGATTTCTCTTACTCATCTTGGTTGTTATTCAAGTGGATGCTTGTTCACTCGATTATTTAATTTCGTGAGTATATGCTCATCTGTGCAGGTGCCACACTCGTGGTCTCTGGTGATGGTCGGTATTACTCAAAGGATGCTGTTCAGGTATTCTCATGTGATTCTTTGTCTTCTGAATCTGGCTGAACGTAATCGATATATCCAATACTTAGCATATAAGTATGATTTAGTTCTATTGTCTTTAATACTGCAATTTCAGACGATGATGCTTTCTAGATTTTCATACAATTTTATTTCCTGTCTTCACAGATCATAGTTAAGATGGCAGCAGCTAATGGTGTACGACGTGTGTGGGTTGGTAAAAACACTCTGTTATCAACTCCTGCTGTGTCGGCTGTGATTCGTGAAAGAGCAGGGGCCGATGTGAGATCTCTATCTCTTAGCTCATAGCTCTAGTGATGTTTGGATTTGTTTATGTTGGTTTTTTTCTTCTATCTTTGTGCACGAGTGCAAAAGGTTATGATGGTAATGAGAGACTTACCCCAGTCATTTAATTACAGGGATCGAAAGCAACAGGAGCATTTATCTTAACAGCAAGTCACAATCCTGGAGGCCCTACTGAGGTCCGTTCTGTTCTTGTTCTGTCTCTAATGTTCTCTGCCCCTATCATTTGAGCTGCTCGTTTTTTAGTAAATTATATATGTAAGTTGATTAGACTTAAGAGTTTGATTCCATTCCCTTTATACAGGATTTTGGCATCAAATACAATATGGAAAACGGAGGACCTGCTCCTGAATCAATCACTGATAAGATTTACGAGAACACTAAGACAATCAAGGAGTATCCAATAGCAGCAGATCTACCCAATGTATGTAACTTTTTACAGAATCTTCTTATTAGGCATCATATTTTCCATCAACTGTTTTTTATTGAGTCATTAGTTCATCTGTTCTCTGTGATTATTTGCAACAGGTTGATGTATCTGCCATTGGTGTAACCAGTTTTGAAGGACCTGAAGGAAAGTTTGATGTTGAAGTTTTTGATTCCGCAGATGACTATGTTAAATTATTAAAGTAAGTGCTCTCTCAATTTAAGAGCACGAGATCAGAATCTGTTCCCCTATATGGTTTTTTGCAGTGTATGATTTTGTCTAAAAATATTTTCTTCTCCTTGAAAGGTCAATCTTCGACTTTGAATCCATCCGGAAATTGGTTTCATCTCCAAAGTTTACATTCTGGTATGTAGCTTACATTGGTTCCCAAACCTTTTACATTTGAGTTAAGTATTGTTATAATTTGACTCATTGCTTTAACGTTATATTTTACTCTGTTTTATGAAGCTATGATGCAATGCATGGAGTTGCTGGAGCCTATGCACATCGCATCTTTGTGGAAGAGCTCGGTGCACAAGAAAGTGCGTTATTGAACTGCACACCCAAGGTCTTATCTCAGTCTAACCAAGAAATACTAATCATTACAGATCCACCTCCAGCCTCACTAATTACCACATTACAACATTTTGTAGGAGGACTTTGGAGGAGGTCACCCGGATCCCAATCTGACTTATGCTAAGGAGCTAGTCGCAAGAATGGGATTGAGTAAATCCGACACCGGAGGTGAACCTCCAGAGTTTGGCGCCGCTGCTGATGGTGATGCAGACCGTAACATGATCCTTGGTAAAAGGTATAGCTTACGAATGTTCTTTTAAGTGATATACATACATGAAACGGGTTACCAAGTACTTGTAAACTTAAAGTATCTCTTCTTTTGTAGGTTCTTTGTGACTCCTTCGGATTCAGTTGCCATAATTGCTGCAAATGCTATTGGGGCCATACCATACTTCAGCTCTGGTTTGAAAGGTGTTGCAAGGTATACACTCGGACTCTTTCTCTACTACTAGCGGAACTTAAAAGTTCCGAGTTCTTTGTATACAGCTCTTTTTTATACATTTTTTTTGGCTTAGTTTTTAACTTACACTTTCTTTATTCTTAGGAGCATGCCAACCTCAGCTGCGCTTGATGTCGTTGCAAAAAGCTTGAATTTGAAGTTCTTTGAGGTACATGTCACCGTGAAACTTCTATCAAGCTTCTTTTCCTCCTAATACTCCATAGAGTAATAAACATATCTAACAAAATCACAAATCAGGTTCCAACAGGCTGGAAGTTTTTTGGGAATCTGATGGATGCCGGAATGTGTTCCGTCTGTGGTGAAGAAAGTTTTGGAACTGGTTAGTGGTCTATTGCTACACACAAAGTCACACATATGTTATATAACCTTTAAAACAACCGATACGGTTCTGTAGTTCTGAAATAAAGCTGTTTCACAGGCTCCGATCACATCCGTGAGAAAGACGGGATCTGGGCAGTGCTTGCGTGGATGTCCATACTTGCTCACAAGAACAAGGGAAGTCTTGACGGTAACAGTAAGCTGGTCACCGTTGAAGACATTGTCCGCCAGCACTGGGCTACTTACGGCCGTCACTACTACACTCGTTACGACTATGAGGTACAAAACTGCTAAGTTTGGTAATTGTATTTATACCATAGTAAAAACAGTACCTTTACTGATATCTTGAAGTTTGTCTCCGAAGAATGTAGACGCAGGTAAAGCTAAGGAGCTGATGGAGCATTTGGTCAAATTGCAATCTTCAATTCCTGAAGTCAACAAGTACACATACACTTTTCAACTTCTCTGAAATCCCTTAGACTCATCCGTTTTCCTAACCTCTTTTTCTCTGGATTTTTATTTCCAGGATTGTGAAAGGAATTCGTTCAGACGTGGCGAATGTGGCCAGTGCGGATGAATTCGAGTACAAAGATCCAGTTGATGGCTCCATCTCGAAGCACCAAGGAATCCGTTACTTGTTTGAGGACGGATCACGACTTGTAAGTTATATTTTCCTTCTGTTCTCTGAGGATTTTGGAGAATCAATACTAACTAATCCTATCTTGTTCTATGTAAAACCAAATGAAGATTTTCCGTCTATCTGGAACTGGCTCGGAAGGAGCAACAATCAGGCTTTACATCGAACAGTACGAGAAGGATGCTTCAAAAACCGGACGAGAGTCGCAGGAAGCTCTGTCTCCTCTGGTCAGATGTTTAAAAAAACTCTTTCAAAATTCCATAAAATTATATTTAACACCAAGAGAGTAACTTTGGAAATGTTGTTGATGTGTGTGATTCACAGGTTGAGTTAGCTCTGAAGCTGTCCAAGATGGAGGAGTTCACCGGCCGATCATCCCCCACTGTCATAACATAAGAAAAGAAGGTCAAAAGCTCAACGATCTCAGATCATACAATACTCTTGTCTGCATCTATTGGGATGTTTTCTTCTCACCATTATATGAATAATTAGTCTCAGAGGAGAGACTTTGTATTTCTTGTCGAATTTTTGAACAATCCTGGCTGATTTCATGAGTATAATTACTTTCTCGGTTTTGTTTACTCTTGTTTCCATCTGTTACATGATTCAGATTTTTTTTATTACCTTATCATTTTACGGTTGGTTTGCCTAGCTTCTAGAAATGCCTGAAACTTGCTAACATTGATCAAAATCTTGAAACTTTACTGTAAATACAATATTTAGTCAAAAAGAATACAGGCAACACAATTGGGGAGAGCACTAAATCTCTGTACAGCAATTCAAAATTACCAATCAAGTTCTCATTTT